AAAGTAACTTTTTATATAATTTAAATTAAACTTTTTAAAGCTTCCTTATAAGCTTTAGCCTTTTTTAAAGTAATTTCTAAGTAAGATTATTTATTTAGTATTAGATTAAGCTAAACCCCTAAATAGTAAATACTTTTAAAAGGGTAGACTTCTTAAGTATATATTCCTTCTTAAAGTTTAAGCTTTACTAGCCTTTTTTATTTTATTTTTTCTATTTATTTTAGTTGCTAAAAAAAGTAGATTAGGTTATATTTTTAGGGAGTAAAAACTACTTTATATTTATTTATTTATATTTCAATTATAATTAAATACTAGCTAGCTTTTAGTAGGTTTTTTTAGTATTTTTTCTAACAACTAGTATATATATATTATCTATATATTTTATTAATAAGCTTTTACCCTTAGTTAATATAAAAATCTTATAATTATAAAATAGCTAAAAAATTAATAATAATAATAATTTTTAAAGAATTTTAATTTTTATATTTAAAAAAAGTATAAGCTTTTATATAATTTTAATTTAGCTAAATTAGCCTATTAAAAAGCTTTATAACTAGCCTACTAGGTTAAAATTAAATCTAAACTTATAGATATTCTAGAAAAATTATTTATAATTAATATTATTAAATACCTTAAATATATTTAAAAGTATTAAGCTTATTATTAATTTATTTTTACTTTTCTAAACTATATATACTTATTTTATAAATAAATAAATAACGTATTTATAAAAGGTAGTTTTCTTACTTTTATAATAAATAATTAAAAGTAGGTAATTAATTTCTATAATAGTTGAAATTCTTTTTATTAAGATATATTCTTTTATTTTATTTAATATTTTTAGTAAAAAGATTAGCCTATAAGATTTTAAATTTAAGTAGTTTTTTTTATAAGTTTTTAAATTATTATTATTATAGCTTCTTTTAGTATTGCTAGCTAATACTAAAGCTTAAAACTTATATTAAATATATTAATAAAGAAACTACTAATTGCTAGAAAAGCTATTTTTAAAACTTAATTAATAATTATATTTAACTTAAAAGTATTATCTGTTTTAAATTCTTTAATAGCTTTAATAACTTTTTATTCTATAATATTTAAAAAGGGAAGCGGCTTGTAAGGAAACGCAGTGCGTAGAGACCTTAATAAGCAATATATGCAATGTGGTTAGTTGATAATAGATTTATTAAAAGCTATCTAACAAGCTGTAGTAGAAGTAGGGCCTTATGCCAAGCCGGGTAGGGCTGAGCTAAGCCTAATCAGGACATCCCCATCCTGCTCTTATTATAATCCGTGACACGGCTATAAAAAGTATTATAAACTATATTATATATTAAAGAAATTTATTAATAATAGTTTTAATAAAAAAAAACTTAGAAAACTTTAACTTTTTTTATATTATTTATCTATAAAATTTTATCTTAGCTTTTAATTTATAGAAAAAAAGTAAAGTAAGGGGCTCTATATATTTTTAGCTATTTATTTAAAGTAAATAGTTAATTTATATTTATAGTTTTAAAAACTTTTTATTTATAATTATTAGCTTAAGCTATTTAAATAATTTTCTTTTTCTAGCTATTAGCTATCTTTTTTGCTACTTAGTCCTTAAAATTATATATAATTATATATTTATATTTAGCTTTTTTTTAATTATTAATAGCTTTTATATATTTTTTATTTTAGCTTAGCTTTATCTTTATAAACTATTTAATTTTTAAAATAAAAGCTTCTAAAGCTTAAATAATAGAACTAATTAGATATTTAATAGTATTATTTAGATTAGCTTATATTTTAAAGGTTTTTTAATTCTAAATAGTATTTATTAAATAATTTAAGAATTTTTCTATATTTATTTTTTTAAAATTCTAGCAATTAAAAACTATTATTAATAAAGTTTTATATTTAAATATTATTTTAATTAAATTATAATTAAAGCTAAAAATAAGCTATTTTAAAGACTTATAGTATAAAATATATTATATTATATTTTAAATAGCTTAGGCTAGATTAATTATAAATTTTTCTAAACTAAAATTATTTAAAAATTTTATTACTATTTTAAGCAGTATAATTAGCTAGAAGTTATATACTATTATAATTTCTTAAAGAAATTAAGTTTACTTTTTTAATAATTATTAGTTTTTTAAATTAATTAAAGTACTAAGTATTAAAATCCCTTATAATAAGCCATTAATAATTATTATAAAAAGAGAGTTTTTCTTTAATTAGTATTAATATATTATTATTAGTTATTACCTTTTTAGCCGCATATAATAAAGCTAAATAAATATTATAAATAATAATATAGTTTTTATATTTTTTATTTAAAAACTTTAAAATTAATATTTAAAATATATTAAAATAGTTAATAATTTATATAAAGCTAGGGTTAATATTTTTACTTATATATATAGAGATTTAAGCTAGCTTATAGCTTATTTAATTTAGAATTTTATTTATAAGCTAGAAGAAATAATATTTTTTTTTATAAATAATAAGTAATTATTTAAAATAAATTGCTCTAAGGCTCTAATATATAAATAATATAATAGACTAGTACTTATTTATCTTTAAATACTTTAGCTATAACTCCTATTTTATTTATTTTTTATATTATATTATAGTATTAATAAATATTAAGTATAACTTATTTTTATATAGCTAAGTTTTTATAAATCTACTTTTTAATAAAAAGCTAAAGCTTCTTTAGAGTATAACTTAATTGTTATAGTTTTAAACTATTTAAAAATAAATTTAAACTTTTTTTTTATTATTAACTTTATTTTTTTATTAACTTTAGGTTTTTTATAAATAAAGTTAATAGTAAGTTTACTAATTAGTTTCTACTTAGTTAATAGTTTTTTTACTCTATTCTTTTTTACTATATTTAGCTAATTATTAATTTTTAGTTTAAAAGCTATAGTTACTTCCCTCTTTTTTATAGCTTTCTTTAGGGCTAACTTATTAAAAATAAATATAAAAGTAAATAAAAGCTTTAAGTTAATTAACTTAGCTAATATAAGTTCTAGCTAAAACTTCTTTATAGTAGTAACTTTTTATTTAATATATTCTATCTCCTTTTTTATTATTTATAGTTTCTAAATTAAAACTTATATAGTTTTCTATACTATATATATTTAAATTTAAAAATATTTTTTAAGTAAAAGTAATCTTTTAAAAAATATTTTTCTAAGTATATATTATACTTAATTAGGTTTTTATATAAAGCGGCTTTATATTTATATTTATAGTATCTATAATATTAGTTTATTATATATTAATTAATATATTAATATACTTTATAGCTTTAATTATTTTAAAATATATTATAAGTATTTTTATAAGGAAACGTAGTGCGTAAAGACCTTAATAAGTAATATATACAATATAGTTAGTTAATAATAGATTAATTAAAAGCTATCTAACAAGCTATAGTAGAAGTAAGGCCTTATACTAAGCTAGGTAGGGCTAAGCTAAGCCTAATTAGGATATCCTTATCCTACTCTTATATAATCTATAATAATTAATTATTATATTATAGTTTATAAGGGACATAAATTTAAATATTAAAAGTATATATATTTATAGCTTTTAAAGCTTTTAAAGCTAATAGATTTTTTAAATTTATTATTCTCTTAGAATAGCTATATTCTAGCGCTATAGCTTTTTAATTATAGTTATAAGGTTATTTATATTTATATTTTTAAGATAGATTCTATTTATAATTATATTATATATAAAAATTATAATTATAGTTTTATTTTTTAATATAAAAGCTTTTAGCTATTTTATTATTTTTTTTATAATTTTATTATCTTTAGTAATATATATTATTAAGTATATATTGCTACTAAAAAGTAGTTTAACTAGCTTAAAATTAACTAATATTAATATCTAAATTATAGCTAAGCTAAATATATATTATAATTTATTTTTTAATAAATATTCTTTTATATAAATATTAATGCTAGTTTTCTTTTCTAGGTACTTATTATATTTTTATTTATATATATAATTAAGCTTTTTATAGGTAGAATATATTAATTAGTTTATAAAGTTTTTTATATTAGTTATAATTTCCTACTTTTAATAATGCTTTTTAAAGGAAGCTATAACTACTATACTTATATTAGAAAAAGATTTAATTATAATAATTATATATATAAGTAAGGAAGGAGTAAGTAGTATAATAGCTATAGTAATAATTATAATTTATATTTTTATAACTTATAGTTTATTAATATATTTAATAGTTTTAATATACTATGCTTTTTACTAAAAAAAGGCTTTAATAATTAAAAACTATAATAAAAACTTAATATTATTAAGTATATTAAATATATTATAAGTATTAGCTATTTAACTAGTAAAAATAATAATATTTTCTATAAATTTTTAATATATATATAGGCTAGTTAAAGTATTTTTATTTAAATATTTTTATATAATATTAATAATTTCTCAAGCTAAGCTAAGCCTTATAAGCTTATTATTATTAGCTATTATTATTATTATAATTATTATTTTTATAGTAGCTAGCTAATTATTCTATAATAATTTTTATTTATTAAGCTAGTGAAAAGCAACTATAATAGGCTACGCTTTAAAGTAAGTACTATTTAAATGCTTACAATAAGCCGATTAAGATGCAGCTATACTAATAATAATTGCTATTGTGGTTGTTGAGATGCTGATTTGCTGTGATGTGATTTCCTGAATCTAGAAATCCGGCAAGCCAAGCCCGCTTTGTTTAGTGAAGTCTTGGCGCGGGTGGCCCGTCAATAAAGTGACGAAACGAAACTCTGCATGGAAGTCACTGCCAACGCACGCGCTGACCTCTGAGGGACGTGTTGGCCGCTGCCAATGTCACTCCTTTCATGCCCTTTCTCGTGCAGATGGTCACCCTCCAATGCTGGCTTATGCTGCTCAATGCGGAGGTGTCTTCCAGAATAATCCCTCTCAAAAATTGACCGCTCTCAGGCGCTGGCGATCCGACAATCATGGCCCAGCAAGAGAATATAAGGAGTCCGCCCTTGAATGCCCAGGTATCGAACATTGCAAAGGCAACGGCACGTTCAAGTCTATCTCCTCTCCGGCATCGACCATTTAATCGGGCGTCAACCTTTGCTGATGGCTACCCTACTCTGAGACCTCGACGAAGCTCTACTTTCTCAGATTCAGCCCAATCTTTCAAGTCATCCACAGATAACCTCCTCCTACCGAGGGCGAAGAGTCCAGAAGAGATTACACACCATGAGGAGTCACATTGGCATTCAATTCCGCTTGTCTTAGCCTTGTTGCCTGCTGTAGGAGGCTTGGTGTTCAAGAATGGTGGACCAGTGGTGACGGACGTGACTTTGCTGGCCCTGGCGGCCGTCCTGCTGAATTGGTCGGTCAGACTTCCATGGTAAGGCAATAGAGGCATGTGTGACCAGCAGTTTCTAAATGGGTTAAGGGATTGGTACCGTTCAGCGCAAGAAGTCTTGGTTGACGAAGCGCCCTCCCCACGCTCTTTCCGAGAGCACGACTCGATTATTGAAGAAGGTAGTGATGAAGACGTATCCGACAACGGTCAACCCAACACCACTGCGCCAGAGTCTAGACAAGAGCCTGTCGACCAAAAATTGAAGCCTTCCAAGCCTAAACGCGACCAGGAATCAGCAGCCAGTGAGCTGCGCATACATGAACTTTTCGCTCTTTTCACTTGCTTCCTATCGCCCATAATTGGCGCCTGGCTCCTACACCATATTCGCGGCCAGCTAAGTCGTCCATCAGAAGGTCTTGTCTCGAACTACAATCTCACAATCTTTCTTTTGGCATCAGAGATCCGTCCACTCTCTCATCTAATCAAGCTGGTCCAAGCAAGAACACTGTCCCTCCAACGCATTGTCGCGTCCAATCCTTATCAAAATTCTCCCAATTCCAATGAAAAGATCAACGACCTTACAAACCGAATAACAGAGCTCGAATCTAATACGTCTGATACTCAGCCTCGGTCCCCGACTGCTACCCTGCAGCAGCAATCTGACATTCTTGCCGCCACACGCAAATCGTTTCAACCGGATCTCGATGCTCTCAACCGCGCAGTGCGTAGGTATGAGAAGCGCGCCACACTTCTTACCATGCAGACCGAGTCCCGTCTTCAAGACCTTGAGAAGAAACTTGCGGATGCTATTACTCTAGCTGCAGCGGCTGAGAGAAGCTCGCAAGCCTCGAAGCAGCGAAGAGGTTCAACTGTCATCCTTGAGTGGATAAGCGCAGCTCTGCTTTTGCCGGTTCAAGTGGGTTGGTCAATCATCAGTTTACCCGGCAAAGTACTCGCTGCAGCGCTCATCTACGTCGAAGATGCGGTTGGCGTAAGAGTGCGGAGGGAGATGAAAACCGCGGGAAAGGAAAAGAGGGTAGGCAGTGATGGAGAGAGAAAGAGAGTAGGGCGGGGTCAAAAGAAACAGTCATGAGCTTCACCATTTCTTCCATCTTTCACTTCTAATATTTCTGGCGCTTTGGGTGGGATAGAGTGGAATGATACCCTGGGTTTATGGCTGGGCTAAGGCATCGCACGAAACGACAATTAGACACAAATAGATATGAAATCGAGAATTGATACCTTTTGATCCTGAGACTTTGTATACTCGATCTTGTCTGCTCTCTCCGTGCGGAATGTTTATGACGATTTAATGCATTGTAATGTAACGTGCCGCCTTCTGTCATCCAATTCCGGAATCGATAACCCTGCATTATCTCAACACGGCACGATATCAAATCCTCCGGGGAAGGCGCTCCGACAACGTGGCAATGACTTGCATGATGACCAGACTAGCAATACTATGGAAAAGACACGATTTACACGTCGAAGAACGCGCGATATGGATCGAGGGGGCACGTTTGAATTGAGAAGGTCGATTGAGTGGTATCACTATGCAAGAATTTATATCACAAAACTACCACCGAGATGCATGAAATGCATGCTGGAGAAAAAGGAAAGGGTATCAACACCGCAAACACACCTCCGCTGGCCTCTCATCAAGCTTCTCCCCGGATAAAATCGCCAGTCCCAACCTCAGGCTCACATCAATTCACCCCAATCGGTTCATTCGCAAAACACTCAACCCCCCAAGACACCAAATATCAACACCCTCTCACATCTCCATCTCCAACAAATTAGCCAACGACCCCCGTCTCCTCAAACCCGACCTCCGTCGCGCAAACTGCACGCCCGCGTCCTCCCGCGCAACTAGCATCTTCCACCTCTCCCCGATACTGTCCTTGCCGCCGCGCTCGCTCAGCTTGCGGGCGCATTCGTCCCAGTCTTCTTGCCGGAGGCGCAGTTTGCTCAGGATGAGGGTTGTGAGAGCTGCGTCGTCTTCGGGGGTGGGCATTGGTGTATCTTCTTGGTTTTCGTTGGGGAAAATGCTGGGGTCAAGAGAAGAAGGTGCGCCAGGGTGAAATGGGAGATTGAAGGGGAGAGGGCGCGAGGGCGTGGTGAATGTGGTGTCGGGATACATCTGGAATGGAGTGTGCGCGGCAGTCTCTGGAGTTGAATGCGAGAGTAGGTCGTCGAAGTCGCGCTGGTCTAGTCCTAGTGGGAGAGTGGGTGGGTACTTGCGCTGGCGCTTTGGCGTTGATGGTTTGTTATGGCTGCCATTCTCTTGATCATTTGAAGGTCCCAGGTCGTCGCTGAGAGCCCTGCGACGCTTGCGCATTGGTGTCCTCGGGGCTGGCTTTGTGACTTTGTAGCTATCTTTCTTCTTTCGTGGTTTCAGCGCTGGAGCTGTGGTGAAGCTGATGGGACTTTCGAGACGAGGTGTAGGATCTGTCGGTGACATTGAGGGGAGGGAGGTCTGGAGGAGGGATTGGAGCGCGCGACAGGTGCTCACGATGCTGGAGTTGGGCGCCGAGCATGTCGGTGGAGGTGAGCGCATGCGCGACATGAGTGATTGTGGTGGTTGGAGGCGAATATCGCATGGGAAGGGCGATGGGAGGAGCATTTTGCTCATGGCGCTGGTTCAGCGCGTTGGTTCTAGCTGCCTAAGGTGGGTCTATGATGCGCCGGCAGCAACTTGAGGCTTGAGGTGTGTCGCCAGACGTTGTGCAGTATCTTATTTTGTTCTTTGAGCTGTCGCGATTCGATTGATACGGGTGTCGGTGCAATTGCGATGATGTTGAGGAGGAGGTGTGATGGAGGATGAGTCGGTGAAGTAGGCTGGTGATTCAAACAGAGAAAGGGCCCGGGGGAGGCCGTGAGCAGAAGGCGCTAGTTGGAACGCTAGGTCCACATCCGAAAAGTGCACGAGGACCGCGTCGCAAGCCTCAGGTCCCCAAATGCACTATTACCAAGTCTAACCAATTGGATATCTTCCCTGGATCCGGATGAGTCGATCTGTGGAGTCTATGTGAAAGAGACTTGGTACCTTTCCAACTACTTACTGCTCTCGTCACATGAAGATTTTGAAGAGTCACGATCTACCCTTAGTAGTACAGTAGGACTTCGTAATGCATTTTAATGAACGCGTCAAGCTCTTGCCAGGGGGCAATCGGCGATTTGATTCAGGGGCAAATCACTCCAAGACGGAAGGCCGAAACAGCGCATCCAACGCATGTCCTTGCGGTGTTTGAGCTCCTATATTTACATTGTGTATGTCTGCATGAAGTATTCTCTAGCCGCTTACAAAGTCTACCTGCAATTTACAATGCCGTCCGTATGCAACTGACTTGATCTACTGCGCCCACCTTGTCCTCCCCAAAGTACGGTTGGTGAAGAAGAGGTCCTTAGCATTCACTTCACCGTCTCAAAGCGTCGAGATTCAATTGTAGTAGATTCAGCGTAGGGAGTAGTCAAAGCGCAGCTGGACAAATGGAAGCACAGATGGTAGCAGATCCTCGGATCTTCGATCGCAATTTTACATAGAGATGCTGTCACCTGTCTGGCAACATCCGTTCTGGGGTGAAGACGCGTCGAACGCGCTGCGCGTTCTGCGCTAGTCTACCTTCGTGCTAGCGTACAATTTGGAACTCTGCCTCGGTTAGGGGACGGATTGGGAATCTCTTGTTGTTGCGTGGAGAGACACATTTGTCATATCCGGGTATATAGTGAGTCATCACAATTCTTGAGCTTTAATTTGCTGCCTCTTTATCTTTCCTTGATATCAAAAAAACCGAACAATTGTCCAGGAGCTCAGTGTAGGGGGGACCAAAACCTAGGTGCTCAAACATCCTACCTGAGCACTATACCTTGAACACTATCTGGCCATTCAACGTACGCTGGTAATCCAATTTGTCCGCAGCCAGTAGAGACAATGCTCTCCATAACCCTAAAGTTGAAAAACATTCTGGGTTGCCTCAACACTAGGTTATCAGCTTCGCTGCTCCTTCTATCGAGGGAAAGGTAATGGCTCTTCCTGACCTTATTTTTGCTCTGCCAGGCCGCTGGTTGCTCATGTACCAATGATCTCCTGGCGCACTTGATCTCGAGGCATTCTTGATCCGACCGAAAAAGGGCATAGGCACTGCTTCCAGTCAACAATTCACCATCTCCAAAGATTAGAAGAGCCTTGCCGGTCTCGAACGGGTGAGGAGGGTCTCCGACCTTGTCGTTGCGTCATTACTTCCTATCCTTTCAGACGACAGAGTGATACTTGGGACTAGCGTGTGTTCTGAACTCGTAGCTTTGTAATGTTTATTGATTGGCTTCTTTCTTTAGTCTGTGGAGGTCACCCTTGAACTGTTCTCATGGCTTGAATTCGGAGGAGCAGCGGCAATGATTCATGTGACTTTTCGAAGCATCGTCGAGGTTCGATCCAGAAAGTCAGTTGCATATTCTCAGAGGTGAACACAAAGCGTCGACGCGCGATCCTATCGTCTTAGACTTCAAATCATCACTATCATCCAGTACTAAACTACACCACCATAATCGACTTTCCCAGATTCAATCCTAATAGATTCCCCAGCATTGATATACCTTTCGCCACATCCTGAACGTTCCATGTATCCCAGAGTACGGAACGCCGCATCAAAGCAAAGTGCAGTGAGATTGCAAAACAATAGCAATCAAATCGGGGCTGATATGTGGCTCAGCAATGGCTTCTCCTGATTGCTGACAGACAGAATGACTGCTCTTTACGCAAGTCGTGACAAGTGTGCTTGAGTTGTGTGATAGGCTAGGATGTGAGTCGAATATTTTCAGGATTGTTATGACCCAGTGGGGCTTATTTCGGGGGTTTCTTCTGTGAGAGTGGAGACATCATTGCCAACAAGAAGGAAGAAAGCAGATTGACGATGGCAAAGGGATTTCATTTTTCTTGTTGGGCAATGAAGACCACCAGCTCTGTCAGTGGCTACCTAATGCATTTTGATAATTGCTCTATCATATGCGTTGAAGGATACTTGCTCTAAAGAGCCGTGTACTCTACGGGTACCTACTTCCATGCCTGAAATTGTTTGCTTCACTCGAACAGCTGTTTCGTCATCACGACACCAACGACACAGTGAAGGTGTCGTTTTTGGGACTAGCGTCCACACAAAGGATAAACAAAATTTTCCACCCGAGCCTTTTTCCTCCCTCATACTTACGCGATCTTTGAAGAGCACAGTGATTACAAGTCAACCAAATCGATAATCACCTAGCGTTTCTCAACTGCGCGTCTTTTAGTGTCCCCTCTCGGCCGCTATGGACGTGGATCCTCCTCCTGATGGGGGTGGTGAAACCCATAGCGGCGGTGATGGTGGAGCAGCTCAAGTAGCTGCAGCTGGGGCGAGCTGTCGTTCGCTCCATGATCAGAACGTTTCTTCTTCGGAAGTACAGGCGGTGGAGCAGCTCTAGTAGCTGAAACTGGGGCGATCGGACGATCGCTCCATGAAAACTCTTTTTCTTCTTCGGAAGTACCGGTGCCGCACGGTCGTGCGGTACCTGAACCATTTTCTCTTCGCCCTGATCAAGGCGACATGAGCCTTGACAATATGGCTGAAGCTCTACCTGCAGTGGCTACTGCGCCGCGAGCTCCTCAGCAGCAGCCAGCGCCACAGTTGTCTTTCCTGCAACGCATAGCAGCGAAGAGGGACCTGCTGAGGCCGCAACAACTGGAGTCAGAGGAGGAGACTCAACCGAAGAGAAAGCGAGACTCTGAGAGCGGTGGCGAAGTGCCCAAGAAAAAAAACCCAACTAGACGGGTTCCCCTTCCAAGAAATTGGGAAGAAGCAGTATCTACGATGTCACGTCGCAATCTTCAAAGATGAAAATTTGGTGCGCAGAGCAGGTGATGTCAAGGCGCCAACACCAGGCGTGGGCCTCAAAGTCTGTCCGGACCCGGGTCGACATGGCGAACCATGCCTAACTCTGAACTTCGGAGCCAAAAATACTCCAGAAGAAATTCAGGAAAATGATCGTCCCGTGACAAGTCTCGCTTTCAAATGGGAGCCGTCCACCCGGATCAACGGCGAGTACGCTCTTGACCAATTCGAATTGTTTACGCACGCGGATAGACCGGATGAGTTTGATGAGATCGTCCAAAAGCAAGCAATGGCCGGCGTTTCCGCTGAAAATGCGAGCATGGCATTTCTCTGCTGTGCCAAGTTCAGGACTCATTATTATCCACTCTGCAGCGTCATCGACCCTGTCTGGGATGACTGGTACGAGAACAAGAGGCTTACTGACGAGGCCTCTAAACAGATTACCAACATGGCAAGGGTGCTAACAGCGGTTTCACAGCAAGGGGTCAAGAACACCTTCACGATGTAAGTCTTCTGGAGAAGCAAGACTAGCCATGACAAATTTCTCAAACATATTGGTCGACCACTACAGCGATGTTTCGATGAACGCTTAGACCGCTGTCACCAATATGGCAATCCTCCAGTGATTGACATCAGGCAATCTCCCCTGATTCATCAAGTCGGTAACGGCATGATGGTCGGCGAATGGAAACGACCGAAAGGGGCAGATTTCAACGCGCCACTAGTGCCAACGAGGTTCTTTACTTACGACCGCAAATTAGACTTCGTAGACGAGACCGAATGCCTCAAAACTTACGGTGTTGACGCAGTTCGTGAGGGGCAATAAAGCGAATCTCTTGTCAGCGAGATCAACGGCTCTGACGTCGCAGTCTTCTTTCATGCGAAAGAAGACCCACGAAAACTTATTCCGACCTTGCCAGCAAGTTACTTGAAAGGTAGCTATACAGACTTCTGGCGAGTCCATATTCGTTGTCTTACGACAACGAAGACGAGCGACCTTAACTTGCAACCAGGATCCGGCGTGGTAACCCCACGTTCTGCGGATGAGCTGGTGAAAACTGGATGCGATTTTGCAGGAACGTTGTGGAAACCACATCGGGAAAAGCCACCTCTAGATTCTCAGGTGCATCGGGAGCTCGTGTGCTTGCCGAGCAGTTCCCTTCCAACGGGACGGATCTCAGTATCCCCCGATCTCAAGCAGCACGAGGCTGAAGAGAATGCTGTTCACAAGCTCCTCACTTCGGATCAGCCATTACTAACCGCGATAAAAGAGAACATCGTCGGTAAGCAGCTACGACAGGCGCCAGTCATTAATAATCTCCTTGCAGAATCATCGAAGCAACAGGAAGTAGCAGTGTTTCCTCCTCTCATCGTTCATCATACTCCTCAACAGCTCGATCGGGACTCAAGAGCAGTGACAGCTCAAACGAAAGCTGCAGAATCGTCGGCGGAAAGTGCGAGGTTGGAGCGTGCTCATCTGGAGCAACAAGAAAGGAGCAGGGAACAGGCAGACGATCAGATTGCAGCGTTGCGCATACAGATGGAGTTTGATATTCAAATGGCTAAGGAGAAAAAGGAGGAGGACTTATGCGTACTGGATGCTCGGTTGAAAGTCTTTCGAGATCATTCACAGCTCCATCGTGTGAGAAATGAATATGTGAGGAACAGCTAAGTCGTGTAATCTCCAATTCGGTGTCTCGTTTCAAGTAAAGAGAATGAGTATGCCGACGGCAATTCTCTAAAGAGAGTGGGTTCGGCGAAGTTTTCAAGGCCCGATTGCAAAGGAAGGGAGTAATGACGAGGACTCAATCATGTTTAGGGAATGGAGAAGGCAGACATCATTGCGCTAGTTGGAGGCATAATAAAAAGACTGATAGAAGCTGGCTTTCGAAATTGTTCTCTGCCTCGGAATGTGCGTATCTACATGTCTGACCTTTCTGATCTACCACCTTTACCTGAGATCCATATCGATCATGCACAGACCTGGGGCTCACAGCACCTTCGTATCCACTTCATCCCATTTAGCAAACTGTTGCAACCGCAAAGATAACCATGGCTGTCCCTGGTAGTTCCTTTACGATCGCCGCCTATTGACCAGCACGAACGAACGTGCTTGGGGGGACCTTCACTCAGTACGCTTCTCTGATGGACTGTACGCACGTTTTCTTAGGCAGCATGGTGTGGCCGCAGTGATCGCCGATTCTAGTGTCTTGGCCCGTCCATAGAGTTGACTCTGCCATCCACATGATGCCACTGCCCTAGCCTCCTTGCCGAAAGATCTCGGACTACATCAAACTTTGACTCGACCCTAGCCTCCTCTGTACTCTGAATGGCAAGAACATACTTTGAGCCTGAAAAGCCTATCTATCAAGACTATCCAGGATACTTTCCAAGGGCAAGCTGTCGACATTAGCTCCGCAATGGGTGCAGAAGTCAAAAGGCGGGTCATCCCTATTGTCCGATCTCGGTGGAAGTTTTGGCACAAAGCGGAACCGAAAAATACAACGTCCTATGATAAAAACTTCCGACATCTATGGTAGCGGGTGAGAAGGATCTAGGACCACGTCGTCCGTGGAAGATCCAGAGCGACTACTCGAAACGGCTAGACAACGGGGGCACAGTCGATAACGAGTTTAAGGTTTTAAACCATATGGGGAGACTGAGCGACGTGGCTCTCACCAGATCTCAGAACGCTGCCAATGAACGTGCGAAGATCATGATGCTCAGCGCTCGACATATTCTCCAGACCATTACTGAGCGTAGCCAACATCTCACCCTTTAATCCGAACCTGATTCACGCGGTCTAGCTACGAAGCCCTCCAAATCTCGCGTTTCGCCCCATACATCGTTCCACGTGAGGGTAGAATCAAGTCGAGACCAATTGCGGCGCTTGAAACAGCCACGTCAAGTCGAGGCCCACTTGGAATCATGTTAGCAAGTCTCTTCTAGTCTTCTCAGTATGACAGATGTGGTCTTTAAACAAGATTCCGGACGAGCAGCTGACAGCCTGACACTAAGAGCCAGTAATTATCAAGGCTTCCGAGTCGGCAACTCTTCACACAAGTCAGAAGTCTGTCCAGTGCGCAGTTATACCACACTCCTTTGTAAGTGGAACCAATCGACAATCAATGCTTTTCATCTTGGCGAATATGAAATTTAGGATCTCATGCTTTCGATTACGAAAACATTTGGGAACATCGATTCTAACTTTGAGCGTTCTGTGTGCCCTGAAAGCTTATCGCCGACACCAGGGTATTCACTCTAGTCCCAAATGATACCGGCCACTTGATTGATGGTTTCAATGATTTTGACGTTGTCCTAGGGACGCCATCCTAGGTTAGATTAGCTGTGACCCTCACCTGATGTGATACATGTTGACCCTTGAAGCTCTGGACTATTGTGCTCGCCCTCTCATGAGCACCCAATTGAACTCAAGCTTTGGATATCTACCCCAGGTTTTTGCAGCTTGCTGGCACCTTTTGAACGCTCCAGACCTCAATCAGCCTGACTGCCAAGAACTTTCTCTTCTTTGGTGCCATTCGCATTCTTTTGCGGAGCTAATCCACTTCGAAATTAGGTCCGCCTTGAGCGACGAGATCCGATAGTCTTTGATGCAGGCTTCACAATAGACGATAGTTGATCCAAGATTGTGGACCACAACCTGCTTTCAAGGGAATTTCAGTCTATTTACGATCTCTGAACTTTTGGCCTCGGCTGTCTAGGGCAAAACGCCTGTACCAACACAACTGGCCCAGAAGTCTAGTACCGAGTACCCAAACAGCGTTGTCTGCGTGGCGTGATAGCCCACGTTGGAGCTTCACCGATCGCCCTGTTACTGTTTTGGACTTTCGGAGCCTTCACACCGTGATTACGTTTTTGTGGCTTGTATAAGGTCGGCCCATATCTTGCTACGAATGAAGGATGTAAGTAGTCCATATTCAAGCTCTGAGATCATTTGATGGCTTCGCACGCTGAGAAATATCTTCCCCCCGTTCTCTAACCGTGATATTCGTGATTTCGTTGATCAAGCTCGCCCTTCGAAGGCGGGTGCCCTCCCGTCAGACTGAGAAACAGTCTAGGAAAGAACCTCCTGGCCTCTATCGGTACGGGGATACCTGTTCACACAACAAGGCAGCTAAATTGTAGTGGTCCTCGGATGAAAAGTGTGGGGTTCATGGACTTCGTGGACAACAGAACACCTCACGAATCATATCTGACGAGTTCTTAGCGGCTTGCTAATATCTGATGCATGTGACTGTCAGTAGATCTAGCTTTCATGAGCAGACCATACTCTGCGTTCTAGACTCACGGACTATCAGCGCCTTCTCGCATGCTACTTCAGCATATCGATTAATTGGTAAAGCTTATAACAAAGCCGCGAAAGGAAGGCTCTCTCTAGTCTTCCCTCCCAACAAGAGCTTTGCAGGAAAGAGTGATAAAGAGGCCGTTCCGCACTCGACAGCCTCCTATTCTTTTCACGCACCTCCACCAATTTCGATACAGACCTCTCCTCTTCATAGCAGTACCTCATCTAACCCCCCCCCTATTGATAATCATGAAGCCAGTCACTGTAAGTGCCCCGACTGTATCTCCCTTTCCCACACGCTACCATCCATCATGCGGACAAACAAAATTGACGTACCCAAGATAAGTTATCTTATCATCCTACTCGCTGCTTTCGTAGCCGCAGCTCCCCTCAGCCCAGTTCTTGAGCCTGAACTGTTGGCTCGTGACGCCGAAGCTCAACCCACGCCAGGCGGATCCTTGTGGGGAGGCAAGCGTGACGCTGCGCCAGGCGGATCCTGGTGGGGAGGCAAACGCGACGCCAATCCCGAGGCCGCTTAAGTAGAAGTCCGTGGGGAGGGAAACGTGAAGCGTGTTTCTCAGCCCGGTGGGGGGCAGTAGGGTGGCTGCACGCTGTGAGATGAAGCAAGGACGGAGGCGGGGCTGGAAGTTTATGTAACGCTTGCTGCCACTGACACTGGAGGCGTTGTTTTAATGTGGTCTAAATTTGAAATCGCAAGGACTTGGGAGGCTTTTGTGCACGAATGTGGGTGTCGAGAGAGGCGCCTTCAAATCATATCTATTTATTTTCTGAGTACACGAAAGATCCCAACCCGTTTGATCTAGCCAAAAAACGAGTGTAGCTCATGACATACAATAAATAGTTGCCGAAGAATGACTCGATGGAAGTCAAGGATTGACAGCATCAGTCAGAATAAGACGGCATCTCGGAAATTGATAGTCTGAGTACTGTGGCTATTTCCAAGAGCAATGTGCATGTCTGGAGGCAGCGAATTAGGCCAGACAATGTGGTTGGAGACTTGTACTTGGCGAAGTCTTCCTTTCTGTCTTTGCGATCTATGTTCCTCTCAAATTCAAGTTGCGCTTCAAGTAAGCTGATTCTGTTCCAGGCTTGTCTAATCGGTAGGACGGTCCTCTTTAGGTGAGATTATGAGTCTAGCATCGAAACGGTATCTCAACTCGGTCTTCTCTGCGACTTCCAAGCTGAGTCGGCATTGGTTTTTCCTCGCCCCAATTCGCGAGACCTACTGGCGACTGAAACGACATGAGACCTTAGTACCACAAATTTTGGACGAGCCCATTAGATTTCATTGCCGTCTTCAGACATTCCCTCCGATTTGTAGACTAATTCGTGCCCTGTGCAAGTCCTCGCCATTCATCTCGCACCAGTTGCGAAAAGACGCTCAACCACACACAGGTCATCGTCTCCTTGCAAGTTATTCGGGAGAGCATCTTTCATCAGCTTTGTCACCTCTTATTGACTCTCATTCTGTCAGCGTCATCTTCTTTAGGGCCAAAATACCCCTATGCGATGCTTCTTTGAAAAGGCTTGGTGATATGTGTCATCGAAACAAGCCATCCCATTATCTGGGTCCATCTCTAAATGGCTTTTCTATTTGAGAAGTTCACGACTACCCAAATGAATGCTTATGTAATAAAACTCGAGGTCTGCCTGTGGAAGTACTTGTTGACAAATCCTCCGGGCTAACTAGTCAAACTGCTGTTTTTCGAATACCGTCAGTAGATTTGTTCAAGGTCATGGATCCATGGGTCCGTGACGAACTACACCCGTCTGGTAAGGAAGATCTACTACAAATTTCTCCTATCAGTAGCAACGCTATTAAAAATTGCCGCCAGCATGGTAACGAGGGCCAGTTACAATCAAACACCGCCAACATCAATGTTGATGATACATCAGACCGGTGGCGCTGGTACGTCTCAAGTTCCTAGGTGTAGCAATGCTGCTACTTCTGCCTTGTCCAGCAGCGCGGGATATGATCAAAGCTTCATCGAAAACAAAGTGATTGATACTTCCAGGCCCATTAATTTATTAGTATATGACCAAAACAGTGCCCGGCTGCCTAGTGTCTTGTTCTGTTTCGATCATTGAACCGCAGTAGATGACACTACTAGCAGCGTCATCAAGGTGTGATGAAGCCCCTCTAGCGGCTCGCGCTTTTGTCAACAGCGGTTCGGTGTCTTGTCCCTTTCTTCCTTATACATCAACATCATCAAGAATATCTCAACGGTTGACTCAAGCAGACTTACTGAGATTTAATATTCTTGAGATATTGTGGGCGCTTTAGATTGTTCGCGCTGGGTCTCCCTGGGTACCATTAGGTACTCAAAGATCCAACCATGGATTCTCACGTCCCTGGTGATTCTGCCTCGCGTAGCTACGCGAGGTTTTATCAATCAAACTTCGTCAGCAGCAATGCTGATGACTCTGTCTCGCGCGGTCGTGCGAGACATGCAAATCTCTTCGTCGCCAAAAGCGTTGGTGACATGTCTTACCGGCTCGATGGTGCTGGTACATCTCAAATTCATGTCCCCGGCTCTGTAAGATCTTTTGCCTTACGAGATCGCGCGAAACATGGCCAAACGAGCATTGGTGACGTTGATCATCTTAGCAGGAAAACCCTCCTCAGCGACACTCGGCCTGAAGACATATCTGCAGGATCAACGAGTCGTCGATTGGTCCAATCAAAAGATAAAATGTCGACAAAGGGTGAATCCGTTGCAGGCCAGGATTCCCAATTTATCGAAAGGGAGAAAAAATATCTGAGCAAAGTAAATGAGCTTCAGCTTGAATCAGAATACGCTAGGAATAGCTCGCGACACTATCACGATCTTCAGAGGAAGTTCCGCTCGGACCTGCGAGATTGCATGCTTGAGCGAGACGAACTTCGACTTGAGCTGGAGGAAGCTAAAGGCAAGGTCCAGTACCAACGAGATGTTGAGCTAAATGGAGCTAGACGCCGGATACAGTATCAACGTGAGGTTGAACAACACCTCCGTGCCGAACTCAAGAATTATGTTCGATGCGACGATAATGTGGGAATAAGAGTGCGACGCATCATAGACATCTCTAAAACAACGCGTCTGGATCTCGAGAGCAAGACAAGAGAGTGCGCTGAGCTTGAGCGAAAGTTGCTTGAGTCGGAGAACTCTAAACAGGAGTTGCAAAATCGCATAGGGAGATTAGAAACCGACAAAACCAAATTGAAGTACCTGGCGAACGAGTGGGAGACGTTCGCAGAGGATGTGTGCACTTGGCTCGACTCTCACAATACACCTTTGCTGGAGCCTCCAGAAAACGAGACCGCTATCAAAAAAGGGCAAGTCGAGCAGACCAAGCCTCACGATCAATTTCCCGCCACGGTGAAAGTTGAGCAAGAGAAGCCCGGTACTTATACGGTAGACGATCAAGATGAGAGTGATCATACTGATCCTGATTTCTTCGCTGACAGTGTAGAAAAGCTGAACGAGTACCAACTTGGGCATGCCAAAGCCGCAATGAAGCGAGCCTTGTCTAGTAAGTGGCAGGAACGAGTGACTGACGATAAACAAGCGCGGGCACTAGCATCCTCTTCCAAAGGTCTTCCTGACATCAGTCGTCGCCAGCGTTCAGAACTTGCAGCTAAGAGAAACTTCGATTCGACGCGAGGCAAATGAATTCAGCGTGTAGGCCGGGTTTCAGAGTAGGAAAGTATTGGATTGGAATATCTTGGATATCTGGCATACATTTACAGTAGAGTCTAATTAATGTTTCGCTCTCCTAACTCAAAAAACTGAGTCGTGTCAAATCAATCTTGCTGCTAAAATATCTGCCCATCATCTCAATCTGCACGCCTTCTATCCTTACTAAAAGCCCACTCAGGTAGCGGAGCCATCTTCATCCGTCCATTGCGTTTTGCCTCTCTGAACTCTTCCCCTGCAAACTTGACGACCTGCGACGCATGAGGTCTTCTCGATGCAGAATAGTTCAATGCCATCAACATGGCATTGACAAGTTCCTCGCTATACATCTCCGGCACGTCCGTTCTCACGTACCTGGCCTCCGGCTTCTTCTCCCACGCCACTTCGTTCTCTTTCGTCGGCGTGAACTCGCGAGGCAAGCTCGCAATAGGGGCATGTCCGTAGATGAGGAAGTGTATGACGGCGCCCACTGACCACACGTCTGTTTTGGGGCTCGAGCGCGGCATTTCAGGTGCTGAGCATGCGGGAGTGCCGCAGGCGTCGTATGTGAATTGCTGAAGGGTGGCATGACCGAAGTCTGTGAGTACGACGTCGGGAAGCGTGTCATTTCCGCGGCCTTGAGGCAGGCGGACAAGGATGTTCTCTGGCTTTATGTCGCGGTGGACAACGCCTGGTCGGGTGAGATCGAGAGAAGACCAAGATGAGCGCTTGTCTTTGCCAAAGTTGGCTCTTCTATTGAAGCCATAATGAAGGTATTCTAGGGCGCACAAGAGCTGGCGGTAGACTTTCCAAATGAATAACTCTGGAATCTTCCTTTGACGGTCAAAGAAGCGGAGAGAGAAGTCGAATAGGTCACCAACAGGAAAGTATTCACTGTAATACTCGGCGACGGGTATTCTGCAGGTTTCGTTATAGACGGACCATTGAATGTCGATGATGTTCCGGTGGGGCTTCTTTGCCAGATCGAGGACATCCATGATGTAGCTCTCCCATGGGATCTTACCTTTGACGTCGGGTTTCCGAACAATCTTCATACAGAAGACTTCACAAGTCGACTTATGTTTGACGACGGCGCAACTTCCTTCGCTGCCCGAACGAAGTCGTTTCACTACTCTGAACTGTTTGAGACTGTCTTCCGAATGCTGCCTTTCGTCTTGCACTGATTGTGATCTCCTCTTGCGTTTGAGATTTCTGTAAGGTAGCTTCGAGGGGTCGACGAATTCCCATGTATCTGTAACATCTCTGCCTTCAAAATTTCGAGACACCATTGGCATGTCTTGATAAAGACCGTTCCCAAGGTATTGAGGCATTGTGATACTCTGGGCTACGTTAGCGCCTTCTTCGTCTGTGATCTTGAGTCTTTCCAAGCCTTGCAGTATGTCGTAATAAGCTGGTGTAGGTCTTGCACTATAACAGCTGCTTGGGCTCTTTGGACTCAAAGGCACTGAGGTTGCAGGAGTTGGGGAGGGAAGGCTCACATATGATGCGTTCCGATTCCGATAAGATCTTGTGTCGTATGGTTCCTGCTCTTGAGATAGACCGACACTCGCTGTGACACTTGCTGTTAATGGAAGGAAGGAAGGAGACATTTCTTTGCAGTAAAGATATACTCAAATCCTAAGCTTGAAGTAGTACGACTGTCACTCTTCAAAAAGGTTGCACAACAGCGCCGGTGAGAGAAGTCGTATATGAAAAACTTTTCTTTTTCGGAACATTGAAGAAGAAACAAGACAATCCATTGTGATTGAGCAAAAGACAATAAGCAAGACACGTAGCACGCGTCTTTGTTCACGCATTGCTTGTCCGACACATCCCGCCTTCTCCTCATAGCGTTTTCCTTTGTTGGTCGACGCAAATGTGTCGACAATTGTACATTCTCGAGTGCTTCACATCAGCTAGTTTGCCAGAAGAGACTAGGATGTAGACTTACCTACCTACTTGGTAGATTGGTTTGGGGCGCAAAGTCCGAGTAGACTGATAGCAAACGCCTCCAGCAACACCAAATGCTTTGGCCGCAGTGATAGTGGGTAAGTTGCTCCTTCCTCCAACGCCGCCCATCTCCGCTGAGAACCGAACCTCCGTCATAACACTTCCATGAGATTATGTAAAGGGTGTGTTGCCCCCTTTTCGGGCTTAGTGCCACGCGTCAACATAAAACAACACCTCTCGCCCACATTTTTCCTTCCTCCTTCATACTTCTCACTACTACCAACTGCACCTGCAGTCGGTGGTATACAAATTTTTTGATATCCTCCTGAGCATGAGGCTAAATTGCTCATCGTTGTCGAGCGGTCGCTTGATAACTGAAACACAATCTGTCAGACAGCAAGCAGATTTGCAGGTCGCAAGAACTCGTCTGCGAAGCTGTCTCCCTTTCCACCAGGCCTCTCTTTGGGAAACCAGAAGATGAGTGGGAGGGTTGGGGGTCACTCCCATAAACCCAACACCAAACAAAAATAATTAAAATTCAAACAAATCGAGTGACCCCGGCAGTTGAGGTCGCTCCTGAGCACGAGGATAAAATGCTTAGCCCCGTTTAAGTTGGGTTTGGGGGCTTGTAAATCTTTGGAACACGTCCTGAGCATGACAATAAAAGGTTTCGCTTTGAACAAGAGCTCAAGGGGTTCTTTTTGAATCTTTAGAACCGGTCCTGAGCATGACCATAAAAGGTTTCGCTTTGAACAAGAGCTCAAGGGGTTCTTTTTGAATCTTTAGAACCGGTCCTGAGCATGACCATAAAAGGCTTCACTTCGAGCGCAAGCTCAGGGATATTTTTAATCTTTGGAAACTGTCCCGAGCATGACGTGAAAAGGCTCCCCTTCAAGCTTTTGCTGGGGATTCAATCTTTGGAAATCGTCCTAAGCATGACGTTAAAAGGCTCCATCAGTGCAGTAGCTTAATGCTCTGCGTTGGAGGAGCGAGCTTACAATCATGATTTCTGAGTGTTAGTGGCGTTGGGAGTGGCGTTGTATCTTGTAGAAAGTTGCTCAGAAACCATAGACAGAGTGCAAGACATAGCGTAAGGGTCGAACAATTCTACCGACATAATTAAGGCTGTATAGTAGTTGAAGAGTCAAAGCGAGCAAAAGACCTTATCGTTTCAGGCGCCACATGAGCTTCCACTATATCTTCATCTGCCAAGTCAAATAGAGCGTCACAAGCATCACATATGAGTCTCTCCCCAAAGTCTTCGTTCGCCGAAGACGCTGCTCACGAATTTGAACAGCAGTAAGCGTCCGATCGTTGCCAATGGGTCTCCCAACTCAGAGGTTCCTCTTTTCAGATCACGACACGAATGTAAAGATATTGATCGGGAGGTTCTTACTTACTCCTGCCACTTCCGTGCGATCCCTCATGTCTCTTTGCTTTCTCCTTCCCCTCTTCTTTCCTATCGATCCCACACCAAAATCTTAGTCTAGCAATCCCCTCTCTTTCTGTCTTTCTCAACTGCTTGATCTCGTCATCGGTAGTCTTCTTGTCCACCCTGTTACTCGCACCATTATCAATCTTTTTCCTGATCTGGTGGTCAATTCTTTGACGAAGGTCGAGCTCCAATCTACTGTAGCACTGGAAGCATACACGTTGGTCAGAGACGGCTGTATGAATGACTTTGTTGTTCCCTTTCCTGCAGGAAAGCTGTGAGCATGAGAATCCGTCTTTGCAGGTTTGTTGGAGGCGGTACCTACAAACGTGGGGACATTCGATGTAGGATGTTGCTGTTACTTTGCACATTTTGCCAACGTCGAGATATTATTAGAACCGAGACAGGGATGAGATAAGGAGAGGAGATGCCTGACGAGAAAGAGGTATGATTAGCTTTTGTAACATCACAGAATGTACTAGGAAACAATGGGCTTGTCAAGCTCAAAGAACACAATCACAAAGGCAATTTAGGATGTACAAAATGAGCCGCACTTAGCTTCTTTGTTTAGAAGGACATTTGTCTCTCTACTTGGGGCTTGAAATACCAAGAAGGGAAGCGAACAACCAGTACGTGGCTTCACACGGTGCTTGACGCGAAGAACGGCTCTTAATATGTACATTTGTTGACGTTGAAGGGAATGACAGGCGATGACAGTTCTGGGACCGTCAAAGTCGATGGGGAAATCGGCACACAAAGCTCAATATCCTAAAGCAGTGTACGAAGAGGCCTGAACCTTAGGTTTCTTTTGATACCAGTCTCGCCTTGTCTATGGCAGTTACATTTGACGTCCGACGAGCACATCAACCGAAGACAGCATTTTCATTCCCGTGATTTCTTTCTTCGCTAGGACTCCGACGCAATAGTCCCAGATTTGTGGCTATGATGAGCTGTATTTGAAGCGAGACACTGCGAGCAACGGTTTAGCAACCGAAGTGGACTTTCTTATCAAGCCGCTGCCGGAAAAGTGTTGGCCAGCCTCTCAGACGAGAAAAGAACGGCGAAGGTATCCAGATTACGATGAGAAGGAAATGCGAATCAACACCGAGCTTGGCTCGAGGTGGTCAAAAAGAATCTCGTATTTTATACGGGAGATGCGACAACGTGTGCATCTTGAAGAGCTGGCTGGTAGACTGGACGTACCTTTTGTAGCACCTGTGATCGAGATAGGGTACAGTCTAGATCCTAAGAGTCGACTGAAAGAATACAAGGGGCACGAGAAATCGAATTACATCCTGAACCTGGGGGATGCCACATTTGCTTACATATATCCTGATGTGTTTTCCTTTTTTCAGAGGATCACTTGAGCCTGCTTTCGCCCACTTCAGCCCTGGATAAGCGAAATTATGTTCACTCAAATGGCGCAAGAGTACACTAAAGGAGCAAAGGGGTTCAGCCGTTACCCAGCAGGAAGATCCAATGGAAGTGCCTACGCCAGTACAAGCGCCGACGCCCGGACATCATATATGGATAGGGCCATCGATGAACATGAGCTATCACGGAAAATGCGAGAAATAGCGGAAGAGAAGGCGGCTATAGACGCAGCGTCGGAGGCGAGTCGACATGAAGAACGGGCTGAGATAGACGCCGACATAGATCGATGGAATGATTTGACGGAGGCTGTTGAGGCAACGACCGAGTTTCTACGACTCGAAATGGAGATGAACTCTTTTCATTCATAACTCGGAATACATTAGGTTGGCGTGGTTGCAATGGCATTATTGCAATCTTCCACACGTTGCTGTGGCGCGTCATCGGCATCTCTTTCTGATTCTCTGCTCAGTCTTTGTATTCTTGCATTTTCTTCCTCCTGGAGACTGTTCTACAAAGTTTCGAGCCTTATCAGAACGGCGACTCTCAAGCAAACAATTGAATTTTCCTATGACTTGGTACTGGCCATCTTTCGACAGAAGGTAATATCTTCGTCAAGCCTATATCTTACAAAGCGTCCCCTATTACGCATCCTGACCTTGTGACGTCTTCGGTGTAAATCATTTGTTGTGATGTCGATTGTTAGTAACCCTAACACAAGACCCGTTGATATTTCTAGTTTTCTCGTCTGCCTTTCCCAAGATTTTGATTGCAAACACTCCGCCATTGACGCACAATCAGTGAACTTTGGTTACCAGTCCAGTAAGTTGCAACGTCTATCCAGAGTGTTCCTGCTCCAGCTTCACCGCTGGTAAACAGGATATCAATGTTAGGTAGATGCGTTTTAATTTCGTTGTCAGACAGCGGTCTCTTCAATTCTGCAGATTTTATTCCTTCGTCATGAGAGAGCCTTACTCTGACTTCATTCCAATTTGTAATCTTAATTAACACCAAATCTTAATTGACACCATCACCAAGGGATGATGACACTCTAGCGGCTCGCACATAGCAACAACAACATCCCACGCGTTGTCCGTTTCTTTTTCTTTCTTCCCCATACAGCAATATCATCAATCTTCTTTCAAAGAGCTTATTCAAGAAAACTCTATTGAAATCATCAATCGATTGGTGTTGTGAACGCGCTTTTGTTCTTTGCTTTTCTCTTTTTTTCGCGGGGTCTTCTGCGTGCCTTTAGGTGCGCAAAGATCCAACCATGGACAGCAATGTCCGTGATCTTCGGAGCGGCAGCAATGCTGCTCCTACTGCCTCGCGAGATAACGCAGGGCAAGCTTCTCTTCCTCCCCCCCAAACAGCAATGCTGTTTCTTCTGTCCCGCGAGATAACGCAGGGCAAGCCTCTCTTCCTCCTCCCCCAAACAGCAATGCTGTTTCTTCTGTCCCGCGAGATTACGCAGGGCAAGCTTCTCTTCTTCCTCCTCCCCCAAACAGCAATGCTGTTTCTTCTGTCCCGCGAAATAACGCAGGGCAAGACCAAAATCCCCTCTCCACCAACAACACTGCTGACACTCCTATCCAGGGAGACGACGCTGGCGATGATCAAATCGGTGCTGACGAAGATTTGGTCTTTGATCTTACACAACGACTAGGAGTGTTTCAAACGCAGTTGATAATTGCTGAGCTCAAAATACGGAAACTCCAAGAGAATGAAACCAAAGGTCGCAAAGACAACGATAGTCTTAGACTTAAACTGCGCGAGGTCACGGACGAGTTACAATCACTTCGTGACTTGACAGAGCAAGACCATGCTAAGAAGAGTCATACAGCAGAATCCGCCGACTCGGTGGATGAGATTGCTAGTTTGACGCAAGGGTTTGCTAGATTGACGCCTGGATCGAGGCAGGAGACCACGGATTTACGGCAAACGCACTCTGGACTTCGAGTGTGGATGGAAGCGGCTATGGCTTTGTTCAACCAGCGCGGGATCAGAGCAAGGTTGCCCGACGAGTATTACAAGATATGCCCTCCATCAAACCCAGCTCAGATTATAGGAGGTGCAGATTTTTCTGCGGACGAGGATTTCGAGGATGAGATGGGGAAGGCCATAAAGAAATCGCGAGAGTCCCAATTCCTCCCGCAACAAGAGGGAGAGGGTTTTCTAGCTCCATCCGATACTCTCTTGCACGCGGAGGATGTCGACGAGGGCTTCGAAGCGGAAGGTGATACGCGCAAAAACAAACAAAAGCTGTCAGCCTTCCAGCCTTTAGATAACGACCCAGACCCATCAGATACGCCTAAGGAGCCAACACTGAATGAAAATTTACCGCCATATTCGGCGGAAGGGTCAGGGGTCCAACCAACAACCGCTCCTGGGACTTATGGACTGTTCATCCAGAGGTTCGGCGACCGTATACCCCAGCCTGTAGGTCCGTCCGAAGGTAATGGTGATGCTCTAGCGAGACTGTCGCTAACTGGGTTCCCCTCCATTGCAATCGCCCCAGTGTCATCGGCACAGCCAGATCTCCAGCTTGGTGGCATTGGATTTGCGGACGCCTTGAGAGCACCACCACCCGAGCCGGAGGAACCGAACACGACGACAAAGCCGAAGCTCTTCAGCCTTACCGAAGCAAACCGTCGGTTAGATGCACTTGTTGCAGACGAGAAGCGGATACAGGACGAGGAGGAGGCACAGAAGGCGATGCAAGAACAGGGAGCTCAAGCCCAAGAAGCTCCTAAAGTGGTTGCAACAAATTTCGTATCAACTCATAGTCTGAAGCGCAAGTATCGAGGCGACAGCCCCGAAGGAAGATTCTCGGTCAAGGCTCCGAAGCCCGCCTAAGCTCGAACAACGCCAGCTACAGCTCATACTCCTCCATCGTCGACGCCCGCGGATACCACGGCAACTGCTCGGCGGCCTTCAACCGCGGCGCCGCAGCCGATAGCGACTCATGTGCCATTATCTCCAATTGTCATCCTTCTAAGATAGCAGTCGTCCAGGGATAAGGGATAGGTCGATTCGAGTGATTGGCACATGTCAACAAAGAAAGGGCAACGTTTTGGCGGCCAACGGTCTCAGGAGAAAGTTCTCACGTTCTATCCAGGCATACACGAGCCAATAGGAGGGAAGGACGAGGCCCCAAGAGATAGAGACGTCAAAACTTCGGCGATTTGGAGCGTGAGGGACGATTCTTCCTGGCCATCAAGAGGCATGATAATATGTGGGTGCTGCAGGGACATGAGTTATTACGAGAAGGAAGTCGGGGTCGATGATGGCTTTGGGAAGAAGGCGGAAGTTTGAAACGAGGAGGAGAAAGAGAGGAAGGGATCAATGGCGGCCATGTATGTAAATCAAGGCGCGGCTGATACCGGCAGAGAGAATCAAATCGTCGCATGCTGCAGACGAGGTGAATAAAATCAGCTGTCGAAGCAACCTCTGTCAGGGTTATGAGACTCGAATTCCGGTTTCAACATGCTCTTTCCAATCACGTAGTGGAGGCTGCCAATCGCTCCCAATCAATCAAGTCCGTAGCGCGAAAGTAGTTTCATGTTTATTGCAAATATACGTGTCATCGAAGAAGTCTCTTCGCAGAATGCCTTCCCAGTTTGTGTTGCCTTTTCCCGGAAATAGCCCTGTCTTGCTGACCGTTCAATCACGGGAGAGCCGTGGAAGGGCGGTCAAGACTTGATCGATGGGTGGACAAGACGTCAGAGACAGCACATTGTGGGTGGACAGCGGCTGAGTAATGATAAAAGCAACGATGTCGCAGCAATGGCTGGAATCGACAAGACGTTTCATTCCTTGAAAAGAAAGATGTAGCAACTTTCTGTTGCAGCGATGGGGTATCTGGTCTATGCGCATGAAACATTACACTGCATCTGCCTCCCTATGCTCGCCAACCCTCTCGTAGTCCTGAACGCCGTCACGAGCTTTCCACTCGTCACCTTCCTCGCCAATTCTGTAGGTGAAGTAAGCCGCCGCGAGGGCGGTCACCCCTCCGAAACTGAGGACCCATCCGACACTAGAATCGTAAGGCTGCCCTCTAGGCTTCTGGGCGATCTGGAAGATAATGCTGGCAACTATCGTAGCCAGGATTTGCGGTGCAGATATTGCGACATTGTGGAGTCCCATGATGACTCCTGCCTGGTCTTCTTGCTCGCCTTCTCCGCGACCTTGCTCGACCTGCCGTCGTGCACGGGTGTCCCTTTTCGAGACCTCAGCGGAAATCAGAGCAAACGGTGCCCAGAGAGACATAGCCCAGGGCAAGCCAATGAAAGCGGTCAAAGCTGTAGCACCAGCATAGTTGAAGACCAGGAATGTGGAAAACATACAGATGGCAAAGATTATGTGGGACATCAACCAGGCTCGTCGGAGGGTCAGCCACTGGATCTGGAGGCGTGACAGAAAACGATCAAGACGAGCTCGAAGCGCCGATGGTCGTGGAGCGGTTATACGGTCAACGTGTTCGCTCTGATTAGTAGATGGTGATAGCGCATATGTTCGGGTTATAAAGAGAGGTAGGACAATACTCGCTGCGAATGAGGTTATAGCGAAGAGTAGTAATGCAAAAGTTGCATCTCGTGTAGCGTCCTCCCAGGCGTCTTCAATTTCTTCCGGTGTAAGATTGTCATGGGAATCGAAATAGGGATTGAGCTTCACTTGGCCCACATAGGTCGTCATATAGAACAAGAAGCCAAACCACCCCAGCCAATTGAAGAATTGCGCCACACAGACTTTGCGAATTTGAGGCGGCATTCGCTTGGCAGAGCGATACGTTTGGGTGAAGAAAGATATCAGGCCTGGATTTTTGGTGATTGGAGGACCATCAGCGCTAGGGTCTCGTTCTCGAATATAGAGGGCTGAGATAAGAACGGTGACGCAGATCGCGAAAGCTGATATGGCGCAGAGTACCTGCATTTGCGTTCCTCCTAACCAGGGAAATTGTTTTGGAAGATCAACGTATCCCGAGAGAAACCCAAGAATGTTACCAACGCCTGTTATGCGCCCGGCCCATGCATTGGCATCTTCTTGTTGATGGTAAGGGGCGTTGTCCACGATGAAGGCCCGTATTCCAGCCTGAACAGTATTGATGGAAAAGTCGAGGACATACACACAAACAATGGCGAAAATGATGATGCACACCTTTACACCATTTGACTCTGCATCTGCTCCAAAGATTCCAAGGATTGACTGAACGATACCTCTCGCCCATGCCAAGCACAAGAAAGATACTGAAGTTGCGATTGCGCCTGCGACCATGAAAGGCAGGCGCTTTCCCCATCTAAGGCGGCAATTGTCGCTTCGAATACCAATATACGGTTGGACGAGAACTCCGGTCAGTGGACCAGCAATCCATACCAAGGCTAAGAGTGATTTGCTCATCCCAAGGGACTGCAGGTATGGCGTACCATTGGAGTTTTCCGTAGCCCATGATATTTGCAAGCCTCCCACGCTGAGTGTGAGAATGAACAGATAGAAGACGCTCTTCAATGGCTCCGGCGCATCTTTCGCATCGTGATAGTCTAGCGACCTCAGAGAATCATCACTACCACTCTGCCGGTGAATGGATTCTCCTTCAGACGACAATAGCGAAGAGGTTTCATTCGAGTTTGACATGCCAGTTGGCTCTTTCTGATCATTGTTCGGACTCTCCAACCTCATTGTAGAATCATTTGGCGTCTCAAATCCCTCTAGCTCTTGATCGTCCGATACATCAGATAGGCTTGAAGGCTTATTCGAGGTCAAGGTTTCGTAAGCCATCAATATCCACACCGTCCTAACGATTTAGTCGTTTCCCTCGCAGTGATGAGCATCAGGTGAGCTCTAGGTCATGAGGGAGGTATTGAAAATGTCAGGTCGCTGGCGGTGAATTGTGGGGACACATGGTAGGTCTTGTGATACAGCCTGCCATTTCCAGTACCTCGCAGCTTACATTTGGCGCACCCACAAAAATGGCAAATTAAATCCTATATGCACGACATTGTTGTGCTGTGAGGATGGCCTTAACCAATGCGTCATCGTACGTCCTCCTGTGCATCCACTCTCCCAGTATAATCCTGAGCGCGTTCAGCGTGGTCATCTTTTAGAATTTGGCTCAATGGAGACGAGCGGGGCGGGGCGATTCCGCAGTCCGCAACCTTTCGAGAGCTCAGAATCAGTCAATTGAGAGGACCCCTCGGACTGCAAAAGATGCAAGCTTAGAGGAAGCAACTCAAAGTCACGATAGAGGCAACGAGCGCGTTGATTTCCGCGTTGGAGTAAATCAAAATCGCCGTTCTGCCACCCGGCCCTATCGAGTTCAAGCGACCTAGGCTGCTACCTTTGGCGACACCAGAAAGTGGCTGCGGGCGGCTTTCTATCACGTCGAAGTCGCTCAATCGACTCAATGGTAACTTCGTCGATGAGTCCGATGCTGTCTATTCGCACAACAACGGATCTTTAGCTCTTGATCCTCTTCATGCGCGACCTGCGCCAGACCGTTCTATCACTCACCCAGCATGGCCTCCCATATAGGAAATGCCATCTACGAGCTTCTCAGTATGTGGAAATGTCATTGTCATGAATTACATTAGGCTAATAGGAGGCACCTGCTAGAACGTGAGAGCGAAGAAACGGACCCTGAAGATGGTATTTGAGCAAAAGCATTCTATCGGTCCTTCAAAACTGATTACAAGCCTAGAGCCCGAAGCAAGTCAGAAGGAGGTCTTCTCCTCATGGGCACTATTCATCCTCATCATGCTCCTCATCTTCGCCCTATTTGCTAGCTACATGCTACAGCATAAAAAAATACAAGCTATACATGAAACAGTCTTGTCAATATTCGCCGGTAAGCGGGTACGCCATTTAAGATGGACGACTTTGCTGATACTTGGCAGGGATGGCCGCTGGTTTGGTCATCAACTTGACAGAAGGAACATTCATCCAGAACACCGTCAGCTTTAACTACCAATTCTTCTTCAATCTCCTCCTACCACCCATCATTCTGGCCTCCGGATATGAGTTACATCAGGCAAACTTCTTTCGACATATTGGCACAATCTTGACCTTTGCTTTTGCTGGCACTTTCATATCGGCGGTCGTCCTGGGGGTATTCCTCTGGCTGTGGACACGGCTACCGCTGGATGGGTTCCAAATATCTTTCGTTGAGGCCATTTCCGTTGGGGCCACCCTATCAGCTACTGATCCCGTCACCATTCTTGCCATCTTCAATACGTACAAAGTCGATCCCAAGTTATACACAATCATCTTCGGCGAATCGATCCTCAACGATGCCATTGCAATCGTCATCTTTGACACCGCTCAACGATACGGACCGGACAAGACAAAGGGGGCTTCTCTGACAATAGGAAGCTTTTTCGAAGCCGTCGGGATTTTCTTTCTGGTCTTCTTCGGAAGCATGTTGATTGGTGTCCTGATTGGTATTGGTACAGCACTCCTCTTGAAGTTCACGCTTGTCCGCCGTTTCCCAAAGATCGAGAGTTGTTTGGTCATATTGATCGCATATGCCAGTTACTATTTTGCAAACGGGGCGCTGATGTCAGGTGAGTCCCCTGACTTGCTTCTACCAGACGCATCACGAGCTGACATGCGATTTAGGTATCGTGAGCCTTTTATTCTGCGGCATCACACTGAAACACTACGCCTACTACAACATGTCCAGACGTACGCAATTGACAACCAAATACATGTTCTCGGCTTTAGCTCAACTATCTGAGAATTTCATATTCATCTACCTGGGCCTGACTCTATTCACGGAAACTACACTCTATTTCAAACCACTATTCATCCTGATCGCCGTTATTGGAATATGCGCTGCCAGATGGTGTGCTGTGTTTCCCCTGTCCAAAGCCGTCAATGGTATCATAAGATATCGCGCAAGACGACGCGGGCAAGACGTGGCTGATGAGCTCCCTTATTCTTACCAAGTCATGCTCTTCTGGGCTGGTCTGAGGGGGCTGTGGGTGTAGCTCTCGCAGCAGGCTTGACTGGCAAAAACGGTTCAGCATTACAAGCGACGGTGCTCGTAGTGGTCGTGCTCACGGTCATCATATTCGGCGGGACTACCGCTCGTATGCTGGAGATCATGGGTATCCGTACAGGTGTCGTTGAAGAGGTCGATTCAGACGATGAGTTCGACATAGAAACAGCAACGAATGGGACCTACTACAAGAGCAACGCAGTAGGCTATACGCCGAAACCAAAAACGAGTGGGGATTATCGTGCTAACGGTACGGACGGTGCGCAACATACCTACAGCAGCGGCACTCCGAGTCTCAGTCCTCCCGACCGACCAACGTCGCGCAACAATTCTACAGCTGGCCAACGTGAGAGAGATAAGGAGCAGTCGCGGCAGTCACTTCTGGCTCGTGGTGACGAACTACCAAGCGATGATGAATTTTCCGACAGTGATCTTCCCCCTGCCGCTCGCCAGCCCAGAAGGAGATCCCCACCGTCGCAAACTCCTCCCGCCGCCTCATCCACTGATCCTGGAGCTGGAAACATCCACCCAAGCGGTAGTGAGGGGCACATCACCGCGACCGGAGCCATCCAGCAACTCTTTTCGGGCACATCGGAGGAGCAGGCAGCTTGGTTCAGACAAATCGATGAAGGCTTCATCAAGCCTAAGCTACTTTTGGACCAAAATCGGAAGGGAGGTCCTTGAAATGGCATATGAATATGACGAAGGCGTTGGGAACATAGACTTGTAATGATACCATCTTGATCGCATCGGAATGCGGAGGATGGATCCGTCGCTTGTTGATTAGTGGGCAACATGTTCATTACAATGAACTGCTTCTGCTAAAAGACATCTCGTATTCTGCGTTAGTTGGGTCTCCTGATCTCCTCCGGAAGTATTCACCACTTGATGAATCACCACGGCCCGCTACAAATGCCAACTATCACCATAGATATGAGAAACTTCTGCATTGAGGCGGTCTCGCTTCTACCGTTCAAACTTAGGGAGTAGTGATAACCGAGGTGTGCGTGGGGCGGATCTGAGTGGAATTGGGGGCTTGAGGATATGGTCCACCGTAGAAATACAAGCATTCAGATTTGGGACTAACGTAGCGCAGAATTAGGAGTGACTGGCGGACTGGGAAGATTTGAGTGATGAACCACCAGAGCGCGTCCTGTAGTCCCATTCAAAGGGCGCAGTTTCCCCTTTGTCAGCTGCCCCAACACCATGGAAATCTTCCCATGATTCCTATTAAAGGCACGATAGTTCTGAATGATCGCAATCGATGGGTTTTCAAATAGACCATGTCTATCAAATCTACAATAGCCCGTAGAATTTTCCGTAGTCCACCAAATGATTATGCTTCAATGTAGTTCGGGTGCAAATTCTTCGAAAAGCGTGTCTGACGGCAAACAAAGCAAGGCCACAGGGCTGCCCACCCACCGCAGCGACCAAGGAAAATTCATCAGCGCCACCTCTCCCTTCATCACCCTCACCTCTACCTTTCTATCCCCTTCTCCATCCTCATCAACCGCTATCGTCCACATCGTGATTGCCAAGCTGCCAGATCGCCAGCTCCCATCCATTCGTCTGATCATTGCGTTTCAGCCGAGCAGAAGCAAGTCGCTTGTACCACGGCTAGGGCCTGCCGCCCGAAGACGAGTTCAGCGACCTTACTCCTTCATCTCGACATTCCTCCCTATCGTCATTCAGTCGATGCAACTCAATGTTTTCCACCCGTGACCTTGCACGCCGATGAGGACCGCTTGGTCAAGGGGAGACCCTAGAACGGCACGAGGCCGACGAGGCCTTTTCGCGGGGAACAATGTACAAAGAGCCAGTACCACCATTGCGCAGACCCTTAGACGAACATGAACATCCAAACCAATATCACGCTCATTCCCCTACACACGCCCATCCGTACTCCCCGACGGATGGGATGCATCCACCGTCACCCCAACACCAGTACAATCCCGGATCTGCCTCTGCCAACAGGCAGCTTCCCCAACACATCAGCCCGCGAATCGGGACATCCCCTTCACCGAGAATGAATGGCCCCTCTCAGCCATTACCACCGTACAAATCCGTCAGCAATGGTCCTTCGACACGTTATGATCCGATAAAAGATCATAGAGACCCGCATTCTGCCAGGAGGTCCACGAGTCATATGGAGTCACCAGTACAGGTATGTTTCTGCGGGAAATCTTGACCCCGAATATCGCTCCAGTGGCGCAACGAGAGTATTGGGCTTACATCACATTAGTCTCGAAGCTCTCTTCCCTCTTACAGTAGTCATCAACCAGACCTCACTCCATCGCCCAAAACATATCACTCACCGACCCAGCCACGGTTCCCGCCGCAATCGCCCATCTTGCCCTCTCATGCTCATCCTACTGCAACTCCTGTGTCACCACAAAACATCAGTTCCATCTCACCCACAATGTCTACGCGAGCTTCAGGCCAAGTAAACCCACATACAATCAACGGGACGGGAGAAAAGCAATTATCGCAAAAAATGTTAGAAGGACTTGAGTACGAAGTACGTGACGAGGCCGAAATGCCACGCCCTGCCGCTCCCAGGAAATCAGACCCTATGTCTATCTCCAATATGTTATCTGCCGATGTTTCAGAAGCCAAAAAGCCAGAGACTTATGCTGCATCTCTGCCGAAAGCTCCTGAATCCACTTCGCCAAAGATGAATGGTGACAACAGGTCAACGACCGTAACCCCACGGCGATCTACAGCGACGAAAGTTCCGTCGCCGAAGTCCAGCACTAGCATGCAGAATGCCCACAAAAACGACATATTGCCCTCGACACCGCCCAAAAACTCAACAGCGCGTAAGCGCAAGCAGGTGTTCTCAGTCAAGGACAACGAAAAAATACTCAAAGAGATAGCTAAGATTGATGCTATGGGGTTCAGTGACCTTGAATGCGAGGAATTCGAGGAAGCAAAATTACAACATGCGAAACGAGCTGAACAACGGACACGGGAGATAGGGTTGACAGAAGAGTCGAAACGCAAGCGTCGGCGCACAGCAGGAGGAAGGTCTTTATCGAGCCAAATTGGCTCATATGCCGAGGAGGGCAGACAACGCTTTCGAGCTTTGTATGAGGCTGAAGTACAGGCTCAGGTTCATCAGAAGGAGATACAGGATGATAAAGAGCGAAAGAAGGACATGCAGCGAAAAAGACGACGAGAACGAGCGCTTCAAACGCAGGCCAAGACATACAAAGATGCGTCTGAAAAGGCACAAACGGCTGATAATGATGACGATAGAGAACGAGCCATTAAGGAGGCTCAACGAGCTGAGAAAAGACTGAAGACTACCAAACGAGCACTGGAGCGTCGCGAAGAGTCTGATGGCATTCGAGAGGTCACTCCGTTGGCCCCAAATCTCGAGGGCGGCATGATGGGCACATTTCAGACTGCGAGCAACCTATCTCCTGAACCTCCAAGAAAGAAAATCAAGGCTGTAGGGGCGTCGCGGCCCAAGAAATCCAAGGAGAAGAAAGAGGCTGAGAAGGCTGCTGCCGAAGCTGGGTTCGCTGCAGGCTTACACACAATACCGAGCAACGAACCTGTTGCCATTGCTCCCAAAGAGGACTCCCCCATGGACTATTCGCGCGAAACGAGGCAATCAAGAAGCCTCGCTATGAAAGACGCTTCGCTTTCGACTCCCAAAGTTCTAGACTACGATTCAAAAGGCTACAGCCAGATATATGAGCAGATTTGGAAAGACATTGCTAAGAAGGATGTGCCAAAGGTATTCAGGATCAAAGAAAATTCCCTTGCCATGAAACAATCCAACCTACGGAAGACAGTGCAGTTGGCCTCTAAAGAAGCTAGAAGGTGGCAGTGGCGAACTAACAAGGGAACGAAAGATGTTCAAGCTCGCGCCAAGAGGAGTATGCGTGAAATGATGGGTTTCTGGAAACGCAATGAAAAGGCCGAGAGAGACCTCAGAAAGAACGCAGAGAAACAGGAGCTCGAGAACGCGAAGAAGGCAGAAGCTGATCGAGAATCCAATCGACAGAAGCGGAAACTCAACTTCTTGATTGAGCAAACGGAGCTATACTCTCATTTCATTGGCCGGAAGATCAAAACAGATGAGATCGAAAAATCGACAGATAGCGCCGAGGTCGCCACGTCTTCAGAAACTGTTCAGGCAGGTAAAGCGGATGCTCATACTGTTACCTTGCCCGACGGAAGCGCCAAAACGGGCTCTAAGGTTACCAATTTTGAGCAGCTTGACTTTGACGCCGATGATGACACTGCTCTTCGAGAAGCGGCCATGGCCAACGCGCAGAATGCTGTGGAGGAGGCACAAGCGAGAGCACGTGCTTTCAATTCTGGCGGAGACGACTTGCAAGCTCAATTCGATGATGGCGAGATGAATTTCCAGAATCCTACCGGCATGGGAGACATCAATATTGCTCAACCCAAGATGCTGGCTGCTCAGCTGAAGGAATACCAGCTCAAGGGCCTTAATTGGCTTGTGAATTTGTATGAGCAAGGCATCAATGGTATTCTTGCAGACGAGATGGGATTAGGCAAGACAATCCAATCTATATCTGTCATGGGCTATCTTGCCGAAAAGTACAATATCTGGGGACCTTTCTTGGTCATCGCGCCTTCTTCGACTCTGCACAACTGGCAGCAGGAGATTACTCGTTTCTTACCAGGCATCAAATGTCTACCATACTGGGGAACAGCCAAAGATCGTAAAATTCTCCGGAAGTTCTGGGACAGAAAGCACATTACGTACAACCAGGATTCTACCTTTCATGTGCTGATCACATCATACCAACTAGTGGTTCAAGATACGCAGTATTTCCAAAAGATGCGCTGGCAGTACATGATCCTTGACGAAGCTCAAGCCATCAAGTCTTCGCAAAGTTCGAGATGGAAGTGCCTCTTGGGTTTCCACTGCCGCAACCGGCTGCTACTCACCGGCACGCCGATTCAAAATAATATGCAGGAACTTTGGGCTCTCTTACATTTCATCATGCCAAGTCTGTTCGACTCGCATGACGAGTTTAGCGAATGGTTTTCGAAAGACATTGAGAGTCACGCACAGAGTAACACGAAGCTCAACGAAGACCAATTGAAACGACTACATATGATATTAAAGCCATTCATGCTCCGTCGGGTCAAGAAGCATGTCCAGAAAGAGCTTGGGGACAAGGAAGAAAAGGACGTCTTCTGCGATTTGACGTATCGACAACGTGCTTTCTACACCAATCTGAGAAACAAGATCAGCATCATGGACCTGATTGAGAAAGCTGCGGTTGGCGATGATCAAGACACTGCTACCCTCATGAATTTGGTAATGCAGTTTCGGAAAGTCTGCAATCATCCGGATCTTTTCGAAAGAGCCGACACTTCATCGCCACTTTCACTCGTTCACTATGCCGAGACTGCTTCATTCCTACGAGAAGGCAACAACGTCAACGTAGCTTACTCATCTAGAAACATCATCGAGTACGACTTGCCCAGGCTTTTGTGCAGTCCAGCAGCTCGACTTGATGTAGCTGGACCATCAAATGCTATCGCGGGGTCTAAAGGTCGCTGTCTTTCTGAGCTAATGAACATATGGACACCAGAGAATATCCAAAACAATACGTCCTCAGCAAAGGCCTTCTCTTGGCTGCGATTCGCAAACACTTCTGTTGGTGAAACCTACAAGGCCTCACGTCGAGGAGTGCTTGAGCGAGCTGTAGAGCTTGTTACGAAAACCCCCACTCATCGCAGGCCCCAAGTCTTAGACGAAGACTCAAAGACCGTTGTACCCTCACATGCTCTGTTCAACATACTCGAGCGCAATGACCGACGTCCCCTGGCCGATATTGCTACGGAAGGTCGCATGAAATCATTGCTCAATGTATCTCGGAATGTCTTTCAGGAAAGCGGCCTGAGTGTCACCGAACAATGTGCCAGGCCAGCTGCTTCTTCCCCCCAATACAAATTTCTTGCTCGAACCAAGACACTCTTATAGAGAAGGAGAACACAATCTTCAACGTCCACGTCCGCAAAGCCCTTTATGGGACCTCTGAGAAAACAGAAGCCGCTCTTCTAGAGGCGAAATTAAATCCTAACAGTCTTTCCGTACGCGACATGTTGCCAGAGCCTGTCTCTCAAAAGGCTAGGTATACCAATATTCAAGTACCCTCCATGAGTCGCTTCGTAACGGACTCGGGCAAATTAGCTAAGCTTGATCAGCTTCTTCGCGAGCTAAAGGAAGGTGGTCATCGTGTGCTGCTCTACTTTCAAATGACGAGAATGATTGATCTGATGGAAGAATACCTGACATTCAGAAACTACAAATACCTTCGTCTCGATGGTTCTACCAAATTGGAAGATCGCCGAGACACAGTCGCAGACTTTCAGACCAAGCCTGAGATGTTCATCTTCTTACTCTCAACACGTGCCGGTGGTCTTGGTATCAATCTTACAGCAGCAGATACCGTCATTTTCTACGACTCCGATTGGAACCCAACAATTGACTCCCAAGCTATGGACCGCGCCCATCGTCTTGGTCAAACGAAGCAAGTCACAGTCTATCGCATGATTACTCGTGGCACCATCGAAGAGCGCATCCGCAAGCGTGCTCTTCAAAAAGAAGAAGTGCAACGTGTGGTCATCTCAGGAGGTAGCGGTGCAGGTGTTGATTTCAATACCAGAAGCAAAGAGAACCGTACAAAGGATATTGCTCTATGGTTAGCAGATGATGAGCAAGCCGAGATGATTGAAAAGAAAGAAGCCGAAGTTGCTGCCAAGGGTGACGAGAAGGCAAGAAAGAAGAAAGGCGGGGTGCGTAAGAAAGAGATCAGTCTTGATGACATGTATCATGAAGGTATGTCTGCTATCCACAACTTCCTCCCTTTGCCATGCTGACTTAGCTTTCCTGCAGGTGAGGGGCATTTTGATGACAACAGTAACAAGCCCTCTGGTACTGCCACACCAATTGATGCTCCCGAGCCATCAGGATCGGGCAGGAGGAAAGGCGTATCGAAGAAAGCAAAGACGATCAAGCAACGGCTTGCTGTTGCTGACGGCAGCGCTGCATGAACAATTCGAGCAGCTTACAAAATAAAAGAAAGCGCTGCTTGACAGGACGACTAATCAAAAGGAAAAGAAAACTATCGGTGTATGGCGTCAACTCTCCGAAAATGGAGAATAATTTGCTCAACATGCAAATGTTTTGATCAAGCCAGATAAGGCTTTGGTATTGTTGTACACTACCGCATGCAGGGATACACGGCATTGCTTGCGGGCAGGATAGGGAGCATATTGTAGATGGAAGGACAGCGCTTGTCTTGTAGGGAATAGAATATGATTTTGATCTTGCCAGGATTGACCTTCTTTTCGTCCTTACTTTCATCCAGTTTGAGCTTTGATCTTCAATAGGATCTCTTAGGCCTCTAATGTTTGACGCTCCTCCGCTTTACTTCCAAGGCAAAATTTCGTTATGGCTTGAGTCGAGTATTGCGGGGCTTGCGAATAGTTCCAATCCCTTGTGGGGCTTAACGAAGTAGAGACGTTGAAAAGGAGCATTCCCATGATTCAAATTACAATCATTGTGAAGAGACTGCAGTGCCGAAGTAATTCCCTCCGCGAGTAAATCATGATTCTCTCGGACACCCAGACAACAGTACTCGCAGGATCAAGGCCTGACCTGCTAACACGCAACATCGAGTCCTGCTGGAAATAAAGTAATCACAAGGCTACATTCGCGCTAGACGACTATTCTTAGCTTCAACTATACCAGCCTTGACCTAGCCCTCGATGTCCTGCATCTGTCAGCTCTCGACATCGGCGACAAGCATACACCAGCAAGAGAAACATCCCACACATGCCGGTCCAATGCTACGCATACACGCTTTTCAAGGCGTCCAAGTCTACGCCCTACGCCAGCATTACTGCTCAGGCTACCCTCTAGCCATGTTTCAACATTCACCAGCTGAATAATCTCCAGAATCCTTCGAGCTCCTGATCGCCGCCGTCCATTGGCTAGTTCTAGCATAGCCCTATATCCTCCTGTCAAGATGCTGTCAGCACTTACGCTCCTGAGGCAAATTCATCGAGACCCCCTTCTGCTGCCCTATAGGCTTCTAAATCCCGATGACTGCATATGCGGTGACTGCATGTGGATTATGCTTCCTCCGCATTGGCTCACTGGAAGATGTGTGCGTGCGGCGGGGACTTATACAAGTGGTGTGGATACGTGAATGATCGATGAGCGTGTGAGTGGGCTGGCTGAGCTCGTCGCTAGGATACTGAGGCAAAGGAGTGGGCAGTAAGATCTTCGTGTGACCTATAATATGGCTGTCAAGATGCTCTCTGGCCAAGGTGCTTTTGCCAGCTTCGACGTTCCTGCGTGTTCTTGCAATATCGCATCCTTTCTCAACAGCTCGTGTGTCTTTTAAGAAGAAGCCGATGGCGTACAATGTTGCCAGCCTCATTGGCACTGCTATCGCGTTGCCCTTGCTTGGAGTCATTGCCGTTATCCTGCGTTTCTACGTCCGCTTGCGATTGAGGCCTACTTTCATTGGTATCGATGACTGGCTGATTGTGCTGGCTGTGGTGTTGGTTGTCGGACAGTGTGCTAATCAGGTCGTGGGTATGTACTCCTTCTACAGAGCAGTCATTTCCACTCTACGGACTACATATCAGAGCTGGGAGTTGACTCGCTTGAGTAGCTGCGGTCATTGGTATGCTTGGGCGGGATAATGAGCCGGTTGTGGACTGGCGTGTTGCGCATGAATCGAAAGTGAGCATATCAGCATGATCCTTATCACGGCAAGGTCGATGAATTACTGACTCTCTTCACTAGATCGACTATGCGACCCTCGTGATAGAGAAAGTGACATACAGTGCTATGAAGCTGAGCGTACTCTTCTTCTACCGCCGCATTTTCTACCAGCAGAGAGGCTTCCGCATAGCCAATTACATCCTGATAGTGCTCATTAGCTTATGGGGCATCGCCTTCCTTTTTGCCGAAATCTTCCTCTGCGGTGCCAACTCCCATGTAAGTAGAACTCCGGGACATTGCTTACCGCCATGGTATAGCTGATCCGACTTCTAGCATGGGCATCCTTGCGCTCCACAAGAATGGACGTCTCTATGGTTTGCCATCACAGAGGTTATTGGCGACATCGCTATACTATCCCTTCCTTACCCTTGCATCCGGAAGCTTCAGATGAGCGGACGAGACAAAATTGGCCTTTCGGCCATATTCTTCCTTGGAGCCTTGTATGTCCCTTCTGCGGTCCGGTTGAGCTTGTATTAAACCAATCTCAGGTCAACAGTTTTTGGCATAATACGTCTCGGTTTTGTCTCAAAGACCTTCACTAGTAAGCTATCTTGCCCAATGGCTCGGTCTTAGTCCTTTTGCATAGCTGCTATCCTCTCGCTCTCACAAAATCTCGTCCCAGTGTAAGCTGACTTCATTCATCTCAGTCTACTTTCACCCCTCCTCCTCCAATACATCCCCAAACCGTACTCCACCTTCCTTCTGGACCACAGTCGAAGTCTCCATCGGCGTCTTCGCCGCCTGCCTCCCTCCCCTCGGTCCCCTAATCCGCAGCACCCCGGGCCCTAAGAAGCTCTACAACTCCCTCCGCTCCTCTCTCCACTCCAATATCTTTAGCTCCATCAGAGGAAGAAAAGGCAGTGGATCTGCCTCCTCTTCCGCGTCGAAATCCAGACTGAAGAGCTCCGAGCACGATCTTGAGAAGGGCCGCTCGAGTAGTCAGGCGAGTGCGAGGATTAAGGAGCTAGAGATGCAGCTGAAGGAGGCGAAGGCGAGAGAGAGGGAGCTGGAGATGAATTTGAGGTCGAAGGGAAGAACCAGGGAGGAGGACGTCATACAGGAGGAAGGATTGGTTGATGAAAAAGCTAGGTCTGAGAAGACCATGGATGAGGTGGGTGTTGAAACTGCTGCCAAAAGTGACGGAGAGTTCAATCCGAGGCCGATGGACTTGCTGGGAGCACCAGCGATTGAGAGAGGGAGCGTAGGGTTCCCTTACGATCGGTTCCTGTAATTCAATGAGGCAGCGACTTGAGTCTTTGGTATTTGAAAACATCTCCTACAGCGTTTTCGTTAGCGCTATGATACCCAAGGCATGATGATAATGATATCCTTTGAAGATTGTGCTTTCCACCTTTGGGTCCCAGCCTTTGCTCAATTCCGGGCATTCTCCGCTGAGTAGAGAATCGTTAGCAGATCGTTGGTGTAAGCTCGGCGGAAAATTATTGATTGGCAGGTCAGAATCATAATTGATCAGCCTGATGGCAGACCGCTTCCTAGATAGAAGACGACCTTGCTGCAGTCGGACTGCACAACATGATACGGCTCCTGTGTCCGGATGTGCAGACGAAGAGATGAACCGTTGGAAAGGTGAATGAATATTAATAAAGCCTACGCTAGGCTAAATGCTATGACCATAAAGCAGATTCAGTTTCGCTCATCATAAAATCCTCTCTAACGTTAGCCCATAGCCATGTAAGCATATCGGGGTATCTTCCTATCCCATGTTAATCTCGATCCAAGCGCCATGCTATTGTAATTCACAGTGGTATCATGTTCCAGCTTTTAAAAGAAAGCAAATTCATAGGCCATTCCGTTCTTCGTCTTTTTTGCGGCAATTGTTGTGGTTGTGTGCTATTCTTCACATGAGAGCGCATTCGCGATCAGGTTTCTTGCTCTTCGTGATTAGATGATTTTCTTTTGCGACGCCTTTAGCTCTCTCTTTGGCCTCCTTCTTCAATTTTGTTTTGTCCCCTGCCTTGTCTGGGGTCGAGATTGGGCCTGATATTGACGTCGTCCCTGGCGTGAAAGTAGATGGTCGTGTCCTTTCCCCTTGAGCAGGCATATTGCTGAGTTTGTCCCTGCTCATTCGATTCGTCAGGCGATGGAATGAGTTGCTAAGTCTGTTTTCTCCAGATTGGCTACTTGGTCGACTCTTGCTGCTGGTTTTGGTATTCCTGGACCCTCGGCGTGAAGTTCTCAAGTTTGCTAGAGCATCGCTTAGTGCGTTCGGATCAGTGTTCACTTGCGGAGGGGAAGCTCCATGGTCTCCACTTTCGAAGCTGGGATCCGGCGCAAAATCGACTTTTTCGCCTTGGCTTGCAAGACCTGAGCGTCCTCTCTCGGCGTCGGATATTGAAGTGTCTAAACTTGACCGTTGCGCGGCACTTTCTTCACTCGTACTGAAAGCTGTAGAGTTGTCGCTGGTGTTGGGTTTCGAAACCTTGCTTGCATTTGACTCTGCATATGATGGAGGAGCTATATCTTGATTGACCTCGCCGCTAGTTGGTGACGGGGGCTCCTCGATGGGCATTACTTGGTAGAATAAAAGGTAGGGCGTAGCTTCACCTTTAAGCCAATCTTCGATCCGGACGTCCAATACACGTTTTTTAGCGAGATCATCAAATCGCATCCACTGATCTTGGCCCCGAAAGAATGGATCCGGAGTTCGTACGAGGGCAATGTAGTGACCCGACTCTGTGGAGATACCTTGATGGCATACAGCAGACTGCAGTGAAAGCTTGAAGTTTCCGAAGGCTGGGCCATTGCAAGCATCGTCAGCAGTGATAAAGTGTGGTAGTCCTATCTCGAGCGGTATATCGACATGCGTTCTTTTCTTGAACGAGACTCCATTCGGATACATGCCATATCTCTTCAGGCAGATACCTAGAATCGGCCGATCTGTTGAGAAATGTGCTGCTACCTGGGCGTCCGTTGCTGGCGGACATTCGGTATACCAAGCTGTGCTCAATCAGGAATGCAGGAATACAGCAATACAGGCACGACTTCACTTACGGATAAGTCGAAAGAACTGCCACGCAGGCATCATGACTTCTCTTCGGAGCCTTGGAGACCTTGCCTCATTCTCGCTGTTTAATAGGCCTCGCTTCTCATCAATGTAGTGTTCTTGTATTATGCTAGGTGCCCTCTGCCTTTTAATAGAGGGTCGGACAGGTGACAATATTGGTGCTGACTGTGGCATGGGTGACGCAGGCTGTGAGGTGCCTACCTCCTCGACTTCGATAAGTGAAGCGTGACCTTTAGTTGAGTCAATCGAATCCCTTGAGCGAACAGAGCTCAGAGTGTTTCTTCGCCCAATTTCTTCCAGATAGCGTCTCACTTCGATCCTGTTGTTGAAATACATCTCCAAGCAGTCCTCAAGCTTTATTTCTTGGCCATCTGGAGGCTGCTCCGGAATTGCAAGTTCTAGAAGCCGCTCCTTTACGATCTTGTGATCATCCTCTTTGTCTTCTTTACCAACGTGAAAGAGATCCATTTGGAGGGACAGTAGGGGAAGCTCAAGCGTTTCGGTGATGAAGGTGAACGCTTCGGAAGCATCATGCTGACGAAGTTCTGCTGCATCGTCCCAGCCGCAGGCTGCTAGTTGGATTTGTATTTGTTTTGTCTGGCAGAAAGTCAAGCTCTGTTCCGAGCGTGGGGTGGGAACATGCTCACAATTTCTACTGTAATGAGCTTCCCAGCTCTCAGTGAATTTATCCATAGTCTCAGCAGGATAGCCAGCTTCTGCCGAGGCTTGTCCTCCTTGAAGGTCTTGTATAACACGGCTTCAAAGTTCTCAAGTCGTGCAAACATTGCGAATAGTAGAGCGTCCAGCCAACAAGTCACGCCGTTTCGATTGACTGCTCCGAGCAGCTTCACTTCGAGCTGGTATGGATGTATAATGCCTTCTTCGGAATCTTCAAACAACATGAGTAGCTCGTAAGCCTTGTCTTTATCACCTTTGGCGTAGGAAGAAGATAAGGCATAAAATATATCCGAATCTTTCAGTGATTTGACGCCCCTTCGAGCAAGCCTTTGCTGAATCATTTTGATCTGCTATCATCAGGCTTTCGATTCATACGAGGTTTCCTTACGTCGTCAAAGCACACCTTGATGTCTTCCTCTTTCTCCGGCTTTCGAGGCTTGCTGTCGTCAATAAAGACGCCATTGAGACTGAGAGGCTCATTGTGCGGCTGTAGCAAGTAGTTCTTCGTGTTAGCACTGGAGCATTCAATCATGCCATCGCAGACTTTGAGACAAGGCGATCTTTTCGAATTCACCAGACGCGAATAGGGTAGAAAGGGAGCATGCATGTCACGGCTAGTCGAACGTGCCTGCACTGAGGAGTTCGCGGCCATTGAAGCGCAGGGCAAAGAGAAAGGGCTCGCCGGGATCGAGGGTGTCTACCTCAGGTTTCTCTTTCCGACTGAGCAGCCGATGAAAGGTACTCATGCCGCTGTGAGGTGGTAATCAGAGGTCTAGTCTCATGTGTATCTGCATCGAGAAAGCAGTTCAAGGCCGTTTGAGCGGACGGGGCTGGCTGTCAAAGGCTATTTCCTTCTAGCATAGTCCTACTCATGCCAGTCGATACAATCGAGTCAACTGCACGCCCAAAGTATATACCTTGTGGTTACAAGTCTGCCACAAGTGAGGGTGAGATGATCAAGTCCAGCAATATCCGACAATATTGACTAAACCTAGCCTCCTGGCTCGTGCTCTGCATGACTCGCCTGATTCGGGGAACAGCGCCGCTAAAGCTGGCCCCGGGGATATCACCTTCCAATTGACTTCTCGGTACCGCCGGCGGGTCCCTGCCTTCAAATCTTCTTAGGGCAGCGGCAGTCGACTTGTATGGGTGCTTGGGGTGGTTGAATAGATTCAACCCTGGGTGCTTCGGGCTCTGGAGCCAAAGCAGAAGACAGGATCGCAGAACAGAATTATATAATGTGAACCACCTCATAGCAATGCATCATTTATTGCTGAATGTCCTAGAATAGATGCTCTAGTACCTAAAGAATGCTTCCCAAAGGATGCTTCCTCCCATCTTTCAAACACTTTTGTTTAGGGTCTTCCCATCCTCTTTCCGTCTTTGAACAGCCTGTTTGTGGCAAAGGTAATGTACAAGAATTGAAAGGGTATAAATGCTTGTGACCGCCGTCAACTCACATCTTCTCTATGTCATGAGGAACATCCAACCTCCAGTGCACCATCCTAAATTCTGATTGTGTCTTCAACCGTCGAGGTAAGCAGCCAAAGCCATCGACCCTCCACAGTTCTGGGTGCTGTTTCCATGGCAGGCCATGTTGCAATGAGAAGAGTTGACCTTATAGCCTCCATTCACGAAACCAGATCCACAGTGGCATTCCTGGCCATATTCCACGCCTGCGTGTGGAAGACCGTGCCCGGAGCAGAAGCGAATGCAGTCATCTGCAGTCATACCGTCTACGTCCAGGTATGAAGGGCCGTCAAGCGTACGACCAGATGTTCCCTCGTGCCAGCAGCCGTCGAAAACATAGGTCAGTCCTGGAAAGAAGCCTATGATTTTTGGATCGTCATCCACAGGGAGAACAGCTCGAGCAACGATGGCTTTAGCAAGGACCGCTTGCGAGCCAACGCCTTTCGTGGAGACGGCGTGGTCCTCACGTTCGCTCGATTGAGACATCCCGTTGAGTTGCTCGCCTTCTGAAGCCCATCCGTTGATAAAGCTTCCGTAAAAGCCGAAGCCTAGAGGTGGTGTCAACGATCAGGGATCAACCTCACCGTGGATCAATGAGTGACTTACCAGTATCATCACCATGTGCGAACATGAAGTGACCGCCGTCTTTCACGATAGTGTTCAGAGTGTAGCTCATTTCGAGAGTGATTTGCATGAGTTGAACTGGATAACTTGAGGGACATGCGTTGCCAGATTTGTATGCGACGTGGGAATTATCTGCTTTGAAAACATCCTTGCCGTTCCAGCAAGACTGAAATTTCGCCTGGATGCGAAGAGTGTTGGTACAGTCAGTGAAATTCAGAGATCCAGAAGCCAAATTGCTGTTGAGACAGGTGAAGGTGATATCTTCAACGGAGTTGTCCTCGTGATGACATGTCTTTATGCTGCTAGAGCGAGCGAATGGGTTGCCAGTCACCATACGAAAGCCAGGAGGGAATGGTTTGACGTTTTGTACATCTTTCCCATACGAGACTTTGAAGCCGTCACTGGCAACGTTCTCGATGGCTCCATTAACGTGCTTGTATAAAAGATGAGGTGTCACGTAAAGAGATTTGTCGGCTTCTTCATCGCAGGTAGTTGACACTGATGCTTGAAGATCACCATAGGTAGGATGAACGCCAAACTGCGTGGCTCCAGCGATTGCTTGAAGGTGATTAGGAACTTTACCAGAACCCACGGTGATATCAACGCGGCCAGAGTCAGTGATACCGCAGCTGACAGAGTCAAGAGCACTGATAATCGTGGCAAGGACCACCGTTACCAGAGCGGTGGGTGTATGCATTGTTGGATCGAGGAAAATTGAGTCAATAGGCTTGAGCAACAGAAGGGTAGTGTACAAGAGCGAGTGAGGGGTGAGTCACAAAGAAGAAGGATGCTCTTTCAGAATGTAACAAAGGTGGATGACGATTTCAAAGTGTAGAAGTTGGGGGAGTTGTTTATTCGGAAATGCAGAAGCCGGGAAAGAGGTAGGGATCGAGATGAACAGAAATCAAGGAAAAATAAATGAGAAGTCTAAAGAGTACATATCACACTCACCAAGGTTGAGGCAAATTGCGGAGAGGGGGCAAACCCTGGTCGCTGGTATTGTGTCGGTGGAGTGTGACGAAGTTCTAGACCCGTCGACCCGTAATAACACCAAGATATGAGCTGACCATGTTTTTCCCCGCGTCCTTTACATGCGTGACGGGCCCACATGGCACTGTGAATGGCAACAATGGCGGGGTCGAGCCCATTTGAATACCAAGAAAGCGGTCAACACGGTCCTTCTGTGCATTGACGCCTCTTTGCGAACGGTGACGGACATTCACGGGGTAGCAGGGATACCTGGTGTTCGCCTTCGAATCCATTGATCTGGACCTCGAAGGCTAAAATATGATCTGTAGACGGACACTTGCATGAAGGCCATTGTCCAATGACGAGGCTTGCCGGCATTGCAGCTGCACCGTGCATGCCGAATTTGCAGGCCCGAGGGCCGCACAACTTGCATATGCAAGATCTGAAACAACTGTAGTTGAGCACGTACCTAGTGAGCTGCAGTCTGGCTGTCTTATGACTTGTCAGAAGATTGTTTGTGCATGGTACCGTGGCTTTTGCGCGCAGAATACTGAACCGACCAAAGACCACAGAGGTGCACCAGAAACACAGACTTTCCATTCCAGAGGTCCGAATCCAGGCGTAGCCTTCATGTCTTAGAAAGTGCCTTGGAGCATAGCGAATATGCTCGGGCATTCTCCAGACAGCATCTGTTATTTGTCTGGTACGATCGCATGAACGACCACCTTCTCCAACAGCAGCGTTGTAGCCGGGAATCCGGATACTTGGAAGTTGGGCACCTCACGCCCACTGAAGGGGGGCTTCTTCAAAACGGAAGAGACAGAAAGGGTAAAGGCCAACTGTGGTTTTAATTGAGCTGCCGAAATATAGTTGCCGCCCTTCGAAAATGACCTGTTCTTCTTTGAGCATCCTCTACACCCTCAGGCTTCTCGGACATGAGCTAAAGAATCCGGAAGGTGAAAGAATGCGAAGTCCTCCTTCCACTCCATTTTCTCCAAAACAGCAATCCAACCTCGTGCCTGATGTAGTAAATAGGTCATCATCCAACTCATGAGTGGTTAAGCCCGAATTTTCGCCATTTTTCTTTCCAGTCGTATTGCCCAGTTGCGATTAAACGCACTGATGGCTTGGTAAAGCTCCTCGGGAGCATATCTTGGACTGGTTGGGTAAAGTTGAATTTTCCTTTGGCACATCTAAGTGGTGGCAGGATCCTTGTGGCTTGGGTTTCGGTCTTCACCAGCAAGTAGAACTGTAATCACTGCCGCGGCCGACGACATACTCACGGCGAGAGTGATAGGATGGCTCGCAATTCTCTTGAATCGCAAGACTAGCAGAGATGAGAAGAGGCGTTTAGATACACTTACAGGGCCAATGTAGGAAAGTCATGCTCTCGCTTTCGGATGTCTTGTATGTCGTAGAGCCGCCTAGCATAAGTGAGGCCTCCTTTTTGCAACGCAGCAGAATCTTGGCCCGTCTGAGGTTCTAGTGGTCGATCTTCTTGAATCGAAGAGGCTTGAAGGGCTGCGTCGAATGATGTGTAGAATATTCAGTTTCTCGGCTGTCAAACTGGGGCTTGAGCTCGGTAGATCAATCACAGTCAGAACGAAGCCCACTTCAATGGTTTTTTTTACAAGAATATATTGAGAAGTTAGAGAAAAGAAGATGATGGAACGACTAAAAGATCGGCTCATGAAACACCACGCGTTTCGACAATGCCTGGCTAAGGCTATTGAGCCTGAATCGCAAGGTGGCGTACGTTCTTCAACAGGAAAGGATCCCTACTATCTTGATCTCACCCTGCAAGATAGAGAGGCGTCCAAGTGTAGCAAGGGTTCCTCCACGGTCTCAATTCTAATGACAATTAGCTGACATTGTAGAAGTGATTGTGAACAGACCGGCAATTGAATGGAATTGGGGTTTCATGTTACGTACACTGCATATTCGAAACCCGACCAAAGATGCCTAGCTCGCTCAAGCAAATGCAAAGGAATAGAAGCGGCGCTTGCCGTCAACGAGAATCTCTTAGTGTGGACTGCTCTTCATTATATAGGAAATGATGACAAATGGCTTCGACGAAGAACCGTCAAGTACTCATACAGAGGATACTAAAGCAGCCTTACCATAGTCGTACAGCAGAAAATTCAGCACCTCCCGACGAATTCAAGGTAGACGAGGAAAAGATGACTTGTGTTAGGGAGTATTCTCTCAGGCACAATCACACCTGTATTTGGGAATAGCAAAAAGGTATAAGAATGACGAAAGGGTATATGCTTTAGCAGAATAGCAATGCCGGATCGAGGCACTTTTACCATTGAAGACGAGCCTGATTAAAGCAATGTTTGAGTTCATTGGATCTTCCACCACTATATACTGTTTCCTGCTTGTAGATCGACTGCACCATGTCGTAAGAGAAGTTGTGAAGATAGGGCAGGGCCTCGGGCCTTCGATGACGATTCAGCAACAGATTTGCCAAGCCAGCGCTAAGCCTCGCTTACACTAGCGTGCCGCCCCACAAGCCATGGCTCGAACGTCAATTGCTGGTCATTCCCTTCCACCAGGAACTCCCATCATCACCAATATGTAAGTACATGATACCCGTCTCTTTCTAGAAAACTTTGTGGCTCTCTGGCACGGTTCCACAGTTGTGAGTTATCTGAAGCCCATCGTAAGCTTACAAATCTTCTCTGCAGCTCGAAAACCTCTATTGGACGATGAGAGCCAAGTGGAGGAAGAAGCGCGTTCGCCGTCTCAAGAGAAAGAGAAGAAAGACGAGAGCCCGCAGGTACGTAGCACTTCCCCACATAGTTCATCTCCTTGTGTTACCTCAGTGTTCGCGGTTGTGAAACTTCCGAGCTCTCGCTAATTGTCTCTCTTACAGCAAGTAAACATACCGCACCTACTTGAACCACGCTTTCCTTCCTCCGACCATACCAATTAAAGAATACAAATTATGTCCCCATTGCAAAGTACGAGGCAGTGTTCGAAACATCAAGGAAGTCAATCGTCTATTTATCATGACTAGGGGAGTCGGAAAGAGGAAAGCAGGTGAAAGAATTTCGAGCAGGTTATGGATCGTTCTTGCACACAAGAGCTGGTGAAGCATGGCTAAAACCGACGAGACGTCTTTGCCCATTCATCAGTCTCAATCAGCGAAATAGTGTCGATAAGAAGAAAACGCACAACGGCATGCGGACAGCTCCGCTTAGCAACGATGATTTTCTCACTCTTTGACTTGGTTGTCTCCCACAAATTTTCATTCAAATAAGATCATGGAGCCGCTTTGCCGCCAACACCGCGCTTTTTCCCGTTATATACATTGGCCCGCCTAATATCAAATCGTAGCGACCGAGTAGCCTTTAGAATCGGATCTCATAACTTCCCGCCCTTGTCATATACCTTACCCATTTCACACTCCCATAATTGTTCTTTTCAAATACCTTCAAATACCTCACCAACAACCCGCTACTTGTGAACATCAACAAACTAAACCCCAAACTCAATGGAGGCCGGCTCCATGCCTTCTGCGTCGTCATAGCACTCAGCTGGGCCTCTGCACTAAGCACAAACTCCTGCTGACCGCTGAACCGTGGGATCTTCCACACGATATTGTTGTGCTCTGGCTCATACTTCGCTTTCCCTTGACTAACACGCTCCGTCGTCTTTGCAGTGTTCAGCGGTGTAGGTACCCTCACGACAACATTTGTAGCAAACAGCTTGCTCCCGTAATTCGACTTGATGGCGATACTGTACTCAACCTTGCTCTTTCCCACTTCATTCACGATGGCGTGTACCCTGAACGGCAAATTCACGTTCTCAGTTGCACGATATCTCATCAGCTCAAATTCGCCATCTGGCGGTACGAAGCTTATGATCCTCTCGCTCTCAAACCTCCCTAATTGTACGCATTGATGAAATTGGCAGTCTTCCAGCGCCACACTTCCAGCAGCCGCTTTCGTCGCTTTCGTCCCACCAACATTCCCAGAAGGTGCACCAAGCGACTGCGGGTCTAGCAGCAGTCGATCATTGAGCCCAAATTTGCAGTCAGGCATACCGCTCAGGTATGCGCGCATGATAATGTTGCCATTCACGTCAGCACGGAGAACAGTACCAGTCGCGGACATGAGGAGATTCACATCCTCGATCACGTCGACGAAGGCTTCGTTTTTACGGTAGCGTATGTCTGGTTTCCGCCAGGAGAGAGCGCCGGTGGCTTGCATTGTAATTTTTGTGGAGTCTTCGGTATTGCGGTCGGATTTCACACCTTCGGTTGTTATGTACATCTTCAGGGTATCGGTTTCGGTATTTTGGGGGTAGCCGAAATCGAGAATCTCTATATGTATAGATTAGTGTCGGTGCATTTACATCCTCAAAAGCTATCCAAAGACTTGTCACACCGCACGATGATGTAGCATTCGAGACTCGAAAGCTGCAACGTACCATCCAACAGCTCATACACAAGCACAAAGTTGCATTTCACGGCCTCTTCATCGAATTTCCCAAAGTAGCTCCTCCCCAAGCTCACCAGCTTCCCCAAAACTTCAAATATGAGGGCAGCATTGGCATTGCTTTTGGTGACTGCCACCAGATATATGTTCTCATGCTTCACATGCGAGAAAGTCGTTGAGCCAAGCGTAAGAATGGGCGAGCGTACTGCAGGGTTAGATATGACTTGAATTCGAAAAACATCCGCAAGTCTCGGACGACAATCTTGCCGATACGAGCGAAATATGAGGTTCTCGCCTTTCTGATTGAATATAAGAAGACCAGATATCATGATGAATGTAAAGATCCAAATGTATAACAATTCTCCCCCCACCCTCCGTACATGGGACTTCTCAATATCGAGTCTTGGCAATTTCCCACTCGAACGGGATGCATTCATGCGGGCCGAAGGGCCAAGGCCGCCTCATTAGCACGAACTTACAACAGGTACAGGGCACATCTTCCAGGGGTTTTAGGAGACTTTAACGATATGAGCTATTTTTTAAGCACGAACATTAGGTATTATAGGATTTAGTATTCTACGATCATCACCTGAATCTTAATCAAATCTGCGAAAACGTACTCCTGTCCTTAGCTGAAGCGCCCTATGCTACTTGTATTGACCTAGGATGCACTCATGGCATTCTTTGACATTCCTCAACCCTTCCCTCAACCTCAAACTCGGTCCTGATAGAAGATACCTGACTGGAATGTCTCACGACTGTTGACCCACAAAATATTTCGGTGAACTTGAGCAACAGGTAGATGGGATCGTCGTGATGTTGTGGTCCTTTAATCAGCCACCAGAGGACACTCCTCTCAATCGTAGTCCGTGCATTTTGCTAGTAGCCTAATGCTATTGATAGTGAGCATTTGATAGCATTTTCCCTCTTGCACTGGACGCTGCCAATCATCAAGAACACAGACCTCCATCTACTGGATTTCTCCCGTCCGCATGTAAATTCGCTGTTTCACGGCCTTCTCGTGCATCATGAGTTGTTGCACCAAGTGAAGCCCAGATCCCGCAAGCTTGCTCATTGCATTTGTTCCGAGACATTTAGTTGACATAAAGTTGCATATGTCGATAGGCACTAATCGTTCTGCGCGGACGTTCCCACGAATGCTCAACCAAGGCGAATTCGAACAGACCATAGCAGCTTCCCATAAGAAGTCATATGAATCCCGTGGAGACTTTTTCTAGCCCTCCATTGGACTACGTAGCTCACTCAGGAACCTTCCAATTGTTAACACCCCACCACCACCGTCTGACTTTCGCTCCCATGCCCTGCCCTTGCAATTTCACTCCACGATTCCAATATCGCCAGCCTTGCAACGCAAGAGACCATAGGGTACCCTGTAGGAGCGGAAAGAGAATGTGATCCCGCACCGTAATCCAGGCTATTGCAGATCTCGATTCAGCATTCTTTATGCTTGCGAGGTAAGTTTGCTCTAGGCGTAAGTCTGGCAATGGCGGGAAATTGGTACGCCTTGGAACAGGGCGCAATGAAGGTAGAGGTATTGTTGATTGCGAGAAGGAAGATGATCGGCTTGTAGCTGGGGAGACGGGCTCTTTCTTGGAGGCAGCGGTTGAAGGGTTGATATCGTGGGAGGGAGAGGGGTCGCGTTCAATGTGCGCGGTCTGTATAGTAGTCGCTATATCAGCAGCTATGTTTGCCATCTGTTCCCTGGGAAATCTTGGTTATTCATAAGAGCGGAAACATGTAGTCTCTTCCACAGACGTTGATTTGATGCCAAGTCTGTATTACGTAATTAAAGATCGTCGATCTTAAGCTTCTGAACTCTATGTTTTCGCAATAGATGGGACATCAATGACATTCATCAGGTCATGACTACATACAGAAGTAAGTGAATGCGCTGGCTCTGGGTTTAGATCCTTAGGATGCGTGCAAGGGTCTCCTCCTTTAGTCGCCATCTACTTTTCTTGGAGAATACTTCTAAGCTTCTGCCAGGAAGCAATTCAAGACATGCATTGTGACGCGGCAGCCATTCTCAGCATCTTAGGAAACAAAAAGGCTCACTTGGCCTTTGAGTCAGAAGAAAACGTGCTTGGCTTGGAGGGTTTTCTTTGCTCATATTGTGTCATATGATGAGAAGCGATTTCATTCGTTCCCATCGCAGGTCTTCTCTAACGTTTATTTGATTAAATTTTATGATGAATAATGCTCCTGAAAGCTCTCTTCTGACATGCGCTATCACCTTCAAGATTGTCATACGTATGTTCTTCTACGTTTGCAAAGGAAAGAACCTGGCCTAGAATATGCAAGCCACAACGGAAGATATCCAACCACCGACCGCCACCGGTTATGACTCTGCAGGAACCAGTGAGGTCCGCTCTCCGTCATCGGAGGACATTTCTATCCTGTTCCGGCCTCATTAGCCTTATGCGAGGGGAGAGGCGCACCAAGCACCACGTTTCTAGTGTCGTCCTCAAGGTGCTCGACGTAAAGTTATATGTCAAATTGGGCTGACGCCGATCACGATTGACAGCTGTGGCTGGCTGAAAGTTTCCCCTTTCAGCAAGATGTATCTATATCGAGTAATCAGTAAACGATGGTGGAACTTTCACAAAGGCTGAGACCTTCCCTGTGCGACGACAGCGCTGGTTGAAGCTGCTACTTAAACATCACCATTCACCTTTCTCTCCTCTGTATTCCATTTCCCAACAGCAAAATCGTGGCTCTAGATTTAAATTGTGTGGTCCGTTATGCATTCTACAAACCTCTTCGCGGCCGTGCTCGTGGGAATTCTGTACATCCAGACCGCGGTATCCCACCATATCAATTGCACCTCAGCGCAGCGCATTTCCATCGCCAAGCAGATACCAGCGGCGTACAATCTTCCAACGCCCGCGGAAAGCGCAGCAGCTTTCGAAAAGGTCCCCTTCGCAGCAAACTCTTCCGTTGTGATGTATGAGCAATCCTTGACGGCCCTTTTCAAGCGTCTCTATTGACACAAATCTACAGAGTCACCCCAGAGCTCCCTGCAACAACGGTAGCCACGAATCGGACAGCAACCCTTGCGTTCGCAGATGCAACGCGTCTAGCGTTCGAGCACGTCAGTGGCACGTACAAGGATTTTGCCAATGGCACGACTGTTATCTTTGCCGACGTGGTGAGTACAATTGTCAAGTTTGTGCCTGTAGCATCCGACAAGTAATTTGGGCTGACTGGCATTTCACTCTTTAATTGCCGCAGCTGCTTGTCTCCAATTCTTCTGTGCCCGCATCTTTCTCCGCCGATGTGATCTTAATCTTCAATCTCAAGACGTGCGAGATAAATCAATTACGTGCTGTTGGTGATATCCCGGCTGCGCTTTTGGGAAGACGTCGGGGATGATTGATGCTATGGAACGCATCGGACTGTGATTGAGAGGAATTAGCTCGATGTGTGAAATCATGACTTGTATTTTCATCGCCTGCATTCCAGCTGGCCAGCTTAGTCCAAACAGAAAAGTTGAAAGAAAAACCCTTGCCAAACGAGATGCATCAATATTCATGTGCCTTCTTTTCTATACATGACTTCTTTGTACAATTTGCATCGCTGAAGACAAAGACAATGAATAGCGACGCAAAGGCAAGAAAAGGTCGTCTTTCGAGTCACCTGTAGAATACGGTCACTTCTAGTTTCTTTGCTTTGAAAACATCTGCCCAGGCCCGTGAATTGAACATGTCGGCTGCCGAATGCTCCACGACTCAAAACTGACAACGGAAGATTCAATCAACGAGGGAGATTTATGTCGCATTCTTGTACTGGAAAAGACAACATCTCACTAAAGGACTTGGAGTTCTTGGACAACAATTCACGTTCACGAGTGAAGGTGCAAAATGCAGATGTCTTCTTGAAAAGAAAGAAGGGGGGTGACATCTAAGCCGCCCACAGGTGAAAGTCGCAATTCATTTTTCCCACATGCGTCTATGACTGCAGGCCCGTGGACATGATGTGAACGGCATATTATGCACAGGCAATGGTGTGAGTGATCGAGCAGTGCACTTGACTCCACACTCGGTCCGGAGCCGGAACATCATTTCGACGATCTCTTCAAACCTGACGAGTCTTAATTCAAGAATTGCATGTACACAAAAAGACATGGCTTGCTCACGCGTAAAATCTTCAATTAAATTCTGGGAGCGTTCTTTTTTACGATCTCCACAATACACCTTCCAGAAGCGACAAGCATCCGGCCTCACTAGCATCAATGAGATTTCTGAAGACGTACTCGCAGAATCTGCCCTCTATGCCCCAGCACCCTCAGACGAGGACATCAAGTCTTTCGATCCAATCGCAAGAGCGAAGCGGCGGAAAAGGCAACTCCCTCATAGCCGGTACGTCCCAAATTCACTCGAGTCATGCACTGGAGGACAGCTACTAACCCGTTGATTGAATAGATACCACTATAAAGCACCTCGCTACTACCGCGGTCCCCTCCATCCACATCAGCCACCACCTCCTTCAGACCCTCATTCCCGCGAGTTCGTCCCAGGCCCCTTCTCCATCTCCCGCCTCGAAGAAACCTACCACAGCACCCTTGCCCCCGATCTCCTATCCCTCCTCTACACGCACCACCCACCAGGCACGCTTCCAGGACCCGTAGGCCAGCGCCTGCGAAGCTGGGATGGCTCTTCTCCCTACCACAAGAACCGCCCTTTACGCCCCCCAAGAGGTGGACCCTCCCTTCGTCTCCTCCAGCGCAACATCACGTTCCGCAACATACCACGGCTGGAAAAGATTCACGTTCACGCTTTTCTGCCCGCTTCGGGGAAGCACCCTAATGATGTCCCTGTAGGATCTATGGTCGTGCAAGCAATCACCGGGGTCAGGGCGACAATTTTCAATGCGAGGCAAACCATTCACAATTTTGGGTTGACGAAAGGGGAGCCAACGGCTGTGGGTGTTGAGTTGAGAGGAGAGCAGATGTACGATTTTTTGGCTAAGGTGGTAGATGTAGTGTTGCCGAAAATCAAGGATTATGAGGGTGTGGCAGGGAGGAGTGGGGACAGCAGTGGAAATATCAATTGGAGGCTTGAGAGTGATATTGTAGGATTGTTCCCGGAGATTGAGATCAATTATGATGCGTGAGTACTTTTCCTTGGTACAATGTTTGGGGAGAGGAGAATTAGCTAACACGTTTGAACTGCAGATATCCACCGAAAGCAATACCCAAAATCGATATTATTTGCAATACAACGGCTACGACAGATAGAGATGCAAGATTATTACTGGCATCAATGGGCGTGCCATTCCATGGAAAACATGTTAATTAAATGTATATCTTTGGGTTCATAAATATTCAGGGAAGCAATGGATCATCTAGGAGATCAGGTCTTGAAATTTTGATTTTTACATTTTGATCACTTCTAGATCGAGCTCCAGGCATCAATCCATTGCTCCTTTGCCAAACAGGTCTATTCGTGACGTTATAATACAGCTATGGATATATGACATGGTTGGGAGCGCTTTGCTGAGGTGCCTCACTTGTAGCCTGCCTATCGCCCGGTGCTGAGCCAGGTGGCATTGGCGCTTTGGTTGGTATTGATACTGGTGGCTGCTGCTCTAAGGCGACACCATGGGTATTGGCTACCGGAGGAGCAGGTGCAGGTGCAGTAGCCGCTTGAGCTTTTTGAATCACATCCACGTGAGGAGATGATGGCGGTAGTGGGGAAATACTTGTTTTTGATAGAGTCGGAGGTTTCGGGGGGAATGCTCATAGGCGTGGTCCTGGTGGCCCCGTAATTCGGGTCGTTTGCACTATTTATTGGTATTTTGATTGAGGAAGGCGTATCGGTTGGCAGCTTGTCTTGAACATCAGCCTCCTTTGCGTCTAAAGGTATAGGCGTGGTCAAGTTTGTAGAGTTCTCAGTAACAGCCAGATCTTTTGGCTTTTCGTCTTGTTGATTGTGGAGTTGTGGGGATTTGGATGCTCCCTTGCCATATCGCAGTCGAACAACAAGGCTTCCTTGTGGTCCTTGGGCATCTTCATCTACTTCTTCCTCAGATAAATCCAGATCGTCATCGTCTTCAGCATCAGCTTGCTCATCAGCCTCATCATCATCGTTCCCTCCATTCCACTCATTGCTACTCGCCGTCTCACTGCCATGATCTGATTCTTCAGAGGTACCAGAATCATCAATATTTCTTGGTCTTCCTCGTGGTTTGGTACCGTTCGTTAGAACAGGGCGGTTGAGACGCCCTCTTGCCACAGGCTCGTCATCCTCATCATCAGCTATGTCCATGCCTGAGCCTCCTTCTAAATCTTGCTCCTCGTTCTGTCCGCTCAAAAGCTTTTCTCCGTATGCTCCACCATGTCTTGATCGAACCTGCCGTCCACTTGCAGTATATGTGGGTTGACGCGACTCGGCTGGAGTGGAAACTCCGGAGGGTCGATTTGATCTTATGCGCGAGTTGTCAGAGCCCGCGCCCTCTTCGTCTGAGTAAGTATATTTTATGCGTTTCCCACGCGTACGGCCTTCGTAGAGCGAGAAGCCTGGTTCGGGGCGTACGAATTGCTGCCTTCGTTGCAAGCGATAGTCGCGTCTTCTGCGCTTCTATGAGACAGTTAGTGCCGTAATGACCGTTGGTATGAGTGTGCAGGCATACTTCTTCGCCAGCCTCAAAGCGAGGAATGGCAGCCCGTATACGATCACGTAACCGTCGCGAAGCCTGCGTAGTGTCTTCCTCCAAGCTGTTGGCGACATCTCTGAGCTCTTCTATGGTACCTGCCATGCTCCTCCATGATATTTGCTTTCGGGTGGGATTTGTCTCGCGGTATAGCCGGAAATGCGTATCATCTTGTCCTTCAATAAGCCAGTAGCGACGCTTAATCCCGTCTCTTCCCCAAGGCTGCACCGACAATGGCTGGTTAAGATCGTCATCATGCCGTGTCTGTTTGTGCGATTCCTTTATGATACCCTTTATAGCTTCCGAAGAATCAAGTGCCCAGATGATTAGGGCCTTCATAAGGATTAGCTGGAAAAAAATTTAGTGAAGGCACCAAAATCAAGCAAAGGGATACCCTCACTCTTTGCTCCGAAGACATGTTATTGAATGACCCTCCTCCTAGAAGAGGGTTTCTGCCATACCATGCGACTGGCCATTGACTTGAATGGGAATGAATCGCGTCTTCCAGTGCGCGCCCATAGTGTCCTCTCCTAAATTCGTACCCATTAGCTTTACTTTAAACGCAACGCTCTTTAATCCTTTGGGGCAGCCTTTCAATTCTACGGTGCCATAAGGGTTCTTACTCGACATCTTTCTTGCGATTCAACACCAACCCCAGAAGCGCACAAAGGAGTCTTTCTACCTGCTCGCCAGGCAATTGAGAGCTGACGCCAATCTCGATATCTTGAGGTCCATAGTGGGGCAGGGACTTTGGGAACACATCGCTGAACCTGGATCTGAACATAACGATGAACTGCAAGTGTTGGTGAGCGAGTTCCACATATTACACCAGAGCATGGAGCTCGATTTTGCAAGAATGCCATGCTTACCGCAATGTCCGGATTATCTTCAAGTGTAGGCACATGCGGTGGAGATGGTGGTCGCTTCTTCTTGAGAGGGGGCGGAACTTGTGTGGTCTTGGAGGCATTTGTGAAGTAGTGATCAAGTTTACCCTTGTTAGGAGGCGCGTTATTTGCTTCATCATCTGTCGAGACATCTGAGGTCAATTCGGAGAGCTCGGAAGAAGACATTGCGCGTGGGAATAGACGTGTATGGGTGAAGCTACGTCAGGCCCGCGAGTGATGGAAATTGAAAATTTAGAGGCCCACTACAAGAACGAATTAAAGACAAGCGCGCTTTGACGCGAACGGTGTGACTTGTAATCGTTGTGTTATATGTCTAAGGCTTCTTGAAAGATTTGAGGAGAGCAAACGCTCTATTCTTCGCATCTTGTATCCGTGTCTCCTCATCTCAAAGGTCCTGCGCTTTCCCGTGTGATTGATTTTGTGGGTGTGTCAAATCATTTCTTTGTCTCTATAACTCGAAATGCACCACGGAGGACGGTCTCTGCAACACAGAAACGGTGACCTCTAACAATTTGCGTCGCTGTCAAAGCTCTTTGAAGAGCCCGAGAAGTGAGACATCGCTCATTCATTCGTAGTGAGTCATGTAGCATCCGCATTGAAGGAAGCATAGCTTGCGCCCCCAAAATTCGATCTCTGCCACCAAACACTCCCCTGTATCCTCTGCCTCAGATTCATGATTTGGGCGATGTCTCCGCGTGTCACAGTCCCAGGACAGTTTCGTAAGTGAGCAATTGTCGAAGCATATGGAGGCCACTCGTGAGTTTCTCGTGTTTGCGTATCGGGCGGAGCGTACAGCTGCCGCGAGATCACTTCTGCACACACTCTCATCCAAGAGTAAAAAGATATAGTCAGCCGCTTCAGCAATCCTTTTGCTCCACACGATTGAAACACAAGAGTGCTTGGGGTGAGAAAACAAGCGACTTTGGCAGCATATTGGGAAATAGCGACTTAGGGTGCCGATCTCTAGATAGCACCTCCCGCGAGAAATTCACCACCACGACTCAATTGTGCTCTCTCTGGAAAATCGTTATTATGGAATTTGAGAGCAGGCAATGTTGGGTAACGAGAAAGTAACAGCAGTTGCGTGGTCAATATGGAAGAACATTGCGTGTGCCAAGCTCCATCTGGAGGACGCAAATCACGAGACTCGAAAGTTCAAATACAAAAAAAGTCTGTCAACATTCAACACCTTTTTCAAGTTATCGATCGAAGTATCGCTGTGCTAGCTTGACATCTAGCGATATCAATGATCATAGGAAACAAAGCTCAGCGAGTAGCTTGCCACCTTCCCAAGGACTACTGGTCGTCAAATCTCGTTGCTTTTCCTGTGTCGCGAAATTTATCGCGTCTTGACTGCTGCAAGTTCGAAGTCGGTAAAGAAATGAAGCTTGGACTGAGTGAAATATCCTTAGCACACCGCCTCAAAATCAATCTTAGCCCTACTCGTATTTTAAGCTTTTCTCAGCCTTCGGGGCCTCAGAAATCGTCCCAGGGTTGTCATTCGCCAGCCTTAGTATTATTGAGCACCGCAGCAGGCTAAACTCTAGCTTTATGCCCAATTCGGGGGTGTCCGCCGATCACTGAAGAAGCGAACCATTCAGATAAGTCTCATCAGGATCATGAAGGCGGGAGCAGTAAATATCATGTCTGGCCAACTAGCGTCTTTCCACGCCCACACTGCCTGAGAGTGCCATGCTCAACAGCCAATCAGTGTGCGCCAAATGAGCATGCTGACAAAGCTACCTTGTGGACGTACGCAGCTGTGCATGTCAAAGAATAGACTCTCACAATTCCTTGTGTAATCTATCGCCAGACTGAGTCCCCAGGCTGTTGAAAGAGGATTTTAGCCAACGAGTTCCCGCAGCCACTGTAGTCTTTGGTAAGTCAGCTCCCCCTTATTGACCTTCCTTGTGTTGATTGTCAAGTCAGCAAGGTCCTTCTTCTTATGTTGCAACTTGAGAACCATCTCTTCATATGAATTACGAATGATGTATCTCACGGTCATCACTTCCTTTGTCTGCCCTAATCTGTAAATTCTATCCAGTGCCTGCGATTCGCTCATTGGATTCCACTGAGGCTCCATGATATACGCTCGAGAGGCTGCAGTAAGGTCTAAACCAACGCCACCGCAGGAAATTGTGGCCAAGAGGACTTGTATATCTTTATTGCTTCGGAATACTCGAAGAACATTTGCTCTTTGAGCTGCCGACTTAGATCCATCTAATCGAACGCATCGGATAGATTTAGCTTGTAGAAGGGGCTGGATGAGGTCCAATGTCTTGGTCCAGAAAGAGAACACGACGCTGATTTGATTAGAGGGCCCTTGGAAGCGTAAGAGAACTCACCTTTTGGTTTCTTTTTGGGTTTGAAGCAAATCTTGAATGAGTCTGAGCACCTTAGTTGGTAAAAGTGGGATACTAGAAGAAAAGGCCTGCTCATGTTGCTTGAGAGAGACAGGCTGGCCTTGGTCTTTTAAGATTCGGCGGGGATCGTGATTACAAAGTCTATACAGTTCGCACTGTTGTTGGCTATTTGCATCGCGGCACGTGGAACAAAAGACTTCGAATGACTTGGTGATCCAAGGGTCTTCGTCATGCTTCTCATCACCTTCATCAACAATGGAGGCGGAGAAAGACACATCGCATTGAGGACTGAAGCATCGTGCCAGCCCTGCCCCACGCAATTGATCAAAGCGCGTTTGAGCAACAACTTGGCTCCAGGGTGCTTCGGTTGGAGGAAGATCTGGGGCTTCCAGTGAAGGTCTTTTTCCATGGTTGCATAGCAGGCGTAATTCATTCAACCAGTGGAGCGTGCTGAGAAAGACTGCTGATCCATCTCCCGGCGTGGGCGCATGTATGTGTAACCTCACTTGATCTCTCACTTTATTATAGTCCTCCCGTTCTAGCTCGCTGAAATCAAGATAGCTTGTCTGATCCTTCCGAGGAAGTAGCTGGATTATGTCTTTTGGACGTCGAAGCGAGAGACAATTGACAAGCGTTTTCAACTTAGCAATCGAGACTGGATCTGACATCGTCTTCCAGCTTTGTTCAACTTGCGCAGCGAATACCTCACGATTATCAAATGGATGACACTGAAGAAATTTGAAAAGGCTAAAGAGATCCATGAGGCGATTCTGAATGGGGGTGCCTGTCACTGCCCATCGCCGATCGGCCTTGAGATCACAAGTAGACTGCGCAAAAGACTTGGAAGGTTCCCGAATGATGTGTGCTAGAAGATTAGAAGGCTTTTGAAGAGGTGGATGGACCTTTACCTTCGTCTAAGACGACTCTGCGCCATGTAAAGTCATAGAGGTTTGCCTGATCCCTGGACTCGGACTTGCATGATTTCCAGTCTAATCTGACGACAGCATAGGTAGTAATAATCAGCTGCTTCTCCGCCAGGTTCTCAAGAAGTCTGGGTCTCTGTTTTCCGTAATACACGCAATAGGCAAGGCGATTACGCGGGCAAATATGTCTAGATCATCAGAATGCTTTCCATGTCCTCAAATGGAAAAAAGCCTACTTGCTAAGCTCATACTCCCACATATGAATCACTCCGATCATTAATTATCATATTGGATTATCAAACGACGGCAAACTCACATGTACTAGGTACTACTAGCAAAGTGCACGGTACCTTCGAGGTGGTAGGTCCATGATTAGGATCATCCAATTTATCTGATGCGATTAGTGATATGATGCTTAGCGACTTGCCTAGGCCTGGAGCGTCTATCAAGAGTCCACCTCGAAACTGGTCAGGAGGTCTGGCTTGCTCACGTCCTGTAACACGATTCTGGTAGGAGAAACGACCATGAATATCCTTGTTTTCCTGCCATAGATCTTTGTACTTTTGCTTGAAATCCCAGCCTTGTTCTCGATGCATCATGAAAGTCAAGGCTTGTTTTTGGTGTCTCCGTAACCCTGTTGATAAGACTGACGGTACCATGGCCTCCACTAGATCGTCTTGCTCTGCAAGTTCCGCAAAGAGATCATTTGGATTTACGTTGTTGATCGAGGTGTCCAGTCCCACCCCGTGTTCTAGATCGCGAGTGCGTAATATTTCGCCGTTTTTGGGTGACAAGCATTGAGGGTTACGATAGAGAACATCCAATATGCAATGCCTAGGGTCTTGCAAAAAGATGTTACATCTAGCTACGAAAGCCCCGACATTCTCAAATAATGCCGAAGATCCATAGAGGACAGCATACAAGCAGAGATTTTGAGGAGTTTTCAATCTTTCCGATCGGCCAATGGGCTTCTTGTCGAGGTGTGATGACTTGGCATCGTAGCGATAGCATCTACGCTCAGCAAAAAGCTGTACTGTGAGATCCTTGTGAAGGGCCGATAGAATCTTCTGGCTCCGCGGACACAGCAGGCCTATTGGAGATCGGGTCTGGCAATCGAGTAGAGTCTGGACGTCTTCGTCAAGGGCGACGCGTATCAGATCCTTTTGCACACCACTCGCATGAGCCATAAACTCAATGTCCTTTATCTGCGTTCTTTGTCAGGCAAAATGGAGCGCAACGCAGAGGACAGCGAGAATGTCAGGTATGCTGAAGCAGATCTGCTTGATTTGGAATGGTGCTCGCTAGTTGCGAGGGCAAGATGATACAGACATTCAATAGGGATAACAGACCATGCCAAAGCACCAAACATCGTCTGAACTTTGTGGGATCTCCATGGCTCTCTGCACGTCATTCTACTATCAGTGGCTACAACCACCCAACTATTTACGTAAAGCCCTCAGTAACAGGGCCAACGTGTTGTCGGCTCACTCTTGTCGTTCAGCATCAAAGAGGACAAGTATTGAATGTAAGGCTCTCTCACTGGACTAGGAAACAACGATTGTTCTATACATGAAAATCATGTACGCCTAGGCAACAACAGCCAGTACAGTATTGTCTCAAGCGTCGCGTCTGCACGGGATCGGACACAGCATTACAATGCTTTGTGCTCTCATGCAGCACGACTTGGGGCTATGAAATGACCAAAATCCTCCTTACGCTCAACCTTGCTAAGATCTGCCACTAGCCGAATTCAGGCTAGCGTTTTCTATCCGAGCGCCCAATTTGTAAGGTATGAAAAGTCACGGCTGAGGCGCAGGCTTGGCAGGGTATATGACAGACCTAATCCGTACCGTACAGCCTGACGCACGGTGACATTGACAGAACGGAACATGGCGCTTTCAGTGCCTACTTCGGGGCTGTGTTTATTGCGGTCGCCGGCCACCCGCCAACGAGAGATGCTCCAAACCCTGAACAAGAGTATTCAAAAGTATGGTCGCTTGCTTTACAATTCGAAATATGCCTCAATGGTGATCACTCTTGTCTGCATTTGTGCAGCCTACCATAGAGGCGAGCCGTGATGTGTCGCATGATGGTCTTTGCTGCGCTCAAGACTGTAGCTATCACGAAATGCCAACATCACTGCAATAATAGAGCCACGCATTCCCGTTGCAATGTTTGAGAGGATGGGAGGCCATCATTGTTGTCAGCCGAGAAAAATGGCACCCCGTCCCAAGACGTCTCGGCGAGTACATTGAATGTTATTAAGGGGGGCGAGTCTGGCAGCTCAAAAATGGCAACTGGAGCGTCAACTGTAGAAGAGGCGTTGGAGAAGCTCCGATGCAGCATCAGCACCACCGATGAGATCATGTTCCGCGACACTAACTTAGCAGGCTTATGGTACGTATGACGTTCTTGTCCACGAAGCAAACATTGACTTGCCTTGTTCTATGTTGCAAGAAAGCCCAACGAAGCGGCTTGTCTTTTATTGCTCATGTTGATGATGGGCAGGGAAACCATACGCAACATCGAGAAGGAGCAGCGTTTACATGAAGAGCTTCGATTCATGAGACGTATAGAGCCCTTCATAGATACATTGACTGCCTATACTACCGTAATCGACACGCTGTGCCAGGGATACTCACCTATGGCTTTTGTCTGGGTATGAACTTCCTTGGAAATGCTGGCCGTGACGAAAGCTGATCGAGATTTAGGGCCCTATCAAGTTAATTTTTATGGTATTATAGTGGATGCTCGAGCAAGACTATTGCTGACGCGCATATGCAGTTAGCCAAAAATCATTTCAAAGTCATTGACACTGTACTGCAAGCCTACAGCAAAATTGCGAGCGTTTTGCCCCGAATTGATCGGCTCAAAGCAATTTTTGATGACGATGATGACTTCAAACGGGCGACTGCACTGATATACAGCGACATTTTGGAGTTTCACGAAAGGAGCTACAAGATTTTCCGACGTAAAGCATGGCAACTTTGGTTTGCAGTCCACTGGGGACAATTCGGACGGCGTCTCCAGACAATCATTGATCGTCTGTCAATGCACTGTGATGCATTAGACAAAGAGGCAACAATTTCACATTTTGCAAAGATGAAAGCTCATGCAGATCGTTGCCAATTAGAAGACGATGCGTTTGAACGACGCAGACACAACCAGATGCTACAGGATGTCCTTATTTGGCTTGCAGAGTCAGAAGACGACCAGGAAGACCATTTACGCCGTCTTTGCGATGGAAGAATGGTCGGAACTTGCAACTGGGTACTGGAGGAAGCTCATATGCACCAATGGATTGAAGAACACTCCGGAGCTGAGTCTCTATGGATGACCGGTATCCCTGGTTCCGGGAAGAGTTACTTGTGTTCATTTCTCATAGAACATCTGCATACTCGAAAGGATCAATCTTGTTTATATTACTTCTGTGCCCACTATGCTTCGGCGGAGGCAACGTGTTCGAAGATCCTGCGCACAATCTTCATCCAGTTGCTTCGCCAAAATCCCGACGCTGCGATCTTAGTACACGAGCGATTCTTACAAAGCAACTCCGGTCGCTCAATCTCCGCCTTAGAAAAAATGCTTGTCGAGATAATATCTAGTGTGAAAACTACTTTCATCGTTGTCGATGGCCTAGACGAGTTGCGCCCGTCAATTCAGGAGGACATACTCAAGAGTCTGCGGGCCTTGACGCGCTCTCAAGCTCAATGCAAAGTGCTCATTTCAAGTCGATTAGAGCCTCAGATCAGGCGATATATGACGAAGAATCATATCCAAATAAGAGAACAAACGGTGAATGCCATCCAGATATTCATCAAAGAAGAGGTCAAATACCTTCAATTAAGACATCCTGAAATGGATCAAGCACTTGGAAGCCTGATCGAATCGCGCCTTCAAGAGAGAGCCAAAGGCATGTTTCTATGGGTACGACTGGTGAAAACGATGCTTGACGAGAAATGCTCTGCGACAGAAATGGAGCAAGCTTTAGACCAGCTTCCTGAGGGCTTAGACGAGGCTTATCATCGCATACTCGTGCGCATAGCCAAAGACCTAAGCTCCTACCTGAAGAAACGAGCGATGAAAATTCTTTTCTGGCTCTGCATCGCGCGCCGACCATTGACTGTGGACGAGATCCTAGACGGGATAGCACTAGATCTTCAACAGACGGAGCTCAGCAAGTCTACTAGATGCAATGATGTCGAGAGGGATATTGTAGGAATATGCGCGCCTCTTCTCGAGACCTACAATGGAGACAGACTAGGTCTTGTTCATTTTTCGGCCAAGGAGTACCTAATTCATCCACAAAGTGGCCCATTCGTCGACCAAGTACAAGCCCATCTCGCTGTCACCAGCTCCTGTATGATAAATTTGAATTCTTCTCTTGACCTCGTACCCGGGCTTAGCGCGCTCACAGACATTGATCGAGAGACGAGGACTGTTAAAGGAATGTACGGCCTTCATTCTTATGCTAGCGAATACTGGGTAGACCATCTGTTAGAATACTTCGCTGGTCTCGATGCCCTCGATGCAAATGCTCTTGGATTACTCGAACATCTTACAGCATTCTCTCGTGTACTCAGACATGTCAGTAGTGATCTTCCTCCTCGAAATCTCATCGCGAATGCGGACGTAGCAAGACGAGCAATGCAGTTGCTGACTCCATACCCGGAATTGCGCCACCTCATAGCTAGTGATCGCTTACGCAAAGCCAGGAGAAGCGATGCGAGTCTCAAAAGTGATAGTCTGAAGAATCAACAGTCTTCGTTGCTACAAGCTGACAACACATGGTTGACGCTCATAGATTGTCGTCTTACCGAAATCTCAGAGCTTTTGACTTCCATGGACCCTCACCATTTACCTCCGCATATTGACATCAATGACCATCACGACTTTGTTCGACGATACAAATTCTCCTGCCGAGCTGTTGAATGTGGCCAATTTTTCAAGCTGAGAGGGGAAAGAGACGCACATGAGAACGCGCACGTGATCTCCTTTCCGTGCAACCAGTGCGATTTTTCTGCAAGAGGCTTTAAGTCTCGCAAAGATCTAAATAAGCACATGAAGACTTACCACATGTCGCCGGAAGATCAAGAAATCCCCACAACTCTGCGATCTCTCGTTCCCACAGGCGGAAGCCTGAGTATTGGATCTCCAAGATCGATATCGAGACCAGGGCGATCGTCATCCTGGAACGAACAGGGACGTACAGTTCTACAGCGGAGCTTTAGCCAGATACTGAAACAGACTGAAGCGGCCATAACTTCTGACCTCAACAGAAAGTCCGAAACCGACATCAATCCTTCAGAGAAGCCAGACGAGTTCAGTCTCATTCGGTCCAAGATTGCAAGCTCAGCATACGACACCCTAGCAGATTTCAAAGATGATATACGAGGCGTACTCCAAGCTTCTGACGTACGTGGTAGAATCGACATCGATTTCATGTGTTCTTCTGGCCTGTATACTGCTACGTCCGAATTTCCTAATTTCACCAATGACGACTTGTCGCAACGTAACATTGCATTCAACAGCGATGGCGAGAATCAAGCCACAGAGAAATCAACCAACACAGTTGAAACCAGTGATATAAGTGCTATCCTCAATAAACTGCCTGAAGATGGTTCAGAGACGTACTGGTCCTTGTCTGAAGCACGAGAATTTCCCTGCTTGCTAGAACGTTACGGCAGGCAATTTGCGAGTATCGCCGACCACCTAGGGACGAAGACTGCTGAGGAAGTTGGGCAGTATTTTGAGAGGATAATTGCATCGGGTAGCCCCTCATTAGGTCAAATCGCGAATGAGGCCGAACTCAGACTGCAGCATAAGGGGGCAGCAAGTGCCGAGTGTGTTACTGAAGAGACGAAGATTGTGTCCACGCAGGGCACATCTTTCCATGTAGCTTCAACATCTTTTCCAGCTGCGCAACCTCTTCCTGATTCAAACCCTCCCTACACATCAGGGAAAGTATTTGAAACCTCTTTTTTGAGTCCCGATGGGTCAAATCAAAGCCAGGTCATCCAAGGAGTCTCGTCAACAGAAGCAGAAAAGGCCGAAAGCGCATCTAAACCAAAGAAGCGGCTCCCGCCACGGAGAGAAATGTGCCAATATTGTGACAAATATCCCGAAGGCCTTCGTGATGAATTTGTCCTACGAAGACACATAGAACGATTTCACAGCGCAACTCGCATGATATGGATCTGCGAAGATATATCCATTGGAAAGAATTTCCTGCGTGGATGTAAGCCCTGCCTCACCGGCAAACGGTACAGGACAAAGCGCAATGCTTGGAAACACCTCCGTGACACGCACTTCACGATCGGCACATCAGAGCACGTCTTGGTGAGGTGGACAAAAGAGATTGAGGAGCCCAATCCAAAAAGATTGAGAGCTTCAGAGGAGGTCTTGCCACCTGACCAGCGCACATCTAAAAGACAGAAGACCGACACGCGGCTTATGTCCTTTGCGCCAGTCGTAGATAGCCCTTTGACCATCAAGGTGCTTCCTTCGATGCAGTCAATGCCATCAAAATCAACCCAGGGAGGTGCGTTCTCGGACATGACGAGCCCCTCCGAATCTGAAAGCGAAGAGGACAGGGGCAAGTCCTCAAGCAGCCATACAAACCCTGCTCATGAAGGCTCTGTACCTTCTGAATTTCCTTCGGATATCTCGTTTGACAATATTTTGCCACGACTAAACGGCGAGGTTTATGTTGGAGAGTCTGAAGGTCCTCCACATCGCAAGAACCGGTCACTTATTAGACCTGATCAGGTCCCTCGTTTGCCGCATCTAGGACCTTTCCGTATGACCGCTTGTCAAGATCAAGTCGACGCGCTATATCTACGGCTGGATAGTGCGACGATAGGCAGTGCAAACTACGAGTCCCAGCTTGACAAGCTGACAAAGCTGTCTCAGGATTTGAGGACAAATCTGAAAGATTGGCAGCGCGACCAGGCGCATGCGCCTCTTATTCCTTTCTCGCTTTGAAACCTTCAACATCTCGAAATGAGTGGCTCACGCTCGATCGGAAGTGGGGAAGCCAATGACAAGACTACAAGTCTAACGCGACGTACTGAGTGTCCTGTGTACGAGCAGAATGCAAGCCGGAATATTGACAGATTCAGAGTCAAGACTAAATCGACCCGCAAAAGTCGATCAGAGGTGGTAAACCTACTCGATGAAAAGCTGCGATGATGTGGCATAGAGTATGGAGGAATATATATAGCTCAACAGCTAAAGACAGATAGTAGAGACATAGCGGTGCGTAAATGGTATAGCAAATAATCTGGCTTGGATTCGCAAAGATGCTTGGGACCTGGTCTGTTTGGGCCCTCAAAGCCATGCAAAGGACATCATTGTCTGCTCAAAGCTTCCAAGCCAAGTGGAGAACTGGGCGACCAAAAGCATGTCGGGAAAGCAATAGCTGTTGAATAATCTAAATTGTCTAGCTATTATTATTTCAGGACCAGAGGCTCTCAGGCTGTGGATATTTCCACGCTTGCCGTATTTGGCTTAGTGGCATTTAGCGACTTTCCCACATTATCATCATCGGCGTGTAGTGTTCTCTGCAACAAGGACTTCGGCGCGTGCACGTACGTATAACCCGTAGCGATAATGAATTTTCAGGTTGCTGATTTCGACACAAGTGCAAAGCGATGGGTCGTGTCATCCGCAATCAGAGGAAAGGTCGTGGATCTATATTCAGTGCGTTCAAACGCCCGCCCACATAGCTCAGGCTCAAGACGCTGACACATTCACAGCGGCCAATACTCGCCTGAACAAAGCGCCGGCACAATTTAGAACCTACGACTTTGCAGAAAGACATGGCTACATACGTGGGGTCGTAAAGGACGTCATCCACGACCCTGGCCGCGGGGCCCCTCTGGCTAAAGTTCAATTTCGCGACCCTTATCGATTCAAGCTCCACACAGAGACATTTATTGCAAATGAGGGCATGTACACAGGGCAATTCATCTACGCCGGCAAGAAGGCGGCTCTCACAATTGGGAACGTCCTACCTCTCGGCTCAGTACCAGAAGGTACAGTCGTGACGAACGTCGAGGAGAAGAGCGGAGATCGAGGCGCCTTGGGCAGAACCTCGGGCAACTACGTTACAGTCATAGGCCATAACCCGGATGAAGGAAAGACAAGAGTAAAGCTGCCAAGTGGGGCGAAAAAGGTCATCCACAGCAATGCACGGGGGATGATTGGGATCGTCGCGGGAGGTGGGAGGACTGACAAGCCACTCCTAAGTAAAGCACGAGTCTGGAAAGCAATCGTCGGAGTTGAAGGCTAATAATGGTCAACAGAGGCGTCAAGAGCCAAGCATAAGTTCGCTGTGAAGAGAAACTCGTGGCCCAAAACTCGTGGTGTTGCCATGAATCCAGTCGACCATGTAAGTGTCTGGAACTCAGTCGTCCAATATGTTGCTGACTAACATTCTTAAGCCTCACGGTGGTGGTAATCACCAACATATCGGCAAAGCTTCAACGATTTCACGGTACGCTGCATCAGGTCAAAAGGCTGGTCTTATCGCAGCTCGGAGAACGGGTCTTCTGCGCGGTACCCAGAAGACGAAGGATTAGGCATGACATTGTTCAATGCGGCCCATGTAGATGATAGGCCAAACTAGAATTCAATCAATCGAGTTTCCAAATTGACTTCGGCCAGACGTGATGCCCAACGCGCTCGTGCAGGAGACGTCTGAAACATCTCCCCCAACGCTTTGACACAACAACCAAGCGTTCTTCGTGCCAAATCGTTTCATGTCAAACGGGAGGAATTTGGAGGTTGCGGTTGGTTGGTGGTTGGCTTCCTTTGGGAAGCCGTTGCCAAGCAAACAGATTTGGTAAGATGGATCTTCCTTAACCAGCTTTAGGGTGAGCGCCGCTTTGAGTCGCGCGACCCCCTACACTAGACGCGAATACGGGTAATAACTGTATGCTTTACGTTTTAAATTTTATCTCTATCTACATGGCTTTAATTACGGCCGCCTTCACTATATAGAAGATATAAAAGTGAGATGTTATTAATACTTGAGGCTTATTTTCAATGTTTTACAATAAAATCGATAATTAAAGTTAGGCTTTAATTTCATAATTAAATAAGTCATAAGAACTTTTATTATTACCTACTAAGAGGGATATCATATGGTCACGTATTCTTCACACCATGAGATGCTTTCTTCTCCCGCGCCGGGGTTGCTTCAATGGCGTGACCTTGAATCTAGTTCAGGAAGACAGCTTTCATAACGCAGAGCATGGCAATGGGTTCAGAAAAGCTACAATGTGGGTCACGCATCCACACTGATTGTTTGGTGAGAAACCAAGCAGCCCACTTGCTATTCGACGAGATTTAGCATTTAAAGCTGCGTATCATAGAAGGGGTCCATCCCCAATCCGAATTTGAAGCTTGGCTTGGGGCACTGACTGCTTATCCATTTTCTTGGACGCGCATCTATGAGGATGTTTTTGAGCGATCCGAACTGGGGGTGATCCCTTCAAATCCAAGAATTGGCTATTAAAGGTACTATCAGCATACGAGCTTGGACTCATAAAGGCCGAAGAGATTCATAGGAACCTTTCGTCGCGCCAGGATCTATCGTTGCAGGACATTGAAGATACAGCAGAGGATCGTGAACAGACGCCGGAAGTCACAGTCGATTTTCTCGATGAGGATCGCGGCGAACGGGGCCATTATTTTAATCAACATCCTCACAGCAGTACGCATACCAAAAATCTCCTTCATGCTGCAATCGAGGCCACATATCTTGCGATCAATCAGATCTCGATGATTGGCACCATCCCTCAGAATTTCCTCCGATCGTCTTGGAGTGGTTTAAGGGGCAGAAAGCCTCTTTTATTACAAGAGTGTTTCGTCTCCGAATGAAATCGAGATCGCATTCGAAAAATGCGTCGTCACTCATCGAAGTGAAAGCCCGAAAATCACGCGATCAATTGGCCCTCGGCTCCGCCATAGGATGCATCAACTGATGTTTGGGAGAAACTGTCATTGACGAGTTGATTTTCAGTCGCATTGATGGTAGCGAAATTGAGGCTGCTTGTGTTTGTGGCAACACCAAGGCCACAGATCCAAACCCTCGATCCTATTGCGCTCAGACTGGGGTGTGAGCAGTCAGAGGTACGTCAAAATGTAAATGCGGCAAAGGAGGTCCACGTTCATTACAATCAAAACCAGGAGGTTCCTGTGGACTATGGCCGGTCACGCCTGGTTTGGTGGGAATCGGATCGTCAAAAGACAAGCTGCGGACTAAGAAGCGAGGCGAGCCCCTTCTCGCGTACTTATACGCAAGGAGGGTGAGGGTCTTTCACGTCCCAAGAAAGTCCAACATTCTGAGTCCTCGGGCTAACAAAGAAGGGAATATGCTCATCGATAACGATACTCAATGGACCCTAGGAAAAACTCGGCCACTTTACTGTGCACGAAGATCATTTTGTCGAACATGTTCTGGAACAACATTTGTCCCAGTCGATTCAACCATCCCCTTCATCTATCGTAAAACGACTTGCAGTTTTCTTCCCTTATTACGATAATTTCGATATAGTTGTCAAGAAAGCAAAACTAGATACTTGGCTATCTTCTCAAGATACACCTCGTAGTAACAACAAATGACATACAATGAGTTAAACAATTTATACTCGAAGTAAAAGTAGAGAGTCCATCCAAGGCGTACGAAATCACGCCGTGCTATACATGGCATCGGCGAACCAACGATCAAAGCGCACTTCCCATTCGATATTAACCTCCACATATCACGGGTGTTATGCTCTGTTCATTCAAGTCCTCGTTAGATACCTTTTCATAAAGTTTGCTTGTGATGTGACTCAGCTATTATTAATGTTCATTGATTATGTATAAGAAGCAATACCGCTGCAATCTGCCGGTAGGACCGTCTTCGCGCGTTGCAGTTTTCTCCAGACAGCCAGGCCTGATGTAACGGTCAAGCGTACCCCGAGGTCAAACTTGGCTCTAGTAACGCGCATTATACACAAGGTTATATAAATAGACAGATTGTCCTTCAAAAACCAGAGGTTCGTGGTCTAATGGTTATGATTTCTCGTTCACACCCACGTTGAACATTGTCGTTACAATCCCGAGAAGGTTCCGGGTTCGATCCCCGGCGAGCGTGAGTAATAGTCTCGGAGCCTGAATGCGTGAAGTATTGCTGACTCCAATTTAATAAAGCTAAATTGTCTTTTCAAAGTTCTTTTTACCGTTTTTAGATGTCTTAAGAGCAATCATACAATACTTACCTCTATAATATATATCTAAAATATAGATCTACTTCATCTAACTACTTATGTACTAGCTTTAGCTTTTTAAATAAGTTAATGAATAGATTATATTAAAGCTACTAGCTAAAATAAAGTAAAAGATAAGTAAGTTCTCTAGGAGTGACCCTTAGGTATTCAATTACCTTGGCTAGGTATTATTCAATGCTAAAGTAGCGCTCTCGCATAACCTGAAAACTACCCTACCTAAAGGCTAAGGCTCGCCAAGCATCAAAGCTATTTTTGGTTCCCTGGAGAATCTATGGCCGTAAATCATTCAGACCTTGCTTAGGAGGTGTCTGATAGAAGTCCTGTGTGGACGCTCATCTGCACTCTCTCGAAAGATTAATGTCCTTATCCCCCAACTCATAGTCAATCGTTCAACCATTACCACTACCCCACCTCAGCTTTGCCCATCCCAAGAACTGGCTGGATCCAGTTCGTACATCGCTTTACAGCCATCAATCCATTCTTCGTTAACTGTCCACACTCCGATTCAACCTCAGAAACAAATCATTTGCTAGATCAACCCTCAGCATGAATGTCAACAAGAAGCTCGGGCGTTTCAAGCAATGGGCGGGGGAGAGGATGGGCCAGGAGGCGAAGACTGGAGTGACAAATGACTTCAAGTCACTGGAGGTTGAGATGGCTCTTAGGCAAGAAGGCATGGAGCGTCTTCAAAAGTCCACGACGAATTACGTGAAAACGTTATCGAAACGCAATGAAGGAGATGACAAGGAAAAGAGTCTTCCAGTGGCAAATCTTGGAACTACAATGGTAAGTCATGGCGAAGACTTTGAAGATGACTCGGAGTTTGGACAGTGTCTACAAAGTATGCAGATCCTTTGTTTCCTACTTGTGAAGCTAAGTGGCATCAGGTTTGGGCAGGGCCAATGAACGTATCGGCCGTGTACAAGAAAATTATACCCAGAATGCAACAACGAGCTGGCTTGACTCTCTAGAACGATCCCTGACGCAAATGAAAGAATACAATGTATTTGGTTGGAACCACGCTCATATACTGCCGCTAACAAATGCCAGGCTGCCCGCAAGAAGCTTGAGAGTCGGAGATTGGCATATGATGCAGCAACGTCAAAGATGCAAAAGAGCAAGAGGGACGACTTCAGAGTCGAGGAAGAACTCCGCTCAGCCAAAGCAAAGTATGAAGAATCTACTGAGGATGTCTATCGGCGAATGGAGGACATCAAGGAAGCAGAAGCAGACAGTATTGTGGACCTAGGATCTTTGCTTGATGCCGAACTTCGGTACTACGACCGTTGCAGAGATATTCTATTGCAGGTGAAGGAAACTTGGCCTGGAAGGTAGCTTGAATCGCTTTGTGACCAGGATGTCTGCTTATGACCTTGACAGACAAAATGATGCCAATGGTATCGCCCAGAAAGATTCTCGCTACAGCGGATATGAAGACGATGATCCGCCGGACACCCGTCGTACCATCAAATCCAGTCGCACGGCATCCAACCACATGCCTCCGGAACCCCAGTTTGCGAATTTACGACCCACTGTTCCACGGGCAGCCACATTTGAAGGACCCAGGCAGCTTCAACGCGATGATTCTCCAGTGACCGCACACCGAGTAGCCCGAGTGCCAAGCGATAACATTACCGTCAAGCCCCAGCGAGATCGGCTACAAGCTCTAGCTACAAGGGAATTTGAACAGAATGACCGCTTCAGTGACCCATCTGACGAATCCACATTCTACGAAAGCCCAGACAGACCATGGAGAGGTCGATCGGCTTCTCCAGCGACATCTGTCGGCAGCAACATTTCTCGTCAACCAAGTTACTCAGCGCTTGACAACGTCTCAAAGGCAAAAAAGGCTCCTCCACCTCCCCCTCCTTCACGTGCGAAGAAGCCGCCTCCACCTCCGCCGCCAATGAAGCGGAGCGCTCTCAGCAATACGCCTGTATCGTACGCATAAAGGCTGATTTCACTGTTACTCTACTGCATTGCGCTGGGCGATTTACAACCGGATTACGCCTAGGAAAGGCTCGTTTTACAGGCGTATTGGTAATGGTTGCTTGGAGGACTGAGGCTACAAAACCATAGAATGCAGCCTTAATCAAAGGGTCTCGGGACGTAAGTGACTTGCATACTACATTGGCGTTCTGTTTGTGCGACGGATGAACAACATGAACTTGCCTGTGAGATACTGAGTAAACAACCGGGTCATGTAATGCGAGCGGATATCGTTAGATCCACGATTTTCGCGCGATGTGTAGGGCTACATTCTTACTTGAGAATATTCATTCACGAACTGTGAGGTTTTGCGAATACAATTTGAAAATGTGAACTGCATCAAAATCCATTTTCTTGATTGTATGAGAAGAGACCGGAGAAACAGATTAGCCGAAGTTATTCCGTCCGAGTTCCGGCTCTTAGCGTCTACTTCTGCTCTGCGCTAATTCATGACTCTCCATCAGCACAGGGCAGCCTTTCCACCCCTCGATCAAAGCGAATCGTTCCCGCCAATCCGCCATCATCAGCCTCCGCTGAAAGCCCAAAACCACCCTCGTCACGTCCTTTGAGACGCGCTCGAGGGTGCCCTCTCCCCTCCTCCATACCTTTCTTCCCGCCCCTTCTCACGACACGTCCTATCTTCAAACTCATCAGAATCGCATCAAACTGTTTGCGCCGCACCCCTTCAACAGTGACCGTCGAAACACACATCCACATATCCACATAAATCACGACTCAGCCATGGCTTTTGTCCAGACGGCCCCCTCTCTCGCCACGGGGCCCGCCATTATACCACCCAATTTCTCCCAAGAACAAGCAAAGGCTATATATGAGGTTTGTCACAGCTATATAATTTCCGAGGATGCGCGCTCTAGGGCTACTCACTTGATGTCACGCGCTAACGCTTTGTCAATACGTAGAAATGGCAGCAATTGAAAACAAACGGCACCCCCGAAAATGACCCAGATTACATCAAAACTCGCAAAATCATGATGACTATCCAACGAATGAAGACGCAAGCAACTCAGCAGCAACAGATACAACAGCAGCAGCATCAACAGCAACAGCATCAGCAGCAACAGCACCAGCGTGCTGCGGGCCAAGTTAATGGCGTCAATGGCAAGTCATTTGATTCACTAGATCTTCAAAGGCTAATCTGTCTCTCAAAGGCTCGGTTCATGACACCGCAAACCATCCAATGATGAACCTTCAATCTGCTGCTCTAGTCAACGACGCCACATCGGACGGCCAGTCAGTAGATGGCGTCGACAAAGTTGATGGTTCGGCGCAAAAGCAGAATGCCATGACCAATGTCAACTTTTCCGAACAACAAATGAGCATTCTAAAGACTCAGATGTTTGCCTTCAAGTTGCTACAAAAGAACAATCCTATCCCTCCTCAGATGCAACAGCAGCTTTTTAAATCTCAACAGCCTAGTCAGCCTCAGACGAAAGCTGAGAAAGTTGCCAAAGGTCGCGAAGTGGTGAAGAATGTTGAACGGGGCTCGCCTGAACCACAACGACGTCAAGCGTACGAATATGCATATTCACCTTTTGGCTTAATCACACCTACCATAAGTTATTCGGACCACGCTATGCGAAAGAACCGATTACAAGTGAACAGTATAATGCCCAAAGGTGTGGATACTGAAGATGTCCAGCGCGAACGTCAACGCAAAATTGCTGCTCGTATAATGGATAGAAGATTAGCTTTACACGGACCTCATGGCCCGTCACCAGTTGACGGAGAAAGGCTGAGAGAAGAGCGCGACCGCATTGCATACAACCGTATACAAGCAAGGAAGGCAGATCTTGAAGGCTTACCCGCCAATATGAATGTTTGGGACACAAGCAAGAGTGACGAACCAAGCTTTGACGACACCCTGAAACGCAAGGCTCTCATTGAATACAAAATGCTCTGTTTACTTCCCAAACAGCGAGCCCTTCGGCAGCAAGTACATCGAGACCTCATACATTATGACAACCTTGCGCAAACCGCGAACAGATCACAATACCGACGGCAGAAGAAGACATCCTTACGTGAGGCGCGCATTACCGAGAAGCTTGAAAAGCAACAGCGCGATCAGCGCGAGACCAATGAAAAGCAAAAGCAGAGAGACCATCTGGTTGCGATTCTCAATCACGGTGTTGAGATACACAAATCCGCGGAAGCGCAGAGACAAAGGCAGCAAAAGCTTGGCCGGCTGATGCTACAGCAACACCAGAACATCGAGAAAGAGGAGCAAAAGCGGGTCGAAAGGACCGCTAAGCAACGTCTCCAAGCCTTGAAGAATGACGATGAAGAAACATACCTCAAACTTCTTGGCCAAGCTAAGGACTCACGAATATCTCATCTACTCAAGCAAACTGATGGCTTCCTGAATCAACTTGCTGCCTCCGTCAAAGCACAACAGCGTGATGCTGGGGCCAAATATTATAGAAACGATGCTGACGATTCTGACGACAGCGAGGACGACGTTGAGGCAACGCCTAAAGTCGACTACTACGAGGTTGCTCACCGCATCAAAGAGGAGGTCAAGAACCAACCGACCAATCTGGTTGGTGGTACCTTGAAAGAGTATCAGGTAAAGGGCCTGCAGTGGATGGTGTCTCTGTTCAACAACAACCTTAATGGTATTCTGGCAGATGAGATGGGTCTAGGGAAAACCATCCAGACCATTAGCTTGCTCACTTACCTTAAAGAATTCAAAGGAGACCGCGGCGGTGGCGGACCTTTTCTGGTCATTGTTCCTCTCAGCACACTCACAAATTGGAATCTTGAGTTTGAGAAGTGGGCTCCGTCATTGAGAAGAATAATATACAAGGGTCCACCTCCTGCGAGGAAACAGCAGCAGCAACAAATTCGCTATGGGCAATTCGATGTGCTTCTTACCACCTATGAGTACATCATCAAAGATCGTCCTGTGCTTTCTAGAATAAAGTGGATACACATGATCGTCGATGAGGGACATCGCATGAAGAACTCGAACTCCAAACTCAGTCAAACGCTTTCGCAGTACTATCAATCCCGATACCGACTAATTTTGACCGGAACACCTCTACAAAATAACCTACCCGAACTTTGGTCTCTTCTCAACTTCGTTCTGCCAAACATATTCAAATCAGTCAAATCGTTTGATGAGTGGTTCAACACACCATTTGCTAATACTGGAAACCAGGATAGGATGGAACTGTCAGAAGAAGAGCAGCTGCTTGTCATACGAAGACTCCACAAGGTTTTGCGACCTTTCTTACTCCGCCGCTTGAAAAAAGATGTGGAGAAGGATCTACCAGACAAGCAAGAACGTGTCATTAAATGCCGTTTCTCCGCACTTCAAGCCAAGATCTACCACCAACTCATAACGTTCAATAAAATCAATGTGAGCGACGGCAAGGGTGGCAAGACCGGCATCAGAGGATTAAGCAACATGCTCATGCAGTTGAGGAAGCTGTGCAATCATCCCTTCGTCTTTGAGCAAGTTGAAGATCAGATGAATCCTGAAAGAGTTAGCAATGACTTATTGTGGCGTACCGCTGGCAAATTTGAGCTCCTTGAACGCGTTCTTCCAAAGTTCAAGATCACAGGTCACCGAGTCTTGATATTTTTTCAGATGACGCAGATCATGAACATTATGGAAGACTTCCTCCGATTGAAAGGTCTAGCATATTTACGACTTGATGGGTCAACGAAGTCGGACGATCGGTCAGAATTGCTTGCCCAATTCAATGATCCAAACTCACCATATTTCTGCTTCCTGCTATCAACACGTGCTGGAGGTCTAGGTTTAAATTTACAGACCGCTGATACCGTCATCATCTACGACTCTGATTGGAATCCCCATCAGGACTTGCAAGCTCAAGACAGAGCGCATCGCATTGGTCAAAAGAATGAAGTGCGGATCTTGCGTCTCATAAGCTCCAACTCTGTTGAGGAGAAGATCCTCGAGAGGGCTCAGTACAAATTGGACATGGATGGCAAAGTCATTCAAGCCGGCCGATTCGACAACAAGTCTACCAATGAGGAGCGAGATGCGTTGTTGAAGACATTGCTCGAGACTGCCGAAGCAGCAGAAGAAATGGCGAATCAAGAAGAAATGGATGACGATGATCTCAACATGATCATGGCACGCACAGATGCGGAAATGGAACTTTTCCAGCGCATAGACGCTGAGCGAGCCGCCGAAGATGCATATGGCAATAATCCTGGACAGATCCCTCGACTTCTAGGGGAGGATGAGCTTCCTGACATCTACATGCAAGAGGACAATCCTGTGACTGATGAACTCGAAGAGATTGTTGGCCGTGGAGCCAGGGAGAGGACAAAAGTTAAATATGACGATGGGCTCACAGAGGAGCAATGGCTGGACGCTGTCGACAACGATGAGGACACAATCGAGGATGCTATTGCAAGAAAGACCGCCCGAAAGGTGAAGAGGGCAGCCGCCGTAGATAAACGCGCAAGAAATGGTACTGGCTATGAAAGCTCCCCGAGCCTTCGAGAGAAAGCTCCATTGCACCCGCATCGAAGAAACGAATTCGAAAACCCACTGGTGCAAAGAGGAAAGCCGAGGAGCCCCTCGAAGAAGAAAGTGCAATATCGAAAAGGAAGCGCGGCAACAAGGCTGTGGAGACTCTGAGCGCCAAGGATCGCTCATCGCTTCAAAAGATACTCAATGACAACTTCCAGAGCCTGATGGAGCTGGAAGAACGCCTTGGTCCGAATGAAGAAGACGCACGCGGTCTGATAGATCCGTTCCTCAAACCTGTGCCCAGGAACCAGTATCCACAATACTACTTGATCATCAAGGACCCTATCTGCATGGAGCAAGTCGAAAAGAAGATCAACAAGAAGGAATACCAGAGCTTGAAAGAATACAGAGACGACATTGGGCTATTATGTGACAACGCGAGAACATTCAATGACGATGGGAGCATCTTGTTCTCGGATGCAAACGAGATTGAGGTAAGTCCATGCACTTTCTTGCCATGTCTGAATAATGCTAAAGGATACCACGTAGTCACACTGCATCAAGAAGCTCGCAGACGAAACCGCTGAATATCCCGAATGGCAAAACTTCGATGGCGACACTCCAGCCGATGGTCGTTCCACGGCAGCTATGTCGAGCACAGCTGGCACTCCAATGCCAGGTGGTGGTCCAAATGGCGGCACCAAGCTCAAACTCACTTTCAATGGCAATAGAGACACTTCAGTCGGTGGTGGAGGATACAATGGTGGCATGAGTGAAGACGAGTAATGAATCAGACAGCTGCGAAGATGGAGCCTACTAATATCCATGGAACGGCGGCCACATGCTTTCTATATCCTCTAAATGTGTTATAATTCAGGCAGGCATATCCCGTGGCAGGGAAAGAGGGCGTTGCGGTTTGCGCGGAGGTGACGATAGGCATGGAACGCATTCATGGGTGCTAATAGCTGAGGCCGAGGCATGATCACTGGGAAGAAGTAGCTTAAGCACCTGTGCCTTTTTCCTCTAGATACTCATTGATGTATGCTAACTCCATGCAATTGCTACACGAGATACGATTCATATTTGCCTAACCTTTTCCATTACTATGTTCATTGCCACAGGCAGAGGAGCGGATTTGGATTAAATCCACTGCCAATACCAACAACTGCCATTCCAACCGCTGACATCTTCCAACATCCCACGAGTACAGACGACACGGCACGGGCCCGATCTTATCAGAGTAGCTCTTGGGCTGCATTGCCAAACATAAACATCGTGAACAGTTGGTTTACAATGCAGCCGCCAAAGGAGACTCGACGTCTCTGATGCTGCAAAACATCCCCCTCGTCCCTCAGCAATGTCGGCCTGATCGAGTTATCAGTATACTCTACTGCACGGCCAGACCGAGACAGAGACCAACACACAGCTTGGTTATGCTTCAACGCCTCCTCGTAAGCACCAGCTTGAAGGCTCTTGTTTCCTGCCTTTTGCATCCCCGGCAGGCACGGCTGTGCCACCAGCCTCATTATTCGCACGCGCAAGCCATCCCCATCCTACGCACAGTAGCTCCACTTAGGGAGTTTCAAAGGCAGGTACCACTCCACCTCCATGGTTTCAGTCTGAACACTACGCCCAAGAACGGCCACATGTCCGCACAACGTCTACGCAATCCTATGGAGGATTCCGCTGCGCACTGTTGGTTCTGGCCTTCTGCTCCAGTTTATTTCGTTGTTGCTGAACTAGAGAACGGTCATTATTAGTAGACCTCACGGTCGTCCTTCTTTCTCGTCTTTTCATGCTGTTGTTTCGTTGCAGTTACAGACATGGGCAGTAACGACGCTCCTTCAGTCACTCCTTTTTGACCGCTCTGTCGCTCTTTCGATAGCTGCCTAGTGCAAGCCTGTATTGCTTTTCGCCCCGTGGGCCCTTTCTTGAGCGATGTATGCATACTGGCTGGCTCTCCTCTTCCTACTTCACTCCGTCAATGCTTCTCCACACCCTCACCCGCACCCTCTCGCAAAACCCCGACATAGGCAGCGTCCTGCAAATGTCGTCTATGTGCCCGCGCCATCCTCGTCCACATCAACCGTAGTTCAGCAATCCACTAGCATTCCCCAAGGAACCACTCTTGGCCAAACCGGCGGCACCACTGGCGGTACTACTGGGGGCACTACCGGGGGAGGCGGTTCTGTCTCCCTCCCAGCCTCCTGCTACAAATACAATGGCCTCGGAGTGGGTTTACAAGCTCTTGGCGACCCAAAAAGCATCATCTCCTCCGTCACAAATCAGCCGCCTTGTATGTATGGGCGCTTCATCACCATGATATCGTCTGGTGGCCAGATAACGTACGATCAGCCTCTCGACACAGGTGCATCGAAAGCCGCTTCTGTGGGGGCAGTTTATGTCGTCTCTTTAAAGCCTCCTAAGGGCGTGGACTTCACAGTGATTGCCAGATCGGCGAGTCAGATTGGGAAAGACATTGATGCCATGGCTGCGGGATTCCAAGGGCAAATCTGGTTGAGACTAGCGCATGAATTCAATTGGTATGTACAAAATGGAGAATATACAGGGGACGGACCTGGTTTCAAGGAAATGTGGACGGCGATCAGCGGGGCGATCACGCAGAAGTCGAAGGTCAAGATGTACTGGTGCCCCAACCCGCCTTCATCCACTGGCGATTCCGTGGACGAACTTCATCAGAAGTATTGGCCTGGTGATGGAACGGTGGATTTGGTGGGAATTGATGCTTACCTCACGCCGCCGAGTTACAATGGGAAGTTCAGCGATAGCGTGCCTACTGAGTTTTGTAACAAATATCAGAACTTGGATTTGTATCTCGGAGAGGCGGGAGTGCTGCCGAGTGGGGGGACTCAGACGCAGCAAAAGTATTGGTTAGATCAAGTCAAGAATGGGAAAAGTACGTGTGGGAATTATAAGGGGTTTTTGTGGTTTGAGATGACACCGCCGGGTGAGGGGAATTTTGGGGTGTTCAGTAACGGGGTTGCTGCTGCTGAGCTGAGCTGAGTTGAACATAGAATTTTGGATGTTGGTGTGAACAGGAGAGCCGCGCTCGTGAGATTTGGGTTTCTAATGTAAATATATACCTTCATCGAGAAACATTTTTGGTGTCACTGTCAGAGATCATTGTCAGCAGAGCGAGAATTCATGATATTCTTGCCAGACGGTGCAACCCAATTTTTTACAGATGTGGTAACTCAAGGCTTCATCGAGATGGATATATTTGCATTCAAGTCAAACGCTCTTCCGATAAACAGATATCACAGATTCAGACACTCTTCAACAGAGCATCCTTATCAAAGCAAATCCCTCTTCACGAATTCTTCTCTCAGCCTCTTCCCCAATCCAGCAGGACTCCTCTCCACCACCACTCCTGCACTCTCCAGCGCACTTATCTTACTATCAGCTCCTCCCTTTCCTCCACTGACAATCGCTCCCGCATGACCCATTCTCCGTCCCGGCGGGGCTGATATTCCTGCAATAAACGACACCGCCGGTTTGTTCTTCGTATTGTACTCCTTCAGATAATCTGCCGCGTCCTCCTCGGCACTACCTCCTATTTCTCCAATCATCACAATCCCCTCCGTCTCCTCATCCTCCAGAAACACTTTCAAGCAGTCGATGAAGTTCGTGCCACTGAATGGGTCTCCTCCTATTCCCACAACGAGCGATTGACCCAATCCTTCTTGCGTGGTTTGATTGACTGCTTCGTATGTGAGTGTGCCAGATCTGGACACGATACCGACCCGCCCCCTTTTGTGGATGAAGCCGGGCATGATGCCAATTTTGCACTGGCCGGGTGCGATTATGCCGGGACAATTTGGACCGACAAGCCGCGTTTTCGATTGCGTTTTCAGAATCGAAGTGAGTCGTACCATGTCATGTTGGGGGATGCCTTCTGTTATGCAGACTACGAGGGGGATTTCGGCGTTGATCGCTTCTTCTATACCGGCTGCTGCGACGGGTGGGCTGAGTGAGAGCCTTGTTAGTGTCATATCAAATTTCTATGTTGAAGGATAGATTTGGAAAGTGGAAAAAAAGAATTGGAGTTGCGCTTGAAGAGGGCGAGAGGAGAGGCAAGGCATACGGGACGAAGATTGCGGAGGCGGTGGCGCCTGTTTCCTTCACTGCGTCGCTGACATTGGCGAAGACTGGCTTGCCTAGGTGTGTTTCTCCTGCTTTCTTTGGATTCGTGCCGCCGACGACGTTGGTTCCTTTCTCCTGTTAGGAATGGCTGAAGAAGGGACAGTAAGGGAATAGAGCGCACCATAGTCAATGGCTTGTTGGGCGTGGAAGCTGGGCTAGATCAGCATAGCACTTGACCAGTTCAGAATCAACATTGTCACACCTTCCCTGTTTTCCAGTAAAGCCTTGATATATGAGCTTGGTGTCGCTGTTTATCCGCAGGTTCTCCGCAGTTGCGGCGTATCCGGAGGTAGCGGTGGAGTATCTTTGACTGTGGATAGCTGCTCTCAACAAGCCTGCTGAGCGACGACTGAAGGCCTGCATCGCTGATGTTCAGCGATGAGGTCCAAACAAAGCTGAGGGTAATCGAGGGAGAAGCTCAATTGGAGAATGTTGGTTGAAGAACCGTTTGAGGTCTTTGGAGCTACCTGCGGGAGCTTCCGTTTCCCCCACTCGTCTACATACATTCATTGCATCCGAGTCAGGTTCTCATCTCATCCCAGTGGCCACATTGCATCGTCGTGTTCATGGCACGATGGCGACTGGAACAGTCACTGCACCGGTAACTACCAGCGTCAAGATCTCCAAGAACTCAAAACTTCCACCAGAGAATGAAAGATACTTGAGAGCGTGTTCAGACATTGCCACAGCCCTCATTCAAGACTACGAAGCCCAACAAAATGACTCCTCCCCAAAGAAAGACCTCAACCTCAACGCCCTTCGTGGGCAGATGGCGAAGAAGCACAGGCTGTCCAATCAGCCTCCTCTTACAGCCATTATCGCTGCTGTACCAGAACACTACAAGAAATACATATTACCGAAACTTATAGCAAAGCCAATAAGGACTTCATCCGGCATTGCTGTTGTGGCTGTCATGTGCAAGCCTCACAGATGTCCACATATTGCTTATACGGGAAACATATGCGTTTACTGTCCTGGAGGACCTGACTCCGACTTCGAATACTCGACCCAATCGTACACTGGCTATGAGCCAACATCAATGCGCGCAATCCGAGCTAGATACGACCCATATGAGCAAGCGAGAGGGAGAGTAGACCAAATCAAAAGCCTAGGACATAGTGTCGACAAAGTCGAATACATCATAATGGGGGGCACATTCATGTCTTTACCGGAGAGCTACCGGGATGAGTTTATATCACAGCTACATAATGCGTTGAGTGGATATCAAGGGAACAATGTGGATGAGTCGGTCGAAGCCGGAGAAATGAGCAATATAAAATGCGTGGGCATCACAATAGAGACTCGACCAGACTATTGCTTAGATTCCCACCTGAGCGCTATGCTGCGGTACGGCTGTACAAGGTTGGAAGTTGGTGTGCAGTCTTTGTACGAGGATGTTGCACGAGACACGAATAGAGGCCATACTGTCGCTGCAGTAGCGGAAACTTTCAAGCTCTCTAAGGATGCTGGATTTAAGGTGATCAGCCACATGATGCCTGATCTCCCGAATGTAGGCATGGAGCGAGATCTTGACCAGTTCCGAGAATACTTTGAGAACCCAGACTTTCGCACTGATGGTCTGAAGATATACCCAACCCTTGTCATTCGTGGCACGGGTCTTTACGAGCTCTGGAGAACAGGAAGATACAAAAATTACACTCCAAACGCACTAATCGATCTTGTCGCCCGCATTCTCGCCCTGATACCACCATGGACCCGCATCTATCGAGTACAGAGAGATATTCCAATGCCTTTGGTCACTTCAGGGGTAGAGAATGGAAACCTACGTGAGCTGGCGTTGAGCCGCATGAAAGACTTTGGAACCACTTGTCGGGACGTACGTACTCGGGAGGTGGGTATTAATGAAGTAAAGAATAAAATACGTCCTTCGCAGGTCGAGCTCGTGAGGCGCGACTATGTAGCCAATGGTGGCTGGGAGACATTCCTGGCCTATGAAGACCCAAAGCAGGACATACTTATCGCGCTACTCCGATTAAGAAAGTGCAGCAAGACACATACTTTCAGACCAGAGTTGACTGGTCAGCAAACGAGTCTTGTGAGAGAATTGCATGTCTATGGATCGGCGGTCCCTGTTCATGCGAGGGACCCTCGGAAATTCCAGCATCAGGGCTATGGCACGCTCCTAATGGAAGAAGCAGAGAGAATTGCGAGAGACGAGCACGGCAGCAAGAAGATGGCTATTATATCTGGAATTGGAGTCCGAAGTTACTACAAGAAGCTGGGGTACTGGCTGGATGGTCCGTACATGAGCAAGATATTAGAGAAGTCGCAAGATTCGGACAGTGACGACGACGATGTATGAATATCATAACCTCTTAGAAATCGCTTACGCCGTCACGACTAGCACCTTCAGCGAGCATTGCAAAGGACGGGAACATAGACTACGGAGTCTTGGGTCTTCGTGGTGGCCCAGATTGGATAGCGTGTAATGATACCCATAGATACTGAGACCCTAGACCATGTATCCTTCTCATGTACACAAAGATTCAAGCCATCCTCAAAACTCCAACAGGTCTAGTAGCCACCCCGACCATAGTAAAGCGCCAAGCTGTATATCCAGCAACTCCATAAACCATCCCAGCCACCGTTTCAGAGACTCATCTGAGCTCAATTTAGACTTATCGCCCCCCGCTTACTTTGCCTCACATGTAGCAGTGCCTGGAAGCCACAGAAGACTAAGAACGCGGCGTAAACGATTACAGCGGTGAATACTGATCCTGCAACTGCTTTGCCGTTTGGTGGATCCGAGGAGTGGCCGACCATCGAGTGGTGTTCTGCCTGTCAGTGGAGTGGAGTCAGTCGCAGGGCAGGGCAGGTAGGTATCAGTGCCGGAATGTGGACCCACTTTGAAGAGACCACCAATTATTGAGAGGATAACGATTGCGAAGACTGAGACGACGATGCTAGGAAAGCTCTACGTCAGCCTTTACTCAAGCTGTCGGTTTGGGCGCAAGTTTCGGTCAAGCAAGGCACTCAACGTACCAGGACCATGCATTGAACGCTGAGACGACAGGCTTCATGTTGGGAGTAGATGGTGTATATTGCCTTGGAGGTGAATTCGGGCTTTTTTCGATCGAAGCTCAATGAAACGAGCGACTGCGACAGAAAGGATGGATCTGTGGTGTGGTGCAGCGATTTGGTTGGGCTGATATCGATCATTATTATGCAATCAAGGCGCCTAACCATAAAGGGATGCCAAGACAATATATAGCTAATGGAGGTAAGGAGAGCACATTATCGATTTTATAATCCTTGCCTTCCATTCCACTCTACACATTCTGCAAACTTGATGCCATTGCCTCCGAATATATCCAATGCACTTCCAATAGTCAAGTCGACCTTCCCATTGCTCAGAGTTTTTACCTTTTCTAAATCTTCGAGGTTTCTACCCCCGCCTGCATATGTTACAGGTTTGCTGCACCACTGCCCTAGATTCCTCACAAGGTCTTCGTCTATGCCTCTCTGCAAGCCCTCGTTATCTGCTGCATGGATTAGAAACTCCGAGCAATACGGCTCTAGCATCTTGATGGAATCTAACCCCCTAGATGAGCCCTCTCTCTCAATCTTCGCATAATTCAACTGACCTGCATTGACCTCCATGTCCGTGAGAGTTTGCCATTTGTTCATGGCGACTATCCATACATCATTCTGTCTCCGACAACTGAGATCGATCACTAGCTTGGACGAATCATTGCTTAGAGCAGCCAACACGCTCTCGAGGCGCGCTTTCAAGAATTTGGCCTCTGGGAATAGGTAAGATGTCACAATTACCTACTTGAGGATGTAAGTCCTGCAAGTGAATAGCGCTTTGTGGATGGCCTACTTTCTCAGCGCCTCGCCCAATCCACACAGACGCATTCATTTCATTGATTCCTCCGCCGACCTGTAGCCAGCCCGGCCATGCGTGGAGGGCACTTTGAGCTGCTTCTTCATTTCCGGGGCCTAACATTATGACGTGGCCTCCAGTTAAGCCATTCTTCATGTATATGTTCGCAAAATGAGTCGCAGATTGGCTTGATACATGATTAGTCCTGAGATCCGAAGACTGCTCACTCAAAGTTCCTCCAACTATTTGCTTGACTTGGCCTGTATGGAGATCAATACATGGACGAAAACGAGTCATTGAACAGGAAGTAGGCCTAGACGTAAGAAACTAGATCTATATAGCAGCAGGAAGATAATGTTTCTAACAATAGGCTTGCGGGTGCGGGTGTACCTTTTTCCGCTCTTGTCATTCATACTTCACTCGATACTTTTAGATATAAGCAACTCTCGTGGCCAATATGACGCCAATTCAAGGCAAGCGAAACAGAAGAAAACAAAGCTTAGAGGAGAATCGTCTATCGCCAGTAGATGCCGAGAATGCCAACGCTATTCTGAAAAGACACTTTGAGACTGCTTTCCAGCCTCTAGCGGGTCTGAAGAGGATAGTGTCGCCATGCTTGGATGACCCAAAGGAGGAGAGCCAACACGAAGAAGACTCTGATTGGGACGGCATTTCTGATTCCGAGGCAGAAGTCATCCAGCACAACACCTCACAATTCAAGGACCAAACAATCCCCACCGGAGATTTGAAGACATTTATGGTACGCCAGAAGATATCATCGCTTTCATCACTGACTTGCACAGTCATTCAAACCTCCGACGTCTCACGCATCTCTCACAAACAGCCAGCAACCGAAGATTCTACGTCAAGCAGAGGATGACGAAACTGACAAGGATAACATCAAGAAAGACCTCGCTCTACAACGACTTTTGAAAGAATCCCATCTTCTGGAGCAGCACAGCCCAATTGACCATTTCGGGAAAACACGTCACAAAGCACTTGATCTTCGCTTGCAGGACATGGGTTCCAAGACTTCCGTATTCGCTCAACAGAAGATGCCGTATGCGCAACGAAAAGGCATTAGCGCCAAAGCTTCAGAACGCGAGGGGAATCGACGTCGTGAGGCTCGTGATAATGGGATAGTACTGGAGAAAGAACGTCGAGTTGTCAAACGTGCAGATATCAGAAGAGAAAGAGGGATTGGTGCGCCAAGCGTGGGAAGGTTTCAAGGAGGTACGCTGAACTTGAGTAAAAGGGATGTTTTCAAAATTCAGGGACCTACAAGCAAGACAAAGTCGCGCAAGAGATAACGTCGCAAGAAAAGATCAATGACCGTCTGGACTCTGCAGATGACGAATGACATAGCCTAGCTGAGGCTGTGTATCTTCCGAATGCCAGCATCGCCATCTCCTCCAAGCAAATTCGTCCCACGATTTCTGAGGGAACCTAGCTGCAGCTACGTAACGAACTTATGGACCTATGACAGCTCGTTGTGCAGGGAATTTACCACAAAATGCGCTAGAAAGCTTCTAGAACTTTTCTGAGATGCCCAGAGGAGGTCGGTCCCACTATTTCTACCATGATGAAAGAAAACGACTGGCTGCTCTAACGGATAAAAATCTGGCTGTACGCCTGTAGCGACTGGGAACGCAGAGCGGGAAGGCTAGGTCTGTCCCATCTTCGCCAATGTAATTTTTTCTCGTCAGAAGATCGGAGATACAAACGGAAGACTACCATCCGGGTAGAACCTCGAACATCGAATTGTATCAGAAAGTTGCTGTCTCTTTTCTTGTTAATTCGGCAACATGATGAGGAAGATCGACTTCTTCTAGCCTACCGGAATCGCCCAGTACAGCCGAAGACCTTACGAAGTAGTCAGAGCACAAGGGATGGTCAACGCCGCCATCGGCAGCAGTAACTAGCGGGACGTGTTATGCCTCTGCATTAACGGTGGGACTCGCCCCGTGGCTACTGACCATGTGCTATGAAATGCTTCTGCAGGTTCTGCAACTCCGAAAAGGCTATTATTTATATCGCACATATTTGCCTATCTTTGTGTGAGTTACTTCCCTATCGCTACACTGCAGCCTCTCATACCAGATCATCAGATGTTGGATTCAGCCGCCTCTATTGTAGCCACACGTGTCAGTCAACGTCGAGCACAGCCTACTTGCAGGTAGGGAAACATACCGTCTGATAGCGAAAAGATCCCTGCAACTACGAAAACCGGTGGTCGAAGTCGATTTAAGCCTGATGCACGAGGTTTCGGACATTTGTTGGTGCGGCTATCTATCTTGCACCTGTATCAGGACGACGATCAAACAACCTAAGATCATGAACTTTCGTGCGTGACAGATCCGCTATGAACGGGAGATGATGGGTTGATGGTCGGCGATACCAAATGTAGTACTTTAATGTTCTCCAAGCCTTCTAGTCTCCCCAGCTCAAGCAAAATCAAATCTTCCAGCAAGCCAGTTGCCGAAAGCTGATACCGCACCTTGCCTTGCTTGCGACCTTCAAGCTCTTTTCACAGGGTTGAATCAGTCGCATTTGGCGCTCCTATTATTCTTGAAAATATCTATCTGACAGCAAACAATCACAGCAATGCAAATCTCTCAACGTGAGAACCGTCCAGCGCCCTCAGTCAGACGCACCCCAATGAGAGAAGTAGTGTCGCAGTTCCTCAGAGTAGTCTAGAGGCTCAGAGCAGAGACCGTATGGTGACTCCAGCATTATGTTTCACATCATTCTCGAAGAACAAAGAGTCTCCAAAATTGACCTTGCTGCAGGCTGGATGCAACATCTCCACTGCGGCAATTTAGCCACGCGGGCTGTTCGCTGATCATCTGGCCTGCTGCATCAGGCGAAAGCATATGGAGCGCACGTTGAGAGCACTGGATGTAGCGCTAATAGGGACATTGATCATAGACGGGTAGTTTACCCCAGGTGGTCCATGCTCGAGCACTTTCTGCCGTTTGCCTTGATCGCTTACTGACGCCATTTCTTCGGGAGTCGAGAATGGGTAAAGATATGCTGGGTCGTTTGAAGAGGGTTACCCGTCCCAGCGGATGGTGCTGCCATCATGGCTGATGACCCGCAGGCAGCACGTTGCTAACATTATTATCTACTACTGAACCCCGGTCCAGAGCATGTTTTAGAAGGCAAGGGAGACATGGGCAGGGGAACATGTCGTCGTAAAACTCTCGATGCTGCCATGAGGCTAGTGTTTCAGGACAACGGAACACCAATCACTGCACGTGGCCTGAAGCGGTTTAGACGGACCGCTTTAGACTGGTGCGTTTTTCTTGATCGAGCTTCGCCGTTCGTCTTCTTGCGTGCCGCCGAGGATGCTTTTCGCATCAAGAAGAAAATAGCTCAAGTATGATCGCGTAAGACGATGACCTCCGAGCAGCATGTGGGGGCTCTTGATGCCGTCTCTTCGTCGGCACCACGGTGACATGCTGGGGCAGCCAGACGAAGAGAGGCTCGAGCCTTTGTGGCAAGGTCAAAGCCAGAACACGAGGAGAGCGAGCGGAAGGGCCAGATGGACGTCGGATCTGTTGATGGTCTTGCCGAAGTGCTGTGTGCGAATAGTGCCAGGTGAGGGAGGGGAAGTATAGTTGGCTGGCACTGCGGCTGGCATGTTCAATACGATCCTCTCCGAGCATTTGGCTTCGGGCACAGGACAGCTGTGCCCTCTGTGACTGAGCGCACGATCGCGATCAGTCATGCACAGTCCGAAAATATGTCGTGAGTCAGCAAGAGTGGTGGATAGCTATCATTCCATTTCTACGCATGCTCGTCCGCGGTCGTTGTCTACCTTGCACGCGTGTGGTCTGTCTTTTCAGAGGAAATCCAACCCTTCTTTATTATTACTACCGTATTTGCATTTACATTTGCACCTGTCATCCGGGACGTGACGATTCGACTCGGTTCGTTCGAATTACCAGGGAGCTAATTGACCCGATCCTGAGGTCAATTCTCGCCATCCTTTCGCATCAGCAAATCATCCGCCCAATCCCAGGGAGCATCCAGCGACCAGTGACTTTGCCTGCACCAGCACACGAGTGGGTGCAAGGTTCCCGAGCCGCCCAAGCCCAGGCAGTCAAGTAGGGGCTAGAGTCCGTTAGGGCCTAGTACTGCCGACTGCGCCCCCGCTTCGGCGGTTCTTGTGACGAGCAAATTGGCGGAGACTTGGAGTCCGGGCTGTTTTGGCTAAGGCGGTTTAGCGTGTCTAAGGTCTGGCACCGCTTGAAGGAAGAGTTGAAGCTGGCCCGTAACGACGCTAATGTCTGCCACTGCCAGGGTCAAACTGCCCCCAAAACCGTGTCCCCTCCCCTCAGAGTCGCTTCAGACAAGCCAGACAAGCCAGAAACCTTGACCAGCTCTGCTTCAGAATTTCCTAAACACTCGCCCTGATCCACACCTTTTCCCCAAACACCCCAGACCACCTCCCATGTCAATTACTACCACCATTATTCGACGGTCTACCATTATTGCGCGCAAAGCTGCTTCGACACTCGACACCACTACTGCCACTCTTACCTCTTGTCCTTGCCGCCCGACCCAAGATTCACCCTAAATTAAAACAGCAGGAGCAATTCACTGCTGTTCTGGCTCTCATCGCCCCCTCGCGTACGACTCGACCGTTATCCGACCACCGAACAGCCTTCTTTTCGCAACCAATTCCCCTTCCTTCTTTCCTAATTTCTCACCATCGTTTCTTCAATCCTCTGACATCCGTTTTATTCTTTTCGACCTGTCTCATCTTTTCTCCGCCCGAACGACCTGATCACCGCGAGTCGCAGGCTTGAAACTTGTTGGCCTCGTGCCCGTCCGCCGCTCGCTGTATGTTCTGTTTCGGATCCCCACCGCAAGACACCTACGATTCAACAGGCCGGCCCTAACACTCTTCGATATTGTCAGGACAAGATCACCAACTGCAGAGGCTGGCCCTCGCATTCGACATTCGTTGCATCTCTTACGTGCCCCCATCTCACCTTCAGAACGCTCGCGCCATCCATTGGTTGGGGCAAGTCGTACACCCACTGGCGCAACATCAACGCCTGCGAAACAGGACCGAGTCGCGAATCTAGAAAACTGCTGTCTGGCTCACTCGAGTCCAAGCAGTCATGTTTTCTCAAAACAATAATGCCACCATGGCGCCCCCACAGAAACCTGAGACTTTCATGCTCTCTGATGCTGCGCAACAGAGCCTACCGCAGGACGCCCAGGTCGCCCTGCAACAAGTCGACAATTGTAAGTCTCCTTCTTTTGTGCTAGAATCCACCCTCGACCTAGCCTTCCGCGATTCCTAGAACCCCGTCAGGAATCAAGAAAGGTGCTAACACAGTTGAAGTGAAATATTTCCTCATCTCAGCACCTGTGGACTGGACACCGGATCAATATATACGGAGGTTTCTGCTGCCAACCGGTGAATACGTCTCGTGTGTTTTATGGTACGGAAACCCTCCCTCTGTCGTTGGCTGTCTGCGACTTACCACTGACGTTGTACAGGAATAACCTCTTCCACATTTCCGGCACAGACATCGTGCGATGCCTCTCATTCCGCTTCCAAGCCTTCGGTCGACCCGTAAAGAACTCGAAAAAGTTCGAGGAGGGTATATTCTCGGATTTGCGAAACTTGAAGTCGGGTACCGACGCTTCGCTAGAAGAGCCAAAGAGTCCGTTCCTAGATTTCATGTACAAGAACAATTGCATACGGACTCAGAAGAAACAGAAGGTCTTCTATTGGTACAGCGTCCCGCATGACAGACTCTTCCTCGACGCTCTGGAGCGTGATCTCAAGAGGGAGAAGATGGGGCAAGAAGCGACCACAATGGCTGTCAGCGAACCCGCTTTGTCCTTCGAGTTCGACGCTTCGCAGTCGCTGTTTGAGCAGCTCACCAAGGCTCAGCAAGCCAGTTCGTCTTCTTTCTCGGCCAATGCGAGCTCAGCCTATTCTCAGTCAACCTCACCAGTCCTCCGTGCATCAGACTCGATGCCTCCACCATCGCTACCACAGCCCCTACCAACAGTGTCCGAGGACGTGCCAGCAACAATCGGCGCTTACCCTCAAGTATCGGTGGCGCCATCTGCAGCCTCAAACTTTGTGAAGAGGGAGACGGACTATGGGCATTTGCAATATGATAGGAACGGCATACCTCTGTCGCGGGTGCATCAGCGGCATACGTCCATGCCTACATATATGGAATACTCGCCCGCTCCCTCGTTTGTTTCATCCCAAGGTGAATATGGCACCTACAGCAACCGTGACCTATCTTTCGAGCCAGTAACACCTCCTCAGAGCAACCAAGTAGCAGCGGCTGAGCCTGCTTACATTGCCAACGAAGACACAGGTCTTTACTCAGCCATCCCTGATGTCAATTCCTCCCAAAGCTACAATATGATGACGCAGTTGCCGCCGTCAAACCTCTCCGGAGGACAATACTCTGGCAGTCGTAACTACGGAAGCGGAAATGTTTATTCTGTCATTGAAGGTTCCCCCACTTACAAGCAACGCAGGCGGCGGTCCTCTATCCCTCCCAATACCAACGCTATGGCAGCCGCCGCTACCGGTCACGCACCACACCGTCAGAGTGACCTCCGACGTTCCGTTTCTGCCTCTCTTGGACCGGATGAAGGTGACGACTCAGGTCGCAATTCTCCTCCCGCTTTACCCAACGGCTATGCCAACATGATTGGGCAGCATAGAGACATGCTTGAGCATATCTCGCGTCACGGAACCCCACTCCAGCAGACAGTTGAGGGAAGCCCAGCTCCACAGAACATGGGCATGATGCAAGCGCAGGAGAACAATTACCACGGCTATCAGGATAACCTGCAGATTCAATCCACAGACACCAGCCCAGGGAGTCGTGGTGGAGACCGGCCTGGTCCCGTTCGGAGAGCCAGAAGTGCCACCATGATGGAGCTCGGACCGTATCCCCACAAATCACATTCTTGTCCCATCCCAACCTGCGGGCGTCTTTTCAAACGCTTGGAGCATCTCAAACGTCATGTGCGAACGCACACCCAGGAACGTCCCTATGTGTGCCCACATTGTAACAAAGCATTCTCTCGGTCAGACAATCTTGCCCAGTAAGTGACACCCTTCCTCTTACCCAGGCACAACGTGCTAACACTATGCTCATAGACATCGCCGTACCCATGAAGTGCGCCCTGACGGGGAGGTCGGCGGATACACGGACGACGATCTCGAAGCAGAAGAAAATGAATTCGGCACTCTCGAGGACGAAAGTCCGCCGCCGGAGAACAACAATCACTATGCGCAGAACCCTATGGCACACATGACAGCGAATGCGATGAGGCTGCCGTCGAATGGCATGGCGCATGACGGCATGAGCATGGCCGGTAGCATGGGACCACCAATGATGGGCGGTGGCATTCCAGTGAGCCAGCAAATATGACCTTGTCCGCGAAACAAATATGGATCTGAACGCCAAATTAACACCACACTCGACGTTCTACCCAACTTCTCAATCACATTCCCAATCATACGCATATCCGAATAATGTCAACGATTCACGAATTCCTTTGGAGTTCACATAGATCCATCTTCTGGCCTTCGACATCAATTGCATCACAGCGAGTATCGTGCACCAGTAACCTGCACCCAGCGAATGCATAGAGCGTGGCCCACTATTTTGCGTTATATTTGCACCGCTTGCACAACATGTCCATGACACTGTGAAGAGTAGAGACATTGGCGGATTTTCTCCTTTTCTCATATCTATTTTAAGTTTTGGATAACAGCTTATCCTTTGCGCTGAAGACAGCAGCACAAGGATTCTGTGGTCATGGGTTTGTGACTTGTGGTGCGAAAGCTCGTGCACAGGCGGCTTGCATCAGGATTCATGTGTATGAAAGTGAGCCAGAGCGTGTATGATCCTGCACTATATAGTCAGAGTCAAGAGGGGTCCTCCCTCAATCATGTTGATAGAAGTAGGAGTGAACCCAATGACAGAATTTTCAATACCATTGTCTGCCCTGTCCCGAGCAATCTGTAGCCATTTTCACCTTCCACTCGCTCTTCTCTTGCTTTCTCCACTCACTCACTGGCGATAACCCAAGCTTTCCATTCTCCAGACCCCTCTGTCTTACATGAGGAGCAATTCCCCAGCAGCGTCGAAGGTAAAGATGTTTGTCTTTTGCTAATCACATCCCCGGTGCCCAACCCAGACGCCAACCCAATTTTGAAAACTCGATAGCCGTGCACAACAGAGTGTCCTATCAATCTATCATCTCGGAACATGCGGAGCCTTCAAACCCGCTGTTTCTATTACTTTTGATAATATCAGACTTACGAATCAACCACCCACCCTCGTAAGCCCTACACATCCTTCACCTCCGAGATTTATATGATGCAGAAAGAATGGGTTTTCTTTGCAAACGAAGAGCATACGTACAGAGGTTCTACGGCAAACGAGACTCATAACTAAAATTTTGAAGATTGTGCGCCAATCAACAGGCAAGGATCTAAAAATGTCGATTTTGGATATGCTTTTTATGGAAGATCACGCATTTCGCAAAAAAATATTATGAGCCTACCAATTCTCGTTGCGAAAGCTTGAAAATTGATTTCCTTGCTCTACATGTATCAGAGCAGGGATGTACTTACTGAGAAGATATTTGGTCCAGGTTGAAGGGTTGGATGAGTACATATCAGGATATCGATGTTTTTGAAGGGAGAGCCGGGTAATGAATGAGCCCCGAATTGCTTGGGAGCGTAGTTGGAGTCAAAGGGTCATTACCACAGTTAGTTTAATAATATTGGAGGAAGAAAGGCTCTTGCAAAAGGAAATACGAAGCTGGATAAAAAGCATATACACGGATTCGAAGAAGGAAGAAGGTAATACTGAATCATTTCCATAATCTCATCTGATCTTTTAGTAGTACATCGTCCGCTCGGCATAACCTTGATCCTCGTTTCTGTTCACCACATCATGCGCAAGCAGAATGTATATTATTTCTTTTCAATCTCAGCTTAGCTTCAAGCAATCTGTTTCAGAAAAGGGCTGAGCAGCAGCTCATCAGCACTCGGTCTCTTCTCATGATCAATCTCAAACGTGTTGTTAAGGAAGTCCTTCCCCTCTGAGCTTGCACCGTCCGGTATATTAGGCTTAGCACTGCTGTTACCAATTTGGAAAATTGCCTGTAATTGGGAGCAGTTTGGGAAGGGGTGTGTGCCAGTGAACATCTCCACGATCAAGCAGCCCAGCGACCAAATGTCCGCTTTACGAGTATACGAAGTCTGTCTGACAACTTCGGGCGCCATCCAAAACACGCTACCTTGTAGTGAAGGGCGGTGGAGATGACCGCCGTTCTTCTGCGGCTGGAGTAGTGCAGACGCTTCGACGCGTTTGGAAATACCGAAATCGGAGATTTTGATGTTGCCTTTGTTGTCAACGAGGACATTCGCGCCTTTGATGTCCCTATGGATGATGTCTCTGCCGTGTAGATAGGATAAGCCTGTCAGGATCTGTCGTACAAAGTTCCGTATTAAAGGCTCTTGAAGAGAACCATAGGAATTGAGCATAGCCGCAACAGAACCACCTGGGACATACTCGAGGAAGATGTTGAAATGCTCGTCATCAGAGTTGGAGCCAAGGTATTGGACAATGTTCTCGTGCTGGAGGTCCCGAAGAAGATCAATTTCTCGCTTTAGGGCCGCTAGCATATTCTCCTTCTTCTTGTCGAGCACGCTGTTTGTCTTTGAAGGCATCTCAACTTGTTTGACGGCCATCAATTCTCCGGTGACAGCATGCAACGCAAGAAAAACGCTGCCGAAAGAACCTTGACCGATCAAAGCACCTTGCATCCACCGCACATTGTCCCATGAGTCGCCTTTGAGGAACTGATTCAGCTCTTCGTCAGGCTCCTCTCCGTCTGCAGCTATGGCAGTGCTAAGGTTTTCAGTCAAGGAACCTCCTGCCTCCGTGGTGGGACCACTACTGCCAGACTCATCGAAATAGCTAGAAAGAGCAGTGTGCGAGGTGTCGGATTCGTTGCCATTGTTCCCGCCAACTTGCGAATCGCTCTCAAAGGAAACGTACGACTTTCGATTTGGCTCGACTGGAGATTCCTCGGCTAGAGGCTGTAAGGAGCTTGAAGCTATTGAGTCTCGTTGCATGGCTCCTAGGCGGGATACCGAGAGCGGACGTGGACCACGCCCCGTCCCTCCGCTCATCAACCATGTATCTGCGATATTCGGAAGCGGGGGGCGTCTTTAAGACTTGAGGTGTAACTGCCATTGCTGGCGGTGCTTATTCTGCTTGCTGCTCTACTCAGACGAGCCGACCTCCTCATAGACATGCGCACTGTACGCTCTATGTGGGTCTTGTCGTGACCGGGGAAGTAAGTCGTGAGTTCTTGGCTGATCAGCTCACTGGGAGGTCGTCCACCCATGAATTCCTTGATCTTGGGTTTCTGCATTGAATCTGAACGTTGAGGTGGGTTTCCGTAGCCGTAGGACGAGGCCGAGCTACCGCTACGGTCTCGGGGTGGGAAGCGTCCTCCGCCATATGTTGCGGGCGATAGGGGGTCTGAGATCTCCTGCCATGAGACTCCTGTCTGTTGCTCTATCTTACTGCGGCTACGAGGGTTGTTCTGTTTGAGAGCCTCTTGACGCTTCTCATGCTGCTCTTCTAGCATGATGGCCGCAGCTTTTCGAAGTTCCTCCTCGTCGGGCTCGCCCGCATGTCGTTTCCGAAGGATCAGTCGTCCGCGTTCATTTCTGTCGTACGGCTCGGTGCAGAATCGTAATAGCTCTGTGTCTGACAGCTTGTGCGTGTTGGCCAGATCCTGGCCGTTTCCATCCAAGTTCCAGAAGCAGTAATTTCTCGACTGATTTTCGGGTAAATTGAGCTTTTTCAAGACATTGAGAATGATGTCATCCAGTGCTCTGCAGTTCTTGATATTGAGCACCTTTGTTTGACCGCCGTTGTATATGACACGTATTACTGCCTGACCAACAGGTAGCTTCCCAACCGTCGAATCTGTGTTGGCGTTCGGTCTAGGAAGACCTGAATTCGGAGTGGCAGGTCGCACGCCAGTGCCCGTGGCATTCCTTGCAGAAGTAGCAGGAGCACCAAAGTAGCCATTTTTACCCTCTTGCGCTGGAGCTAGCGGGCTCATACCGGCCGGTCGCTGTGTTCGCAAACTTCTCATACCGTCGTGCTCATTCATCGGCGAGCCTGGACGTGCACTGCTGTTCATTGGATAGTAGTCTTGTAGCATGGACGAATCAATCTGGCGTGACCAACGCCGATTGCTTCCACTCCCTTGATCTTGGCGATCCCGAGGGGTATTGAGATGGCGTGGTGAGCTAGCGGAAGAAGGCGTGTATGGGGTCAAGTTCTGCCGGCTATCCAAGGCTGCCAACGAGTCTCTGTTCCTCTTTCGGGAGTTGCCCACAGCCTTTGTCCTCAAGGCTTTGATGGCTACAAATATGCGCACTCGATCGCCAATCTTCTTGATCCCCATCTCCTTGAGCACCAGTTGATCGCACTCGATGAGGTTGGAACCAGTGACGTTGTTGACTGTCAATAAGTTAAGCGATGTCTGCTGATAACGGCCGACCATTGCAAGGAATGGTAGGGCAACATTGGAGAGCATAATTACTCACCTTTAAAGAGCTGCTCATATTGGCTGCAATTGATGGCTCTGAGCCAGTCACACACTTTCTTCTCATCCCAGGCCTTGATGACTTCGCCGTCTCCATCATGGATAGAGAACTCGGACTCGGTGGGACTGAGAAATTGGCCGTGGCCTCCAGCTGGATGAGGATCCCCACTTCCCACAGGTTTCCGGTAGCTGGCAGCGTATTGTGAGATGACCGACGGCTGACTCGACCCTAAGCCAACGTTGGAGGTGTAGGGGGCCTTAGAGGCTACAGCAGCCATGTTGGCGGAGCCGACAATCCAAGACGGCACCTATGAAGATCTACAATTCTGTACTATTCATTTAAGTGAATATGGTGAAGCATGAGATCGGAGAAAAATGGCGTCACAGACGGTACAATTAAAGTGTAAGACGGGTGAAAGATCAACGTGCCGTGTCGTCGTCAAAATATGCGGGTCAGAAGCGTAGAGAGGTTATTACTGTAAGGACGGCGAGTAAATGGAGCAAATGGTGGGGAGATGGCCCAAGTGAAGTCAGCGCGGGGTCCAGGCGGTGAGATGTTCTTTCCCTCTTTGTCTTCTTTGTCTTCTTTGATGTTTCGGGTTGAGGCAACCGACCGGCGGTTTGAGGAGTGTCAAGTGCTGAGGTGGGGGCGTCCTGGGGCAGATTCGAGAGGGTTGGTTGGAGGAATCAGGAATCACAAAGAGGTCCTGTATAGTAGACACAAAGGTATCACAATCTCCTTCCCCACTCTATTAATATTATCGATGACCCAGCAATGGAGATGAAAACGTTTGCAGAGAAGCGTCGGCTCCGTTGAAGTCGATAGTCGATGGGGACGTAGAGGGGAGGCACGGAAAGGGCTGGTTGAGGCAAAAACGTGTTCGTGGTTGCTGCTAAACTCCGATTGGTCCGCCGCCTTTTCTCTCTTCTCTCTCTCTTGACTTGTCCCTTTCTCTTTCCTCAAAGACTACGAGTATATTTGCCTCCGTATGGCTCTGTCTGAAGGTACTGTCCCGGTGAAGGGAGACACCGACGATGGGAAAGAAGGAGGAGGGCTATCGCATCACAGTCAAGTCACCATTCAAGCTTTTCCTGCTAGAGTCTTAGTTCAGTCTTAACGCGCTGCAGGCCAAAAAAAGCACTGGAACGCTAGGATGAAGCTGAAACATTTCATGGGCGATGGACCAAGGACTCCCCAGCGAACCAGTTGGAGTCTGAAAGACCGAGAAGATCTAGCTATTACGAGTATGGCGCCCCCTCAGCGCTCTTGCTCCTCCATCTTTTCGCCCCTTGCGCTTGCCTACTCTTAAGGCCAAAGCTCCTGAAGTTTAGTATTACAGCTGCTTATGACATCAAGTTGTGCTGCTTGCAACCATTGCATCATCGTGCTGCTGTATATTGCGACGCCCAGCAGAGCCCCAGAGTCTGCCTTAATCCTCGTCTGTTTACACACATTGTGTCTAACCTCAAGGCTTCAGTCTGCGACGTCAAGCGTCCAGCAAATGCATCAGCTTCGCCTCAGCGCACCTGCTGTGCCGCACCAATTCTCCTCGCCGGGGTTTCCAATGCGGAAGAGCTTGCGGCGGCTGTTGCTCTCCCTTGCATCGCTGCATGGGAAACACCGACCAAGGGACGTATATGTATGTTGCAGCACAGAGCAAGCCTGTCAACTGCCTCGCTTGCTCCCGCTACTTTGGTGAGAATGCCATTCTCCCGGACGTTCACGACTAGAAACATGCCCGTAGGCGGCGTAACCTCTCTGTAGATCATATAGACCAGTCATCCGCGTCATCATCAGCGTCAGTGATGAATGGTTCCTCGATGGACTTGATGGCCAGGTCACCGCAAGAAACACTGGCAAGCGAATCTTAGTCCAACCAGCTTCAAATGAAGTAATTGGAAGACATACCATTGTGCTCCAATCAGGGCATCTAATTCCCTGCCCTCTCTCTCCCTCTTTCCACCTCTCGAAATGCTCGCTTGCAGTTCCCTGATCCTCCGTTGCGTAGTAAGACCGCTCCCGTCCATGACTTTCCGCCCTAGACAGTCGCTGTGAAATCCGTGTTGGCAGCTGGGGAATACGAAGAATTGCCGGCTCAGCAGGGGTAATTCGCACAACCTACACCTTTCACCGGGCTCGACAATAGCATATCGTCGGTCTAGCTGCTTGATATCCGCTTTGATATGTTCTGCTGTGGCAGCTGAGGCGTCCATCTCAGCATCCAAAGAGGCGATGGATCGGGAATAGGACTCGAGTGCTGCGCAGATCTCGTCCTTGAAGTCATCGATCACCACAAAATCAGGAAAGAGAGGAATGAGATCTTCGATTCGTAAGAGATCGCATCGCTTCAGGAAGTCAATCGCAGTCTTGACACTGCCTGTGCCCTGCTTGCCGATGACCTTCTTCGCTACCTCCAGCCAGAGCTTTTTGCGGAGTGCCGGATTGCTGTCCGATGGTCGATCTGCGATCATAGACGCAAGATCAATCTCATCATGTTTGAGGGCCAGATTCACAGCTGAAGTGTAGTCATCCATGCTACTGTAGATGTGGACTGCAGATTGGACTCGGTCGTGCTGAATACAAAGGCGAAACGCAAAGTCTGCGTCATAGGGGGCGGACTTGAGAGAGAATGGACGGTCAGATAGCTGAGAAGAGCTTTTTCGTCCGGGGATGGATGTGAGGCATAGATTGAAAGGAGAGTGTTGTGGATTGCGGAATCGGATGAGTGCAAAGAGTTGATGCAGTAATTCAAATATCGGACAGCCTGATTTTGTGAAAGTGGCAACGAAGAAGCTTTGGTATTGTACGTGAGTAATGCGGGTGTAATCTTTATTGGATCGAGCTCATCATGGCGGATGAGTACGTCAATCAGCTCTGTTGGGGCATGCTGCATCAAGACACTGCTGTACTTGTAAAAAATCTCCGGGCTGTTCTGCCTCTTCAGAACATCTAGAGACTCTTGCCATCGCTCTCGTTGAACCCAGTAAGAGAGTACATAGTTATGATCTTGAATTGCCAAAGCATAAGCGAGGAGCTCTTGCTCGCGCCCATGGCTGCTGATGACTTCGTAAGTCGTTTGTTTGTCCAAATCAGTCTTATATCGGGTCACAAAGTCCTGGAATTCTCGGCGAGTAGTGATCAATTCTTTCTGTGTATTCGCAGGCGTCGTGTCCTCTGTTAACTGCGCTTTCGTGGTAAGATGATCATCCAGAGAATTTAGCCTTGACATGAAGAGCTCGACAAGCCAGCTTGTTATCATGATCCTCTGCATGATGGAATTCTTTTGGTAAGTCGCCAGCTTCATCAAGAGATATTTTCTCAGAGCATCATGCTCTCCATGGTCGATAAAAGTTAACGCAACCTGTTCAAAGGGTCTGCTGCTCTTGCCATAGACGTTGGCAGCGTCCATGTACTGCCCTTTGCCAATAAGATAGTCTCCTGACGCCACAGCAACCGCATCCTTTTGAGGCGGGCTTTTTGCATACTGTGATGCAAGACTAAATTGCTGACGCTTTAGCATAATCTTCCAAACCTCCCGATCTTCATCCGTGACAACAATCTCGAAGATCTCTCGCGCAGTGAACAGCCAAAAAGTGCTCTTTTTCTGATCCGCAAGCAGAGCGACAGCACTGTCTCCAGGCTCGACAACAACCTGATCAAAGACAAGCTGCTCATCAAGCCGCTGCAAAGCTACAACGCGTCCTTCAACTAAACACAGCAGATGCCATTGGCTAAGAGTGATCCCAGCGATAGGCTCCAATGCGGGCTTCTTACGCCCACTGGCATTGTCAGAAGCTGGTATTTGTTTTCTTTCAACGATTTTGGAGCTGTTAAATATAGCACTTCCCAGGTCTCCAGATTCGGTAGAGTTTTTAAGCTGGCCGTACGACACCCCCTCCGACGCAAGCCAAGCGTAGTAACGATCCTCATTACCAGCTCCTTCGCCAGCCTCGTTTGGCAGGTCCGGAGAGACTACAAGTGCAGAAGGTGTTGGTTTGCTTCCTCTATTTGCTTCGCGTAGAGTCGGCGCTTCCGATTCCAAAAGCTTTGTAAATATGCTGCCTGAACCTTCGCTCCCATGCCTACCAATTCTGCCAACAAAGTGCAATAGCTTCGTCGGCGTGGCTACGAGTAGCCTCCGTACTTCGGGTCGTCCAGGCATATGATCCACCCATAATCCTGTCACAGGCCCCTCGGGTGCCTTGTAGACAAGCTTCAAATACTTTTCCTGGCTCCTGTAGAATTCGGTGGACGGCTCGATATAATTCTCATAAATATTTCCGTCTACTGCTCCAACAAGTATCTCTCGAGTAGACGCAGTAGGTAGAGAAGGATTCCATGCTATGCTTTCAATTCCCACGCCCTTCAGCCGCGAAAGCAGCTTTGGCTGTCGAGACTGGGTGTGCAAATAGTAATTATCGCCCAACGTGGTTGAAATGATGAGATGTGAAGCAGAAGGATCTAAGAACAAGCGGCGAATCAAGCCAGTCTCTGTGGGCTTCTTGGGCAGGTCAATGTCTGTGACACAAGTCAGCCGTCAAACATGCTTTGGGAAAACAAGCAAGAACCGTCGACATCAGACGGGCTATCTAGGTCAATGCGAAGGATGCGACCAGTGGAAAGAGCAAGGATGAGGACATCATTCGCGACTTGAGCAGCGACGAAATCGGCGGAAATATTGAATTGAAGGTCAACGCGTTTGACTTCGAACATAGGAGGGGCATTTTCCTCAAGATTTGACATGATCGTGCCTTCTCAGCCAAACAACTAGCTCGGAGACGAGCTTGACCAACTCATCGATGTCTCCATCCAAGCAGCACCTGCCACCACATGAGGTGCCACAACTGGCCAACGGTGAGGAAAACGGTTCAAAATGCGGGCAGGTCTACCTTACCTTAGTGTACCGTCATGCCAAGGCTGTGACCTTAGTACGCCCCCTTGGCTCCATACTCCTATTTAGCTGTGCTAAAGTGGTTGCGGTATCTGAATGAACACAGACAATTGCAAGTCGAAAGAGAAATACACATGAGAGGGTAAATGCCTTGATTTATCGACTACTTGAAGCAGCTAATTCTAGATCCCGACATGCGGCTTCACATTTCCATAAGGATACGATTCACCGCTAGGAAATCAGTAATGATTTCCAACCCACTCAATATCCCACCCCAAGTCCTCAATCGGCTGATGATGAGGAGCTTGAGTGTTCCTGCGCCAGTCCATCACTTTGGCATGGGCCAACTCCTTCTTTCCCCCCTTTTCGTAAGCTGTGTTTGTATTTGAAGAAAAGACCTTGAGCCCAAATCCACTACGCCAGTATCCCGGTGACGACCGCTTCTTGAAATCTTCGTGATCGATGGCCTCTTCCACTTGTTTGTATTGACGGCGACGACTCCCAAGAGCAGCCCATTTGTCCATAATGCCTTTCTTGGAAAGCGACGACTCGCTCATACGTTTAGTTGGCGGTTGAGGGAGCGCTTCTTCAAAGTGAAAGATTTCATCGTGTCCACTTTCACCGCTATCGCGTGCTTTGCCCTTCATGGGAGTCGAAGCTCGAGAATTGGCAACGGCAGTAGTATTCTCAGACGATACAGGACGCTGATCAGCAGAGCCAAGTTTGCTGCGCTGGCTCCAACTAGAAATGCTTGGTTTGCGCCGACTCTTACTCGAGATTTCCTGCTTGGTCAGAGATTCCTCTTCGTCTTCGTCGTAGATGTCAGTCCAGCTCTTGGACACATTATTCTCTTTCTTGCTGAAGATATTGGAAAGTGTAGATATGCGTGAAGGAAGGGAGTTGGGCACCATCATTGGTTTGGACCGTGGGAGGCTGAGCGGCATTGGAGGGTTGGGACCCATCGACTTCACAGAAGTACCGAAGACAGAGTCTAGACCGGAAGTGACTGAAGAATTTTGTGCCCAAGATACCCAAGACGTCCTGTCAGTTTCTGAAGCGGCGAAAAGGTCCTCGTTGATACTTTCAGTGTCTGCGATGGCTGAAAGTTGTCGTCCATTGCGTGGAGGGGAGGTGTGCAGGATCTTAGACCAAGGGAATGCTCCACCTTCGTCGACTTGAGGACTTGAGATTGATGGCGTTCGAAGGGGCTCGCGGTTAGCACTTGCGGGAGCGACCTCGCGGACTTCAGTGCAAAAGTCATCCGGAACATCGCCGTCAGTAGTGAAGCTAACGACGTTTTCGAGAGCGGCACGTATGCCAGATAATGAACGCTTGGTAGGGTCGATGGCCATGGCCGGAAGCAAAGCCTTGAAAGTGTCTTCGGACATATTTGGAAAGATATCGAAAAGGGACTTGTTGTCTCGAGCGAAATCGGTGTAGAGCACGTCCGACTCACTTGGAGTGACGAAAGGGTTCCGAGAGAAGAGAATGTTCAAGAGGCAAATGCCGATGGCCCAACAATCCGCTTTAGCAGGGCAATAGCCGTTATCCTGTGGATCGTACTGCTCTGGCGCCATGTAACGGTCGCTTCCCACGGATGCCTCATTTGACCATAGCTCAGAGGTAGCCAAACCCAAATCACCAAGCTTCATAGAGCCGTCGTGAGCGAGGAAGATGTTTTCTGGTTTGATGTCACGATGATACAAATTATGCGAGTGCATGTGCTCAACAGCACCGATGAGCTGAAACATGAATTCGCGAACATTTTCAGTCTCCAAGGGACCACGACCATGGCGAATTGCTTCGTAAAGATCTCCCATAGGGCAGTACTCAAGGACAAGGTAGATATGGGCCTTGGTCTCAAACGCCCGGAGCAGATTCACAATGTTGGGGTGGTGACCAAGTTGTTCGTGACAAGTGAGCTCAACGGAGTTCTCGTCGACAGCGATAGCTGGACATTCGATCTTTGAAGTCGCTTTGCTGAGACATTTAATAGCAACATTTTCATTGGTCAGTTGGTCCTTAGCCAGAAACACCATCCCAAAAGATCCATGATTGAGGGGCGAGACAGACTCATATCGACCATCAAGTATACTTCGCTCGACGAAACCATTCCTCATACAGGCCATCTCCAAGAAAAGTTGGCAAAGCGGATGATTGTTGAGAAATGGTCGCTCCGTGAATCCGCAAGCGATAGTGATGAACTCGCTGTTCTGTAATCCTGAAGCAAAAAGAGGCCGATTCGGGGGATTAGATCCGAATCGGCCGAGGGATGAAGGTCGTGTAGAGGAGTGATGTCAAAAGTCGTGATCGTAGCTTCGGAACAAAGGTGCTGTACTGATAATCAAACGCTAAGGAGGACTCCGCCTGCCACTCATAGAGCCCCAAACTCCACCCAAGTCTTCTAGACAATCATGTGCAGGCTGTAAAAATAAGGTATTGACAAAGAAATCGTTGACCAGACGTGGTGTAAGTCGGCAGAGTACGTATATACAAATTATTTTTGCGAGAGATGCCGCTTGGAATTCATTAAATTATCGAGTCGTATTTTCGGACTGTGTAGAGCGAGAGGGCTGGATAGAACGTTAAGGAGATGCGGAAGGAGAGGACGTCGACAGGTGCGACAAACGGGGAGTAGATTAGAGTTGGTCGCTGCGTACAATCGTGAAAAGGTCCGGGTGGTGTCGTCACACGCCGTTGTTCATCCGCTGAAGAGTACCACGCTCGCAACGGAGAATGAGGGTAAGGGTATCTTCCTAGCACGTTGCTGTATATAGGCCAAATCGCTGAAGGCAGTCACTTTGACATGGGATGATGTCAGTGTCTAATCAGTAGCTCAACGCTGTTACCAGGCAGCTGCGGTAGCTCGGGAAACAGGACAGTGGCGATCTCAATGATTGTATGGGTGCCGATGCGGCTTCAGGTGATCGCCACGCTGATGATGGACGTTGACGGGATATTGGTCAATGGCAAGAAGTTTGAGCTGTGATGAAGTTGAGAAGTTGTTGATGGTGGTGTTTGGGAAGTAATAGCGAGGAATGTTTAGGAGGGAGCGACGGTAAACAGAAGAAAGCAAGGCAACAACAATGACCGATGATGTAGATTGTCAGAGTGAATCAAGTCATTGTTGCCGTTTAGGAGTGTTGTATAATGATCATGGCGAGGGAGCTTTGGGACGGGATGGAGAAAGGTGGGCAGAGAGTAGCTTGATGAGATGGAGAGGTCATATGTTTTGGGGATAGAGCCGGTTGGGCTGAGTTGTCCCAGACTTCCCATTCCCTCTTTGATTGCAAGGGAACGTACGGCGGTTCTTTCCGCCGACTTCGACGGGGTTCTGTTGGACGGAGAGGCAGCAGGTACCAAAGTATTCTGGCCCTAAAATAGGGCGCTTGGCTGGAATGGTAGACGCTCTAAACACGGGCTTGCAAGGGGGCAAACAGGCCACCTCAGCGCTATGACGACCGGTCTTCCACCTACTGATCTCCGGCCAATGACGAGCGCTGTTGTCGTGATGCACCATGCTGCTTTCACCGTAGTCACCGGGGTGCATTACGACAAGGGACCCGCCTTGTCCCTGTTGGTACCTTCTCATACGCAGAGCCCCCAAGTCTGTTTGTTGGATTACTTGGATAAGCCTAGAGGCCAGATCAGGAACGCTCGTTGTATCGACCCCCCAAAGTCTGTCCTATTCTCGTCTTGCTTACCGCCCACCAGGGCAGCTTCGCTCTACTCAATCTCTTCAGAGGCAATCGGTACATGGTCAATCTGATACAACAACTGAAGCTGTTCGTCATCTGTCTCTTTGATTGCCTGCTAATTACCCCTCCCCCGCCGTTATGCTCGCCCGTGAAAGGATCGCATGACCTGGCGGGTAGAGATTACAAGAGAGCCCCTTGTCTTCGAGCACAGCCAATCCGGGAGAATTGCAGGCCAGCCAAGGTAGCGCTAGGGCACGTCACTTGCGTTGCAGGCCGTGCCACCGTGACAAAAGCCAGGACAATAATGCCAGGGAGTGCCCAGGACAAGCCAGGGTTGCGCCTCTGTTTGAACCATTCAGGTCTGGCCACATCTTCGCCTATCACCTACCCCGCCAGGGCACCACTGGCTGCGACTACTGATCGTCCGCCGCCTCGACCAGCTTTGTGCAGCTAGTGCAAGCTTATGCATCTCTGCAACCGATTACGCCGCTATCGCGACGGGCAACGAGCCCGACCATTTCCCTATTCGTCGGCCTGAGGCCAGTCCTCCAAGCTGTCGCAGACTCTCATCATTCTCATACAACACGGCAAATGATGTTGGATTACTCCTAGCTACTTGCGTCGTGCCCGTGACAACACCCGTGAAAAGTCACCTGGCCTAGTCAATCTCGTCTAACTTAAGCCTAAGCAGCCCGGAGTATGGCTCGGTACCTGCAGCTCTCTAATTACTTACACATTGACTTAAAGTTGTTAAGAATGTCACGAGAAGCATAGCGTACACAGCGGTGCTCGAGGGGTCTAGAGTAATGGCTCGGATTGGACTCGGCAAGCATTAAGCTACTTCGCTCTCTAATGATCGCCAAGTACAAGAACACGTTAATGCAGGCGAACAGCGGTGAGACGAAGAATTTCATGGCGTCGCTCTTCTTCCCAGCTGTAAACCCAATTGAATCGTTTCATGCCTTTGCAATATCTCGATCAGGTCGTCCTGCTTGAAGACTTTGTACAATGAGCACAGAGACTTGGATCCGTAAAAGCATTGCCACAATTCGGCATTATTATTATCGTACAATTCCAATACCTTAGCTCTAGCTGTCCCTTACAGCTTTTGGTCCACGCGGTCGGGTTAGTCAAATGCTGGCTTGCGGCCAGATCCTGGCGAGCTTTTAGTACTGATGGTGGCGTTGTTCTAGAAAAGTCCCATGATGTACGGAGGAAAAACAAAACATCCATACGTTCCGCAAGAACCCCAAACGCTGCGTGGCACACGAATCATACTCAAATAATGCACAACAGGTAGCTAGCTAGTCTTCGCGGACACGGTAATTGCACTCAATTCGCCCTCGTTGTCGGTGCACGGAGTAAGTACATTCTTACCCTGTGAAAATGTATGCATGCACCCTGCCGAAAGTACATAGCCAGTACAACTTCGCGCCCTCGTTCGACCACTCGATAGACTCCGATTTTGCGTGATTGACCCCCGCGTTGCTTGACAATCCAAAACCCGTAGCGACACCAATGGCGATTACGTGTCCCTGGTAAAAGTCTCAACGTGATAGATCATTGCACGCTCTCCGTAGGCCCTGCACTTCTTCGTAAGCTTTGTCGGTGAGCGACAACGCTGGGGAAATGGTCAGAGGAGGCCAAAGCAGCGTACGTCAGTCGCTACCTGCAAATGCTTCAAGATACTTCGTCGTGGACGTATGGGATCGTGTATTGATTAGCTACCTTGCACTAAGGGAGCCCAAAGTGCTAATGCCCGGGTCGTATCTTGTGAAGGTCAAGTTCTAGTTGATCTTTATGATAGGAACAACTGAGATTAAGGAATGACAAGTGCCCTGAAGAAAGAGATCTGAGATCCTTATCACTGCCGTTCATTTGCAATGGTTGTGGCTTCGGGGTAAACACGCGACCCTCTCCCTACCTTCTCGTCGCTCTCGCTTTTCCCTTGCAATGCTAGCTCCATATGCAGTCTTCAGCCAAGACGAAACTAATTATTCAGTATATGATGAGCTCATAGTAACCCTGTTGTAAGGAGTCTGCCCACAATGCAATATCAATACCCAGCGGCGTAAATACCTGGCATTGGTCCAAGACTTGTACTTGGTTCCTCAATACCGGTCTGAAGCAATAACTGTTAGGATTGCATTCGGGTTCAAAGTGTCTTGAGAGACTGCATGCTAGACTGAGGATATGTCGGCCACCAGACTTACAGCCGTATTAGGTAGCGAAGTAAATTGAATGTGAGAACGAGATCTCATGGCCTGGGGAAACCTCTTCTTCCTCCTCTGCCAAATCGAATGGCCGAGGGAACGAATTTCAGGCTAGACATAGCTGACGTGATGTCGTCGACATTCGTGTTACCGGAATCTTCCCCCTGTTGATTTAACTTCTCTGCAAGGACGTGTTCTTGCGATGGTTCGGGCGATGAAATCGCTGAGTTACCAGAACTATTGACGTTGCTTCGGACGTCCTGCTGTGACCGAGAATCGGCGCGAGAATGAGACGGTCTGTTCTTATGGTTTTTCATACGCAGCATAGAGCTACGTTTATCTATACCAGTGTTCACAATCTGGAAGTCGTAGTTCTTGGGTACATTAGGGCTCGGCCTTCCAGGACACGGGTCACCTTACCTTGGGGAACATGTGCTTGTCCGCAAGATGCATTCGTCTTTTCAGCGGCGTGGAGCACACCTTGTCACAATCTTCTATGAAGCATCGATACTACAGGTCTTTCAGTCGAAGCACGTCCCACCAAAAGAGCAGACCCTACCGTCTTCTCCCCTCTGGACTTCTTCACCTCACTTAGAGGATCGTGATTTTCGCTGATATGCAGCATAAGGAAATGCTCATCTGGGAGATTTTTCCTACATTCAGAGCAGCGATTTGCGTGAGTCTTCGCGTAATGGACTTCAAACTCCTCAAAAGTATTAAATGAAAGCACTTCTCGATGGGGTGGAAGGGAGCATTTCATGACTGGTAGCTTGTTTGTGGGTCTGCCTTCTACCTGCACGTATTTGAGGGCGTTCTCTAATGGACCAGAAGTGACTGGAGCTGGCTGGTCAGTCGCAGACGAATCATGAACAGTATTTGCGGGCGGCGAGTCTTCACGGGAACGCTTGGGCATTGACGAGACAATTCCTAATTCACTTTAAGTATTTTCAGGGCAGTCGCTGATTTCACCTTGCAACTGGAAAGATAATGGATGTCTCCTCGAGCTATTTTACCCCTGAAATGCGGATTACATTCCGCACCACGCAATTGAGGCTTGGCAAGAGCATCAACGCGTCAAGTCAACGCGCTCAATTCGGGTTGTGTCCAAAAATCAACATGGTTGTGATTTCTCACTATGAATCTCTGTTGGGGCTCGCGTGGCACAAATTAAATGACGAGTGTTCGTGATCGAGTGAATGAACAATCATGCTTGAATTACTGGAACAAAAGTGGACGTTAGCATCCCGAATTCTCATATCACAATCATCTGGTCTAAATATGCTGTAGAGACCTACAAATTGTTTCAAGTGAATTGAAAGCTTCATTATCAGCCGAGACCTCCATAGCGCGAGAAAGTCTTGAAAAATTGTCGCAGTATGTCTCTACATCCACTTTCAATTTCGACAATGCTTATATCCCAAGCTGTCGAGCGGTTTGCGAAGACCTCATTCATGGAGACCTTCAGTATGCAGAGGAGCGAGACGTCGAGCAGAATCTGTGGAATCTTCACAGTCTTTATAATCTTTCATTTCGAAAGAAATTGAGATTTGTGTGTCGGCCTGAATGATCGGGGCGTGAGACATCTGCTGATCCTACGACAGTATCAGCAAACAGATGGCAGAAGAAGAAGACCTGTTGAGCGACGGAAAGCCGAGAAGCAATTCCTGCAATTCATTAAGTCAAGTCAGTCGTTTTACAGGAGTCTGTTGTACGGTCTTTCGTCGCGACACAAGAGCTCATCAGCTCTCGATGCAATCACAAAACGTCTTAGTTTCTCACGTGGGTTGTTGCTCTAACACCTTGTAACCTTTGTGCCTGACGCCTCATAAGTCAACTCAACAGACTCGTTGGGCCACTTATCCTCACCCGGCCATGTTTTGGTACACTCTGTGTCTTACGCATGCCTCATCCATCTAGGTGACTTATCGAGATGGCGTGAAACACAGCTTGTACAGAAGAATCTCAACTTTGGACCCGCAATTGCTTACTATGACTTGGCTCGTACAATAGAGCCAAGAGTTGGGATGAGTTACAACCAATTAGCAGTCATCGATCAAGTGACTTGCGACAACTTCAGTGCTATCTATAACATATGTTGGGCTCTGGCTGTGACAAGGCCTCATGATGGAGCTCGACAGAATCTTGACACACAGCTAAAGCAGATGTTGAAGAGAGAGAAACCAGAAGATAGAAATGAGGGCCGGCCTGAGACGGACAAAGACGCCGCCATGAGACAATTTACGGAGCTTTATTTACACTTCCTTGCAACCTGTTATTCGCACCCCCAATCCGTCATCAAAGATGGCACGCAGCAGCAGATCCTAGAATCCTTCTCCGCTCACATAGACAAAAGGTCGTCGGAATCTACTGTATGTAAGATTGTGCTCTTGAACATCGCATTCGAGCACATCATTGTGAGGTATCCAAAAGGTTCATAGCCTCAGGAAGGGACTGATTGGAGTTCTCGCTGATAGACCACAAATAGGCAGCAAGATCACTTCCGAGTCTCTCGACATCATGTTGTGCTTGAATGCTAGGATGTTCAGCGTGTTATTGCGCGGCTTTCAGACCGAATTACTTTCACAATCAAAGCACCCCAAAGACCCAGATCGCGACAATCCAAAAGATCGTGACGTAACGTTGACGGCGAAATCACGTCGTCTTATACCTTGGATGCGCCAGTACAGTGCTTGGCTAGCATGTCAAACTGATATCATAGAAGCCAAAACAGCGAGCTCTTCATTGAAATCTCATATCAGCATATTAATTTCGGCATATGTCGATACCCTAAATCTCATCCTCGATCATTTCCCTGTTAAAATCCTACCATCTCTTGAATACCTGCTTGATGAGGACGAAAGCGCTATGTACCTTGAACCTTTCGCGGGGACGATTTGTCAGCGCTTACAACAAAGGTACTTGCTGGATGGTGGAGTGGTAAAGTCAAAATCGTACGAACAGGGTGTTAAACGGCAGTCGCTGTATCAAGAAATGCTCTCAAGAATTGGGGATATTCTGGGAGACGCACTTTACCTGAGATCGAATAGGGTTCATCAACTCCAAGCTTCTAATTCTCATTGCTGATGTTGAGTAGAGCGCACGATTCCAATATGAGGGACGTCGATTCGTACTTAAAGAGGATAGAGCCCCTGAGATTCGCCCACAGTCAATCGATACCGCAAACGACATTACCCACGTCAGCGAGACGGAACTGCTAGAACGGTCTGAATTCACTGAGAGACCCTCTACAAAGGAGAGAGAAACAAAATATCCGGCACCGAAAATCGTCTCAAAACGAGAAACACATGCAACGCAAGAAGAGACAAACTACGGTCCCTTTCCCGCTAGCGAAATTCGAGCGAAGACGGAGAAGTTGTCCCAAGATGAAAAGAAAGCAAAATCTAAAGCAACATTGAAGGCACTTTCTCAAGTCTCTGTTCATTCCGTTGCCTCGACGACTACCGAGATGCCAGATCCTACAGCTCCAGTACCTATCGATGACGAAGTAGGGCAAATGAAACCGCCACGGCTTCTATCTCGCATAGCAGCTCTGCAAGGCAATTCTGATGGTGCTATCATTACCAGCTCAAGCATTTTCAGTAGCTTATGATTGCGCGTCCTTTATCGTAGTAAGTGGGGATCACGCCTGTTGAAGTGTGGAATACAAAGTCAGTTGGCGAAGGCAGATGCAAAGGCTGAGAAATGCAGAGCTGTTTAGCCTTGACAATATAATTTGGTGTGAAGATGCAATTGATGCTTTTGGTCTTAGCTCCGTGCCTGAAAGGACTAGGCCGCTCTATATGGAGGATGAAAATCCATCGCGGTCATCTGGTCATAACATCGTACAATCATAATTACAGTAAGCACCCACCGAAACCAGGATGAGGTGTTGAAACCTGTGCGCCATCACTGTCCAGCCGATACGGACCAACCCAACTACTGGCAACCGAGGCTCACGAGGATTGATAAGTCTTCTTGGGGAAAGGGAATCTGTGGTAGAATTGATCAGTCATCGACACGGAATAGAAAGTCAAGCCTAGGATTTCGAATGCCGGTTGGGACAAGAAAAGAGCAACATACTGAGGTCCTAGCTCTCTGATGCTCAAGGATGCAAGCCATTGACCCATGTCTACAGACTCTTTCAAAGTCTTCCCTTCAACGATGCCAGCAACGAAACCACCTGCGAATGCATCCCTGACAAAGCCAAGTCAGTGACTCCATCTTTTCTCTGGACGAGGACTGAGGGCACTTACCCTGCACCGTTCGTATCGCAAATCTCACTGCTTGCTATCGGGTGCACGGGATACTCCGACACTCCATCCTCTCCCTGCACAGCAATGACGGTGGGCTCAGTGCCCTGGGTGATGACCACAGTCCTCTTGCGAGACCCGTTAGCCTTCGGCAGTTCTGCTATCAATCTTGCAATCTCCTTCACATCCCTCGTCTCCTTTCCTTGTCCCTCAGCCCAACATCTCGCCTCGGTCTCGTTACCAATCAGATAGTCCCAGTACCTGCTGGTCGCTGCCAACTGATCCTTGAATACGGTGGGGATGAATGGCGCACTTAGACTCAGCACGAAGGTCTTATTGTTCTTTGCCGCCTCTTCGCCCAGAGCCTCAATGGCTGGCGGGCTCACAGTCAAATGGTAGCCACCAATATAATACACCTGGGCCTTTTCCACCAACGCCCATATCTCCGGCTTCTTCAAATGATCAATTTTGTACTCGTTCGCAGCCGCAAGATGCGTGCACATGCTTCGATCATGGCCTGTGATGATGACACCACATTTCCCCGTTGGCACGCTCTCGACCTCCAGATACTCTGTCTTGACGCCCTCCTTCGCCGACGCTTCTTTCAGGATGTCTGCATATTTGTCTTTCCCCACTGCGCCAATGTAGAGTACCGAATCGGGAGGCAGCATGTACTGGGCGCCTCGAGCGGTGTTCTGCGCGGCGCCGCCGGGTATCTGCACTGCTTTGCGGTTGTTCAATAGGTCTTCGTAGAGGGGCATGTGCTTCTCTTCGGCGAGGATTGCGTCATTGGCTTTCAAGCCGTATTGGGCCAGCATTTCTTCATCTCTGTAGTGATATCAATGACAAGCTCCATGCTGAAAGTAGGGCGGGTTAAAACGTACCCTTGACCTTGGATGTCTGGAATCGCATATTAGTTGTGAGAAGCTGAAATGTTGAGAGGTTTGCTCACCAAGGAGAGGGTTCTCCAGACAGAGCAACGCATATCCTTTTGTCGCTGCCATGTTGAACGCTTTTCTTCTCAATGTAGTGTTTCTGGGAGAAGAGGAGCAGACAAGTCGAGCAAGACCAGAGTAAGTTCTCCAAATCGTTGATATCCTGAAATAGCTTAGACTTAGGGCTTCAATACTCTACTGTCACCTGCTATTGGGCCGGAGCCACTCTTACACCTCACAATCCCCTTTCTCACTGCCTCGAATGTGATTAGGATTCCGAGCGTATATCTTCGCGCGGTCTGCTGCCAGCTAGCCGCGATTCTGGAGATGATTCTTTTGGCTGAATGAATATGAGACAAGCTGAGTATTCCCGTAGCTCAGCTCTGAAATCTTGTCTATTGTATCTGCTCCCTACTTGAGCGTTTGTCAATGGAGGATGAATGCGAGTGAACAATGCTTCTTGAAATAGCTTCATGATATCCTACTTTTTCTGCTGAAAATGCGCGCCGAACCATTGAACGGCGACTAATTTGGGCAATCCTTTACTCTCCGAGAGCGAAGACAGTATGAGGTCAGCATCTAGCCACATAGATTTCTCAGGTGTATGAATTTGTCCCTAGCATTACTCTGTGCTCTCTGACTGTGGTGGCTCTTCACCAGCCACGGGTTTGAGTATAGCAAGTCTAGGAGTATGACTTGCTCCAGCTACATGTTGGAAGCCACCATTGTGGCTTAAGAATTTCAATATCATGCGTGCGCCTACTGTCCCAGTCATGTCCGGATAGTGTGCTGGCTAGTTTGGGATCTAGCTTGCAATACTGGACAATCGAGATGCTTCTGAACGTGCTTGCTTGTCTTACTTTGTATCACTTTGTTTTCATCAATCTAAGGCGAGATCATGATCCAGATACAAAATGCCCAGGTTCAGGTCGGATGTGGTCTGCTATCTCGAAACCGAAATGTCACACTGTATCGTTCATAAACTTCACTTCGGGATCCAGCTGTTGGGGCACGTCTGCTCCTGCGAGATGAGTAAAATGAGCGGATCTTAAGCATGTATCCTTTTACACACAGGAGCAAATTGCGTGAATGTACGTTCGGCCAGGAACTCAACTCTTGATCCACCCAGCGCTTTCCGATTTCTTTTGAGTGACCAGATGCTGCCAGCAGAGCATTTGACGCTAGACATCACGGCTTCAAATCTTAGGACTTGCCAGGCATTTGCAGATGTTGCAGGAAATGGCGAGAAGTAGGCCAACTCGTCTAAAGTGATGTCGAGAGCAAAGTAGAGCCTGCAGCAAGTGGCCCATGTATGTTTTAGACCCTGCATTGTTGGCAGCTATCCTCCACATCCAGCCACCAAAGGCTCCATCGTACACTGTCAAAACAACCTCACGCTCTGCAGGAGCGATTTGATGCACTGACGCCCAAGCATTCTTGATGCAGCCTTCAAGCCCATCTACGGCCGCCTCGGACCACTTCGCCATCAGAATTGTGCTTGGAGCTGCTGCTCCCACAATGTACAGTGCAGCTGCGTCAGCACATATCAGCTGACGATGACCTCTAATGGCGATATGAAATGGAAATCCTCGGACGTCGAGGGCAAAATGCACCCACTGAATGAAGGCGAGTACCACAGCCGTAGAAGTGTCATTGAATCACAAGCACAGGCGAAATCGGACTACGCCTAGCACGTGCAGCAAAATTAAACCCTCGAAAGCACTTTCCCGTTCATACTTCTCCATTCGACAGCCTACATAAGCGCTGCAGGGTTGGGGGAGCAATGGAAGAAGCCGTTTTAGAACTTTCTCCAGAGCTGCCACTACTGCAAGCCTCCAATGCAACTAGTTCAGCCACTGGCAAAGGATTGCAACGGTCTGTAACGTCACTCATTGTGCAATTTCTTAGCGCTTCGAAGAATTGTGGGGGTCCAAAATTGTACAGGATCGAGGAAGGAGGAAGTGAAAGCTGATCCCAAAGGAAAGGAAGGTAGGAAAATAACGATGGCTCGCAATGCTTGGCTGTGATTCAATTGAAGTTTCAAGTATACCAGATATATTTCTACTTAGCAAAAGCCATTCATAGATCAGGAGATAAAAAGAGCTCTTACAAAGACCGTATTATCCGAGGCTTGCCGTTTATACCCCATCTTTGCCGTAGGAGAGTTAGACGTTGTGATGAAGGAGTGTTCTGCTAACGCGGAGGCGCAGAAGTCTGCAGTACTTGAACTTGCCATTAGGCGTAATTGATGGAGAGAAGGAAATCTTCCAAGGGGCTGGTTTTCGTGCACGTGTAAATGATCGGAGTTTCGTCCGGAAGAAATTTCGAGTGTAGTGCGAATGAATACGAAACTGAGAGTTTGATTGAATTGAAGTCTGAATTGTTGTGGCCGTGATCAATATGCTTCTTGAAGGCACCAGAAAGAGCATGTTGAGCGGACGTAGTGTGCTTGTCAAGCTCACGCTCGCTAGTCAGGATTACAGATTACTGCCAAAGCTAGTCTGCATTGACGCGTTCGGAATGTCCAAGTTGAGAGGCGGGTTTTGCAACTGATTTGATACGCTCTCAAAGTTGGATTGGAGCGAAGTATTGGCGCTGATACCACACATATTATTGTTTGGCAAGCAGTTTTGATCGTCGTAGATGGTGTTATACCAGCCTTCGTCTACAGTGTATGACTTATCATTCGTTGTGTACACGTTCACGCCCCAAGGCAAAGCAGTCGAGTAATTGGACCCGGCCACGTCAATATCCGACGATCCGCTGTGTTGACATTGATCCCTATGCAGTGGTTGTGTCGTAAAATTGAAAAGGTTGTTATGATCACCAATATGCGCCACAGGTGCATCGAGAGCAAAAGAAGAGGAAGTGGATGCAGAGGATTTGAACTTAGGGCGTATGGTTGTCGTGATTAGCTGTTCTCCGGCATGATGTGGATTCCATACGTTTGAGGGGAACATACGTTCCGATGAACTGCTGGAAACGTTGTCGGAAAGATAGCCAGATGTCGATTGGGAAGACAGCTCACGGGGCATCGCCATCATATCAGATAGACCAGTAGTCAGCATTGGTTCACTGACAATGGATGACCCAGCGCTAGAGAGCGCACTTTTTTGGGAGATGCTGGTGCAACTTGATGCTTTGCGTTGTATGTCTTGCTGTGAGGACGAGTGTGAGGTTTTGTTGCCGCTGTTGCGATTACTAGGGAGCCAGGGGTACCCGCGTTTGCTGCTTACTCCCGGGATTGTCGACGTCCTAAATTCAGGCACAGTACTAGCGGTCGTTGTTACAAGCACAGGCAAGTCCTTCTCGGTGGCTTGATCGACGTGGCCGGCGTCGACTCTTTCAACATCACTGTCTGTCTCTATAGACTCGTCCCTTTCGCTTCTAGCGTAGCATAAGTTCGAAGATGAATCATTTCCACTCAGTGGGCTTCGAGGGCCTTTATTTGGTGATGAACCTCTCCTAGGTTCTTTCCTGGGTCTCGAATTCTTTTGTAATAGCCATGCTGCATTCCTACTTGATTTTGGTGGTAAGGCAAGTAACAGCCAAATTGTGTTATCGCCATCTAAGAACGTCAATTAGGTGGGGAGGACAAACTCGATCAGCTGCAATCACTAACCGACTTCACCCCTCAAAAATTCTTCCTCCTTCATTCTAGCCCGATAGATGTCCTCAAGGATCTCCGCTGCCCGCGGCGGGAAATGGTCCTTATGTTGATTTACAGTATCTTTTGTTCCCTCTTGAAGCTTGTCGATGCTAAAGTTGTAGTCGACGTATGTTGTGCCGACACGAAGTAAGTGGCAAAGTAGGTTTAGGCGCTCTGTGAAGCTATCATTGACAATTGTTTCTTTTCGCGAAGTACAACAAACTTACCATGTTTTCTCTGGTGATCAGGCTCTTTGTGGCGGCAGCTATTGGAATTAGGATCTTCATAATTCACTTGATCAGGCCAGTAGGGAGGTGCTGAATGCTTGCCCCTGTTATTGGGATCCCAGTCCGCAAACCTTTGCCAGTTTATACCCCCATTATAAGGATAATTTCCTTGCTTTTTACGATGACATTTCCTCAGCCATGCCTGCACCAATTTTTTGCACCCGTTCTGCTTCAGCATGCGGAACATATCTTTGTATAAGTCAATATTGATATCTTGAGCTTTGACCGGCACGGGCTCATATTTGTCGTCTAGCAGTGGGAACTCATCATCTGATTCATCGACAGGATCATTGATATCACCACTTTCAACTGATTCTTCCTTTAGGTTCTGCCACTCCAGACTAGTGGAGTGCTCAAGTGCGTGTCTTCGTGTTGGCAAGTAGGATTCATTAGGTGCAGACCTACGACCGCCAGCCAGACCATGAAGACGGCGTTCTGTTTATGAATCAGATCACAATTCAGAGCTAGCATATTATAAAAAGAACGCTCACTCACCGAGGCTAACCTTAAGTAAGGGAATGGCACTAGGACTTTCCCCATGCTCCGGCAGTGCGAACGAAACACGATAAGTCTGGCCATTGGTCTTGATGGGAATACTCTGACGACAACTTGGAGGGCTCGTGCTCAGAAGCTCTACGATTTGTTTGATCGTACGCTCATCTTGTCAGTACCGAAGGATCGTAATAGAGTCAATTCACTTACAGCTAGTTCAGAATTGGATGAGTTGGTCGCCTCGTCAGACGGACGACGCATTTGCGACGCATGCTGGTTGCGAGGCTTGGAGACCCGTTTATCGGCACGGTCGTGAGACTTGGAAGGTCGACGAGCCTTTGTGCATTGTTGATCTTTCGCCATAGAAGTGGCGTGTTGTTGTACTTAGGTCTCAAACGTATCATCGATATGCACGGCAAGCCTTTTGATAGATGGTATGATGAGAATTGCTCTGTTACGTCGGCCAAGGGCTGACGTAGGAGGTTTTCACGAGGTCATCTGTCGTTAAGACAAACCATGCCATGCTATTGTCATCAGCCATTGCTAAGATTGCTGGAGCGCGGATCACACAAAAGCACACAGTATGTTCAGAAACAATCAGGAGTGACGAAACAGCAAAGTTTTTCAGCAAAGGAAAAGTCTTAGTATTTTACAATGAACGAGTCCATGAGAACCTACCGTAGATACAGATATGCGGCAACCCGTATTGTCGCTGTAGCGACGACGAGCAAGCACGGGGTGGGGTCGCTGGAGTAAGCCCCCAACGAATGGAAAAGCACCCTTCCTCTCTCAGAACGCAGAGGGTGACTCTTTCGAAGAAATGGTATGACGATGAAAAGGCAGATGTGTAGAAGACAAAGATCAATTCAGAGATTGGATCTCTCGGAAGACAGAAAAGGATTAGTAAAGACTTTAATCAGTTGCGGCAACAACGGATCCACCCTTCAGATATAGCAGGGTTCGTAGGACGAGGAAAGTTCTCGGAGGTGCAAGGCGGTAATCGATCGAATATCGGTAGATAAACGGTCTCACAGGGATTTCCATTTGATTGGGCTTCGCCACGGGAATTGAATGCTTGAAATTTGAAATTCAGCGCGCGTGATCCTAGTTCCCATCTCAGAAGCATCTCCAGCACACACAGCGTAGCGCCTAAGGAGGGGGGGGAGGGGAAAATGGGAGATGTGGCTAGGCACCGCCTGCGGCTACCCACATGCTATTTCCCCGAGCATCTTGGGATACTTTCGGCTGCTGCAAATGATTGAGATTTACCTACTGATCGATCTGTATCGTGTTACCGTCGTACCTCGAGAATCTGACTGTATTTTGTAAGGCCTTCACCAAGCAGCGAACTGCTGTTGGGGGGACGAGGGGAGTTATGACGCCCGTAGATTAGGGTTATCTTGACAGCTGTCACACAAACGCTGGAAACAAGGTTTAGAACCTGGAGCTAGTCTGTGATGGGAGGAGGGGAGAAGGGGAGAAGGGGAGGATCGCTTGCACGGTGGCTACAAGTGACCTCATCCACCAAGCTGATCAGACACTATATTGCGCAAGCACCTCGGGAGTAGTGCAAGGAGATTTCGGATGCTAGTGCGGAGGGCCCGACTTCCCCGTATACGGAGGGAGATATTCTTGAACGCTTACATCCATCTTGGTGAAGGATGTGGAGGGGCGGACGGAGACCATCATGATCGCCTCTGCCACCCTGTCTGTGCTCAGATGCAAAGGAGATCTAGATTCTTTGGCGAGAATATGTGGGCAAGGGTGCACGGCTGCCCCTTCAAAGCGGGGACTCTCCTTTTGGCTACGGCTTCCCTGCCACAGTCATGCAGTAATGGCCTGGGCTTGGTATTTTCTGTCATTGACCCTCCACGCTGTCTAGTAAGCCAGCCTCTCGAACCAATTCAAAAAATAAACCCTTGCTTTTGACGAGAGCGGAGGGTGTATCAAATTCGGCCACAGTACCGTGGTCAAGGACGACGATCCGGTCGGAGTCTAGGATGGTGTTGATGCGATGTGCAATGGTGATGATGGTTCGGTCTTTGAAGATGTTGCTTCTTAGGGTCGCTTGCAGCAATGCATCCGTTTCGATGTCAACGGCTGCTGTCGCTTCATCAAGAACTTGATTTCACAAGGAGTCAGTCATAATTTGCAGGCTTTTCCAGAGAGAATCGTCCATACCTAAGACATTGGTTGGCGTCAGCAGTGCCCTTGCAAGTGAAATTAATTGTCTCTGTCCAGCGGACAAGTTTGCCCCTATTGACAATTTTCACGTCAGCTTCTGTGAAAGGCATCTAGATGACGGCTCTAGTGACTTCGGTTGCTTAACTTACCCCCTTCATGGACCCTAGCCTCCAATTTACCAGGCATGCTTGCAACATGCTCTTTCAACCGCGCATGATCTAAAAGTTTGAGCAGATGTCAGCTAGCTTGAACGATCGTGATGCGGAGTATTTTTACTGACCAAGTGCGCTCCAGAGATCCGTATCATCGTGTACATGTCCAGGGTCTAGATTGTCTCGGATGGTACCTTCAAATAGAGCAGCATCTTGAGGAATTATTGCAAGCCTCTGGCGTAAGTCAAATAGACCAATGGTGGATGTATTCAGATCATCGATAGCTATATGGCCTGCGTCAGGCTCAATGATCCGGAAAAGTGCTAAAGTCAAAGACGATTTCCCAGCGCCTGTTCTTCCGACAACACCTATTTTCTCGTGGGACTTGAACTGGAGATTGACATCTTTAAGGACTAGATCAAGTTCCGGTCGGTACCTTGCAGAGTAGTTTTCGAAGGCCACAGATCCTGTTGCAGGCCAGCTGAGCTTCGGTCTTCGCTTGGAGATCACATCAGGTGCCTCGCTTGGTAGTCTTGCATATTCTAGTACGCGCTCTACGGAGACAATATTCGTTTCAACTTCCACCGTCTGACGTACAATCCAGTTCAGACTTTGAGTGACTTGAAGAGCGTATGACATGGCAAGACCCACGAGGCCAGCTGATGGTCCATTCCCTCTGGCAACAGAAATAATTGAGAACCCGGCGGATGCAAGAATGATGAAGGAGCCAATGAATTCTAGCCGGACGGCTAGCCATCTATTCGCACTCATCGAAGGAAAGTAAGCGCGGAGATTAGCGTCCACGCGCCATTCATTCTCGAGTGCGAATCTTGCTTGTTGACGATAAGCGCGAATGGTATTCAAGCCTCCAAGTGATTCCTGAAAATGAGCGTAGATAGGGCTTCGACTAATGCTGTCAAGTCTTTTCAGTTCACGTGAGGTACGTAGATAGTATCGCTGTATGTACAGATAGACACCTGTCAACGGAAGTATCAACGCAACGAAAAGTGGCGTAGATACTGAAATTAGGATAAGGGTATAAAACGCTCTTGCAGCATTGACAAAGAGCATGTTGAAGGTCCGTGCTAAAACCTCGTCTACTTTGTAGATGTCACTGGAGAACCGATTGAGGATTCGCCCAGATGGTGTGGTCTCGAAAAAGGCCATTGGCGAGCGGAACATGGCATACGCCATCCTTTCATGAAGTTTGCGGGAAGCTTCGATGGAGCAAAAGATCCATAGGATTAGTGTCTGCACGACGGTTAATGCAGCCCCGCCGATACCAAAGGCAAAATATATGCCGATGTATTTCCCGACTTGAGGGTTACTTCCATAGTACTGATTGATCTCGGACCATCGTTTCAACCAAACGCTACCCGCAATCTGTCCGGTTTGTGCTGCCACAAGGGCGACAAGGTATATTGCGACGGCAAACAGGTTGCTCGTTTTAGCGTATTCAGTATAGACGTCCCATTTTACTTTCCCTTGGCTGGAGGTCTCCTTGGCTTGCTTAGACTTAATGATTGTGTTTTCCTCATCTTGAAGCTTGCCGTGAGGACCTTTAAATGACGCCGTGCTAGCTCTTCGGAGTGAATCGCTGCTGTGATGCCGGATGGTATCTGTAGGTACTCTGATGGGAGCCAATTGGGCTGTTGGCTCATTCATAACATCCTTTTCCTCTTGCTCCGCATTGCCTGGGCCGAAGACCGTCTTTAGATCTTCGCTCACTGCGCTACTTGAGCCTTCGCTTTCGTCGACGCTTGGAGATGAGGTGCCTTCGGTAGTACTTTCTTCATTGTTGGCCGTTCTGATAAGGTCGGATACTTGCCCTTTCATTGCCATCAATTGATCGTAAGTACCAGTCTCAACTACCTTACCCTCCCGAAGCAAAGTGATGGAATCGGCCTCAACGAGCACGGGTATTGCATTCGTCGCAAGAATTCTCGTTTTTGATGCTAGGACTCCTTTTGGCCCAAGAACATTATTGATCAAATGTCGACCTACATGCTGATCGACCGCTGAAAGTACATCGTCCAGCAAATAGACGTCCGCTCGCGCATAGACTGCTCTGGCCAACGTCAAGCGTGCTTTTTGACCTCCAGAAAGCGAAATACCACGCTCTCCAACCTCAGTCCGGTCGCCATCGGGCAGGGTTTTCATGTCATCTACCAATGCGCATGCATGCAGCGTACGATCATAGAAGGCTGGATCCCAGCGATGTCCAAACACTATGTTTTCCTTCACACTTGCATTCATCACCCATGCTTGCTGAGCGACGTAGGCAAGTGCGCCATGAACAATGACTTCGCCATGGATTTTCCACACGTTGCCAAGGACAGCTTCCAAGAAAGACGTCTTGCCTGAACCAACACGTCCTACAATACAGCAGAGGTCTCCTTTGTGCGCAGTGAAGCTGACATCCTGGAGGCACTTCCGACTATCATTGCGATCCCATGCAAAAGTTGAGTCTCGTACTCTGACCGACTCATCTCCAATGTTGACGGCAGCTGTCCTCCATCCAACTGCATCTGCCTGCACCTCCTCAGCAGTGAAGAAACTCGTCAATCGCCCGACGGCAACGGTAGCCTCAACAATAGACGTTATCACCATAGGCAGAATAGCAAGCGGGAAGCCAAGAAGATTGAAAAGCGTCAACGCAGGGAAGACTATTTCTGTAGACAGTGGCTCGTCACGAACGAGCACAAAGACTCCAAAAGTTGAACAGGATACCAGGAAAGGAGTGGTGGTCCATGTGAAGTTTGCAAAAGCTTGGGCAGCCCCAATCTTACGTAGAGTCTTAAGCTCTTGCTCGTTACGCACGAAATTAAGTTTATTCATGAAAGCCTGCGACCAGGCATAAAGCTTTATGCTTTTCATGTTGTTCAAAATCTCGGTCACCAGCCGTGTCCTGGCGTCTTTGTTCTTCATCTGCTTTTTCTGTAGATTTTTCATGAGCTTCGCGATCACACCATTGACTGGAATCATCAAGATCATGGCGCCTACACCAGCTAGCATGCTCCAACCCACCAATTGATATAAGGAAGCCATGCAGATGATAATTTGAAATGGAGCAGACCAAAGCATTTGCCCGTACTGAGTGAGATCTTGCAAGCGTTGAGTGTCAACAGCCATGTAGTTGACTATATCACCGGTCGACTTTTCAGCTCGACCTTCGTTCGAGAGTTTCATGGATTTTGAGTAAATCATAGCGGTCAAAGCTGCCCTAACTCTCATACCAGTCTCAAATGCACGCTGAAAGTACTGATGCAAGCAGACGGTCTGTGAGACAGAGACCGCAAACATTGCAATGGCGATCGCGGCACCACGGACGATTGGCTGACGTTCAGAGCTACCTTGCTTCCAAGAATCCACAAATGATATGAGCAGCCGAAGCAATTGTGGCTGAACAAATTGCAGCATATCGCTGAGCGTCTTGATGCATGTGGCTCTGAAGTATGGGCCGCCGAAGCTGCGGAACATAGCCCACCATAGGGAAGGGTGCTTCTTATCCAACTCGTCACTCCAGCTTTCGGAGAGTGATGATCCTGTCACCCTTGTTGTATCCCTTTTCCGAAGGTTCCACAGGTCATCTTGAGTCAAGTACTCTCTATATCCATATTTCATCAGTGGAGTCATCCAGCCAAAGGTGAGGACACTGAAGATATCGGCATATTCATAAGGGCATTCATCTTCATCGCCCAATGCGTCGTAATCGGATTGTCTCTTTGGGACAAAGTATTCGAGGATGAATTCGACGCCGGCCAAACCAAAGCTGGCGCAGAATGTAGCGAAGTATGGAGTGCGAGATCTGAAGGCTTGCTGCGAGATCAACGATCTGAGCTTAACGGTAAATGCAATAAGAAGCAGCAGCCAGTAAAATAGTACAACGCCATTCGGCTGACGACTTCTCCAATGTTCAAAGTATTGGACCAGGCCAATAACCAGCAATGATGCAAATGAGATCACAGTGGTCCAGAAGCGGAAGTCACCAAACCAGACATCCGGGAGTGCTGCGACCTGGAGGCTGGCCTGGAGGGCGGTTGTGACTAGGAGGGCAATGACAACAGCAAGTTTTGTGTAGAAGTGCCAATTCTTACGGACTGGTGATTTAGACCTCCTTTTGAAGAGAAACCATATCGCGCCCGCCCCAAAGACAATGCCAAAGAGTGCTACTGCAGTGATCCACACATCGAGGAAGCATGGCGTGAAATCGTAGCGAAAAGGACTTATGGGACCCCAACCCTCGATGTTACCACATAAAGGCTGTCTGAATTCTTTTTCTGAGCTTGGCCGTAGGTAATCTGGCCAATATTGCGAATAGTCATCGTCTTTGGAAAGCGCGGTTTGTAGGGTAGACTTCGGCTGCATTGCTCTCATGCGAATACTGTGTTTACCGCAAACTTCGGCCTTGAACAAAACCCTCCATCATGCTACCAGTAAACTGTTGAAGGAAACACCTGAAGTGTGCTGCTCGAAGACCGTATCCAGGAAGTCGGAAAGCCGTTGCATCTGAGGTAATGTGGGTAGTGAGTTGCTGACTGGTGTGGAGACTCTCACTAGCCGGATTTGTCATCGCCCAACCAGTGGGTGGTCGCGTTGCTTCCGATGTCGAAGCCGTCTACTAGACACACCCGATAGCTTCAGACGAGGCAAATGGGGTACGCCCTTTCAAATCACAAGCCTGCAGTGATACTTTGGTCATTATGCGGCTACCAATAAGATCGCCTTTTGGGAGGCTCCCTCCTATCTACAAATCTCAAAATGACAATCCTTGAGCCTCACCATCCTCGCACCGCCAGTCTCTCGCTCTTCTCCAACTTCCCAACTGTCAATCCAACCATAGCTTCTCCAAGATTCTCGCTTACCTCCGCAAGAACTTTTGCATCCTTGAAATGGGTTACAGCTTGAACAATGGCTCGGGCGCGCTTCGCCGCATCCCCTGACTTGAAGATTCCACTACCAACAAATACACCATCACACCCCAGTTGCATCATCAAAGCAGCATCCGCTGGTGTTGCAATCCCCCCAGCCGCAAAATTGACCACCGGGAGACGTCCTAGCTGAGCGGCGTCTTTTAAAAGGTGGAAAGGCGCGTTCAGCTCCTTTGCGTATACCCTCAGCTCCATATCGCTCATACTCTTCGCTTTATTGATCTCCGCATTGACAGTTCGCATATGCTTCACAGCTTCAACGACGTCTCCAGTCCCTGCCTCCCCCTTTGTCCGGATCATCGCTGCGCCCTCATCGATCCTCCTCAAAGCCTCCCCAAGATTTCGACATCCACACACAAATGGCACCTTATACGGATGCTTCTCGACGTGATGTACCGTATCTGCGGGCGTCAAGACCTCGCTCTCATCGATATAGTCAACGCCTATTGCTTCCAATATCTGGCACTCTACAAAATGCCCTATCCTTGCCTTTGCCATAACTGGAATCGTGACAGTATCCATGATTTGCTTGATCATCTGTGGGTCTGACATACGGGCGACTCCACCCTGAGCACGAATGTCTGCTGGGACCCGTTCAAGAGCCATGACTGCACATGCTCCAGCTTCTTCTGCTATTTGTGCCTGCTCCGCATTCACCACGTCCATTATGACTCCGCCCTTTAGCATCTTTGCGAGGCCTGCTTTTACAGTGAAATTCTGAGGATTCTCCACAGAGGAAGCAGTGCTTGACGGTGTCGTGCCATTAGGGAAGGGAGTGTCGTTTATCGCCATCTTGTGTATGAAAGCAAAAATGTAGTATGTAAGATCTCAAGTGTAGGATTGATGTTGCCTCCCAATGCTCGGAAGCGGGCCAAAATCTCAGTGAGGGCTGGATTTTTGGAGAATTTCGCCAAAGGGGAAAAAGGCCATTCAGGTAGACTCAAGGATAGGTAGGAGTATTGGGGTGTCTTCAAATCAAGCAACCGGCTATCAACGGCGAATATACTTCCAAAACCGATGACTCTGATAATTGTTCGACAGCCGAGACTCGACTCCGAAGATCGGCACGTTGCCAAGAGCCGTTCACGCTAGCGGATAACTCTATTTTTGCCGCGACCGTTGAGCCTTAATTGTGGACGTCATTGCGCGCTGGAAGATCGACGCGCCCGGCCGACGTCTTTTGGTATCAAATGAAAGGGTGGCCTGCCAACTTTCCCGATTTTTGTACTTATCAGCGACTGCAGACTATGGCATCTCTCCTACTCCGTCGCTCTCGTCCATTCCGGACCCTTGGCCTCACGACGACTTTTGCTCTACCCCCTTTTCTCCTACATCAATCGCGCAGGCAGACTCGTCTTTGTGATGCTACACCGGGGACATACGGCATTGGAGCATCGTCAAGTAATGCGCATTCCAGTGAGCGAGAGAGGAAGGTGCCGATCTTCAAGAATGGCAAATTGAACCCTCAAGCAATAAGGCAACTCACAAAGGGCAGCGTTCTCGGTACGTGATCGGATTATCTTTGTTTCTGAAACTGGAGCCTGGGAACTAGATGGATAAACCGAGCCAAAGGAATATATGACTTGTACAAAGTAGATGTCCAGTTTCAAGATCTGACTTTTGTTGTTCTCTAGGATTAACAACCGGCTTGGTATTTCTCTTCTTCTCGGGCCCGATATCGACTTTGACTTTGGGCTTTGGGCTACTCGTTACAGAGGTATGTCTTCCTACAAGATTCTCAATGATCCAACGACTAAATTCAGGTCTAGCGACTTTGGTCTTATGGCCTTCTTGTGCCAACTTCTGTGCTACAGCGCATCTCCAACAGAATAGACGTGCAATCGTTGCTTAGGGACAACGTCGCCTTCAATCTAAGTTTCGGATTCACGTTTGCGCTATCTGCCTTTGCGTCATTCTAGAATAGGATACCATCTATCACATTGCTTGTAAGTGCACTGCTACGGTTGATTGCACCAGCATGACACCAACCCGTGTCCGCATTTGCTTTCTAGAAGTATGCAATCATGACCTCGCACTTCTCAAGCATTGATTTATCAGTCACTCCTACAGCTTATTCACTTTGACCTTCAATTTTGAATTAATTGGTGTGCTTGTCTACCTATCCTGGCAAAGGTTCCAGAAATCCTTGACTGCAATATTTGTGGCTCTTGCTCCGCGAAGGCTTGTACTCAATATTAGATTATGGATATGAAGCGACAGCGACGTTATCCAACACTTACCTCATAATCTTATCCAACCAGAGCCGCTTTTCTTGCCCACTTATATGTTGATTAGGAAATTCCGGGTCGTTCAAAGCCTGAAGAATGCAGGGTTTTGCCATCATAGGGCGGTGAAAGATGAACTTCTTGACGGGATCAGTTATTGTATCAAGATTCTTACGCTGTTCGAGACCAGCAATTTGGAAAATCAGTGCTTTGCAAACAGACAGGCACAAGGTTCGGATTGCTTCCTCTTGCACGTTTGTTACTTTTTCGTCTAAGTCGTAGCTTTGAAATAATGTTGCCTGGCTCGAAGTCAGATAATTTTGAAGCAGGCAGCGCGTTCAGTGGTACCCTCACCCAAAAATGAGTCGATGCTTGTTTCAAGGGCAATTCTTGTGCCTGAATGCCCGCTATGGTGATCTGAAAGAGGCTCAGAGCGTCTCTCTGAGCCCGAAAAAGCTCCTTAAGGTAATGAGGAACCATTTTAGCCATCAATTTGATTATGCCTGACATTAGGTCAGGATCACGCGGGTGATCATCTAGATCTCGCTTTCAGCTACCTTGCAGTTATCAAGGATTATCTACGGATTGTCTAACCTGCAGCCATGACGATTCTCTTTGCATGTTCTAACATGCTTTGTGCACTCTCCTGGACAATAATATCTGATGTCACCGACTGCGTACCCAGCATCATACCTGCCGTTTCAAAGACATAATCCAATCTCGGCATGTACGTATTCGTCGCAAGAACAAATTTTGCTGTTGCTGTGGGCGGAAAGACGAAGAGTCCTGGCATAGTTTCGTGATAGCCAGCACGGAAAATGTCACATATAGATTCAATGACAAGGATGGAGTCAGGCAGAGTCCTGATTGCAAGCTCAATAATTCCAAGCAGGGCCTCTTGTAACCTCTTGCCCGCGTCTTGGGTCCAGAATTGAGGATTCAATGAAGGTTCCGAAGACACAATTGAGAGTTCGTCAGGGGCCTGCAAGCCTTTACCTAACCGCACCACGCAGCGTAAAGCGTTCAAGATCTTTAATTTGCCCTGAATATGATTCGTAGGCAAGTCATCCAATCCTAGATTCAGTCTGCATTCGATCAAACTAATAATGTCTTTGAGCGGCCAAAATTTAGCGATATCTGTGGGTTGGGCTTGTATGATGACCGCGATTGCATTTGTAAATGTTTCTTTGACGTCACTATCATATTCCTCATTATCAAAGATAGTTTTCCAGACTCGCAAAAAGGTCTCCAAGTCGTTTGTCATCTCGTCGCGATATAGTGTAGTCAACCGCAATATGCATTTAGCGGCCAGACCGCCAACTTGCATATCATCCAAACATTGAAATACGAACTTCAAGCATGCCGGCAGCATATGGGCATAACTCTCAAAGAAGGCAGCGTAGCTCAAAATCATGTTGAGTCGCTCTTGCTTGACCCTAAGACGGAACCATGGTGACCGAATATCAATCGGTTCGAAAATCGGAGAACTAAGGACAATTGAGACAGTCTTGTGTATACTTGCTTCAGACACAGCTGATGTCTCTGACAGACCATTTAGGACGACCAAAGAAGCCTCCAGAGTGATCCACTGGCTTTGACCACAAGATTCCATGGCTTGACGCGCAACTAAGTGGAAAAGGTCCGGCCCACACACAAGGTATACAGTCTGAAACAAATCTATGATGTCTTTCCGACAAGTACTGAATTGTTTCCTCTCATCTCTAGTCCAGCATTCTTCGGGGTCCGCAGGCCAACAAGATTTGTTCAGGCAGATTTCGATAAGGCTCACTAGTTGTCCCACGGCGTCCCTGGTACTGTCATCCGGTTCGACCTCTTGAAGAAACCCAAGGTATGTCGTCCACGTTTCAAATAAGCGTGGAGTGACAAGATCATCTACACCAAGGTAGCCAGGGCATCTCATAACCTCGAGCAAGGACTCCTTCACCCCCTTATCATGACTGTGTTGAGCTCGAACAATATCCTGAATGGAGACATCAGAATAGGCAATTAGCAGTCCGACGAGTGCAGTGGCTTCATCGCTCTCCTGACCTTCTTGCAATTGTAGGATGAGGCGACGGCCGGCTGGCGAATCAATCTTTGCTGCTATTGATCTAAGATGACTCGAATCATAGAATCCAGGGAAGCGATCTAGTAGGTCCTCGAACATATCAAAAGCTGGAGAACAAAATTGGTCGAAGTCCAGGCAGTCTAGGAGCAGTGAAATTATGGCTTTAAGAGTTGTCTTTCTGCTGACGTCTTCTCGATCTGGACTGTGCACCCATTCTGAACATGCCTATTTAGGTCAGCATAAGCAATCGATGACCGGATTTTTTTACACACTCGAAAGCATTCGAACACGACTGGCGAACCAGGAGGTCCATCATTGCCTCTCAGAGGGGGCTCTAGAGCGGTACGTAGTAGCAAGTCGATATCACATAATTCAGCTGCGACACTTTGATCAATGCTCCAGCTAAGAGAGTTTAGCTACCAAGGGTATGTAACGGCTATAATTACTTACATTTCTGGAGCTGAAGATTTGATTTTAGTAGCTTCCTCTACCAGTATGGTAATGTACCACAAGACTGCTTTCAATTGGTCACTGTGCAAAACCTTCACAATCCAGGATAAAGACATCTCTTTGCTACTATGATCTTCTGCTGACTTCAGATATAATTGTGAGCATAGATCTAGGATACTCTGGTTCCACTTCAGGGACAGTCGCAGTCGGTGTTGGACAAGGCCGTGGCAGATCTTCATCAGAATCGCGTACTTCTCCTGTCTATTCACAAGCGTGACGAACCAAGTACTACACTCTGATCAGCTCCGTTCCGTAAAGGTCGGTTTCACATTCTGACAGAAGTTCATCGAGGAGAGAATCATGGGCGTCAACGATAATCTTGCTCCGCGCCTGATAAAGCGTGGCGCCGTAGAAGCGAGGCAGGAATTCGTTGCTCTGGAGGAAAGCATTCGCGTAAAAGGAACATTCTCGAGATTGTACAAGTTGATCAAGAATTTCCGTGGCGGACCGAATCTGGTCGGGCGGTCCTTTTTGGTTATGTAGAATTTGCATTAGCTAAGGAAAGCGTTATCGAAGAGCTTCACTAGACAAGTGCGCCTGCAGACTTACCTCGAACAGATCTTCCACCGCTGGAAAGATCTCGGCTGTAGTGACATGTGTGTGTCTCGAGGGATTAGAGGCGAGGCTACCAATTGAAGACATTTTCGTTGAAGTAGATATCGAAGCTATTTAGAGCCATGCAGCATTATGTACATTGTTCATACTTTCATGAAGATTGAGAGCAAGTTGGCGAAGAGTGTGACAATCCGTAGGCTCAAATCGAATGTTCAACCAGTATGGAGGAAGGAAGTATATCATGAGAAGGTGATATAAGCAGCTGTGCGCACGCAAAGTGGTGGGGGACGGGAACGAAGGCTTCCGAGCCATTCTCTGATCTAGATTACATTCACTACAGAATCGATGGTAATTTGGTACTACAAGACAGGTTGTGAATTTGGGAAAATATAAATATCTAATTGAAGCGGAAACGCTCCGCGTTGATCAATACATTGAACTCCTATATACCTACCATCAATGTTGATTTTCATTGGTTTCTCTATGAAGACAGCTCATGCTCTCCATACATCTACCTTTTTGTGCAACAGCTCGTAGAATTACTTCGTTTGGTCTTCGTTTATCGGCACATTCACACGTGAGATTTTTCGGTACTACTGCTATACATAGAGTCAACATGGAGACAGTCAATACTACTGAAAGATTAAAGCAGCTTCGACAGCTTATGAAAAAGCATAATGTTGATGTTTACAGTATACATTATCATTCCCTTTCAGTATCGCTATTGAGTCTGACAAGAAGTCTAGTCGTGCCATCAGAAGACAGTCATCAATCCGAATATATCGCTGCGTGCGATGCTCGTCGAGGTGAACAGCTATTCACGGATACCATGAAGCACATACTAACTTGACAGAATTTATTTGCGGTTTCAGCGGCTCAGCCGGCACCGCAGTTATCACTCTGGAAAAGGCGGCTCTGGCAACAGATGGCCGCTACTTTAACCAAGCATCAAAACAACTTGACAACAACTGGCAACTGCTGAAGCAAGGCCTGGAAGATGTACCGACTTGGCAGGATTGGTTTGTTGTGATCCTTTGTCCATGTGGCCTTTTTAACAGGAGAGTAGGGCGGTAGAGCAGGCTGAAGGCAGCAGGACAGCTGGTGTGGATCCAACCGTTATCACTGCGTGTACGTAGTCATTGGCCTCATGTGTTCTATACTTTTTAATTCCGTCTAGCTGATGCCCGCAAACTGGTGGAAAAACTAAGAAAAAAAGGAGGTAGCACTCTAGAAGCCGTCAAAACAAACCTTGTAGATCTCGTTTGGGGAGATAAACGACCACCCACGCCACGAGAGTCGGTCAAAGCTCTTTCGATTGATTTCGCTGGCAAAAGTTCAGGCGAAAAGATCGAAAACCTGAGAAAAGAACTAGCGAAGAAGAAAAGTGCGGGCCTGATTATTTGTAGGTTTCTCACAGAGTCTGAGTTTTCCTTCACTATTGACAATTACATGAAGCTATGCTAGATGAAGTTGCTTGGCTGTACAATCTACGTGGTAACGAGTAGGTTTACGGGTGTTTTCTTGTTGCAAGATCCTGACCTAATGATAGTATACCATTTAATCCGGTCTTCTTCTCCTATGCCATTGTCACACCGACCAAAGCTTCATTATACGTAGATGAAAGCAAACTCGATGAACAAGCTCGGCAGCATCTTGGTCCCTCAATCGAGATTCGGCCCTACGATGATATTCTAGGCGATGTCATGTCGCTGAGCCAAGCTCCGGAAGCGGTAGGTGATAACCAGACCGCCAAACAAGGGCATACTCCACCGACACCACAGAGAAAGTACATGATCTCTACGAAAGCCTCATGGGCGCTCAGTCTAGAGCTTGGAGGAGAGGAGAAAGTCGACGAAGTCCGAAGCCCAGTAGGGGACAAGAAAGCCGTCAAGAATGAGACCGAGCTGGAAGGAATGCGAGCGTGCCACGTGCGTGACGGTGCTGCCCTAACGGAGTACTTCGCTTGGCTAGAAGAAGAGCTCGTCGAGAAAGGAAGTACCCTGGACGAAGTCCAAGGCGCCGACAAGCTTGAGCAAATCCGCTCCCAAAAACAGCACTTTGCGGGTCTATCTTTCGACGCCATCTCCTCCACCGGCCCAAACGCAGCAGTGATCCACTACAAACCCGAACCCGGTAATTGCTCCATCATTGACCCCAAAGCTGTATATCTCTGCGACTCTGGCGCTCAATACTTCGATGGCACTACTGATACCACCCGCACTCTTCACTTCGGCACTCCCACTGACATGGAACGCAAAGCCTACACCCTTGTCCTCAAAGGTGTCATATCCCTCGATCAAGCCGTCTTTCCCAAAGACACGACTGGCTTCGCCATCGACGTGCTAGCGCGCCAGCACCTCTGGGCTGAAGGCCTCGATTACCGCCACGGGACGGGTCACGGTGTTGGAAGCTATCTCAACGTTCACGAAGGACCTATCGGTATCAGCGCGCGTGTCCAATCTAGTGAAGTACCTCTTGCTGCAGGTAACGTTATTTCGGACGAGCCTGGATATTACGAAGACGGGAATTTCGGAATTAGGATCGAGAATATCTTTATGGTGAAGGAGGTGAAAACCACCCATCGGTTTGGTAATAAGCCGTATTTTGGGTTTGAGCACGTTACGATGGTGCCGTATTGTAGGAAGCTGATTGATGTCGGCCTATTGACCGAGAAAGAGAGGAGTTGGGTTGATGAATATCATAAAGAGATCTTGGAGAAGACGAAGGAATTCTTTGAGGGGGATAAGAGAACAATGAAATGGCTGGAAAGGGAGACGGCACCCCTCTGAGACTGAGACAGGTGAGGAGATTTGCATGTTGAAGCAAGCACAGAGCGTGTATACTATGGTCTGGTGGAAGTTGTGTTTATTACTCAGGGGCAATTGATCCTCCGGCCCTACCAGACATGACGGCAAAATAGACATCACGCCAGACTAGAGGATAAAATATTTTGCTAGATATGCTCGAGGGTGCTTTGCCTCTGAGTATTATATAACAAAATTCAATACGTACCTGTACAAGGTGGAAGAAAAATCCACCTCGAGGTCTACTCAATCTACGAGTTCCTCGAGGATCTCCTCACATTCTTCTCTTCTCCAAGGCACCCCAAGTAATTTTGTACCGTCACTCGCTATTCTATCAACAAGCATATCATGGTCATAAAACTCATTAAGGAGTTGTCCAAAGCCCATCTCATTACTACAAACAAACTCCTCCACAGCCTTCTGATATAGCGCTTTCCTCTCAAGACCACCCAGCTCACCTGCACTAATCCTAGCCTGACCATCTTCATCGGCATCTTCGTCAACAGCGTTGTCTTCATCAGTGGCCGCAAGAATCTCCGCGATCAAGATGCGATACAAATTCCTTGCGCTCTCCGGTAAAGACTTCAGCACAAAACTTGCGCCGCCTTTGCCTTTCACGCTTCGACCGCTGCGGCCGAGAAGCTCGTTCACTTCATCTACAACATTTGGGACCTCAACCCCGCCATAAGATATGAAAGTTGTGGTGTCGTGGAAGACCCAATTATACTGTTCACGCAGTCCGACGTCCCAGAGGAGGGGAAAATTCGGCTGATCACATGTTGCTAGCATATGGATTGATGGGTGCGAAGCGAGTTGGGCTAAGAGCGTTGGAATAGGTGAGCGACGTAAGGGTGGCGCATCTAAGGAGTTGATGAAGATGCATATGGGCTCGTCTGGTGGGTGTGAGTTGAGCTCTACGAAGAGTGTGCTGAGCATGTCCTGAGGACGAGAGCCGAGGTTCGAAGGTATTTCGTTGGATTTGCAGTCGTAGACTAAGGTGGCCAGAGTGGCTAGGATTGTGCGTAAGTTGGCCGTTGGCGAATAGCCATTGACTATCAGAATCTTCGGCGGAGTCGGCAGATGATCGTGCATGTACTGTGCAAAGTCTGTAACGAGACGCCTTTTGCTACCATATCCATACAGACAGATGTTGAAGTCTTCAGAGAGCTCGAAGGCCCATTGAGGAAAAGAATTTGAATGTATCTGGTGCAAATTCTCGTATGCTTCAGCAAGAGGGTCTTCGTACGCCGATATATGTTCATGATATTCTTCATGCGTAAGTAAAGAGACGGACGACAAGGTATTATTTGACGTCTTCGCTCGGCCTGGCCGATTCTGCCAGAAATAGTTCTCATGAGGTGGAAGATCCTGTGGCGGGGTTGGAGATTTTCCTTTTCGACGCTTCCCAGGTGTCTTCTTGGAGGGCGTTGCAAGCATAGGACTCCTTGCTTCGTCATCCGAGCTTGCATCCTCCGAGAGTCTACTGACATCCCTACGCTCTTCTCGAATCTTTCGCACGAGGTGATCTTCATCATCTCCATCGTCCAAGTCTTCTCTGCTCGTAGCATTCAGATGAGTGTCTGCTTTATCCTTCCGCTTTGAGCTGAGTGCGCTGCGTGATCCATTCGTAGCGGAAGGCGAATCGCGATACCCGTTTCTATTCGAGAATAAAACTTTACCTTTGGAAGGCGTTGTGAGATTGCTGTTAGGTGTAGGCTTAGGTTTGTTGGTACTTCCCGGAGGCCTTCCTCGTTTCCGTTTGGGGGTCTTCTGGGCGGAGGATGGTATGTCGTAGATATTCAACTCCGAATGCTTTGCGCCCTCACGTCCACTGGCTGCTGTACTCCCACTGAGGTCTTCATGGCCGGCATTTGCCTCTGCATTTTGTCTTTTACGCTTTGGCATAGTTCAAACGCGGTGCTGCAATTATGGCCATCGGAAATCAGGGCTCTGCGACACTCGACGCACTTTACACATCTGATCCCTCGAGGTCGACGCGAAAGCGAGGCGCGCTCTTGCAGGCTTGGCGAGGCTACCTTTATCGATAATGTAAGCCTTGCTCCTTCCACTGCAAACCCGGGGCGAGTAATGAGTAGGAGTGCTCGTAAACGAAAGTACTACTCAAAAGCCAGCGATACGAGGCGATAATACACAGTTGACCTACAACGTACGCTTCAAACCACTGATTAGCTTGCTTTGTGCACCCATAAATTTAAAGTAAGCTTTCGAATTCGAGGAATTGAATGGGTTTAGACGTGCGACTTGGTCGTTTGAATTCCATCACCGGCTGTAGGCGCACATGAAAGGATACGGTTCATTACTGCATCAAGACACCCGCTAAATGATGGCTTGCAAAATATATACATCAATCATTATTAACCACGCGCTACCTCGATTTGGCCTCTGGTACCCAAGCATGTATCTTGGGCTTCACCCTGTTTTGCCGAATGGGTCAGTAAGGTATATGATGGAAGGAGCATCCCCAATGTTGCAAACGTAGATGCTGGTTCGGACAAACTGCACATCACTCACGTTGAATATGTCTTGAAGGCCGCTCGGCTCGCAGTCAGATTCGGCCTATGCTCAGAAATCTCCCATGTCCTCTGCCCCAATCTCAATAATGGATCTTCCGTTGGAGGCTTATCAAGCTGATAGCTCATCCAAGCGTGCCAACCTGGTTCAATTTGTGAAGGATCGTATTCGCTCTGCTTGTAGTGGATCCATCGAGTCCGCACTGTAGCAAGCGGATTAGCTGAGATCTGCGACCCAGGTGAATTGAATGCCTCAAGGCCTCCACTTCGGTGCTTCATACACGGTAACTCATCTTCTAGGTTCTCGTAATACTTGTTGCCATATCGATCAGTTGCAATGAGCGTTCCGGCTTTCGTGTCTCCAATGTTTTGCAATTGGTGGGCGTATTCTTTTATGCCAATCTTGCGAAGATTGCGCAGTGTTCGGGTAATTGTAGACATGGCGGCGAGAGTCTTCGTAGATGATGATGTGGAAGGCTGCTCAAAAGCGAACTCATAGATGAACGAGGGGAAGGAGTTATGATAGCTAGGCTTGGGACTAGATTTAATTGGTCGGCTAGCGCGGTCTCATGTTGAAGAAAATGCGCGGCGGGGAATCCAATTGCGCGAAATAACCTGCAAGATTGTTTTTCACCCATCCCAAGTCACTCTTTACCTGTTGATACAGTATACACCACGATAGCTTGCATTTGTATTTGTTGTCGATTGCTCAGAAATCGGTCCGTGCTCCGAATGGCAGCTCCGCTTGTTCCACTGCGGAGACGACAAGCCGGTATGATTCCTACTCGGAGGAGCTTAGCAACCTCACGCTTCCTTCGACTCCAGCTTTCGACCTTTATGCCAGAAACATCAGGCTAACTGAATATTATATCGAGTTAGACGGGTCGATCACCACATCACCAGCGTCAGCGACTGCGGAGACAACCTCAGAAACATCAAGTCTTTCCACCACTTCGACCGATTCTTCCTCGTCATCTTCCTCAATCACTTCATCTGCATCGCTCTCGGGAGCTTCAGCAGAAGTCACCACTGGTCCGGATGGACCGAAGACAGTATTCCAGATCGCGCATCCTCCGCAATTCACAAAGACCGTTTCGACTGCATACAAAGCGCCTGGCGTCAATGCAACAAGCAAATTGACGAGCACACACATTCCAGCTTTAATTACATCTTCGTCATCATCATCAGCGACAACAACCACCACCTCAAAATACAAGGACCCAGCAGAGGAAGCAGCAGCCAGCGCAAAAGCGCCAGGAATTCCCAAAAATGAATTGACGCGATGTGAAATCAACGGCACAGAGGCCGACAATGGGCCTTATTGCTCCCCGAAGCACCAGCAGAACATGTGGGTTGGGTTTACATACGCAAGTAGGTTTGGCGAAAATCTCGAACGACGTAATTGAGTTGGATGGAGCTAATCGATTTCAAATCTTCAAGTCACATGGAACCCCTCCCTCTTCTCCGACAATGCGACCAATGTTGCTGAATTACGATATGTGGATGGCGCTCTCGGAAATGCCTGGACCTCGGAACCAGTCCCAAATTACATGGGCTACGTGAACGTTGAAATGTCGAAAGACTGGTTGAAAGGCGCTTCCGGAAACGACAGCGAATCTGGCCAAAACATGACGCTCTTCATGATGTCCACTCCCCTGGATGGCGATCTAGATACCAAGCCAGGTCCGCAGGTCGCTCTTGTCATTGACCCTCACACCTTCCCAAAAGTCCGGCTTAAGAGCCTTCCTGGCAAGTACGGCCTAGAAGTAGGCGTACCGGTTGGCGTCGTCGGTCTATTCCTGATTATTTTGGGAATATGCTGTGGAATCAGGAAGAACAATAGACATCATCGCAGTATAAGGAATGTATCGAAAGGATATATGGAAAAGCGAGCGAGGAGGAGAGGAAGAGGGGGTGATGTTCAGTTGGAGGAATTTGGGGAGGATCAGTACAGGGATCAGCCGCTGAAAGGAGGAACGGGAAATGCATTCAGGGACGAAGTGGCCAAGCAGAGAGAAGAGGACCATGCGAGCTTGAAAAGATTTCCAAGCAGCTATTAGGTGGTTCCAGCCACGTTCCTTGTCGTGGGGCATTTAGCCAAGGGGCATCTCGTACAAGGAGCAGGGAAAATTATGGCATTGTTATGCATTTAAGGCTTGGGAATGATAACGTGGTTGCGAGGCTTAATGCGATATTTTGTACGAAGCAGAGTACGATGAGGAAATTGGCATGACTGGTCTAATATGAGCTTAAGCTCGATGGGGTATCACTATTCCGTTGCTCGTCATCGTTCACACTGTAATGCATATATACAAAGTCTCTATTTTGCTCTTTGTGCCTTGACCCTCGCAGGCCCTAGGTCCTTCCTCACGTCGTCTAATTGCTGCATCGGCGTTCTATACTTCTCCGTTCCGACTCTCCTACTTCCACCAGCCATCTTGTATCCACCTAGAAATTCGTCCATCATGCTGTCGAGACCTTGACCAGCAAGAGTAGGCGCTTGACTCGATGTCGTCGATAGATTTGATGAATTTGAAGCTTTTGAAAGACTTGACATGCCCGACACCAGCGAATTTTTTGAAAACGTCGATGCCGTATCATCGACATCCATATCCATGCCGTCATCCGCATACATCCCTTCAATCTTGTCGAACCGCGCGTCTAGTAGCGACTGGCCCTCTGTTCTCGCTAGAGAGGAGGAGGTCATGGAGTAACCTGCACTACTCGTCAAAGCGCCTTTTCGTTTCTTGCGCTGGACGCCACCCGTTCCACTAGTCAGGATTGAGGATTGGAGGTCGGCGGCAGATTGGCCTGGTTTTGGGCCTTTGAGAGCCGGCTTTTCATCGTTCTTGAATTTGCGGAATTCCTTCATCCATTCGCCATCACCATGATCGAGGTTTGGTGGAGGTGCATCCGACATATCTGTGTCCCCAGAAGCTGAAGGTACAGTATCAAGTGAGCGTTGTTCATTGAAGGGTTTCTCGGTTGTGTCGGACTCCCAGCCATCATCGCCTTCATCGTCAGGGAAGTTGGTGCTCTCAAACTCGTCCTGAGTGACTTCCGCGCCGCCATTCGCAATTTCGGCGAAGAGATCTTCTTCGTCGTCGACGTAAGCTTCGTCATCCAGGGCTTCCAAAACCTCCCGTAGCCGAGGATCCATGTCAGGTTGGAGGCCTGCTATTGCGTCTGGTACATTTTGCTGATCCTGGTATGAAGTTTGTCTTGAGTCTCCCAGTGACCCTATGTCTTCTCCAATAAATTCCTCAGCTAACGATGAGCCACTCTCGCTCTGCCCATCCCCAAGGTTGGCTTCCCGCAATGCTTCCTCGAGGCTCTGCTTGCCTTTGCCCTTTTTCTCTTTATTGAAAGCCTTGGCTTCGACGAAGAGACCTTCAACGCTGCCAGACCTAGAGTCGAGATCATACACATGTTGCATGTAGTCATACTCAGTGTCATCGTAGTATATGCCTTGCTCGGCTGCCTCTCCTTCGTTGCTTCTTATACTTGGCCCACTGCTATTTGAGATTGCGTCGCTGAAGAGTTCGGACTCAAGATCTGTCCTGCTCTTGATCTTGTGCGACTGTTGAGGAGCAAGCTCTCGAAAAACAGCGGAGCTACTTTCTTCATCGTTGATCCTTGGGTCATTTTGTGGACGATGAACAACTTGAAAGGTGGTTGAGGTAGCCTTGTCACTGCGGAATGGTGAGTAGAATCCTCGTAAAGAGTCAAGATTGCGGTGTTACTGACAATTTCCTCCTTGGCATATTGGTTTGTGGTTATTTATGCCATAAAAACCGACGAAATGCCCATTGGCAAAATTAGGCGAGCAATGATGCAAATTCAAGGCTTGCTCACATTACGTGCCCGGCGGTCAGGAAAACCAATAGTTATGGGGGACTAGATTGGCGCCCAAGGGGCTCTCTAGGGGCTAGCTCTTAGGGTAGCCCCTCCCGCTTTCAGGGCTGGCCATAGGGGGGTCAAATCAACGTCATCGTTGCCATTTCAAATCATCTGAAATAGTACTTCCTTCAACATCTCGCCAGTTTATCCTCATATTCTCGGCAAACGACAAATCTCGTCGCGAGACCTACGCATCATAGTTACCCATCATGGTCCTTCCCAAATCCAAAAATGCAGTTGGACTCGGCAACTCGCTCATGAATGATCGCTTTGGAAAAGGAAGAGGCTCTGATCGGAAGAAAGTATCCGCTGGTATACACCGAACAGATCAGAACGGGCAGACTGTAAGCATGCAAATACATATTTGGATTAAATCTTCATTAATGCTTGATAGTATGTCACCAATGACAAGAAGGAGGCAGCATGGGTCAAAATGCGAAGCGTTACCGAGCAGGGAGCACTGGACGAGTTCCTCAGTACAGCGGAGCTGGCAGGAACAGACTTCACGGCAGAGAAGATGAACAATGTCAAGATCATTCATCACGATCAAAAGAACCCTTACTTGCTCTCTGCTACAGAGGAAAGATCGGCAATCAGAAAGCAAATGGCAAAGCGGAATCGACTTACAGTCCCGAGGCGGCCAAAATGGAACGACCAAACCAAGCCTCAGGAATTAGCAGATATGGAGAAAGCCAGTTTCCTGGAATGGAGGAGAGGATTGGCTGATTTACAGGAGAACGAGGATTTATTAATGACCCCCTTCGAGAGGAATTTGGAGGTTTGGAGGCAATTGTGGAGGGTCATAGAGAGGTCTGATTTGGTGGTGCAAATCGTTGATGCGAGGCACCCCCTCATATTTCGTTCGGAGGACCTAGAAACCTACGTGAAGGAAGTGAGTCCTAAGAAGAACAATCTGCTGCTTGTCAATAAAGCGGATATGATGACGCTGCCACAAAGGGAGGCGTGGGCGGACTATTTCGAGAAGGCTAGAATCAACTACAGGTTCTTCTCTGCATCCCTAGCAAAAGAAAGGAATGAGGCTGCAGATTTGGTCGAGGACGATAGCGTTCAAGAACTTGACGGCCAACAAGATAATGTCGCTGGACAACCAGACAGACTTGCAGAAGTGGCGAGCAAGCTCGACTTGCAAGATGACGAAGATGATGAAGCCGAATGGGCGAGCGAAGAAGACCTTGACGAGGACATGGACTCGCGTACACGAATCCTCACCGTGGACGAACTCGAGCACCTCTTCCTCGAAAACGCCCCTCACCAGGACCAGCCTGAAGACGATTCTACCTCGCACCCCCATAAAACAACTATTGGCCTAGTCGGCTACCCCAACGTAGGCAAATCCTCCACCATCAACGCCCTCATCGGCGCCAAGAAGGTCTCCGTCTCCTCTACCCCCGGCAAAACCAAACATTTCCAAACCATCCACCTCTCACCCTCGGTCCTCCTCTGTGACTGTCCTGGTCTAGTATTCCCGAACTTCGCCACCACAACCGCGGAGCTCGTCTGCAACGGCATCCTTCCCATCGACCAGCTCCGCGAGTTCACTGGCCCTGCTGGTCTCGTCGCCCAACGCATTCCGCAGAGTTTCTTCGAAGCGCTGTATGGAGTGAAAGTGCGAACGCGGCCAGTGGAAGAAGGGGGAAACGGTGTGCCGACGGCGGAGGAGCTGTTGACGGCCTATGCGATTGGCAGGGGGTTTGCAACCACGGGGCAGGGCCAGCCGAATCAGAGTAGAGCGGCGAGGTATGTGCTTAAGGATTACGTGAGTGGAAAGTTGTTGTTTTGTCAGCCACCGCCTGCCGAGCCGGTGATCGATGGGAGAGCGTTCAATCGGGAGTTGTATGATATGAGGCATCTGCCGAGGAAACGGCAGGCAGTTTTGGCGGCGCAGAAGGAAGGTGAAATTACCGGTGAGGAGGAGCCGAGTTTGATGGGCGAGGTGCAGGGTGTAGGTAACGTCCCAGTGCAAGGCGAGAAGTCGACCAGGTTGGATAAGAGGTTCTTCGGGCCGGGCAAGGGGAGCCAAGGACATTTGAGTATGCCTTTCAATCATCAATACAGTGAGCAAGGGCAGAAGCAACTATCTGGGAGGAAGTTGCAGATGGTGACAGCGTTAGAGAAGGGAGTGGATCCTGCAGAGATGAAGTTGATGAATGGGAAGAAGCATTTTAAGGGAAACAGGAGGAAGAAGGCTCTGGGTTCTTTGCAGGATGACTGATGGCATGATAGACTTTTGATGAGATAAAGATAGCATGACATGAGACTAGGCGTCTCATCATGCTGTGATGAAGGATAGCTATGTACAATGTATATGACAAGGTTGTCGTTAAAGGAGCGTGCTGCCAATGCTGAAAATTTTCTCAAAAAGCCTCCCTTTAGAAGGTGAAGGGGTCAAGTATAGTACATGAAGTGAAGTTGTAAATGCAAGTTGAAGAGTATTCATGCCTGGTCGGAAAGGATGGATCGTCGTCTATCCTTCAAGCGAACGGCCTTGAACGAGACCGCGGCGGACACGTGACTTTTTGGCACCACCTGCACACTCGCAGGTCTGGAAGTTGCCGGCGAGATCGACCGGGCAGGCAACTTTCTTGTACTGGACGACTGGATTGTCTGTATGTCAACGTCAGTACGTGTTGATATTCATCTTGGATTTGGGAAGGCCGTAAGATCAGACTTACCCCAGTTGCCATTGGGATTGCCCTGGCTCATGATATCGAAATGAGCTCCATACCCATACTGGTTGGGAGCCGTACACCAAACCTCATTCCCGTTGGCAGGGCAGAGGTTGGTGACCATGACAGTGATCTTGCTACCAGCGCCAGCACATGATCCTTGGCCAGTGGCGGCAATTGCATTGGCATTCGTCAGCTCGTAGCAAGTTCCACAGCCACTACCGCACCAGCTCGAGTCGCCGCCATCATCAAAGAGGGCAGCACTGCCTGCTGCGGTGAGGACACCGTTGGAACCGATCTGCCATTGGGACATCGAGTTGCCGGAGCCACAACCACAAGCACCCTTTTGACCATCGTAGTAACGCTGCAGAGAAGAGGTGTCAGTGCCATAGTTGGCTTCAATGGAACGGGGCAGGTAGATGCTTACCGTGGTGGTGGCGTAGCCCGTCTTGCTGCCGGACAATGCACCACATGAGCCGCCGGTGTTACCTCCAGTGTTACCGGTAGTACCAGAGCCTGGAGTACTGGGTGTGCTTGGTTGGCTAGGAGGTGTGCTTGGCTTGCTGGGGGCCTTGGGGTCTGTTGAGCCGCCGGATGATGAGCCACAGCTGGCCTGATTGAAGCCATTCGGAACTGATTGGTCAGGCGGTAGGCACTGGGAGTAGTCTGAAAATGCACTCGGTTAGACATCGACTAAACGTAGAGTTTTCCAGTACCTCCTGTACTGTTTCTTGAAGAAATGCTCATTAAAAGGAGTAAACGCGATGAAAGATACTTACACTGTTGCTGACAGACGCACTTCCAGTTATCAGAACAAGACGTTGCACCTTTCCACTGGACACCACCGCATTGTTCATAATGACCAGATTGGGCTGATAATGCCTGCCCAAGGCCAAGGGAGAGCAAGAGGAGACTGAAGGACTTCATATTGATCGCGGTTTGAATGGTGATAGGTAACTTGGACCTGTGAAGAGAAGGTATTGCTCAAAAATTGGGAAAGAGAAGGGATAAACGAGTGTGAAGAATCGAAGCAAACGATCAATGTTGCAAAAAGAATGTAAGTAGGAAGATTCTAGCTTCCTGAGTATAGCAATGGCAGCTTGAGAGAAGAGAAGAAAGGAGAGCGTGAAGGGGTGGCGGTCAAGAGCATCTTTATATGGCTTCCCTGGTATCACCACAGACTTCACAGTGTCCTGGCTCACCTTCCCCTCTTTCAGAGAGTGGAGAAATGTAAGAGGCAGAGCCGCTAGAGTAGAATGCCGTTGAGTCTTGCATGGATAACAGCGCCTTCGGTTGTTGACTTCCGGAAGGTCGAGGCATGGCCATGCAGTATTCAGAAGGAAATGTAAAATGTACAGGGATTGCAAAGGAGCATGGGACAGAAGCATCACAGGGGTGACGAGATAGATTACTCAGTGATGATACCTGGGACGGAGGTCGATAATAATGTGAGCGAAAAGGTGAGCACCACATTTGTGCCCCTGACTCCTCACTCAGTCCTGAGTCCTCAGTGCATGGAGGTGTAAGCGAGGTCGGGCAGGCTAAGAGATGGCCAAGAATCCTCTGGTGAAATGAGCGTGAGGTGCCCTGGCGCCTTCCTTTTAGGTTGCCCGTGCGCCAGCCCCGGTCGCAGTAGTCGCCCATCGTAAATTAGCTGCATGAGCGAGCGTGATCCTGGGTTACGGTCTGTGATGAATGATGATTTGGTAGTGACCGGTGTTTGCTCGCACAGGCCGAAAAGATTGTAAGCATGAGGTATGATATTGGAGCCGAAGTAGGAGTGAGACATACATACATGTAGAAAGATACGGAAAATAAGTGACCGGCATGCCGACAAGGCAAGACCCGTTCGAAACGGTGCCGCAGACACACGTGGGAGTAATTGCTGTCAGGGGCTTGAGGGGGTAAACAAAGCGACATCTTCAGTATCGTACCGCCCAGATCGATCTCAAGCCTCCTAGTAGTCACCACTACTAATCCCACTACTATCAGCCATGTTTCACCATCTGCTTGCCATACCCTTGTTTCTGGCTCTATCGCGATTGGGTGGAAAAGACAAACAAGTCTGGCCATTTGAACATCAATCTCGTATCTCAGACTGAGATACCGTATACCCTGGGCTCCATCTTCGAATCAACGCTGCTTTCAAAGCGCGCGTCACCTCATATCGCTATCGTCATCAAGCCCGTGGAAAGTGATGCATCTCAAACGACCGTCGTTAGAGAGAGGAAGCTCGAGCAAGAGGGCGGTCCATGGACCTGGTGATACACAGACCCCGCTTCTGAGGAGGAGAGCGGTAGCAAGTCCAGTATCTTTTTCCCATATCCCCTGATATGCATATGTCATAGGAGACACGGCAACCGTGGCGAAAGACAAATGACTCCCTCTGGTGTGATGAAAAGGAGGAAGGCGCAAACCTTCCGATTTTCATACCACAGCATTTGTATGATACCCATTGATTAGGGTTGTCAAGCCCAAAATATCAGGTATAATCGATAAACAGGCGGGCTCTCTCCGCTTTTGCCGAGGTTAGAGTGCAAATCCCCGCCTGAACTCTGCCATGACAGCAGTGTGGCAGTAGCCATGAGAGGATTTCATGAACCCTCGTTTCGCCATTATTGTCCAGAGACGAAAACATCAGCACGTTTGAAATGTCTCGGACCGAATTAAGCCAAAACCTGCTCGCAAGTAGTGCGAAGCCGCAGACCGCCGCAGACAAGATTCCAATCCTGGCACGTGGCGCTGTCGGTGAGCGTGCCAGTAAGGCATTGAATCTTGTATGTGTATTACTCTCAATGCGAGTAGGAAGCGCGGCTGATCTCATGTGATTAGGTCCAACAATTCGTTGAGCAAGAGTGCATCCCTGCCGACACTGTCTACTATGCCCAACTAGGCGAGGGCGAGAAGAGATGGACCACCTATCCGCCTATCATTGACGATCTGAAAGCAAAAGCGAAGAGGCTAGGCTTATGGAATCTGTTCCTTCCAAAGAATCATTTCAGTCAGGGCGCCGGATTCTCGAACCTAGAGTATGGATTAATGGCTGAATACATGGGCTCGAGCAGAACTGCTTCAGAGGTATTTCTTCGAGGGTTGTGATGTTGTAGGAAGTCGAATGACCCGACCTTCAGGCATGCAACTGTGCTGCGCCAGACACTGGCAACATGGAAGTTCTGGCCAAGTACGGAGACGACGCTCAGAAGAGACAGTGGCTTGAGCCACTTCTTGACGGCTCAATAAGATCTGCGTTCCTGATGACCGAGCCGGATGTTGCATCTAGCGATGCCACCAACATCACTCTGACGATGAAGAAGGAAGGGAATGAATACATCCTCAACGGCTCGGTATGACTTGGTGCTAAGGCCACAATTCGATGCATAGCTAATGAAACTCAGAAATGGTGGTCCAGCGGTGCAGGCGATCCCAGATGTAGAATTTATATCGTCATGGGCAAGTCTGATCCAGACAATAAGGATGCGTACCGGCAACAGTCTGTCATGCTTGTGCCAGCAGATACGCCTGGTGTTACCGTCAAGCGAGTGCTCTCCGTATATGGCTACGACGATGCACCACATGGCCATGCGCAGATCACTTTCGAGAATGTACGTGTTCCTGCTGCAAACATGGTTCTCGGCGAGGGTCGGGGCTTCGAAATTATCCAAGGTCGACTTGGCCCTGGCCGAATACATCATGCAATGCGTTCCATCGGAGCTGCAGAGAGAGCCTTGGAGTGGATGGTTGCCCGCGTCAACGATACCCGAAAGAAGACATTTGGTCGTGCATTGAGTGAGCACGGCGTGCTCCTTGAATGGATTGCCAAGTCACGAATTGAGATCGACGCCGCTCGCCTTGTCGTGCTCAATGCAGCGATGAAAATTGACGAAAAGGACGCAAAAAGCGCTCTCAAAGAGATTGCCGCGGCAAAAGTTCTGATACCACAGATGGCACTTACTGTCATCGACCGTGCGATTCAGAGCTTTGGTGGGGCTGGTGTCTGTCAAGATACTCCATTAGCCAACATGTGGGCACAGATTCGCACGCTAAGAATCGCAGACGGCCCAGACGAGGTGCATCTGCAGCAACTTGGTAGGAATGAAAACAAGCAAAGTCGACAGATCATGCAAAAGCTCGAAAGGCAGAAACTTGAAGCTCAAAGAATGTTGCAGCAGTTGGGTCTGCAACAAAAGTCTAAGCTTTAATGGATCAGCTGAGGAATCTTGTTGTGCGAAGCACAATGGAAGCGCTCCTACACACAAACGAGCGACGTTTATCCAAGATTGATAATGAACATCAGAACTTTTCTGTTGAATCGCTTGAAGCCCGGGGCTTTCTCCGGATCTCTCTACTTGTTGGTGCCAGGAATGAAGAAGCAAAAAGCATTTCCCAAAGTGTGAGGACCCCGCAGAAAAGGCCGCATCATAAGATGAGTTCAGAGCGACGAACCACATAATTTGGAGCGCGTTTGTGATTCGTCACCTTGCATATGCTAAAATATCAAAATGAAGGGATCCGCAGCAAAATCTTTCAGCTCTACGGCGGATCCGGTAGGATGAAATATTCTGAGGGCCAAAACCCCTAACCTCAGGCTCACTATACGTCAAGTCAAAGGAGAGATAATCAGCATCGGGCCATGGATGACATTTATAGTCGAAATTTGTCGAATAGAGTACACTGCGCATGATGCTAATGGTGACGAACCTGGTCGGAGTTTGCTGGCTCGTAAAATGCCACCAACTTGGGGGTTTCCATTGTGGCAGAAACTCAAGACATCATCGTATAACCCAACCGGAGAGTCTATGTGTATGTTTCTGTTCATTCTGCCATGCATACTCTGTGGGGAGGCAGAAGAGGAGCACAGAGAAAGCACAATACCTGTGTACATGCTCTCTTCCAAGCTTCCAGCCGGGTTTGCTTACTCATTGACGTCTACACACGCCTTGAAGTCGAGCGCCCGTCTAATTATAAAGTGACAAGAACGACGATGCGAGAAAGTGTTGAAACGACAGGAATAATGTGTAATGACGTCTTGAAAAGCTCGTAGAAGCGAATTTTCGGTCAATTGGCGATTTTGTTTTAGGGGCCGTGCCAAGAAAAAGTTGCCGGTTGCCCCTTGCGACTCCTGGGAGTAAATAAGTCAATTGGGAGCAAATCACTTAAGTTCAGACCATCAATCTCTTGAACCAATATTGAAGCCTTCGAAAATTCGTTCTACAAGCATCACTGCATACTGTAGCCTTTCAGCATTGCGAAATCACAACAGCTATTATGTCTTCCCAAAGCCCCATTCAGCCACTCGCCTCTCGAGACGTGAATGCTCCACTCAACTCGCCATCGAAAGCAAAGTCAGATGGCTTGCAGAAAGAAGTCGGTGACAAGCCACAGAGTCTGGACTATCATCGCCAGGTTTTGCAAAACAGACTCGCGGAGGACAAGTACGTTTACCTAGCGATGTCGGCACCTAAATCCTATCATTTCACTTGCAGATATTCAATGGAGAAAGTCTCGATGCACTATTTAGGCAATTCTGACGTGCATCTTGCAGGTCAAAACAGATATTCATTTCACCATCAGATAATATCATGAGCCCGTGCACCAAGAAACTAAGCGAGTACAAGAGCAAGCACTTCTCAAAGTAGGTCCAGGACTCTAGATCAAGTTGACGACAATGCCTAATGAACTCTTCAGAGCAAAGCCACAATCGCTATTCGCGAAGATGGAGGCCAATAAGAAGGCCAATGCCTCGCATTCGGAAGGTAGTCTGGGGAGCGGAGAAAGGAATCCTTGAGAAAGCAGAGACGGCAGAATTGTAGAAATGTGAAAGGCTTACGAGCCTCATTCTTTTAAAGCATGAGGATACGCAAAACACGAGATTGTAACAATGCTCATGTGGCGTTTGCGCAACGAAGAGAGGCGGGTTCTGTACATTCATGAACATTGATAGGCGTTGAATAAGGGCAATTCGTCTGGTCGTCGTATCGGGTTTCGCGATCTTATCTTTTTCGCCGGTTGATTAGGCGAGTGCGGACTTGAAAAAGGGAAAGCTTAACCGAGTCGTCATAGGGCGTTATTTGGTACCGTCTACATGGACTCAACGCCTTTGCACCACCGCCGCACTTGATGATTAGTTCTTTTCAATATCTTGGACACCTGATCTAGACTGCCTATTCATGGATAAATCAATGGCTAGCACGAGCTATCTTTGCAGTATAAGTAAAGACCCATGATGCTTGCACGATGTGGCGGCTCTCCATGGCATAGAGACGACTTCACTCCCTGCTTTCAGGAAATGTAGGCTCTAGACTATCTTTCCAAAAAAACATTGCTAATGATATTACACCAGATATCTTCAACTCGCCATACCTCTTCTACTTATTGCTTCATCATTCTCTTACATAATCTTTAGACTTGGTCAACGAACATCAAATGCGCTATGGCAAACCGACGGATCAGTGAGCCAAGAGAGGCATACGAAGAAGAGCGTCCAAGCTTATACAGACGATGCGAGTGGAGAAGCTGGGACTTGCCGAGTGACGCAAGACTTTGACAGCGATGAGGTTTTCTTTGGATTGTCGGAATCGGGGCAAAAACACAGTCGGATCCAAGTTAGCCGGCCACGAGGTCAATCTTTGCTTATTGCAATCGAATTCCTCACAGTTGCTGTTCTCATAGCCGCGAGTTCGTCAGAGTCGCTGCGAGTTGCACATACCCCATGGACAGGCCCTTCAAGCTTGATCAAAGTCATCTTCTGGTGCTATGCTCTGAGCTTGATTTGCGTAAGACTATATACAGTCAAACACAGCTTGAAAGTCTTGCCAAACATTTGGTATCAAACAGCTTGGTTGTATGGGTCACAGTGGATCCTGTGTGGCCTTGCTTTTCGATCCGAAGTAATACATCCGAGGTCCTCCGAAGCGCAAGCATTAGTGTCTTCCGAATTTGGGCTGGTAACAATCTTAGCCTTGATCGTTTTGACAGCTCGCAAGGGCAATAAAGTCGTGTTGCTTGAATATGAAGCCGCTCTCCAACCATCACAGGAGCCGCTGGCTAATCTCTTCTCTACTTGGACATATAGCTGGGTCAATCCAATCGTATGGACAGGTTGGCAAAGAACGCTGGAATTGAGCGATGTTTGGAACCTCGAGGCTCGAGATAGGGCAGCAACAGTCCTTGCAGATTTCCGACAACTAAGGAGGACGAACGCATTGGCGTGGCACCTTGTCAAGTACTTCAAGCGCGAGCTTATCAAACAAGCATTCTGGGCTTTCCTAGCTGGCTTCCTCACATTCGCGCCTACACTTCTGATGAAGGCCTTCCTTGAATTTGTGGAAGATCCAGCTGCAACACCCGTAAATGCAGCTTGGTTTTACATGGTCCTCTTAGCCTTGTCTAACTGCACCAAATCTGTTGCCGATGGACAAGCACTATGGGTCGGTCGTAAAATATGTATTCGACTTCGGGCAGTCATCGTTGGCGAGGTTTATGCCAAATCGCTCCGGCGAAAAGCTGCTACTGGCCGAGACACGGTCTTGGGCGGCAAAAGGCATAAATCGGACGGGGACTGGAAGCCAAGAGAAATGGCCTCGAATGTGAGGAAAAACGATAATAATAAAAACTCACAAGAAGCGCCGGACGACTCTCAGGTAAATGTCGGGACCATCATCAACTTGATGGCTGTGGATTCATTTAAAGTCAGTGAGATTAGTGCATACCTTCATTTTCTTTGGGGAGTACGCCTGTCCAATTGGTTGTGTGCATAGGCTTGCTCTACCGTATCCTTGGCCTGAGCTCCCTTGCCGGAATCGTTATGATGATTATGGTCCTCCCCATCAATCTTCTCATTGCACGACAATTTACCAGAGTACAGAAAAAGGTCATGGCCGCAACAGATGTACGCATTCAGAGTACCAATGAAATATTGCAGAACATCCGCATTATCAAATATTTTGCTTGGGAGCAACGATTCGGGCACATTGTTGATGAGAAACGGCATGTAGAGTTGCAAGCTCTCAGGAACAAATACATCCTATGGACAGCCGCTGCTGGAGTATGGTTTGGTGTCCCGATTCTCATTACCTTCTTTTCCTTCATGCTCTACACAGTTGTGGAGAAGAAGCCCTTGATACCATCCATAGCATTTACCTCCCTTTCCCTCTTCGGGATACTACGATATCCGCTCGATCAGTTAGCAGATATGGTTGCTCACGTGCAAGAATCCAAGGTTTCCGTTGACAGGGTTGACGAATTTCTCAATGAGGACGAAACTGAGAAGTATGACCAACTATGTCCGCCTGAGAGAGATCGTAATGAACATGATCCAAGAATTGGATTCGACAACGCTACCCTGAGTTGGGGTTCTAAGGACAATGGCGGCTCTGATGGACACACTGCCTTCCGCATGATCGACATAGAGGTTCACTTTCGTGTTGGTCAGCTCAACATCATTGCAGGACCCACCGGAAGTGGCAAAACATCAATGCTCATGGCATTGCTTGGGGAAATGACTTTGTTCAGAGGCTCGGTCCACCTACCTTGCGGACTTAGCCGTGAGGAGCTCACACCACACCCTGAAACTGGTTTGACTGACAGCATCGCTTATTGCGCCCAACAGGCATGGCTTGTGAATGACAGTATCAAGGAGAATATCCTCTTCGCTTCACCTTTTGAGGAAGCTCGTTACAAATCTGTAATTGTCGCATGCGCGCTGGAGAGAGACCTGGAGATTCTTGACAATGGAGATTCCACCCTTGTTGGCGAAAGGGGTATCACTCTATCAGGCGGCCAGAAACAGCGCATTTCTCTCGCTAGAGCCCTGTACTCAACATCCCGCCATGTACTTCTCGATGACTGCCTCTCTGCCGTCGACAGCCATACTGCCAAGCACATCTTTGACTTCTGCATCATGGGCCCTCTCATGTTCGGTAGGACATGTATTCTCGTGACACATAATGTCGTTCTGTGCGTTCCACGCTCGCATTTTGTGGTGGTGCTAGCCAATGGAAAAGTTGCGGTTCAAGGCTCGCCCAATGAGGTGATCGGATCTGGAGCTCTAGGGGAAGAGATACAAAAGTCGAGACCTGCCTCTAAATTCGGATCAACACTTCACTCTCGCATGCACTCTACTGTAAGTCTTGAAACACAAGCAAAAGATATGGCGAATGATGACTTCTCAAACATCAATGGCCATCACACTGGAAACGTTAAGGAGCCGCGGAATCAGGCAGAAAGTCCTCGTGGGGCTTCGCCAACAGAAAAAAAAGCCGCCGGTAGTGTCAATATTCAAGTCATTAAGATGTATCTTGTTGCTATGGGGCCCTGGATCTACTGGGTGATCGCATTCGCAGCGTTTGCTCTACAGCAATTAGGCGCTGTAGGGGCGAATGTCTGGATTCGATCCTGGGCGAACGCCTACGTTGTGAAAAAACCTGAGACTACTTCTAACGATACAACACAAATTCAGCTCGGTGTTACAAAGCACTATACACATGCATTTCATCTATCGTCGTCCTCCTTCCCCGTAAATGGTCCTTTCTGGAATTTCCGGCAGTCTAACCAAGCACTGCTTTCAAGTGGCACATCGAGTGCTTCCGATCACAGAGTTAATGCATGGCATTACCTGGCTGTTTATGCAGCCCTTGGCTTGCTATTCATACTCATCTCTCTAGCTCGGGAATGGCTCATTTTCTGGGGATCATTAAGAGCTTCTAGAAGGATTCATCATAGGCTGTTCGGGGCAGTGACAAGAGCCAGACTGCAATTTTTCGATACAACACCCCTAGGACAACTGATGAATAGATTCTCTAAAGATGTTGAAGCTGTCGATCAAGACGTATCGCCTATATCTGTGGGCTTTCTTGGCTGCATTTTCTCGATCGTCAGTATCATTATCTTAATTTGCGTCATCACTCCAAGCTTCTTGGTTGCTGGCTTCTTCATCACATTGATCTACTGCGCTATCGGTGCTTTCTACATTCGATCTTCTCGTGACCTGAAACGTCTAGAGTCTATTCAAAGAAGCCCAATCTACCAGCATTTTGGAGAGACACTTAGTGGTGTTGTTACCATTCGAGCGTACGGAGATGAGAGAAGATTCGTCAGGGAGAACCAAACTCGCGTGGATACACACAATCGGCCATTCATTTATTTGTGGGCCACTAACAGATGGCTAGCACTCCGAGTGGATTTTGTTGGGGCCTTGGTCGCCTTCTTCGCAGGGGTCTTTGTGATCTTGGCCATCAAAACCATCGACGCGGGCTCCGCTGGTCTTTCTCTCACATATGCCGTTATGTTTACTGAAAATGTCCTCTGGCTTGTGCGTCTGTATTCTGCGAATGAGCAGAATATGAATTCTGTAGAGAGAATCAAAGAGTACATGGAGATTGACCAAGAAGCCGATGCAATCATTGAACATTCTAGACCGCCGAGCAACTGGCCAAGTCAAGGAGCAATATCTTTTCAGAAATATACAACGAGCTACCGACAGGACTTAGGCCCGGTGCTGCAAGACCTAACTTTCAGTGTCCTACCCAATGAACGAGTCGGCATTGTTGGTAGGACAGGCGCTGGTAAAAGTTCCCTGGCCCTAGCACTATTTCGAGGCCTTGAAGCGGATGACGGACAGATCCTCATTGATGACATTGACATTGGTGGAATTGGCCTCCAAGATTTGCGTGAAGCCATCACCATTGTCCCGCAAGACCCGACGCTGTTTACGGGTACGCTGAGAAGTAATCTTGACCCTTTTGGTCTCTTTACTGACGAGGAGATCTTTGCAACCTTACGTCGCGTGCAGCTGATCAGCGAGCCCAAGTCGGACGACAGCTCTTCCTCTTCACTTTCCGTCCCCCCTGTAACAATTACTCCCCCAGACGTATCTGATTCGTCGTCCACTACGTTAGGAAATGACCTTGATCTGGCAAAGAGTTTCACAAATACTCGGGAGAACTCCAACGCATTCAAAAATCTGTCTTCATCTATCGCAGAATCTGGCTCAAATCTTTCTCAAGGCCAGCGTCAGCTCCTCTGTCTTGCCCGGGCCTTATTGAAGGCTCCTCGTGTCTTGATTATGGACGAAGCCACCGCCTCAATCGACTACGCGACGGACGGCAAAATCCAAGACACGCTGAGAGAAGTGAAAGAAAGCACCATCGTAACCATTGCTCATCGACTGCAGACCATCATTGACTATGATAAGGTTCTGGTTTTAGATAAAGGCAGGGTCATTGAATATGATTCCCCTTGGGACCTAATCTCACGGGAAGGTAGCATCTTCCGCGGGATGTGTGAAATGAGCGGTGATCTCGAAGTCCTGGAGGAGGCAGCCCGTGAAGCAGCAAACAAAAAGAAGCTCGTGGATATCTAAATTCTAATTGAGCACACTTGTATATAGCTCTTATATTATCAGGATACCGGTATGGAGGTTAGCACAGCGTTGGGCGTCTGTCGTGTATATAGAAGTCACGCCATATTAATTCTTAGACCTTTACACAGCCCAAGGGCATCATTTAGCCGTCAATTGCTGCTGCAGCTCGGAACAACAAGACTAACGGACAAAACTTAATATTAAACCCGTCCAAGCCAACCAGTGCGATGTGATCCGTCATTCTTTCATGTTATAACTTACATCCTACGTTCATAACAATGCCAGGAGTATGCTTGAGTTCCGTCCGCGTGGATCCACGGCGGCGACGGCGGTGCTTCTGCTTGCAAACTCGACATCCGCGTTCGCTGCGCAGGTGACAAGCAAAGTGACGCCCAAAACAGCTGATGCTCCTGGTCCATATCAGTCGCCTTCGACATGTCCTTCCCGAAGTATCAACTATATTACGCATTCGCTTCCGCAGCAATGTTTTACAGCAAGCTGGGCCAGTCGAGTACCTAGTCAGAGCAACAGTACGGTCTCTCCTACAAGTACCGTGATTGAGGGTCGGAACTTCGTACTAGTCACTTCGACGGTAACCACAGTCAGTGAGCATAGTCGCGACCAGCTAGATCAAGAGACGCAACCCAAAAGTCAGGACCCGCTGGATGCAACATCAACGGTACCGGACAGCAAGAACACCGCTTCTTCCTCCGAGAAACTACCACAAATTTCTCGTTCGATAAGCTCTGAGATAGTACAAGAAACCGAAACGGACTCACCGCTTGATAACGCAAACTTTCTATCTTTCGAAGAATGGAAGAAGAAGAACCTCGAGAAGGCAGGGCAGTCGGCCGAGAATCTGGGCGCGAAGTCAGGTGCAAAGGAGCAACGGAGGAGACCTGGAGGTATTAGCAATGCTTTGGACTCCCTTGGAGAGGATGCAGAAATTGACATCGACTTTGGTGGGTTTGCAAGCCAAGGGCCTATGGCAAATGCGCCGCTTTTGAAAGGAGCGCAGGTTCGGGATTCAGACTCTCTGGAGAACATCCAGCAAGCTCGGGAGCGGTTGCCGTCAGAAAATGCTGCCGTTCGGAAGAGACCAAGAGATGCTGGGAAGACTTGCAAAGAAAGGACCAACTACGCTTCCTACGACTGCGCTGCCACCACCCTAAAGACTAATCCAGAATGCAAGAGCCCTTCTGCAATCTTAGTGGAGAACAAAGATAGCTACATGCTGAACATCTGCACGGCGAAGAACAAATTCTTTATCGTGGAGCTATGTAATGACATCCTCATCGATACCATCGTGCTAGCCAATTTTGAATTCTTCAGCTCCATGTTCCGAACGTTCAGAGTCAGCGTTTCTGACAATTACCCGGTCAAACTTGATAAATGGAAAGAGCTTGGAACATACGATGCACAGAACAGTCGAAATATACAGGCCTTTCTTATCGAAAACCCTTTGATATGGGCTCGATATCTTCGTGTCGAAATGTTATCGCAATATGGCAACGAGTACTATTGTCCTGTGAGCCTTCTGCGCGTACATGGGACTACGATGATAGACGAATTCAACAGCGAGATGAAGAGTGTCGGAGGAGAAGATGAAGGGGAGGGCGAGGGAGAGCAGATTTCGGGGGAGATATCTGATCAACTACCACCACAATTAGGTACATCAGAGGTGCGCCAGGAATCCACGGCAGCCGGCTCTCGAGCATCCTCAAGTTATGTACTGGACTCCACCTCTAGACTCACTGAGACTCTGGCAAGAGACGCAGCATCAACAGCATTTCCATCACCGCGAGACTCCACTTCCGCGCCACAAAAAGTAGGCACCGAACTTACCAGGCGTAATTCTACTGTTGTAGGTCAATTGGAAGACTTATTCGGCCCATGGCTCGATCTTCTGCAGACCTGCTCGCCTTCACCGAATTACGTTACTACAAAGCTATCGAATCCAGAGTCTCCCATGAGCGCTCCCGTGCTTCCCACGGCTCATGGCATTATTTCTCCTTCCAAGGCTGCTCTGACCACGATATCACCGTCGAGCGCAACTCAGGCTCCAAGCTTGGAAACCACTTCAATTCTTTTGGGCACTAACGAAAGTATCATTTCCCTGTCCAGTTCGGCGGCCTCTGTGTCTAACGCGATCCAAAATACCATCAAAAGTGTCGCAAGTAAGGTCAACTCCACGACGATCAGCAGCGTCAAGGCTCAGGCCTCATCAAACCAGCAGCCGCCCTCCAACCCTACGACCCAGGAGTCCTTCTTCAAATCCGTCCACAAGCGCCTACAAATGCTGGAAGCCAACTCCACCCTTTCGCTTCAGTACATCGAGGAGCAATCACGTATCCTGCGTGACGCTTTCTCAAAAGTCGAGAAGCGACAACTTAGCAAGTCGACGACCTTTCTTGAGACACTCAACTCCACTGTACTCACCGAACTCCTCGAATTTCGTCGCCAGTACGACCAAATATGGCAGTCCACTGTCCTGGAGCTTTCCTCCCAGCGCGAGCAATCTCAGCAAGAAGTCTTTGCCCTCTCCACCCGACTAACCCTCCTTGCCGACGAAATTGTCTTCCAGAAACGCATGACCATTCTACAGTCCCTGCTCATTCTCCTCTGCCTCGGCCTTGTTATCTTCTCGAAAAGTGGCTCTTCCTCCTCGTACATGGAGTTTCGCCCCTTCGTTCAAAATGCAATCAACAAATCCTCAGCCAATCTCTCTCGCTATGCAACGCATCTTGAATCACCTTCTTCAAGCCCTTCGGCTTCCCGCCCACCTTCTCGGTATGGCTTATTCAGGAGCTTGACGCATCGGCGGAGTCCGAGCGAGGAGTCTTACGTTTCGAAGCCGAACATTGAGTACTCACCACCAACACCGGAGTCGCAGGGCTCGATGAATGATGAGCTTGGAAGTTCGCCTGGCCAGGCTAGTCAAATGGATGGAGATAATAGTGACGGGCCACCTGAGGCCGAACAGGAAGTTCGGTCTAAGAGCAGCCCAGTCACACCAGAGGCGAGTCCAGATGGGAAAAGGCATCTCGTTAGGGATGTGTTTCTAACTACCGATTCGCCTGTGAAGAGGGGCGAGGGCGAGCACAGGTAAAATATGTATACGATATGACTTTGGGACGAGAGCGTGGCGTTTGGAGCACCTTTGGTCTCTTTTGCATTTTGGATGTTTGCATAGCACAGCGATGGAATACTGTACGATCCGAATCGAGTTGAGGTCACTTATACAAATAGTATAATGGGTATCAAGGCTTTTACAGTGCGCCTCCAACTTTTTGTACAATCCACATCGCCACCCTTACTTTCCATGTAGCCTTCCTGTCTATAGTGCACAAATCTTCTTCTGTGACTGGGTTCGTATACTCTCCCAACATCTCTTCCTCCCGTTTCCACTTCTTCTGCAAAGTCTCATCACTGGTAACGACCATGGCTCCTACTTCCAAATCCAGTCCATAGCTACGAGTCGTGTAATTTGAGCTCCCGATTAGCGTGACACTGGGTCCTGCCATCGCCAGCTCTTCCCCCTCGTTCGCTTCACCATTACCGACCTCATTAGAGTCGCGCGACTGACCCAACATAGTTACCCAAAGTCCCTTTGCATGATAGGTCCAACCCCCTAGCTCCCCCACAACACCACGCTGCCACTCCCTCAATCGAACCATCTTGCCTCTTGCAGCCTGCAAAAATCTCAACGAAAGGTGTGAATACGCGGCCGGCAACATTCCACTGATCCCCTGGGAACCGAAAAATCCATTCGCGAACGGCGAAGCCGTGAGGATAGTCCCAGGGACTGAAGCAGGTGGAGAAGAGAGAGAGAGTAGTATGGAAGTTACGAGAGGATGCGGATTGAAGTAGCCAGCTGTAAATGTGTATGATTTAATGGGTCGGGTTGCCGATAGAAGGGTTGTCAGGGTGGGAAGCTCGGTGTTGAGCGTTGGTGGGTAGACGAGGAGAGGGTAGACGGATGTGTTGGTTGTTGGCGGAGAAGTCAAAGTAGAGGCGCCAGTAGCAAGGGGCTTCAGTAATTTGGTCGCCGTTGAGATGTAAGTTTTAGGCGCTTCGAGAGGACGACAAATGGTGTTTGTGGAGGGCCATTGAAGGAAAAAGCCCCCTGGGTTGGAAGAAGGCTGGAGACAAGAGCTAATGCTAGATACTGCGTTATGGATTTGGGCGAAGTAGTCTGCTAATGGTTTCGATTTGAAGAGATGGTATCGATCTTGCCGGTTCGTGAAGTAGTCGTTTGAAAGATTGGCGCCTGAGAGAATGACCTCATCGTCGAATCCGTAGAGCTTCATGTGTTGCAGTCCCCAACCCTCATTGATGCGCTTTGGGATGAGACTTTTCCTTAGACCTGTGAGATTTGGGGTGTGGTACATGCGTATTTCGACTCTGGCTGGAAATTCTCTGACTAAGGGTGCAAGAAGTGAGCCGCACGATGGCTGGGGAGCCTCGCGAGTGCCGCGGAGGGCATCTGTTAGGATTGAGACTTGGAGGGATTTATTGCTATTGAGAGAGTGGCGGATCGTGCTGACAAGCTCATCTTCAGATTTGCCAACGTAGAGCGTCGAGAGGTATATCCTTCTTCGAGCAGCAAGTATCCTAGTCTTCAAGGTTGAATAGAACTCCTTCGGCGAGTCGATGATCTCAATATCTGAAGCATTGAGGTCTATCCTTGGGGCAAGACGGTCGAGATCTTGTCTGAGGCTAGTCAAGGGAGTAGCTCTGGGAGCTATTGGCCGTGAAAGCTCTTGCGGGATGGAGGATGCAGTATATCTCCGCGCGTACCAGGGCAGGTTGCCGACCACACCACGGCCAGAAGGTTGAAGGCATGGCAGTACTCGCCGAATGAGCATCTACCAGATTGCCGGTGCTGAGCAGAGGTGACTCTGCAGATGGTAGATTGACTGGTCACACATGGGCAATGCATCAGTCGCGAAGTGCCAATGTGGTAAAGAAAGTTCTGTATTGTAACATTTCGAGTCGCAACTAGATCTAGAACGAGCTCCACTTCTGGCCTGTACGATGGGTTAGATGGTCACCCGATGATCATACAAATCCACTAGGATCGGTAAGTAATTCATCATTGTGTGTAAGGAGCTTTTAGATATTCATCAGCTGATCTGAAAAGAAGTATGTCTCATGCTTGAAGGTGAATATGGGAAGAATGAGCTCGATGATACCCTAGCGTGTATTCACTGTGTTATCTTGGCATTTTCCTACTGCGGACCTCGAAATAAGGAACTGAATGCATCAACAATACCAGACGGTGTCATGATATTTTCAGATTCGCTGACATACTCTCTGCGCATCTACCTTGATGTCCATTAATCCACCGTATCAAGCCCGTCCTCCGGGTCGCTGGAGCGATGTTTGCTCCCCCTGGGACAGGCCGAAACAGACCTAGCAATCGAAGCAGAGGGAATACGTGGGGTGTTGGAAATGGCCGAGATCATCGTAATGGAGCAGGCACGGCGTCTTCAGGTCGCCGCATCAATGCGAATGCAGGTCGGGCCTTCGATAAACTACGAGGTGGAGGACCGCCTAGACAGGGAGCTGTTCATAGCAACTCGCAGCGAAACGCCCCCCAACAGACTGCAACAACTTCAGATTCGGGAAACAAAACTTATTCCAAGAATGAGCCTTGGCGCAATCCGGCCACAGAAAACCCTGCAACGTACAAAAAGCGAATGAATGACCTCTACCAAACGGTACATCCAAACATTCTCAAGAGCAATGCGAATCATTACAAGCTGACGTACGGGGCCGTTGTAAACATTAGCTAAAGGAAGACCGCGAAAAGGAACGAAAGAATGCTATTCGAAATGGCTTCCTTGCAGACCCTGATAAACCGACCTCACTGGCAAATGCCATCACGCCGGTTGGGACATGCCAAGATATGTGCCCCGAGTTCGAACGAGTGGAGAGGATCGTGCAGCTCATGGTAGATGGAAGCGAAAAGGTGAATGAGTGACACCAAGGATTGGACGTAGAATGCTCATGTATGCAATGCAGGAAGCTACAGAAGCCGATGTGAAAGTGCCATGCGAAGCGTTAATGGTGAAGCGGTTTCGAAGGTCTGCTGCCGGTTATGATGAACAACTTCCCTCAGACATTAGACCTCCGAACGTTTTGAAAAGGGCGCTCGATTACCTGATCAATGACGTTGTGGGAGGCTCAGAGCCGTTGTCGGTGGTGCATAAATTCGTTTGGGATCGTACACGGGGCATAAGAAATGACTTTTCAATTCAACAAGTCACGAAAACCGGAGACCTGCGCCTTGCGATCGAGTGCTTCGAACGAATAGCTCGCTTCCACATTTTGTCCTTGCATCAGCTATCCAACGGTAGCCTCGTGGATAACGAATTCGATCATCACCAAGAACGAGAGCAGCTCAACAATACCCTATTATCTTTGATGTACTACTATGACGATAGCCGACACAAACTCGTCTCTCCAAACGAAGCGGAGTTTCGGGCATATTGCATAATCTTCGAAATTCAAGACCAGCGACCGGACCTTGAGGATCGAGTCCAGAGTTGGCCTAAACAGATTCTAAAACATCCTCGAGTTCAAATTGCGCTGAAGTTATACGCTGCTGCCGGAAATACCACAGACGAACAAGGCCCTTTGCGTCCTCGGACACCTTTTAGTATCGCTCAAGCTAACGCTGAAGGTTTTTGGGCCGGTGTGAAGTCTAGTGCGATCTCGTACTTGACTGCTTGTGTTGCTGAAATTTACTTCAATCTCGTTCGCGCTGCAGCTCTCGAAACACTTTGGAAAGCATACAAAGGTAAACGAGGAGGGTCTGCAAAAATGGAGGACTGGGTACTGACAGACTTGACTCTGGCACTATGCTTCGATAATGACGATCAAACCATAACATTTTGCGAAGATCATGGACTGGTGATCGCGGAAAATGACAAGGGAAATGCTTTCGTTGATTTTGGCTCGGTGGCTGCAGGCCAACTTTCAGGTGAGTTACTTCGACCACGCACAATGAATGCTTGCAGATTCTCCCATAGATTCAAATCCAAGGCGGAAACAAGTCTTTTCAAAGGGCATGGTAGAATCGAAACGTCTTGGCCGAACGCTACCAGCAATCATTGACGGAATTACGGCATCTCAAGCTCAGGCACAAGGTCTCATCGAGGAGTATTCGGACACAGACTCCGATGCCAACAGCGAATCTCTTTTCCTAGATGGCGACTCAGATGTCGAGGGCGAACAGACTCAGCCGAAGCCTAAGGCTCCGCCTGCCGATGGCGTTGATCAATTACTTCCTGCTAAGCTCAATGCGACCGCCAACCCCTTCAAACCCTCCAGCGTTTTCGGCCATCCCTCAGGCAATCCCAATCCATTTGCTTCGGTAGGGAATCAGAGCTTTCCAAGCACTTCGCCCTTACCGTTTGATGGCCTTGGCAAACCCGAAACGGCTCAGACAAATTTGTTTCCAAGAAATGAAGCTTCTAATCAGGCCCCCTTTCAAAAGCCAACATTATTCTCATCCGACAATTCCATTTCTAAGGACAATAACTTGCAAACCAAAGCGGCATCCTCCTCCAATCTTTTCGCCCCTCGGCCAGTTACAACTGACAAGAATGGTGCAAAAGAATTACCTACCTTCAACTTTCTCTCGCCATCGTCAGAAGAGAAATCTCAATTGCTGCCTCCGTCTCCTGCTCCACAGCAAGCATCTAGTGTCCTCACGCCGCCTTCTACGTCAACAGGCATCGAGAAACCGCTTAAGAATGCGCCCGTGGATGGTCCTTCGACAACCCTCTTCTCATGGGGAACTCCGGCAGCCAATAACCCTAGTCCACAGCAGAAGCCCGAGCAGCGCGGCTCCTCCTCGAATGATAAGGAGAATGAGTCTGAACCTTCTCCTCAAAGCAAACCTGTACTGAGCTTTGGCACGCCACCTATATTCAACTCGAAGATCTACCCGCCTGAAGCTGACCTCACGACACTCGAGAATGACACTTCTTTACGGGCATCAGCTGTTTTAAGAAGTCAACCAGCCCTTACTTCGCATGTACCAAATTCTCCCGACATCAACACTCCAGCTTCCGACAACAAGGCTACGTCTCTACCTAGCCCGTTCTCATTTCCATCAACTTCTAACACTCACCTCACAAGCCAGTCTACGCCTAGCGATGCTAATCTAGCTTCAGTCAACCCTCCATCTCAACAGCCATTTTCTTTAACTCCTGCGGCTGCAGATCAAAAATCAAAGCTTTCAAGTGAGGCCTTCCCAAAAGCGCAGAATTTTGCTCAGTCTTCGAAAACAGCAGCAAAGACAACAAGTGATTCCACACTCTCCTTCCAAGCTTCTGACACGAATACGGCGCAGCAACCGACAAAGTCAGATCAGCTGTCTTCTCGAGCCAAAGCATTAGGAAGTGTAGCAACGATATTGATGACCGAGGATAGAGGACTCTTGCAACAATTTGTTGAATTCAGTATTGCTCCTATCTTAAAGACTGCCGTGGCAAAATTCGAGGATGATAAGTCTTGGGCGCGTGCTCGTGAGTTGCTCTCTGACAAGAACTAAGCAGGCCAAATGAAGCTAATTATGCATAGGCGAATATCGTGACTATTTACTTGCGAGAAAATATTGCGCCAGGTGGAAATTAATCGCTTGGAATTTGGGTCTCAAGCGCCGGGCAAAAAAGCGGAGAGGAAACCTTGCCAGATCGTTACGTGAAGGATCCCGTGATTCTCCGACGTCAAATAGCATTGAAAGTTCCCCTTTGGCTCGTACGCTTGCGGAAAAGAGTCGAATGTCAGCGCCCAGCACTAATTCGGCTATGGGGCCTCCGTCAGCATCAAGCAGTCTTATGAAACGGCAGTCACTACCCGCAGATCTTATCATGGAAGGTCGCAGCGTGCTTGCTGCCGCTGGCAGTAAGAGGAAGCGTCCAGACCCAGACCCGGACACCGAGATGAATACCGCACCACAAAAGGCAACCTTGAAATCTTTGCATAGGCGAACAAAGACCTATGGCGGCTCGGTTGGCCTTGATATATCTCAAAGGAGTCCAAGGACCTCGCTGCATTCAGAAATCGAGGCGGCAAGAAGAGACGATGGATCATTGCTTGGTGATGCTTTGGATCAACAAGCCCGACGTCTAGCTCCGGGTACAAGGTTAGACACTACTCGTACAAATTACTTCAAACTGAAAGCTATGGGGATAAACCCAAATATTCTTTTGTCATCGGAGTCAAAGCCGAATCCCGGAGCTTCGCCAGGAAACGCCAAGGATGCTAGAGTAAAGCCGGTGGGCATAGCACATATGTCAAGGTCAGCGCCTATCCCTCAAAAGAGCACGAAGCCTGCGGACGATGACGAAGATCTATTCGCTTCTATTCGCAAAGTTCGCGAGGCTCTAGCTGAGACTACGACGTGGTTCCAGTCAGAGCGACAGACAATTGAGCGAAGCATGACTCCACAGAGCGCAGCATCACCACCAAGGAATGAGAGTGCGGCAGAAAAGCGGCTTCGAGAAATTCGGGAGCGAGGCACTACCCCAACGAGAACAGAGCTAAGGCAGAGGGCAATGGCTGATAAGTCCCTTCTACCAAACGGTCTATCAGATAGAAACCTGAAGGAAAAGCAGAAACAGGAAAAAGAAACGCTAATGGCAACCCCCACCCGAAAGCCATTGGGCTTCGCTGCACTTGCAGAGCAAAATTCAGTTCATGGATTGAGCAACGGAACATCGCGAGTTGGTGACCGTAGCAACACGCCATCAACACAGCAAGGTTTAAGCATCGAGGATGCGATCGAATTATAATTGTGGCCTTTGGATGTGGCCAATATGGTGCATAGCGAGGCGCCTTGTGTTTCTAAGGTCAGGCATGTTGAGACATATACCCCCCTGTGTTTGATTTTGAGATAGCTAGGAGTATCAGAATTCGTGCGCAATGTAGATAATGATTCTTTGCGGTGATACTCACCTGAGGTGGTCTTAAATGATATCCTACTGCATATTCTGGCACCCCTTTTAAGGTGCTAGGGTCTGAAATTTATATCGGTGTAATTTATTAAGCTTACCTCTCCCGCAGCCACGGTGGGGACGACGGTACACCAATATAAATTTCACACTAAGCCGTGTGCCAGAATAACGTATTCCAAAAAAGATTCGGCCATGAGAATAGCAACCGTGCAGTTTGCACCAGAGCTTGGCCAAACAGAGGAAAACATTCTGCAGGCCGAGAACATACTTTCTGCCTCTCCACCGCATGATGTAGATCTCTTAGTATTGCCGGAGCTTGCCTTTACAGGCTACAATCACACGGTCGAATCAATCCTTCCTCATCTTGAACTCCCGGACACAGGAATCAGCACACGATGGGCCAAATCTGCAGCCGCGAAGTACAATTGCATCGTCAGCGTTGGATATCCCGAGCTTGCCACTCAATGTGAAGGCCAAGTCGTAGCAAACCCTGCTGGGACGCCAACAGCCTACAACAGCCTTGTCACCGTGTCTCCAGCAGGGAAAATTCTAGCGAATTACAGGAAATTCCATCTCTACTACACCGACGCCTCATGGGCCTCCGAAGGCCCCGACGGCTTCATGGTTCGCGACTTGCCTCTACCCTCAATGACTAAGCTCGACAATAACGGCAAGATTCAAGAAAGTGTGAGAGCTGCATTCGGCATCTGCATGGACATCAACCCCTACCAATTCACTGCGCCACAGGATGCCTACGAATTCTGTGTCCACGCCATCAACGGCGGCGCTGATATGCTCGTCCTCTCCATGGCATGGCTGAGTGCTCTTTCTTCTGAAGATCTGAAGGGAGAACACCGGGGGGACTGGGACATGGACACCTGGGCTTGTTGGCTCGCAAGGCTGCTGCCGTTCATAGAGGCGGAAAAAGAAGTAATAGTGATTTTCGCGGATAGATGTGGGGAAGAGCCGGGGGAGAATCCCTTTGAGAAAGACACAGAGGGTGTAAGGTATGCCGGGACCAGCTGGGTAGGGAAGATCGGCAGGGGAGACGTGGGGATTTGGAGGATGCTTGGGCGAGGGGAGGAAGGGCTGCTGCTGGCTGACACGAGTAAAGCCTATGAGAGAGAGTTCAGGGCGTGGAGACCGATGAAAGGCGAGGGTTATTATGGGACACCTACACCCGAGGACCAGGGTTGAAAACAGGGGCGAGGTGCTGGTGACGTGAAGTCACAAGGGCCAAATCGACTGGCGTAGCTAAAGGAATGCAGTCTTGCAGAGAAACTCAAAGTAATCTGAAGCTGGAGTCAAAACGCCACACACCGGCGCTTTTAGTTCTTTCAGACAGCTATACCCGCAATGAGGCAGACGTCATCAATGTATATACATGAATCAAACATTAATTCCCCGTACCCGCATGCCAATGGTTCAACTCAATGATTTCAAGCGTCACATTGGCCCGGATATTTTCTCTGGGCAGGATCATTCAGCGGGTTGGGAATATATCCTTTTTCAATGCCATCCTTGAAGCCCCATCCAGCACCTGCAACGGCTTCTGAATCCTGCCCCCAGCTCCAGAAGAAGAACCCACTTGTGTATGCTTCGAAGACCTCCAATTGGGCCTCGACGTACTTCCTCACATCAGTGATAACATCGTCAGTCCACCCCTCTACGTTCATCGTTGCATTCGTCGCAGGGTTGAATTCACCCACATAGATCGAGATTTGGTCATGGTTGATGCCCGCCATGGCATATCCACGCTCGCAAGCCGTCTGAATATGTTCGGCCTGCGTCTCAGCCTGCTCGCACGGGCAGGTGAGCTCGGACATGCTTTCTGCGACGCTGAACATGCCTTTCGTGGGCGAGATGGATTGGGCGGTCGGAGCCCAGTCCGCCGGGGCGGAGGCGGCGTCGGGCATGATGACTTGGAGGTTCGGATTTGAGGCAGCTTGATGGACTGCGTCATAAGCTTTTGAGGCGAAGGACTGGTCGGTGGCTGTGGAACCAATGGGGCCGGAGAAGATTTCGATGCCGACGACGGTGCTGGCATAGGTTGTGGAGCCGTATTTTGTGGCGATGAGGGTAAGGATACTGAGGGAGTGAGAGAGGAGCTCGTCGGGTGAGACTTCGGCCGATGTGGTGCCTGTGCTGTCCGTGTTGCTGACGTCAATCCAGACTTTCATGCCAGCTGCTGAGGCCCAACCGACTGCTTTTTCGAGATATGCATCCGCGCCCTTCTTGTAGGGTGTGCCAGAATTGTCCCAGGCCCAGTAGCCGATAGGAATCTTGATTGCGTTGACACCATATGATTTCAGAGATGCGATGTCCGCTTCCGTGAAGTAAGAGTCCCAATGGCTGGTGAGCGCCGCAACAGCGCCAGGCGCAGAGTCAAAGGTCCATTGGTCCTTAGCATCAAGTCCGCTGAGAAGCTTCGCGTTAAGCACTGAGTCAAGGAGAAGCCAGCCTCCGATGTTGACGCCTCGTAGGAAGTCTGCACAAGGGGTTCCAGATACAGCGGGCGCGGATGTGCTTGCAGGTGCACTCGTGCTCAATCTCGGGGCCAAGCCCGAGCCAGCAACGACGGTGGTGCTATTCTCGCTTGCGGTTGGTCTCAAGCTACCAGAAGCCTGGGTACCAGTACCAGCTGCTGTCCCTGTGGCTGAGAAGCGAGAAGATGTCCCGGATGGAATGGGGGCCGAGACACTGGAGTAAGTGGATCCAGTAGAGACAGTTGGGTATGATGAGGCAGATGGTGATGTGCTGGTTCCAGAGGCGATGGTCGACGTAGAATAGGCGGATGTTGTCGACAGACCATTCTTATTGTGAAGGTGGTGATGTTTATGGTCGTAGTGACGCCATGGAGATGGGCTGGCAGTCGCAATAGCAACGAAGATAAGGAGGCCAATGCTCTTCATTCTGAGGCTGCAACAGGCAATGTTTGTGTAACTGTCCCAGACTGCCAAAAATGTCCAATTGCGATCCAACGAAGAATGCTAATGCTGTTCTCTCAGAGGGGTAATAACGATAACGAATGGACGACAGTATCCTGACTGTCAATGCAAAGGAATGTGGGAGAGAAGAGCAGCTCAGCAGCACAGCAGCACAGCAAGTTGATCAACAATAGTACACAGCAGAACAGCGAGGCAGAGAGAGGGGACGGGGTAAGTGGATCATATCAAGAAATTGCCAGGGGGAGAAGCACCCTAGCGGTTTGCCCCTCTTGCCCTTGTGAACCATGTTGTATAGTGAAAATTGGCAGGTAAACATGCGGGCTGGTGCGGAAGTGGGCATCAGTAGTAGCATGGTGCTCATCCCTGCGTGTGATATCGGTGGTCACCAGTGGTTTCACCAGTTTACCTCTTTGGGCGAAATGGAAGTTGATGAGATTGCTTAATCTCCCGGGCCTGCCTCTAAGCAACGGATCACACCGCTCACCCGCCGCACCGTTCACGTTCATTGGAGACCGACCGGGCCAACACCTTAGCCGCTGCTGAAACATGCCAGACCACGACAGCTGTGATTTGCTCGCTCAGGGGCAAGTAGTACTAAGTAAGTAGTGGACGCACTTGCATCGCAACGACGACGGTTCGCTAGCTAGGCAAAGCTCTGTCTTGAACTAGGGCCTCTTAAGGACACGGCTAGGAAGGGCGCCATGCCAATATCTGGACTGATCCTGAAGGCTCATTTCTTAATTCGTCTTGCCCATCTTATGAGAATTAATTAGGAGGTGCTAGAAGGACGTCGTTGCATACCACGACCAAGCAAACCACTTCAGTAGCAATCACTGATGGCTGGAAGATGTTTGGCGACTTTAATTCCACAGAATGCCCAGTTGCTGGCCGTTCCCAGGATCATGTATTAGGGCAAAAGCCACAGAGAGATATCCATAGGAAAATAGTGCTCTAGAGGGCTTCAAGAAGGTCCGTTTTACTGTTCAGGAGGGCCATTTGGTCACAGCCCTCGCTTGCTTCTTTGACTCTCTCCTGTGCTATCGGTCTTACGAGCCCGAGGGTAAGACGGCATCCATTCAAACGAGCTTTGCCAGCTTGGACCCAAGCTGAAGCATAGCATTGGAGACAAAAGGGCGGATGGATTCGTGCACACCGAGTCACGGCTGACATCGGACTGCCAACAGAAACAAGCTCGAACAACAATCCAATCAACTTCCCCTCTGGATCGAGACTTTGGAATCTTGGGAGGATGACAAAAACCTTTTTACTCCCAAGGTTGGAAAAGCAGGCAGAATTGTCCCTCGAAGTAATGCATGTTGATAGAGAAGCTAGAACATTGCACTGGAAACCTACCACGATCCAAGCCACATGCCGAGAGCCATTCAAAATGGCGGAAGCCTGGCTCCGACGAGTGGCGAGAGTCCCAATACGAGCGTGGAGAGCAGATGATCTTCCGTACGCGCCCTCACCTGACCCTCCTTCGTACATGAATGCTTCTATTCGTTTCTAGGCGCCATGAGCAATCGATGAACACTCGGGCCGAATTTGGTGGGTTTGGATGACTTGCAGATGACCGTCGGTCCGTTGTCAAATCATGTCAGATGAATGCGCGGTCTTCATGATTGGTGCGTGGGTGGTTGAGGATTGGGTATTGCAGAATGCAGAAGGCACGATAGCCCGCTGTACTCCGTACCTACTCTAGACCCCTCCCCTCCCTCCCCTCCCTCCCCCCCCCGCGTTCGGCAAGCTAGTGGGCAGGGCCTAATGCCTGCCCCCTCCCCCCCCATTAAATCTCCTTTTTGCATGATCTACAGAACGCTTCTACATAGACCAAAAAGTATACGCATAGCCATCGAAAGGACTGATAATCGCGGACACGATTGTTCTACCATCTTGTCTCCGTAGATGATACCTGCATCTAGTCAACTCCAAAGGCCTTTATCTCTCCCTTCTCTCCCGACTGCCGTTGGCTCTGACTTAGGCAAACCCCACATCCCAAGCAGTCAGTCCCGTGACCGCGTAATCCCTAGAGGTAAGTGTCGCTTTCTACTGGTGTCTCCCATGCCGCTTTCCGTTCTCGATGATGTACTACATGAGCTATGGATACCTGCCATGGGCCTTTAAATATGCCTGCATCCGTAGTACATCTGTGTGTACCACCGATCTACGACTGTGGCGCTCGAGACCCCCTGCACAGCCCATGCAGTGCTCCTCGAGCCTCAACGCACGCATGACCCGTTATCGATCCCTCCTTCACCGAGTTTCTGGGTCCATTAGCCTTCGCAGCTTTCCTCGTGGTGCATTACTCGTGATAAAGGCTTGCATCATGTGTTGAGGTACCGCTGACTTCCGCGATTACAGTGTGGACCATAACATTCTCGCATCTTGATACCGACTGCCCTCGTCGCATCAACCTGATTGCTCCATAACTGGACTTTGCACGTCGCTTTCACACTCTCTCACGCATCTTCTGTCGCCATTCCTGGCCAACAGCAGAGCCCGCATCTACAAGGATTCTCCAGGACCCAGATTGGATTGACCTTGTGCGTCGTGGTTCGTGAGGAGTGGATATGATACATAAGAGGTAGCGAGCTGTGCTTGAAGTTCTCATCGACCACTCCTTGTCCGAATACTCTGCCCAGGGTTTCTACGTCTGACCAAAGAGGTCGCGTACCACATCATGGAAGCACAGACTCAAGAGATAAGCCAGACAAGGCAGTCAAACAAGAGAAAGCGAGACTCCCCGGGACTGAACGGACGTACACGAAGACAGACATCTGCCGCTGGAGTGATGCAGCCGAATGATCATATCCCATCCGAGTTGGAACGGCATTACTACACCCAGCAGAATGGGAATGTGTTGAGCACTGTACGTGATGAAGTTGCTCGTCATGTTGCCGAGGTGGATCCATCATCGTCAACAGCAGCTGCAGCGCTTGCAGCAAGTATGCCTCAATTGACTGTTCCACAACCAACCGAGCTCTCTTTCCCGAGCACAAATTCTGGAAATGAAGATGAACGACAAATTGATTCATCGTTCGACATAGGTCCGGAGAGCAACAATCCCCACATTGATGGACAATACACCATTGGCGCTTATACTGGTACCAACGGGGATCAAGGTGCATCCAGTCTGATAATTGGGAAGCCAGCTGTTGGGACCGATGAGTGGCACAAGGTTCGAAAGGATAATCACAAAGAAGGTAGCGAACATCACCTCCGTGTGTCCTCAGAACAACGGTACTAACATAATCTCCCTAGTTGAGCGTCGACGACGGGAAACCATCAATGAGGGTATTAATGAGCTCGCCAAGATTGTGCCTGGATGTGACAAGAATAAAGGCGCCGTCCTACAGCGGAGCGTTTCTTACATTGGATCACTAAAGGAGAACGAGGCGCGGAATATAGAGAAATGGTCGCTTGAAAAGATGCTCACGGACCAGGCAATTGCTGAGCTATCTAACAGTGTCGACAAACTGAAAGATGACAACAGAAAACTCATGAAAGATAATGACAAATTGAAACAGATCGCACAGGCCGCCGGCATCGACATTGATGCCCAGGAAACGACAACAGACCACGGGAAATCCCGATAACATTGCACGACCGCAAACGAGGAATGATATTCGTCACGTCGCGAATGGATCTACCATCTTGCTGCTTTCGATGAGCCGATGTCCTAGTAGCTTTGTGGAAGAGGAGCCCGAACTATGAAACCTGGACTGATATTTACAATAATCTTTTATTCCTGGCTTTGGTCATGATGAGCCGAGTAAGCTCATATTTATCTTTTTTGGCCATCCTTTATGTTGTGGAGTGACTTCATCTGTTATGTCAGGAGCATTTGGCAGGGCATTATAGTTGCCTGGCGTTTCATGAGAGGCTGACCATGTCACGTTATGGCGAACGAAAGTACAATATTGTTTAATTGTAAGCAGATGCTGATGCTTCTGGCAGTACTTTTACATTTTCATGATTCCACGGTCCCACGATCTACCTTGTTCTGCTTATTTAGTGCCAAGACTAGTATATTGAAGCTAAAGTCCACATGATCAACCAAACGACGCTATAGAGCGATCTAACGGCTTGGTTCATTCGGCCACGTTTACGTCAATTTTCGCGACGCGCCTTTCACTTCATCCTCGTAATTTCCTCTCCCAGATCCACACCACGAATACGAAAATCGATTATCTTTACCGAAGATCAAGCATAACAAGAATAACAAGCATGTCGGCTCTCTCCTCCTCCCCAACGAATTACTCCATCTACGCCATCCCCGCCTTCTATGTCCTCGTTCTTCTCCCACAAGCCCTTGGCACCTTCGCCATCTTACGTGCCAACAACTACAACTTCGACAACGCGAACCCGCGCGGCCAGAACTTCCAATCTTCGCTTCGCAAGTCGCTCCCAAAGTCAACCCTCGCTTTCTATGAGCGCGCGAACGCCGCCCACAATAACGGCTGGGAGAATTTCATCCTTTTCACGGCAGCCGTGATTTGTGGCAACTTGGCGCGACTAGATGTGGGAACCTTGAATGGGGCGGCAGGGGCTTTCCTTGCGCTTAGAACATTATACGTGGGTGTTTATTTAGGAGTGGAGCGTCGGAAACTCGCGTGGTCGAGAACCGGGATCTGGGCGGCGGGTGCGGGATGTTGTTTGTATCTGCTGGCGGAGGCGGGAAGAGTCGTGGCCAGCGGTGGGCCCCTGGCGGTATGAGCGGTCAGACGTGATGTTTCATTATCCCATACGTGTGGTAAGCGCTTTTAATGATCTGGGTATGCTTTTTGAAGTAATCGGGAGGTATTATCAAGATCGCTGTCGCTAAAGCTGCATCGTATGCATTGCGTCCGCTGTGTGCTTAGCTTAGGTCTGACGATCATAGTCGTAAAAAGAGGATTGGGAGCAGGAATGGAATCATATGAATAATCGAAGTGATATATATAGCGAGGCTTGATGGAGAAATATAACCTTGATGCCAATGACACTCTCGAACAACATCAGAGCAGTACCTATGATTGTGAAAGCATGGAAATACAGCTGTACCGTCACACAGAAGGGCTTGAGAGTACTATACATCGCTCTACACGGGCCGGCTGAATCAGGTCCGGTAATAAATGGCCTTCTTCTTGAGTCTTTGCCTGTGACCGCATGTTGGGATTATTTGTTCGAGCTTCATTCATCTCGTCCACCGGATATACGTAAACGGTTAGATATCAATTGATTGAATGCTGTCTAGGTGACAATCCTTGAGAGATCAGAAGCAACGGGTTTCCGAAGAATCCTTGAATTTTGCGAAATGGCATCGCATAGAGAGAAATGAAGTGAAATCTCTCCGTTCAAGGGATGATAGGGTAGCGCAAGTCAACGTCGGGCATACTAAGTTTTGAAAAAATGGGTATATCCTATCAATAGTTGACTCCCGAGAAGACATAAGCCGGGGCATCTCTCGATAGAGCATGGAGCTCTTAGGAATAAGTCACTCAAAGGTCGCGCCTGAGAGCTCCGCATTCGGCTCAATTGGTTGGGTCCAATTGATCATTTTGTGGGGTAGGAATTTGAGATTTGAAAGGAAGAGGGAGCTCTCGTGCTTATCACCTTCTTTATTGTATTTGTCCCCTGTTGTGTGATACTTTACAAAACTCTGGTCTACCTCGGACGATACTTTTCGGGGCCCAAAATTGAAAGTGGAAAGCCCGGGCGACGGTCATGTTCGCCAGCTTCCAGGCGCTGCTGCGTCACAAAAGCACCTTAAAAACTACGATCACAGGTGGCACAGGTGTCTAGTGGTAGATGGATATGTTCCCTCGAGTAATCAGTCACGTCGATTTTCTTTTTTGTTCATAGAACCTGCAGCGCCATGCAAAATGACGCAATTAAGGTTGGCACACCCACGTGGCAGTTGTAGCGGCAAGTTTCTTGCAGCGGGAGCGCGGGAGGCCCGAGCAGTCAGGTTTATGTTTATTCCTTTCAATCACCATCCACCATTCAGCTTCCTGGTGTACGTGTTCCTCCAGCGAACACGCCAGCACTATACTGCAAAGACCATAAAGACCATAAAGAATAACGCTGACCCAAATTGGACTACACATTCGCAAAGAGCCAAATTGGACTGAGCCTGGAGCTGGTAGCCATGGCCGGCCAACCTAGTGAGGGCGTTATTTTCAATCTCACAGAAATCAGCGGCCTGGCTCGCTCAAACGCGATTGCCTGGCTAAAGGTCCGTCCCAAGGGACCTTTCACTTCACTCATAGGCTGACCTTTCCGTGATTCTTCTAGGCCAACAACAATGACCTGAATCAAGCTACGAATGCCTGGATGGATGGTGGAATGGCCCCTTTGCCGCCACCTCAGGTTGGACGAAGTCTTACTCCAACACTTGACACTTGATACTGAATATACGGCAAGTTCCATGAGGCTTATGACGAGTCGCAGTTCCACACCGATAGGCAAGGAAACATGCCCCAATCTCAAATGGAAGCCTGTGAGTACACTTTAAGCGATCGTTATGGATACTCTCTGATGCACATGGCGCATATAAGCTTTCGGCGTGAATGAATCTAATGCGTTGGGTACCAATGTATTCAACCGCAACCCGCCCCCAACAAGGCCTTCTTCAAGAGTCGACAATTCCAAATTTGCACAATACCATGGGCCACGTGGGTTCTCTGTTCCATCCTTGGATCGATCCACACTGAAATATCACAACAGAGAACAACCCACTTATGGAAAGCGAAGGAACATATGACGAACAACTCGCAAAAGCTACGCAAATGTCTCTAAGCGACAGCCAAACGATTCCTGGGCAAGAGACGGGTGTGACATACGGGAACACGTACTTTGGTCCTCCTACCCAAAGCCACTATGAGAACGATCAATGGGCACTGACTGTGCCGGAAGCCAACACACAGGAGATACGTCTCGACCCTGAACCTCTGGACAGAAAGCGTCTCTTAGGCACGCCTGCGCTCCTCAAGCCAACTACTCAGAATCGTGATTTAGCGGTATTGTTGAAAATCTTCCACGAGATACCCATGGCCCGCGAGGCACTTTTGAATAGGGAATATCTCATTGGCGACTATGGCCGAGACAACGAATGGTGGAACGGAGCTCCCATAAAAAGCCTTCGTGTCGTGAACATGGATGAAGACGATCGTGATCGGCCGCTGAGTGATGTTCTACAAGAGACACAGCGTTTGATGGCTTTTCTCGACGATACTGATAGAACATATGGGAGTGCGGATGTGCTTGCAACTCTTCCAGCGCTCGAAAAAGTCCCAGAGGCCGACAATTTGGTAGCGGTATATCTAGAAAAGTGGATGAACGCCTCGCTAGACCTCTCGGATGACGACTTCCTATGTAGGATTTTCGGCTCATCCGCAACGAAGAGGGCCGCTGAGGAGCACATGCTACCCGATAAGACGCCTTTCACATGCCCACAAATTCGGGTCGACTCCGAAAATGCAGACCGAGGATTCTCATTATATGAAGCGTTCGATGACCTTTTTTGGACGAATACCGATGAGATTTTTCTAGACGAACTTGGCGAGATCCTCACCTTTGAGGTTCAAAACCATACGTCTAACAGCACTAGCCTTGGTGTTACAATCCCCGCCATCTGGTACGCCGACCGATATCTAGAATCCGCCATACCAGAGGCGAAAATAATGAACCAACGTAAAGCGAAGATCTACGAAGAGACACAAGGCATAGACGATCTTAAAAAACTGATGACTGAAGTTCAAAATCCTAGCACAGGCAAAACTGTGAATACAGATTTACTCCTGGTAATCATAGCTAAGTATCTCACAAACACGAAAGAATATAAATGCAATGCGATGAACCCCGAATCAGACAAATCAATGGACGCTTCACCTGACTTGGAGCCCCTGGCAGCCGAGTTGGCCCAATTAGGCAAGAGTATAGCAGAAAAGCTAGAAGGTATGCTGTTCATAGCGCTTTCGAACGTAAGCTGATGACTAGAAGTATTGGAGGAGCTAAAAGGGAGTTACTCACAGCGTATAATGGAGGTCTGCAGTCTGCTTAAAGGATCTTCCGGTGATCCAAATCACCAACCCAAGCATAAATACACGCTTCGAGGCGTGAGAACGCATCCACATTCTTTTTATGTTTTGGAAAGGAAGGTATTTCAGGATGAAGACAAGATGAGCAGCTCAGATTCCTCAGATTACGAGTGGTGGAAGATTCAATACGATTCCAGCTCCTCCAATCCAGTACAGACTAAGCAAGTGACAGAAAATGAGGTCTTGACGGCAGCTAGCACGGATTGCAATAAGGCTTTGCTTGTCTATGCTAGTGATCGCGCTGTATCCTATACGCCTGAGACCTTACCACCACAGCTTCTCAACTTCGTCCGTGCGGACAATCTAGCTTTTCAGGCAGAGATCGACAATTTTATCGCGCAGGACGTTCGTGACTTTGACCCACCGACGATCCCCAAACGAAAAGCAAACGACTCTGATCTAGAAGTCGAGTACAATCGCTCACCTGGTGCTCGGTCAAATGGGAATGCTAGCAGTAGCACCAGTAGCAGTCCTCTGGATGAAGATCCAACAGATCCGTTTGAGGACGACGAGGATTACTCACTGGAGCCTCGCCCCCCGCCACCTAAATTGCGGCCACTTGAGCCGAAGCCGCGCCAGACGACAGGATCGTCCGACGATCACATACCTGTCAGTCTACGAGGAGGCCAAGAGATGCAGGAGAGTACGAGCGGTCGAGACCTTTTGAGGCAATATCAAGGAAAGTATCAATTGGGTAGCTATAAGCCAGAGATCGATATGGATGACGATGATGATGGATATGTAGCAGGGGGAGAAGGTCGGAATAGGGACTGAAATGAGCCTTGGAAATTTCGATGTGGCAATATTGTTGCCTTCAAGCGAGTTGTTTTACGGTTTTTAGAGATACCCTTGCATCATGGATTCGAAAATTTAGAGTGCTTGTATTAGATTCTCTTGAATTATTAGTGTAGAACGTGGCGCTGTTCACGATTTCAAAGACATCCTCTCAACCAGCGTTACGTTGCTGGAAGGTCACTGTAGGGACCCGAACACCACTGACTATTTTATTGATGTTACCCAACAGGCCAAGTTTTACCTACGTTACTCGTTCTTCTCTTTTTGACTCCCTAACTTCCCCCTTAAAACCTCGTTCTCACACTGCACCTCACCATTCGGCTCATCAGCCCAGCACAAGCATCTCGCCCTCCTCCCATGCCTACACTCCTCAGGCAGTTTCGGCCGTGTCGATTTGAAACTCTCCTCCGTCCCTTTCACCTCAGCTGTAACCGTCGGCGATATCGCATCGCCCGCGGTCTTCGTCACAACACTACCATTTCCGTCCTGCTCCCCAGCTTCACCAGCTCTAACTTCAACCACCTCTACCACTTCCTCCACAACCTCATCTTCCAACCACTCAGACTCAATCTCAAGCACATACTCCTCCACCCAATCCTCTGCTTCCTGATTCTCTGGGTATGAGCAGAATATCTTCCCATACGGCCTCAGCTGCCAGCATGCGCACGACTCGACCTTCAAAGTCTTGTTAAAGGGTGGTTTGGCGCATACGGTATTTCCTGCATGTGGAGCGATTCTGCAGCAGTAGCATTTCGTGGCGTCGAGGCAAGTTTGGTGAGTCGGTATGATGGGGCCGGGTAGCTCATGGTAGGTCATTGAGTCAGGGAGGCGTTTGGTCTTCGTACTCAATCTAGGGCTCAGGGTTGAGCTGGCGGTGGAGTTGATTAGGAGCTGTTCTGCAGTGAACGCTTCGATGGCGTGATCTTCGGGTATCGTGAGGAATGCGAAGATGGAAGAGAGGGAGAGGCTGACGCAGGTAGCGATGGCGATTACAATGAGCAGGCGGAGTATTCGTTGCATTGTTGCATCAAACGGGTCTCGTGGTAGTTCATGAACGTGGATGGCATCTAGGTTGCAACTATAGAACAGCCGGTTGCGCAATCTGATGGGTTGTAGTAGCATGATAGATTAGTGATAGATGCAAGCTGTGTAAGCTTGGCCGGCTGTGGCTGCAAATCCGGAAGTATCAAGGCGTGCTTGACAGCGATAGACAACCTAAAGCTGTCGAGTAGCATTGCTGGAGGGTGAAAGCATTGTGCTGCATTCCTTCTATGGTGTTCTGAGATGCAGGGTACGGAGCAAGCCGCGACTCTCTCGATCAATCACAATCCATTCGTCTTTCTACCACCAGGAACCTTTGGTACGCTGGAGGCCATCGACGTACGCGATGCTCTGTTTTCTGCAAGCGAAAATACTCTCGAATGCTGCAAAGCCCAGAGTGGAAGATTTTGACATGTTTTTCTCAATTTGTAGACCACTTGTGATTGCGAAAATGTATGTGTCAATTTTAATGTATATGAATAAAGACGATTGGGTATCTTGGAACTCAGACAGTCGAGAAATTCGGCTACTCGGAAGAGAAACGTGCCATCATCTTACCTATTCCACAAGCACTCACTAAGCACCAACAGTTTGTCACTGCAATCTCGCTGGCACTTCACTTGAACCTCTCTTTGCGAGCTCTCTGAGCCTTCTTTGTACCACAGCTCAACTAGAGTCTTCAGCTCTTCGAGGTCGAAACCTTCGAGACCGGCACCGCTCTGGTCTCTTGCTCTTGAGACAATGCTCTCAGCTCCTTCGCCAAATAAATCGTAGTACGCCGCGCTTCTTGAGAGATCAATGTTGTCCGCCCTTGCAGACACAGGGATTGAATTGAGGTTATGAGTCAGAACGATGATGTTCAGCTGCATGCGATCGCACCCGTGTCTATTCATTCCGTGTTTGATCTGGGCTGCATTGTGAACAAGATATGTATCGACTAGGTGAGCAAGACCTGTCATGATGAATTTCTGAGCGACCTCAGGAACGTAAGTAGAAAGGGTGTCGACAGTCGATAAAAGGTCCGAGTTCAGTGAAAGTATTGAAGGGTCAGGCTCCTCTACCAATTGTCCCAAGAGATAGGGTGCTGCCATTGTGCGAGCAAGCATATGTATAATGCCAAGCCGAATGTCAAGATGCAGTGTAATGAGTGCATTCGAGGCCAGTGACCGGATTGACGAGAGGAGGCTATCGAAAGCGGTGACTGTTTCGGAAGTCATAGGAAGATATACTTGAGCGTTCTCAATTTGAAGATTTTCGTTGGTATATAGAGAGAGTTGACGTGTGTGAAGAGATTTTTGAGAATTATTGCGCTTGTGCGTGGATTCTGGAACGAAGCGCCGAAGCTCCTGCAAATGGCTTGCCAGCCACTGCATACTGTTTGATAAAAGGCATAGAGCTGTCACAGATCTTCGATCTGCAATGATGTCGAAGGGTTCCAAGGGCGTGGCATTGGTCTGGTCAATTAAAATAGCTACTTCACGTCGTAACAGATCTGGCTGGCCGTCCATGTGGGTATCAAACAGTCGCTCGCATAATTCACGAACCTCGCCGGATTCTGCCATGATCGCGGCAGGTTTCAAGCGGCGTTCTTCCTGTGCCTGCATTTGTGGTCTTCGCACGAGCGCTCGGTACCACTCGCAACATCGGTCGTAGTACGTAACAACTTGCGTTATTATCAATTGCGTTGATGTCAAATCGGGAGGGATCGTGTCTAATAATTGGCAGAATGACTTGATCAAGACGAAGAATGTGGATGTGCCTTTGAATATTGGTTTCGTAGCATGCTGTGCCCATTGTGGATCCTGTTTGAAGGCTTCGAGGTCGCTGAATGAAAGCCTGCACAATTCTGTCACGGTGTCTTCCAGAGAAGGATGGAAAACATTGACAAGGAACTCGTCCAGAAACGAGGTCAAGGTACTGACTGCGATGTCAGCGTCATGTGGTACGATATCCCTGAGCCGTTGGAGAAAAGACAAAGTCGGCGGTAATAGCGACCCAATATTGAAAACGTTAGGTTCGACGAGCAATTTGTGCCCGGCGGCAGGCCCATCATTTGACGCACCAACAGAGCTAGTTGTGATCCCGGACCGTCTTTGCGATTTTGACACAAGTCCAGGTACAGAAGCTTCAAGGATTCGGTCAAGGTCTTGCTGGTCTTGAGCGAAGTCTGTAGATTTCGAATTCACCTCAGCAAGCTTGAAGACTCGCTTTTAGGCGTTAGCCAAAGCTATTGTGCCTATGCCATTGTAACTTACCTTGTTCCTTTCGCGTAAATGACTGTGAAAGATGTTGCCGTTAGTCATTGGCTGTCGTCCAAGCCGATATGACTGGTTGCCGTCTGCTGCTAAGTAGTCGTGGAGGAGAGACCGCATCTGATTCGAATTAGCTCGTAATCATCTAACATAATGGGAGGCTACATACTTCGCTTTGATACAGCTTCCACATCTCTTTGAAGCCTCGAGTCAGACTTTCTGTTTGAGGGATTCCATCTCGTTTCAGGATACCGCTCAAGATCTCATGCACCGCTCGGTGGCCTTCAGCGATAGCCTCAAATTTAGAATACAAGCTCCAAAGTAAATCATTCAGAACCTCACTCCCAGCTGAATGATGGCTGAATTTGAATGACACGGCGCCTTTCTCAAGCTTGAAGCCCCTTGTGATTGCTGCATGGCGTATGTCAACTTCTTGATTCGTGCGATCCACAATCGAAAACAACTCAACAGGTAAACGTTGCTCTAGGCGATCTACGGCAACGTCAAGGTGCCCGAGCTTGTGCAAAGACTCAATGACCATGTGAATGTATTGAAAGCTGTCGACCTCTGGATTTCGAGACGCGTCGTCTTCCAAAGGCTTGGAAGTATCTAGATTATCCAGAAAACGGTATAACGGCCTTCCCCATGTATTCGGCAGGGCAGACGTTTCTTTTTTCGTTGTGGAGTCTGTTTTACTCGCGTCACTGTTGTATGGCTTCCACCGATCATGACAGTAAGGAGACTTCAGATACAGATGATCATGAAGCTCTTCGACTAGTATATCGGTCAATGAAGTTTCTTGATTGCTGAAATATATACGCAGATCTGTCAACGCTCCGATATTTTCCATCTCCGCCTTTCGGATCATCCTGAGGGCATCTTGCAGAAGGTCGACCGCCGTCAAGAAGTGTTTGTCCGAGATCCTAGCATCCAGCTGCTCTGGAACTAGCTGCAGTCTTTCTATTTGACCCAAGATTTGGAGTGATTCTTCGAAGTGCTGGGACAAAGTACCTGAAGCTTTAAGTTCAGATTTTGTGACCGTCAGATTTTCCTTAGCCCCTCTCATAGAATCTTTCAGAGCCCGAATTCTACTCTGAGATGCTTGTATGCTATTCTGAATCTTGTGGAATGTCCCGATGGAGCTATTGAAACCTTGATGGTGCTCATTCACAATAGCTTTCAGGGCTTTTTGTAGGTATTTACTTGTCTTTTGGAAGTCTTGGTAATCATTCCCACGACCAAGGGAGCTATAGTCCATCAACTGCAGCGCGACATGGATTGGCACACAGTCCTCCCTTGCCATGACATCCCAATGGTCGTTGATGTGGTGGAGGACGTCCTCAATCTGTCGCCCACCCGGTCCACCGCCATGGAGTCTTGAAAGGTCTGTAGGTCCACGTCCGCCCCGGTCACGACTACGACTGCTGTTATATTCATCAGTGTCCCGTCTCCCCGACGCGAAATGCCCAAATCCGCCTGATGATTCATCTTCGCGCCGACGCCGGAATGAGGCAAGCGGAGGCTGTGGATCTGGCTCGGCAGGAGGAGTCTCTTGTCTGTTGTCATGGAAGCCGCCATATCCACCAGGGCGTCTTGTGCGGCCTGAGTCTCCAGCGAGGCTCTCCTCATGCCGATTATCTTCGTAGCGGTTCACGCCGTAGGTTCCATTTGTGTACCCATTACGGTAGGACATTGCGTAGGGGAAGTCAATGCGCGTACACTCGTCGTTTTCGCATTTTGGAGTGAAGATTTCACAGCGTCAAAGCTTCTATAAACTATAAAGCCTTCGTGAACAGGCTATGGGCTGGAAAGCTAGAGGTGTATATTTGGGCAAGTAAGCAATCGTAATGCCCCCTATACCTGGACAGGCCTAGACCCTGAGGCTGCCGGCTAGGTACCCACAGATGGGAGACTCTTAGGTTGGGCTCCCCCAGGCTCGGGCCGCAGCGTCCCAGCAGCTGGGTTTGAAAGACTTCAAAAATCAATTTGGATTCCAATATTGTAATTCCATACTAACGGACATTTTCAAGGCCGTTAAATCTGCAGACATTGACAAACCAGGCTGGAATATTTCGAGACTTTATTGTTTGCTGCTCGTGTACCAAGCACTTTCACTTCATCTCCGCTCTGCACCGTTTCGCTTTGGAATTGAATGTGTATAACAGCGTGGGATCAGAAGCATGTCTTTGTGATTGCATTGAGCTCGCAATAATCATTACAGTCCTCGTTCTCCTTGATCTACCTTTCTGTCTCAGCTTTCAGCATTCACAAGTGTTGTGCTTCTGCTAGCTATCGTGTAATATGGCATTTCACAGAATTCGAAGGTTGCCCTTCTCGCAGCTTCGGTACTATTCAGCTCCACTGGAAAGCAAGGTCCCTGCAGCCAAGCAAAAGTACGTGCCTACATCAGGGACATATCCCAAAGGTTTCCGTGTCTCAGGAACTCACGTTGGGGTGAAACCGACAAACACTCGTATTCCAGATCTAGGACTTTTCGTGTCAGAGAGACCTTGCACAGCGGCTGCTGTGTTTACCCAGAATATATGCCAGGCTGCACCTGTTACCGTCAGTCGCGAGACGCTTCAACGGCGAGGAGGCAGCGATATTCGTGCCCTGATAGTAAATTCAGGATGTGCAAACGCAGTCACTGGCAAAGGCGGGCTGGAAGACGCAAATAGCATGGCGGAAGCCGTAGACACAAATTTACTACCTAAGCCAGAAGGAAGTAGCACCCTAGTCATGTCGACGGGGGTCATTGGACAACGATTACCAATTCGCAAGATCCTCGATGCAGTGCCCAAGGCTTTCAGTACCCTCGAAAGTAGTCATGAATCATGGCTGATCACTGCTCGATCAATCTGCACAACAGACACATTCCCAAAGCTTATGTCAACAACATTCACATTGCCTTCATCTTCCGGTCGGCAATATTCACTGGCCGGAATGGCCAAAGGTGCCGGCATGATCCATCCCAACATGGCTACTCTCCTCGGAATTCTTAGCACCGATGCACCAATCCCTGTCGACACCCTTCGTACTTCACTCAAATCCGCTGTGGACAGCTCGTTCAACGCTATCAGCATAGACGGGGACACAAGCACTAATGACACAGTAGCTCTGCTAGCTAATGGTGCTGCGGGTGGCGACCTGGTGAACAAAGCCGAAGATGTGGTGGCTTTCTCCTCGGTTCTCACGACGTTTGCTCAAAGTTTATCCCAACTTGTCGTACGAGATGGCGAGGGCGCGACCAAATTCGTGAGAATCAGGATAGCCAACGCCGAACAAGAGAGCGATGCGAAGAAGATCGCCAGTAGCATTGCTCGTTCGCCGCTGGTCAAGACGGCGCTCTATGGTAAGGACGCAAACTGGGGCCGAATTCTGTGCGCTGTAGGCTACACTCCAGACTTAAGTGCTGGAGCCGTGGAGATGGAGAAGACATCGGTTTCGTTTGTGCCAACGGATGGTAGTGGGATGCTGAGACTTCTCTTGAACGGAGAGCCACAGCAGGTAGATGAGGTGAGAGCCGCAGAAATCCTAGCTGCGGAAGATTTGGAGATTCTGGTGGATTTGGGCAAAAGGGGTGAAAGACTAGCAGAGGCGAGCTATTGGACTTGCGATTTCAGCCATGAGTACGTTACGATAAATGGCGATTATAGAACATGAATAGAGACATTCGCAGCACAGACGCTAGAACACAGAATCAATGAGGGTCGCACATCAGGTAAACTTGATTAATTTTTTCTTGACTTTATGTGGAATGCCTCTGTTGTTCGAATGTTGAGGGTGTAACTCTTTCTTCCATGCTTGTTTAAAATTTCGTCACTGGAAAGCTTTAATAGCTGCCAGTCACTGTCTAAGACAGGCCCCAGCCTTGCCCAAGTAGGCTATATTACCTTGCGTGAGCTTTGTAGTCGTTCAAACGCTCGAAGCTCCAACAATCCATTTTGATCCATAAATGTGACCCGACGCAGCAATGCCTGCATGCAGCTAGCATATTCGATAGTTGCTTGAACCAAGCCATGCGCGCTGCCCCAGAATTGAGGAAATGTAAAGTCTGGACGTTCGAACTTACTCGGTGTGGCGATAGTTTCTAGACAGATTGTTCTGACCAGAGACTGAGCTTCGTCGAGTCTCCTTCTGTTGTTCCTCCTAGAGAGACGCATGTACATAAATCTTTGAGATACACAATCTGTCTAGAGGCGGATCAATCGGATTTTAAGTTCATCGATGATCGATAACAATGGAATTTAGAATTGGACCAAATGATCACTTCAGACTTCTCATTCCAGCAGTGTATTTTGCCAGCCGATGTGATAAAGTTCATTGGGAGATAGAGAAGAGAGTCTTGGTCTGGAAAAGCAAGTGTATTACGTTGGAAAACCTTGGGCTTAGTCTGGTTTCTGCTTCCCAAACTTTGGCTCGGTTAAGATCTCTGTCTATACTTCATATATTCGAGAGCATTTTGACATATCATGCCGATCATTCCGGATCATGATCTTTGCATCTACAGTGAAGTGATAATGAGCCTAGAAGCCGATAAGGTTGACCTCAGTATTTTGATGAAGACGTTGAACGATAAATCAGATATTAAAAACGTCTTGTTGTGTCTTGTAAATTTTTGCCGGTGCTTCATATAATAACCCAGATTTAGATTTCTTCAGCAGCTTGCTACTGTCGCTTGAGTCACGAGACCTATGAATATTTTATGACTAGAAGACAGAGCATCCCAAATACTTGAAAATTCTTATGACTCTGAATTGATGACAAAAAAGTGATAAGAAGACGTACCATTTTGGCAGTTTCAGTAGACTACTCTTGGCTCCCGCAGTCTCGTCTTGACTGACAGCATAAAGAGTATGATTTTGGTCAGCCTCAATCTAGACACTGGAAGCCAATGACTTTACGATTTGCAGTTGCACCTTACCCGAGGTTTGCCCTGAAGCCGGGCTCATAGCGTTGTTTGGATCAAGGAAAAGCGTAAATAGGAGAGCAAATGCCATGTAGAATCGCATCTACTAGAAAAATGATATCGGAAGTAAATTGGGGTATCAATAATGTCTCATCAGGTCGTGACATACAATGCTCCCCTATTTTGTACTTTTAGGAGTGAGCATCTGCCTTAGCCCACTTCTTCGAGGCGTCTTTTCCCTATTCTCCCAAACTCCTCCATGGGTCCTTTGTGGTGTTTGCTTTCCCACCCTTCCCAGTAGCAGCTCGGCGGCAGGAGTCAAGCCACCTCTCTTCTCGATTCTAGGACTAGACAAGAACTTTGGAGTGACTTGGCTTTTCAATTCCGATTCTCGCCTACCTGCAGTAGCTCGCTTACTCTTGGACAATCTATCGACCATGCGATGATGCAAGGCTTCTCGCTTGCTGCTTTCTCCTAACACAAATGGATTTGGTGTGCTATCGCCTGTCCCAAGCAACATCAGGTTCGAATGTTCCGAGGTTGGTGGCGGAGGGTCAGGTTCTTCGGAGTCAACAAAAGCATAGCCGTTCACTCTTGGGGTAGATGCACCATCAAACGAGGCTTCAGATGCAGTTGGGCGAGGCCGTCCAGCTATTGCGTCCTTGACTGCCGAAAGCGTAGGGGAAGGAGGTCGTCCATTGCCTTCTGGGACTAAGATCTCAGGTATTCTTGTATTGTCGTGTACAATAGCTTTAGGAGGAGCAACAGAGCCCCCTTCTTTCATCTGCGCAACAGTCTGGATGTTATCCTCTATCGACTCCGGTGCAAACATGAAACCGTTCCTTGGATTTGACTTCCACGTGTCGGGCATAGCTTGTCGAGAATCTGGTGGTTCCACTTTGGCCAAAGCCTTGCCATTCTCAGCCTCTTCAGTAAACTTGGCGTCTGCGATTCGCTGTTCCCGCTTGCGATGTGCGATCTGGCGCGCAGCGGGTATCTTATTGTTCGACCACATCCACGCGTATTTTTCCGCCCTCTTCTGATTCTGCTTGTCGACTAATTTGTAAAAGCTTTCATTATCTTCTGTTGTGTATTTTCGTTGAAATGCACCAAGACTCATGTTCGTGTCAAGAGCCTGCTTTTGCGATTTCAGAGATGCGCCCGGTGTAGAGACTACAGACTTAGGCGTGTCTCCTTGCCAGCCATTTGGCGTTTCTTCAGCACGTTGCACTACAGGTGTTGCAAAGCTAGTACCCTTTCTTCCCCGAAGGCGTCGTCCATCTGCGCCGGGAGTCATTGCTTCTGTGAGCTTAGTTCCGGCGGCTGCGATCCAGTGTGGATCCTTCGAGTCCACTGCATCGAGATATTCTTGTTTAGACTCAGTTTCAAGAAGGCCCGGAAAGAAATCTCGGGCAATGATGTGGGAAAGGGCGTCGGTGTAGTCGTCTTCGTCTAGGACCTTCGCAGGACGTTTGATCCTCTTTGGCGGAGGCGGTGGTGGCATGAGAGAAGAATCGGATGAGCGTTTCGTGAGAGCCATGGATGGCAAGGCTGATGGAGTCGCCATGACTGTGAAGGCGAGATTTCAAAGCTTTCAGCAGCGACGAGTGAGGTTCATCGAACACTGAATCACGAAGGCCGCGCTAAAGCGGGCGCTAGGTTGAGCCTCAATGTCTAGTCTCTCTCAAGCCTCGTCAAGACCTCGTCTCTTTATGGGTAAAATTGAAAGACTTTCAAGTACTCTCAATAGCTTGAGAGAGACTGTCGAATCCTGCAAAACTAATTTCGAAGACGCGTAGCAGGCGACAGATGCCCGCAGAATCTGATAGCAAGTCTGCAGACGTTGAGAAACGGCACATTACCATCAAGAATCTGCCCTTCACATATTTTCATTTGTCACTCACGACTGAATCGACCGCAAGCACCACGTCATCGTTCCCAGATGTTCTCACAGTACGTACTCACCTAACGTCTGCACTTCGGCAATATCTTGGTCTCACTGGAACGGCAATCTCCATCGATATTCTGAAGACCGATGGAAACGAGGTATGGATCAGGGTGCCGAGGGAAGATGGAAACTACGTTCAAGGCGCGTTGAGTCAATGGGTGGGCAGAAGTCAGAGCGTCAGTTCGCGAGTTAACAGGAGAAGTGATTTTGTCGGCAACTTGGCTGTGGGAAACGGAAGTCATCTATTTTCCTGACGAAATCCACTGCCTGGAAGCAGAATAGTGGCTGTTTATCTACATCAGTATTCCTACCTTGGATCTACTTTGCCCAATTTAGATCAACCCCTCAAACATCGCTCACCCTTGTACTGACGCCGGTCCAATGCCGCTTAGTCAAAAGCGCTGTCTATCTCAACACTTTAGATTTACGTCTAAAATCTTTACGTCATCAGAGACATCAGTGAATTTTGAGCATATGCCTGTAGAAGGTCAGCAAAGCCTGCTTTGCTACAGCCATGAACTTACCATAGGCTTAACATCCGGATGCGGAACGGCATCAAATTTCTGATATTCTAGCTTGTATTCAGGGCCAATATTGATGTATGCACCTTTGTTTTCTGTACTGTCGCAGTATTTGGGAGCTGAGAAGACGGTGATACATCGCCCATCATGTTCGACCTCATATCCCTCCATGCGGACTTCGTGACTTCGGATAACCGCATCTAGCCCGTTGGCCTCGCAGAATTTCTTTGTTACATCGGGTCCGAATTGCAGTCCCACACCTCTTTTGCTTGGTCCTCTCCCTGGTTGTGGTTGCGGATCAGTCCAAAGCATTTCCATCATCAAACCTTGCTGACCAGGCTGCCGCTGTTGGTGCCTATTGAGCTTCCTCACGTCATCAAGCGACGTCTTATCATCAGAAAAGAGTCCTCCATGGAGAACAAAATATTTCTTGCCAATGAGAGTCGCAAGAGGCAATGCAGAGAAAGATTCGGAAAACAGTCTGAAAGACTTCTCGTCGTACTTGGCCTTGCATTCTCCTTCGAAGCCGTATACCTTATTCATATCATCTGTTTCATGATTACCACGATTCAAGAAGAACTTTTTCGGTCGCAACCATTTGTACGCATAAAGGAGCAGTGCGATTTCTGTCGACCAAGAGCCGCGATCCACAAAATCTCCATTGAAAAGATAGTAATGGGATTCGGTAGGGAAACCATTAAGCCTGAAGAGTTCCATCAGATCGAAGTACTGCCCATGTGTATCGCCGCAGACAGTCAATTTGTGATCCTTGGCTACCTCCATCTCGACCATTGTTGGTTCCTTGTAGACGATGTCGTAGACCGCTTGTATTATTCGAAAAGCATATTTGCGGTGGATTTTTTTGCCATTCTTGAATCGGTCTATCATATCATCGATGAAATCCTGCGTCATCTCAGTGCCCAGCTTAGCGCCGTCGTAACTACTGTCAACAGAAATGGAATCTATGTTCAAGCCTTCAAATGCGGAAGGTGGATCCGACACCTCTATAGCTTTCTCAAAGGCTAGTCGCTTGACTATCTGCTCACATTCTGTTAGTCTCAATCTCGTCTCCTTGTTGTTCGGCTCCAGTTTGGCAGCTGTCTTGAAGTCTCTCAAGGCTTCTCGAGACTTCAAGATGGCCATGTTTGCGACAGCTCTCCGATAAAACGCCTACTAAGTTAGTACAATTCGTCGAAGCAAGTATTAACTTGAATTACTTTTGCATAAGACTGGTCCAACTCGACCGCTTTTGTCGCATCAGCAATCGCATATCCATATTGCTCTAATTTTATGTTCGCCTGTGGATGGTTGGTCAGCAGCTGGCCTGATTGTGGTATACGACATTGCAAACCTGGCATCTATTGCAAAAGAAGGTGGGATCCGAGTCATAGGATTCGATGGCCTGATCGTAGAATTCTATTGCTTTCAACCAGTCATGCTTGGAGAAAGATTCATTGCCCCGTTTCTTCAGGCTCAGTGCTTCCTCCGAAGCAGGCATTGTCTGCGTTGAAAGAGTGTGATTGAGTTCCCTTAAGGCTATGAGGCTCTCGGAAGCGAGTATGTGAAGCGAGGTGCCGCATCGATTGCAGTTTTCCGCGATATAGAATTCAGATGGGGTTTAGCCTTGTGCACAGAGTTTATGCTCCCGGGTGGCTAATGCACCTACCCGGCGGCTTCAAGCCTCAAATGAGATCGCGCCTATTGGTACACTTCCTCTGCTTCCTTCACTTGCTTCAACCCCAACCTCTCCGAAATCAGCTAGCATGGGTTCCTCCGTCGTCACCGGCGCCCAGCAGCGCTATCTCCGAGCATGTATGGTCTGCAGCATCGTTCAAACACAAGCCGTACGTGTCATCCTCACCCTCTCCGCCCCGGAAGGCTAACCTTCTCCGGTGGCAGAGATTCAGCAAAGAAGGATGTCCAAACTGCGAATCCTTCCTCGGCCTTCAGAACTCCTCAGACTCAATTCAAGACTGCACATCACAAGTTTTTGAGGGTCTGATCACTTTACAAGACCCCAGCACCAGCTGGGTTGCAAGGTGGCAGAGGTTGGAAGGCTATGTACGCGGTATCTATGCTGTCAAGGTTGTCGGGACGCTGCCCGATGATGTCAAGCAGAATTTGGAGGACGCCGGAGCGAGATATGTGCCTCGGGATGGGACTACGGAGGAAGAGGAGGTGTAATTGGATCGACTAGGAATGAAATGCTGGTTACAGGTGCATAGCGAATGGCGTACAGTGGTCGCAGGAGCATCATGCAATAAGGGCATCACAAGAGTTGATGATATATTGGGCAGGGCGGTCTGTCCAAGGAAGAACTTTGAGCAAAACGATATTTCTATACTTTACTGCATTCCAGCCTTTTCCATCTGTGCCTCGAACATCTCTTTGCACCTGACTTGGCTGCCCAGTCTCGCACAGAGTAAGAATGCTCCACTCAATTTTCGATGAAGGCTGTAAGTTTCCTCGGGCGGCGGACTTAATCGTTCCCTGAGCATGACCGGAATGAAGCTCCTGACTCGATCGGTGATCGTCTGATCGCGAAAGTCATAAACGTCCGGAGCGGTCTCCATGAAGGGCTCTGCAAGCGTCAAGACTGAATTGACGTGTGCGTTGATCATAGCCTGGCTTTCAAGACCGGTCAGATACCCAAGTTCGACGGACAGTTCTCGAACTGCATCTCGGTCCGACCGGGAAGCTGCAAGCAAATTTCTAATGTAGGGTAGTATAAACTTGTCAGGGTAGTCTCGTGAGGCTCCAAAATCAAGTAATTCGAGTTTGTGTGTTTCGGTATTGAAAAGGAAATTGGTCCAATTAGGATCTGTCTGCATGAACTTGAATTCGGTAATTTCGCGCAAGCAGAGCCGAAGGACGTTGGACCCTATCCAGTCTCTCTGATCTTGCGTTAGATCACGGGCTTTTGTGACACCAATACCTGAGCAAAATTCAGTCGTCAGGACTTGAAGCCCAGAAGCTTCCTCGAACACGGCAGGAACTTGAAAGACGTGACTTTCATCACGAAGAAGAGTACGGAAGCGATCCCCCATCTTCGCTTCGCGAATATAATCGCACTCCCACGCAAGTTCAATCCGAGCGTTCGCTATGGTCTTATCCAAATACAACCCTTTTGGCAAAAGGCGGGACGCTGTGAGCAGTATGGACAAATTCGAAAGATCTGAGTCAATGGAAGAAGCAACTCCCGGATATTGGATCTTTACGGCGACGTCTTGGCCTGTGGAAGCGAGCACTGCTCGATGGACCTGACCAATGGATGCAGCAGCTATCGGCTTCTCGTCGAACGAAGTGAACAGGTCCCGCCATTTGGCACCAAGGTTGCTCACAAGTACTTTGTTCCGTTGGGATAATGGCATGTAGTCTGCACTATCTTGGACGCGTTGCAAGATTTCATTAATGGGCCCAGGGAGCATCTTTGAGTCTGGAAGAGTTTAGTTTGGGCATTGCATGTACAAATCTTCATGGCACAATGAACTGACCCTGGAAGCTTATCATTTGGCCAAGCTTGAGCGCAGCTCCACGCATCTTGGAGAGCTTGGCTACTAGTCTTTCCATATTTCCCGCACTCAGCATCAACGAGCCCCCTGCCGTATCCTGAGACCCTACGACTCGCCGAAAGCTCTCGCCAGCTGCACCAAAAGCCATCGAAGTTGCTAAACCACCATACTGTAAGAACCTTCCAAATCGGGATGATGGTACCCTTGATTCACGCATCTCATAAACGTTCTTCTCACGAGAAATATCTGGGCTCACGGCAGTCTATTGGAAGACTGTTAGTCTATCAGCTGTAGGCTAGATGGATTTTTGATGGAATCTACCTGCGAATGATTTGGCGCTGGGGCATGCGTTTCCCTCGCTACATCTGGAGCCAATTCCTGTAATCCATCCTCTGACTTTGTTGGACGAGTAATTGCCCGCTTTAGTTCCGGAAGAGTAGCATTCGTTGACGCCGTGTTTTCATCAAGCGACGTTTTCTGCTGTAAAGATTCCCTAGCATCTGTCGGAGGTGCTTTATCTGAACTCTTGTCTCTGAGTGTGCCCCTTCGCAGCATGCCAGCAACCCTCGGTGATTGAAACAGCTCTGCATAAGTTTCATCAGGAAGTTGTATGCTAGCATCGGATATCGTAGAGTTAAATGTGGTTTCCGCGTTTACTTTTTCAGGCTGGATATTTGAACGAGCTGCGGTCGTGCCAAGAGCAGCTGTCTTCGCCTCGCTCTTATTCAAGAGATCGTTGTGCTCTGATCTTTGCTTTTGAGGCTGTTTAGAAGATGTCCGCGGGACGTTCTCTTGAGTTGATGCTGGAGGAGAATGTTCTGAAGCCCGTTGTACATTTTGACCAGGTTGTGGGTGGGTAGCTGTCTCGTTGAGACGACGCGCCAGAAACTGTGCAGCATTCAGGGTGACCGTCACCCTTTCCGTTTGCGACTTGAAGGCTTCAGCAAGAGTCGAAGTTCGAGTGAAGGCATTAAGACGACCTTGGCGAAGGGCGACATGTTTTACGGCCACGCCCCAGGAGGCATTTAAGACCGCAGCAGCATCCAAGAATCGTCTCCCTGACATTACATGACGCAGAAGGATGAGTTGAGCCAATATCTGTGAGAAGGATCATCCATATTGTTGATACGCGCCCTGCGATGCGGACATTCAACTTACATGCGGAGAAAAAGCAAGCTCCGCAAATCGTCATCCCAAGACGCCAAGACCTCGAAGAAAAGAAGGGATCCATTGGTCAACTTGATTCAGGTCGACAAATGAATTTGCTAGGAAGATTTCTCGAGTAATTCCGCTCTATTAGGGTTATCCTCTGCATAGTTCCGGCTTTTTCTACACGGAAACGGCATTCGACTATTCTCCTAGCTTTTCAGCTTCTTCTTACCGAATGCTAAAGCTGAAAGTTCTATGAAGCGTTCGTCAACAGGATTGAAACCACCTCAAAGCCCTAAAGACGACAATAGAAAGCTCCGAGGAAGATCTCCAACGTTGCGACTGTGTGATTTACATTGAGCATGAGGCCAAAATCGATCGTGATTGAAATCCGGTAAATGCTAAAATTAATGTTAATATTTAGCAATCCTGGCATCAATCAACGCATTGAGACGGCCCGGAGCAAGCCAGCTCCAAATGTACCGGGGGCTAGATTTACACGATGCCATTGTTGATGGCTCATTACTTCCCATTGACGGGATCGTCTTTCGGCTTTGTTGGAGCCTCGCCATCACCATTGTGATCATCTTTGCTAGGTAAATCGTCCTCGTTCGATTTCACAGGGGCGCTAGCGGGCTCTGAATCAGCCTGTTCTGTACCTTCTTTCGATGTAGCCCCGGCTGTAGCATCAGCATCGTCATGTTGATTAGCGTTTGCAGTGGGGTTAGTCAACTCGTCCTTCTCCTTGCCCTTGTCATCTGATTTAGTGTCGTCTTTTGCAGTGGCAGGACTCTCTTCTGCACTTTTGTCATTCTTGGCAGGATCCTTCGCGGTCGCCGGGCTTTCGTCTGCGTCTCCTGCAGGCGCAGGACTTGCTGCCAACGGCGCTGGGACAGCAGTGGTGGCAGCACCCGCATCTGGAGCGTTTACAACGGGAGGAAGCTGAGCTCCAGCTCCCGGCCTTGCTCTGAGACCGGTGATTGCGTCAAGCATGCCGCCTCCCATGCTGTACATATCCGGGTTGTTTTGCATATACTTCTTGACCGCCGTCTCGTAGAGGCGAGTCAGCCTTGCGACCTCACTGCGCACACTGATCTTATCATCCACGTCAATTTCATCATATCCGTGGACAGATTTCTTGATACCAAGCCACATTGTCTTACTATTCTCGATCTCATCCACGACATGCTCAAGATCATCACGGAACATGCGGGCTCGCATGGGCTGGCCGCGGGATTTCAGGTAAGCCACCAGGCCGGCGATGATGGTGTTCAAGACACCGAAGATAGTTATGAGAACATGGCTAGATTCTGAAGCCCCTAGAGCGGTAAGCGTAGCACCGAGTACGACCTGCGACAGAAGCAATGTATTTGAGAGGGCTGCTGTGAAGCTGTAGGTCATGCTCTGAGACTTGCGTTTGCGAGTTGCACGGTTGTACAAGGTCCTACTGCTGAGTTGCGAATGACTTTTAGACTCGTCAGAGGGGGAATGCCAATGAGTAGACAGAATTGCGTGTGAGGGTCAAACGTATCATCATTCAGCAGAGGAGTATTTTCATCGGCCATTGTAATCAAGAGCCGTGAAAGCTTCTGCTGCAACGATAGTGACACCAGGTGGTTCAAGTCAGGATCGTGTGGAAGGAAAAGCTGAATCGATGTCTTGATAGCGATTCTAGAGCGAAGAGTTGGTGGTCAGGGCGCAGCAAAATTCACGGTCACAGCAAGATCCCGCGGCGATGGGCTTTTTGTGATACACATGAAAGTATGACTTGGGGCATACAGAGTACAGAGACGATCCCGCCCAGCGCAGCTCTAGCACATCTGCGCAACGACGACGAGGGGGAGCAGGACCTGCTAGGAGATCGGGCATGGTCGCTCATAACGAAGGAGGTATAGCGTGGGGCTGGTTGACGGCATCGCTTGTCGTCTAGCAGTAATCTAGATTCCAGGGTACGGCCTAGAGTTATCATAGTCACTGGCAATTACACTAAGAACAATCGTTATTACAACCGAGACAGCGCAGAACATTATGCGAGTCACCAAGCGCAATAAATGAATGTATATATATTTTCTCTTTTTGATGGTTTGCGTCTCGGGCTTGTAACTCAGCGGTAATTCTCACAAAGTTTTGGATTCTCGACGTCTACTTACGATTCCACCAGGTTAGAGTGTGAGATTGCAGATCTCAAGGTCGATGGTTCGAGTCCGTCCAGGCCCTTCTCATTTGTTTTTGGGCTTCCTTTGAGTCTCAAACGATCTAGCAGCTTGGTTGTTGTGGGTCATCCGTTCTCTACGAATATGGTGAGTATGGGGTCTTGGCATAGTTGTCAATACGCTTCACCCGTGCACGCAGCCGAGCGCGTCTTGCAACAGACATGAAAGGAACGACAATACTTCGTCTTTCGCTTGTCCCTCTTATTTTTGTTGAGGCAAATGCGTAATTGTTGCGTCATCATCTCTATAGAACAAGTCTTTGCATATCTTAAGGCTAGTTCCATGCTTTACTCTCTTCTTGAGTATCGGAGGTAATGGCTTAGCTTAGAAAGTAAAGATCAGGAAGGCGAACAGAAGACAGGGAGATCTGTGTAGGAGAAAGGGTGTTAATGGAACAATTATATTGAATCAATTGACCAATCAAATCGCGGCCGCGAAAGACTTTCCCCTTCTCAAAACGAATTATTATTAAATCATGCCTTCCTCACTCCCTCAGCGTTCTGCGGTAATTAATCGCATCACCAAAGAGACGAAGATTCAAGTCTCCCTGTCTCTTGACGGCGGTGCCCTCGAATACCTTCCCAACAACGAAGAATTTGCACCCGAAACCATCTCAGCACCAAACACGCCAATACCGTACCAGGACGAAACCCACCACGCCTCTCAAACATCAGATAAACAAGAGATATGGATATGGACAGGCGTTGGGTTCTTAGATCACATGCTGCATGCGTGGGCGAAGCATGCAGGCTGGAGCTTGCGGGTGCGATGTAAAGGGGATCTAGCAAGTCCGTTCTCCGCCACGCCTTTAACCCTCTAATACCAAAGACGCTCACAACTGATGTTCAGTTGATTCCCACCACACGTCTGAAGACACTTTCATTGCGCTCGGCTCTGCGTTTTCCCAGGCCCTCGGATCGCGAACGGGTTTACAGCGCTTTGGCCACTGCTACGCTCCCCTGGACGAGTCCCTCTCGCGGGCGGTCCTCGACATTTCATCGCGCCCGTTCTTTGAAGGCGATGTAGAGTTCAAGCATGATAAAATTGGGGAATTGCAGAGCGATATGATTCACCATGGGCTGGATAGCTGGGCAAAAGAGGCAAGGGTGACGTTACATGTGGATATCATTAAGGGGAGGAACGATCACCATAGGGCGGAAAGCGCCTTCAAGGCGCTGGCGGGGGCCTGTGCGATGGCTTGTCGGAGAGTTGAGGGAAAGGAGGGAGAAGTGGTCAGCACGAAGGGAGTGCTGTGACTATGCGAACCAATGGTCCACATCAAATTTGAGCCGACATCAATTCCAGGCAGATGCATTGTGCGAGGTCATTCGATGTGATCAACCATGAATGGAGACCTGTTGTAACCCACGCTGAACGCAGAGATGTTATGTACGAGGGCATAAAGTACATTTCGCCACGTGCTAGAACTAAGGCTAAGCTTCAGGGACCTGGTCGTTTTGGCCTCTCTCTCCCCTATCGTATTCTTGACCTAGGATCTGTATCGGCCTTGCTTTGTCTTGAAGCTCCCTTTCCTCCTTCCACTCTTTCCCTTGGGAAGATAATTTTCGCAATCTCTGGACATACGCATCGACCTTTTCTTCGTCTCTGTCCGGCGCGCCGCCTTCTAATTTTTTCCTCCTGCGAGTTTGGCATGCCTCGTAGAGAGCCCATGCCCGATGCTGATCTGCTATTTCAACAAGTGAATATTCGATAGACCATTTGTCTGCCGCACTGAAGTCCCTAGGCCGGAGCACGTACGATCCGTTGACTTGGTTGCGTAACGTGAGTGTCATGGCGAGGATGTCACCCTGTGATTCTGGACTTTGATTTACTTCGTCAAGGAATGGTTTGTCTGCTTGAGTCTCGAAAGCCTCATCCACTTTGGATTCGAACGGAAAGATGACATCTTTCGCCGCATCCGACTCGTTAGCTCCACTTTGTTCTGCGGCAATTGGTTCTTCTAATGAGGCTTGTGGTCCCTCATTCGGACCGCTGTTCACACTCACGGGTCGTGCATCTCTTGATGTAGCCCCTGCCAATTCTTCGTTCATCAAGTCGTTGTTGACCTTGTCTTGCTTGTCTTGGCCGCGAACCTCTTCGTCATTTCCACCCTCATTTTCTGCCGCTCCTTCTTCTTCTTCTTCTTCTTCCTCTTCTTCTTCCTCTTCCTCTTCCTCTTCTTCTTCATCCTCTTCTTCTTCATCCTTATCTTCTTCCTCTTCTTTTCTTTCTTCTTCCCTTTCTGCTTCTTCTTCTTCTTCTTCACCGGCATCATCATCTAGTGAAGTCGTGATGACACTATCAGGGGTTTCGGCGAGCGCTTCCTCAGTTGCTGGATTTGACATGCTGAAAAGTGGGTCCTGTCCATCTGTTTGCTTTTCCATGAGTTCAAGGTCGTCTTCGTTGGCTTCCAGTCCAAGCTCATCTTTGTCCATAGCGTCCTGCACATTTGCCTCGATTGCATCCCAGTCCTTAACGTCTTTCTTGTCCTCTGCTTGGTCTTTAGCTGCGTCAAGCCCAAGAATCCTGGCTTCGATGTCCCGAATCTTATCCTCATTGACTGATTGTAATTCAATGACCTGCTCTTCGGTCACAGGCTCTGCAAAAGCATACATGAACGGCGTTGCTGCATCTCTCGTTTCGAAATGTATACGGAGAGACTGACAAATTAGAAAAGACATCTTGAGTTGGCATTTGAAACTTACAGTGTTTGGGTATTTCTTCGTGGCTCGATCTAGAATCTTGTTCAAGAGATCCAAACTTAAGACAAATTCTTGGTCACCAAGCGTAGTATCCCCTTGTCCGTGAATCGTAGAGTCCATCTCGCTAAGGCTCACGTATTGGAAACCAAAGATTTGTTCCACGTTGTGGTAAGCGACAAAAATGCCGTCCATTCTCCCCATTCTGACTTGCATGGAATACTTGAGAAAGGCCGCTCGTATCATATCGTAGTACTCGCGCTCATAGCTCTCGTAAGCACCTTGGCGGTCTTTTATTTGGTATCCGACACCCTCCTCGAAATTCTGGACGTCCATACGTATGGATACCACAGCTCTTGTCTTTAAGTCAAACATTCCGGTGCCAGGCAAACGAGAATCATGAGCATCAAGTTGCGACCGCATGAGAAAATCACCCATCGTTGAATAGTGATATGCTTCAGGAACAAGTTGCTCCTCCTCTGACACCTGGACTGGATTACTTCTACGATATTTTTCGTAATCATCCGTTTTCAATGTCAATAACTTTTCAAGTGACTTCCCGAGCATGCTTAGAACGTTCGCATTAGCGAATTGCTTGTCGGCATCGATAGCATAAGTGCCATCTCTCCACCTCAAAAAGATTGCAGATGGGCATCGCTGGAGCTCGGTGAAATTATGGTGCTCCACAGGAAACGTCTTGGATAACATCGAAGTATTTATAGGGCGCCACTGGGATAGCAAGAAATGAAAGTGAGACAGGATTCCTGTCATGCTGGACGTGGAGCCCAGATATCGTTTCTGATTATCTTGGGCAACACGCAATAAGGTCTCGTCCTTAGAAGAGGTGATGAACTCCTTTAAAGCATTGAAGTCGAATTCGGCAACAGGCATCACTTTCTGTAGATAGGGATCAAAATTATATACCCGAGATCGAGGATCCTGAAGTTGATATACGCCGGGACTAAGCCTCCGTTAGTCTGGTCTCGTGAAGAATAAGAGTCCTCGCAAATACTTGAAAAGCACTCGTTCGAGGCCATATTCTAGACTTGGTACAGGGGGTTGATGGACGTCAATGGCTAGACAAAATCAGTGGTGTTGAAAAGGAGGTATGCATGTTCTCACGAGTGATTTGAAGTGCAGAGGCCTCCGCCCTCACAATTGGTGATTTGACCGTCGATGACTCGGAAGCTTTCGTTGTTGACCGTCTCGGAGAAGCCACCTTTGAGGTAGTATATACTTTGCTAATCCTGGAAATCTTTGGCAAATCCTGCTTGGTCTGGACTTTTCGGATAGGCTTTCTCAGTTGTCTTGAGACTTCTTTTTCCTTGGAAGCGTATTTGACATGATGTCCGTCAGCCTTCCCGACCAATGCCGTGCGGAGATCTACAATTTCCGTGCTCAAACGATCTAGTAGTGCTTTGTCTGTTGTGTCGCTGTCTTGTTTTCTGGCGAGTCGTCTAAGAGTGGAGGCAAGTTCCATCTTGGATTTGACTCTTCTGCTGCTCTCAAGGGAGCTTTCTCTGACATCGATATCCTGACCTCCATGTTCAATCTCAACTTTGGGCTTAGATTTTGTTGCGTTGGATGTCTCAGAGCCTTTATGTTCATTAGCGACCTGACACGCAAGGTAGAGTTCACCCGTAAAACTTACTCTCTAAGACAGCTTTTACTTGTTCTAACAGATTGTTGTTCGGTGATGCTGCTGCTACATCGCCGCTGTCGACTTTGCTCTCATCCTTGCTGTTAGCTCCCGACGTTGTCTTTCGCCTTTTCGCCTTCCTCTTATCCACAGCGGTGGTCGCGGCCGATTGCTTTTTGTGACGTAGACTCTTATCTTCCTTGGACTTGACGGACGCCTTTTTCGCTTTGTCATTCTCCTTGATACGGTCGCTGCTGAGTGGGGGCACTTTAAGCTTTATGGAATTCTGTTCCTGGACAGCTGACGCCTTGCTTTTTACGGGCTTCTTTTCCTTGATTGTCAACGCCTTACTTTTCGACGGCTTCTTCTCCCTGAGTCTCTCTTCAAGATATCTCTTTTGGAGCTGCGTCTGCGTTTCCGAGACGCCCTGCCTCTCTAGACCATCCGCTGATTTGGAGTTCTGTTTGTCAAGTCGTTAGCAGACCTGAGAATACAATTTGCGTAAAAGTCAGGAGGCTAACGTCTGTGTTCTTCTCCGACGCATTGGAAAGAAGATCTGATCTGTCGGTAAGTTCCGGTCGTATTTGTGCATGCTTTGTGCCAGACCACAGCTCTCGAAGGCCATTGGATAATAGAGAAGCGTTCGATGAGCTCTCGTTCTTTGAGCTTGTGGTATGTTGAAATCGTCTAAAGGAGCGAAAGCTTATGGCGCTCAGCTTGTACCTGCAGGAGAGGCATAAAAAATGTTGGCTAGTACCGGCGATGTCTTTGCCATACTTGACGGGCATGTAGAATATACCAATCAATTTTCACAGTTTTTTCAATCCTGAGATCATGGAAAGGGTCGGGCGCGACTCCTGAAGCCGCAATACCCGCGGAAAGTTTAGCCGACCCCCCCAGCTTCCAGCCATGTCGTTACATGTTCACGACCTGCAAGTGTATTACGGAGAAGTCCTCTGAGTCGGCTCACATGCTTCACAATGAGTGAGAACAGGCTTTTCAGATTCTCGAAGCCAGAATGGTTGAATAACCCCAACCTGAGGACTGCAGGCGTCTATCTTGCTGGCGCATTAGTATGCCAGCAGCCTACCCCAGCTATGCAATGGCTGCTGACCGACATCACAGTTCTCGTTGGGATTCTTCTTCTTCATTGATGCCTCCGCTTTCTCTCACTCCTCTAAGAATGGATCTGCTGTGCACATTCGGTTTGTGGATTGGATCCCGGGGATATGCTCAGCCCTCGGCATGCTGGTCATAAATTCAATAGAGAAGACAAGGTTGAGTGCAGACAGCTACAGTTATTCAGGAACAGGAGTCGCTTGGAAGGCTAGACTGGTGCTCTTCTTGGGCTTTGCTTTGATGGCAGGTGGTCTAGCAGGGTCGGTCGTAAGTACAGACAGACACAGCGTCTCCATTGGCTGTTGGGGGAGCTAACACCAATATTCGCAGGCGGTCATGGTACTTAAATATGTGGTTCCTCAGTATCCATGGCCAACTTTATACTTCGGAGTTGCAAACGTCATTGCAAACGGGTTGATAATGCTAAGGTATATCGCCTCCTGCTCTTATCAGTGAGAAATTACTAATGGAAAACTTAGTTCTGTCATTCTGTGGGTGTCACAAAACATGGAGGATGATTATACGTATAGTCTCGCCTTGTAGTAAACCAATTGAAATCTTATGTGAGGTGTTTCTGGTGCAGATAGGACTCTGAATTTGAACCATTGCCCTGGTGAGGCCAAACCGTCTACGTATTCTTTTTCCAGCTGCTTGACATTTCGAGATCCAGGAAAGTCAAATTTTGAAGAATCAAGACAAGGAATTGGCGTTCGACTAATGTTTTGATGTCAGAAGGCCAAGTCGCTGAGGCTAGATTCAGAGCCACGACGCTAGTGTTCAGCTTGATGCATTATCATTGCTGGTAAAACGTCGAAGGCTAGGAAAGGGTCTTTAAATTGCCCTTCTGCCAGCTAGTGCTGCATTCAGACTAAGTTGTTAAAGCTTTGCCTGCCGGAAAGAGGGGATATTGAGGTACACCAAAGCATCATTTATCCTCCACTGGGCCTTTCCTCTTGGTGTGAATACAGTAATCTGTCCAAACCCAGGATTTGCAGCTGCTGTTTCAAAGGCTTCATCCCTGGCCTCCAATCCAAATTTGCCGATGACTCTGACCTTACGCTCGTCGCTGAGGAATATCATTTCCCCAATGACCAGCTTCAGCAGGTCATCAATATCCTCTCGTTCGTACATCCATTTACCTTTGACGGTAACACTGCAATGCATTACAAAGCCATGTGGGATAGGAACGTCACCTGTCAATCCTCCCATTAGGCTCACTCTTCTTTCAGGGGGGAAGTGCAAGAACCCCCGACTTCAGATGTGTCGAGCTGGCTGCCATGGGAGGTGAGATGTCAAAAAGCGCATCGACTGCTCCAAAGCTCTTCCACGCTGCAGTGTCCTTGGCAACATCGCCAGGAACCTGCACTAAGTCGATTCTCTTGTCGTCCAGAGCTTTCAATTGCTTCAATTTAACACCGTTTCTGCCAAACACCACCACCATCGCGCCCATTGCCAAAGCTACCATCGCTGCTGCTCCCCCAAAAGATCCAGTGGCCGGAGAAATGATGACTCGCTCACCAGCAGTCAATCGAATGCTTTTGAAACCACCAAACGGGAATAACGAAGTCAAGATAAAGGCCAGCTTCTCCATACTCAGACCAAGTCCGCCCTAAACCTGGCTTCCCAAAATGCGTTTCTCAGGAAGTCGAAAGCAATTTTCTAACGGCACTTTTGCGTGCTCTGCAAAAGTGCCACTATTGGGCCAAACCTGCCGCGTCAAGAGCTCACTATCCTCACTAAACCCGTCGTGCAAGCCCTGAAGAAACCGATTGTCTCCATCATCGCGTCCTCGGATGATACCACCAACCCCGACTAGGTCTCCAGGCTCCAGGGTCATGGCGTCTGGACGGACTTCTACCACTCGACCAATTTTGCGTACGAGAGGGATTGGTGCCGCCAGAATGTGAACGATAGCACTGCCAGGTGTGATTGCAGGGGTTGAAATTGTTTGCAACGTAAGTTGAGACCCATAGGTTTCTTGGACCAATGCTTTGTAGGCTTGGGGTAGGTTTCTGGTTAAAGGCATCTCGATTTGCGCAACACTCCTGGAGGTTGGGATCTGACGTTCAAGCTGAATGGGGTAAAAAATCCGCAAGGTGGTCATTTAAATAGAGTAGTCTCTTCTGAGCATCCATACTTGATATTCTGTTGACTGAGGAAGGGATACGTGCGTTATCCGGCAAGGACGGGGCTAGGATACGGCGCCGGAGAGATATTTAACGACAAGGATGCATTCGTCAAGTAAGAATCTATAGCTACGATTGAAAGGACCTAGAATTTTCATGCGCTGCTTACTTGATTCCTTAGATGGACAAGATTCTTCGGAGTTTAGACACGTAAGAACGAGGAGATGGGGCAAGAAGGATCGCGCAGATTTCGAAGGATTAACATCCCTTGCATTTTTGTTACTCAAACCCAGCTCCATAGGAGCTTTTGCCAGCGATAACCTGACATGACGTGCGATGATCAATTTCTTATGATCGACGCTGTATCTCCAATGTTTTTTGAAACATTTTGAAGTACAATAAATCTACGCCTCAAAGACAAGTTTTGGAGGACTGGGCACGGCTGCCCTCCCTAAGGCTTTAGGCTGTGATACAAGCTTCGATTCAGAGGTGAAGGGTGTATTCTCCTGAATCAGTATCACATCTTCTTGTTCGATACCAGCCTGAGCCAGCCTGATCTTGCGAAAAGCCTCAAAGTCAGGCCCCCCAGCATCGAGCATCTCGCCGATGGTGTTGTATCGAAAACGCTGGGCTAGTTGAGTTTCCTTCCAGCTTTCTTCAAACGAGATTGGGTCCTTCGGATCGACACACTTCGGCTCCAGTTGAACGTGTCTGATCGTCCACGTCCTTCGTACTGTTACGCTTTGAATTTGGCGCATGCATTGTAGCGGCATGAATGGTCGTCTTTTTGGATCAACGTCTTTCCAATGGCCAACATGCTCTTCATATTCTTTTTGCCCGTCGAGTAATTTCAAGTGAGCCTCTAAAGCGTGAAATGTAATCTCGAATTGCAGGACAATGCCACATTGTTCCAACGAACGGGCAGGCCGGATCAAGTCCCAACCCTCATGAATACACAGCTCAATAGTCAATGTCCGCAAATTACAGAAGCCTTGCCTCTGAGTTTCCATCAGCCTTTTCAATCTCTGTAGGTAAGTGTCGCTTGTATGATCTTGAGTCCTTATGGGCCACTTGCGGGAGTCGGTCAGACCTTCTGGGCTCCTGAACCATGCTTCAAGGTCGGAACGCCCCTTTTTCTTCAAGTCGTTCCATGAATCGTTAGGTACTGTTGATGAGCCACCTGAAGACAAGTTCATCCGCAAATAAAAGTGCTTAATATGTTGAGCTTCAAGCTGCTGGATCCTTCTTTTGATGTTGTAGTCTGTACTCAGCGCTTTGCGCTGAAAGACTTGAACCTTCCGGCCGTAGGGCAAGTGTGCGTAGAGGTCAAATTGATTCACACGAACGAAGACTTCGTAAGCTTCACGAGAAATCTGCGAATTGGTACAAAAGACACCATAGCACTCGCGAGCTGCTTTCTCATTTGCTGCTGCTGTAGAATGTGATAAGCCACAGCAGTAGTTTGAGCAGTTGTGCAAACAGTGCATCGGAGGAAAGGGCAGCGGCATAATATATCCATATATCTACACGGCCGAAGTCAATACCAATACAGGCTGTGTTTAGGAGACCTTGTCTACCTTATCCCTAATCTCCCGTGGTATCAAATCCATGTAACCCAAAGAATTCTTATTTTGTTCTAGTGTAAGCCTCTTGAGCTCAGATGGCTTTAGCAGCTTTTTCAGAAGACGACACATTCTTGAAGTCCCTAAATGTGGATCTTTCTGTACTTTTGGGGGCTTTCAAGTTGTTCTGAGCAGATTCTTTGCTCAACCAGCTGAATTCTTTTTGTGTGGATGATGAATGGTGTAGGTCTCTCTTGTTGCCACACTTTTCGCTTTGACAATCTCAGGAATGTTCCAAGCTCGTCATACTGTAGACAGGCTGTCAAATCGTAGGATGGTCAGCAGGTGGCAACGCAGGTGCATCAGATAGCAAGCAATACCTAGCGTATGTTCGTAGCATGTCTCTGAGCCTATCCTAGATGTGAATCAAGTTTCCCATCATGTACCCGGGTTCAGATTGTGAGAGCTGCCGAGGGCGGACACGGGCTGTGTTACCCGGACACAGTCTTTCACAGCTGTCTGGTGGCGATGAAGCAGTGATGGTGGATACAGATTAAGGAATCAATGAACTTGAACGATTACAAGAGTCAAGAGAAGGGAGAGCAAAAAAGTTGGAGGGATAAAGATTCTTGCCGAGTGGTGGCTGCTCTGCGTGCTCCACAAAGCTACGAGAGAGTTTGTCTGAGCGGGCGCCACCTTTGCTTTCACCGCGTGAAGTGCGCCTACCTCATCTGAAGTGTTTGGCGGAGATGAAAGTCATTTTTCATAGCTTGAAAACACCTCTCAATTCTTCGCCGAAAGGAGATAAAATACAAAAGCAGAATCCCGCCAACTTGAAGACGGCGTTGACGCAAAGAGGAACACAAAACAGTCTTTCACTAATTCAGGTCTAGTATCTGCTCTATAGAAGTCTTCCTAATAAACACGAAGCTCGGCTGTACCTGTATCCCTCATCGAAGTGCAGGGGAAATCGGACATACATATCATGAGCGATGAGTTGCAATCTAAGCAAAGAAAGAGTCGCTACGAAGCTAGACTTCTGTGTCAGAGCAATGAAAGCGAGGGTTGGAATTCGTACGGGGAGAGTCATGCAGTGGCGAATATCATAAGGAAGAGGGAGTTTGAAGCCTCTGAAGGTCCTAGAATCTAAGGTAGATAGGCTATATCTAAGCTACTCTGGATTGACCAATCAGGTAAATTCTTGCGCCCCAAGCAACCGAGCTCTTCCCCCTTTCCAAGATCAACGACAGGAGCAATATAGTCTCTTGTGAAAGTTGTGATGGAGAGGAATATGCACATCTCCGTAAAGGGTCCATGATATTCCGACGTAATGTCGCAAGACAGAGCAATCGAGCGACTAAGGCAACGTAAACATGACCTCCTGCGCACTATGTCGACGAGCAGATAGTTGACACAGTCTCCACAGAGACGAGAGTGAAGCCCCATGCGGCGGCGACCATCAAGTCAGAGGTCGACGCTGTGTGCAAAGCAGCACGAGAACATGGGCTATCCTCCCTAGCGTTAGGAAATCTCATTGATCTACTCACCTCGCAGGCTACACTAGATCAGGCCAGTCAAAACGTCCTGCTGAGGTCATTGTACCCCGCCGCGAAGGTCGGACGCGATGTGGTATACATGATTGTTTTCTCTCTTGGTCCTGGAAAGCAGAAACCATCAAATTCAACCCAAAGTGGCCTTTTAAGATGGCTTGTGTTAGTCTTCGACCTGGTAGACCCATCTTCTGTCTTCTCGGATTGTTATAACGTACTGTTTAATCTCGTTGACGTGCTTTACCTGCGTCTGCATCTTTGCCACCTGCTTACTAGAATTACAAAAAGGAAGCATGTCAAAGCCTACAGAATTGATATGCTGAGGAGATCTGAGGAGGGTATCACAAAAGATGCAAGCATTGCCAAGCTAGTGAGCATTTATGAGTTTTTGAAGCCTGGAAGCTTCGACTTGTCAAAGGTGAAATTGCCTGTTACGTTTGCGCATGCGGATCCTCATTGGACCGAGGATTTGGAATCTATACAGCGTCGAAATGGGGACAGCTTTCTTACAGGCCGACTGACTAAAGATGATTCAAAGTACGGCGCTATGCGTAAGGATTTCTATCAGCCTCACGGATCCAAGAGACTGTCAGACCATTTTGTCTGCCCAGAAACTCTCAGCGAGGTTGCTACAAGTTTTGAGAGATTCGACTTGTCCGAGACAAGTTGCTCTGACCTTGCGGATCGCATCTTTCAAAGGAGTTTGGATCTACAGTACGAGGCAGAGCATCTAGGTCAAATTCATGAGATGCTGGATGTGTCCCTTGAAGGCGAGCTTGAGACCTTAGATGATGGTGAGGGGTTACGACAAGACCTTCTCGGACAACTTCTTGCCTTTACCAGGCATAATAAGGTATGAAAGAGGCACGATGAATGACTCAAGTGGCTGAAATGGTCCCAAAGGTATTGCATCCTCCCGTTGTCAATTTCTTCAAATCCTATCTTCCGATATGGAAGCCAGCCATCGAATTCGAGAAAGAACCATTGATTCTCGAACTCCTCTCATACGTGCCAATTCTTCCATGGGAAGGTGAGCAGTCAGTGGCCGCCTGTAGTTGAAGTGAGACTGACTGACAAGAAATCTACCCTCCAATTTTGCAACCTATGGAATTGGCTCTCCTAGACTCTACCATTGAAACCCTCAAGACTCTCACCCAATTCTATACGCATCTCATGAGACACTGGAATACACTTCTCCGACAATCCTCAAATCGAGTCACCCTCTCCCATCAAATAGAGACAATCCAAAAGTTGAGCACTCATACCTTCCTCCTTGCTCTCAACACTCTCATATACTCAACAACCCCAACACAACAAACAACTTCCGTCATCCTCACCTACCTCGAAGCCCACACAGCCATACTCTCCCCACCTCTCTCCTTACCTCTCCCTCCCCCTCTCCCCCTCCTAATCTACACCCTCCTCTTCGCCTCTCCAACCCTCTCCACGGTCTCCCGTGTCTCCGCCATTCTCGCCCGCTACAAACACGCCTTTGAGCAGGCACCGTCATCTTCTGGCCCCCGAAATCCAGAGGACATCCACTCGCTAAACACCGTGCTGATCGACACCTGCAACCTGCTTCTCCGCTCGCGGGGGTTCAACATTACGGATACGCATGCGAAAGGATGTTTGATTCAGAGGCCGCTTGTGGACGCCTTGGGTAGGTACGCGAAGAGTCTGACGCCGCCGCTGGATTTGGCGCATTGCTTCTCGCTGTCGTATCATACAGGTTTGGCGAGTTCGAGCACTGCAGCCTTCAAGGAGCTAGAGAAGCAGAGCGAGGTGGAGGTGGAGCATGAAGGACTGGTGAGCCCGAAAAGTCTGCAGACGTTGGGAAGGGATGGTGGACTCAAAATAGGATGGAGAGAGTATAGGGTGCATGTATTGAAGTGGTTGGAAGGCTTTGGAGCTGATGGAGTCGGCAACCTGGGACGGGCTACGATGCGAGGCTTGATGGGTGGAGAGAAGGGGAGGGAGAGTGATGTTGCCAAGGTTTGACTCGCGCCAAAGATGAAGAAAGCTGCCACCAGGACTGTAGTCTTGAGAAACGAAACGTATAGAAAGTCTGGTTAAGCTTGGGCTAAGTGATTTCTTTTCCGCTACTGCTACAACTTCATAATTCGCCAGTGACTCACTCTAAGAAGTTAAAAACAAAAGGTCGCACCCTCCACCTGACCATTTGTCTATCTCGCGAGACCTCTCCACTCCAGAATTTCTGTTGCTGGACTCATAACGCATCATAATTTGGGAGTGTTGCTTGGAGGTCGACACGCTATCGATACTCCAGCCTTGACCGCACGTAGGGCATCATTAGAGAGATTTACTAAACATTGTTAGCTCAAGCCGTATAGTACATTCAAAGAGTACTGGAGTGCCTACTTTAGAAGCACTTTCGGTGCACGACAGAAGGTCCATCTTCATCATATTCCTGTTTAGAGATCCACATTTGCTGGAAGGTCGACAAGGAAGCAAGGATAGAGCCACCGATCCAGACGGAGTATTTCCGTTCAGGAGGAGCGATGATCTTCACTTTCATAGATGAGGGAGCAAGAGCCGTGATTTCCTTTTGCATACGATCAGAAATACCAGGATACATGGTGGTACCACCGGACTACTCGGTTATCAGCAAGAATTATACCTCACAAGAAATATGTCGCAACGCACCAAGACAATGTTGCCGTAAAGGTCCTTTCGGACATCAACGTCACACTTCATGATTGAGTTGAAAGTTGTGACATGGACACCGCCGCTCTCAAGGCCCAAAACGGATGGCTGGAAGAGAGCTTCGGGAGCTCGGAATCGCTCATTGCCAATTGTGATAACCTGTCCATCAGGAAGCTCGTAGGACTTCTCCAAGCTAGAGCTCTGCGCGGCGGTCTGAATCTCTTGTTCGAAGTCAAGCGCAACATAACAAAGCTTCTCCTTCATATCGCGGACAATTTCGCGCTCCGCAGTGGTCGAGAAAGGATAGCCGCGTTCGGCCAGGATCTTCATCAAATAGTCGGTCAAATCGCGACCCGCCATATCGATACGGGAAATAGCATGGGGAAGAGCAAAGCCCTCGTAGATAGGAACAACGTGGGTAACACCGTCGCCAGAGTCAAGCACAATACCTGTCGTACGACCAGAAGCGTACAGTGACAGCACGGCCTGAATGGAGACGTAAAAAGCTGGGGTATTGAATGTTTCGAAGACGATTTGCGTCATCTTCTCCCGATTAGACTTAGGATTGATGGGAGCTTCGGTAAAGAGAGCAGGGTGCTCTTCTGGTGCGACACGGAGTTCATTGTAGAAGGTATGATGCCAGATCTTCTCCATATCATCCCAGTTTGTGACAACACCATGTTCGATGGGATATCTTAGCGTAAGGATACCGCGCTTCGACTGTGCCTCATCGCCAACGTAGGAGTCTTTCTGGCCCATACCAATCATGATACTGCACGTCACGTCAGCCTGGACAAGGTGAGGGCAGCCATCAAATCTAAGAATGGCGAAGAATTCGAACGTACCCATGATGACGGGGTCTTCCAATGATGGATGCTGGTACACAAGTCAGCCAATGTGTATGCAATTATAACCACATTGGCATCTGGGGGTTACTCACGAAATACAGCTCGTGGTGCATCATCACCGGCAAAACCGGCCTTGCACATTCCCGACCTGATTTTGGTCAGCTCTGCTTTTACCAACTCATTGAACATAAGATTGAAATTTCAGCAGTCGGTGGTGGAGTGCTTGGGCTGCCCACAGTAGAGCAATGACGAAAGACGGGGAGAGGCCTACCCATTGTCGATAACGATGGCAGCAACTTCTTCTGTAGAGTTGAGAATCAAACATCAGCAAAGCTCTTCTGACCGACGATAAGGAGTACAGAAGTCGATTTTTTTCAAGTGCATCGACATATGGATTGAGGAGAAGGCAACGACGGGGGATAAAGCTTACGCTCCATGAAGGCGAACTCTAAGGAGACGGAGGGATAGTTAAGAGCTTCTCTTGTCGCTCGCAATGACGAGCCCTGGAAAAGAAATTTGAGGTTGGAGTAGGAGCGGCGAGGGTGGGTAGAGATATCGAGGTAGCTGCTTGGTTCTTTATGCGAGTTGCGGAGGATGTTCCTGCCGTTTAAAGACCAGCCCTGCAAAAATCTGTGCGGAAGCGACGCTAGTTCTACTACTCTTGGCGCCAGTGTCTTACTAACCTCTCAAGCCTATCTCCTCTACAAATTACATGGCTGGCAGAGCAAATCAACCCTCGTTGCCTCCCTGACTGCTAAGAGATTACGCAAGCTACTCTGAGGCTCACTCAGGCAGCCAGATCTTGCACCTTATTTTGGTCTCGAAGCCCGTTGCTCCGCGCGTCCTCTGACCTCAATTCTCACAGTCGAAGTATTTTATTCTGCTGCCTTGAATTGTAGGACGCCCGGTGGCTCAAAGAGATAACCCCATGAGGTAGATTGATTTGCTGATCCTCGTCCTCTGAATGCTCCGTTTCAGATAGGCTATTGCCTTGAGTGCATGGTTGCGCGGTTCGACGAGCGGAAGCCTTCTGAAGCAGTTTGGGGACTTGGCCTCCCTTTTGCCCATCGCCGCTTTCATTTCGCTTTCTCACGAGCAGCCTGAGGCTACAAAGTGTCAAGTAATTAGGTCCTTGCCGCACTAGATCCGATATATCATTGCGGCTCTGCGGACGGTCGCGAGTTGTGGAAGCTTCTATCTGATTCGTCCATTTTCTCTGACTTTTTGCTAATGGTACGAACCTATGGATATAAAGAAAGCTCAACACGAGTGAGCATAATCACATGCAAATTATCCAGCCTCACATCTCATCAAAAGCCATAGCCGGCCATTATCGCCTACGCCTTTCATCTGATTCTATCTTGACTCTGGCCATCCATTCCATCTATTAGTAACTCGTAAATCATGGATCCTGGTATGAACGATCTCCTCAAGTGGTCTGTCGACAATTCGCAGGCCGTTACTAATGAGCAATCTTCAACTTCTAATTCAAACGCTGCACGATCTTTAAGTCATCCTCTGAATGAAAAGGCACTTAATTCTCTTTTCGGCGGCCCCAGTGATGCGGACTTGATGAAAGAGTCACTTGCCGCCATACTATCGCTAGAGATCACACTGGAGAATAAGATTATTGCCTTCGACAACTTCGAGCAACTAATTGAACAAATCGACAATGCAAACAACATGGACAATCTTGGTCTGTGGCCCCCAATTGCCAGCTTGTTGGGGAGTAAGGAAGCAGATTTAAGGCGTTACGCATGCTGGTGCATTGGCACAGCCGTTCAAAACAATGTCAAGTGTCAGGAAAGGCTCGTTGCTGAGCAAGGTACAGTTGGAACATTGGTCAAGCTTGCAATAGATGATTCAGCAGAAAGTGTGAGGAGGAAAGCCATATATGCATTGTCAAGTGGAGTCCGAAATTACCAGCCAGCATTGGATGAGGCTGTCCAGCGGCTACCGAAGAATATCGTGCCAGAAGGAGGAACTGATGCTTCAAACATGGATGCTGTGGATCAAATAATGCAGAAGCTGAGGGAAGACTCAGCCCGCAAAGCTGCAGCATGAGACCTGCTACACTTTGAAGATCTGAAGGAATGCCATTGGTTAGACATACATTCGATTGATCTTTCGAAGGAGGATTTATGCCGCGCTATGCTATGCAGTAATTTCAATTCGAATATTGCCACCCCGATACACTTGATATCTTCCGAGATGGTATTGCTTTCAGTACCCAACGCCGGTTTCAACGTCTCATTATTCGTACGCTTCATGCAAATGTCTTCGTCGATTCTTCTTCATTTGATATCCTACCGTAACTCCGGTGCAGTCGCCGCGGCAATTTCATTGTTGATTGGTTGAGCTCCGGTGTCCGCAGGCACTCTCTCGAAAAGATTCCGCCAAAATTGTGGTGGATCGAGCGGCCGTTGCCCATTGTGTAATGAGGGGTAGACATCGGAAAAGAAATACCATACTATCTGGATGTTAGTTTTGAGGGTCTAGAGTATAGTGAGTGCAAAAGGCAACGTACTATGCCCAACTATCACTCCACAGATTTCATCCTTTGGAACAGTCCCGTGCAAGACGAGAGAAAAAGCCATCAGCACCCACGGCAGATATGGCGCCGTGAAGACCAAAAGACCAAGCAAGCTTAGCCTCGTCTCCGGGTTCCGCCGGCTCCAGATGTATACTAAGCTGCTGCTCAAGGCTGACCCAAGGAAGGGTATAGAAAGTAAAGGCGATAGGCAGAGCAGGAGAGTTGTAGCGTATAGCATCAACCATGAAAATTGAGCAGGAGAGCGCCCACTGCTTTCTTCAAGGAGTCGTGAGTATCGCTGGAGAAAGTAGACGTGGAAAAGGAGGTCAAGCGACAAGGGCCCGAAGTAGAGGAAGGTGGTCAAAAGGCGCCAGTACTATTCGCAGACCCAATCATTAGCATAGGCTCCGTGATAAGGGTGCGGAGGAGGAGTGGGAATATTGCCGTACCTGATTCTTCACAAACACGGCTCGGAAGCTGTAGAAGAGTTGAAAAGGCGTGATGATGTGACATTGTACTAGTATTGAGGTTGCGATCGTTGCACTGGTCCACCACCGCGTACAAACTGGCATCTCGTAGAACCACTGTTCAAGAGGAAATTGTCCTATCTGCCCAGGTTGCCCACCGCCGCCTCCGCCGAACATCTGTTCCATATCCATGGTCGGGGAATGTGAGGCGTAGATGAGGTAAGGCGGGTTAGAGTGAATATCGGTAGAGCCGGATGGCGGGCTGGGACAAGCGAGTGTGGTGGTGGGTTGAGAGGGAATGTGGAGAGAAGGTGGGAGAAACGTTGAAAACGGCAGTGTCGTTACATGATACAAAGCTGCCACATACTCCACGTCTCAAGTTGGGAAAGAGAAGGCGATGCACGCAAGCCCTAGGCTTATCCGTTCTGAGATACGCCAAGAAAACTCGTCGGCCCGTTGCATTAGCCTCCATCGCGCGAGATGCGTCTCATAAACAGGGTGGCTGGGAACGTATTGATTGAGGACACTGCACTGAGTGAAAGCGCTACACGTCCTACATGACTTTCATCACGCGACACGACTTTTCAATGATCAATGCCTGGGAGAAGCGAAAGTAGCCGATAGCTTGATATTACCCCGCGCTCCTACGCACCTCCGTGCCATCCGATCAAATCGATTGCAGTCCATTCGAGCAAGTAACTCGCACACAAACTTCGAGCCGTCAGAGCACCCAAGTCACCTGAGGTTGATATACTGTTGCAATGGCAGGCAGGAAGACCCAGGTGGGTCGGAAAACAGGCACGGCGCAGCCACTGGGAGGAAGGGTCAATCCTGGCAAATCTGCAACAACCCCAAACAGAAGAACAAGCGGCGGTGGTGGTAAGTCCTTCATTTGCAGGCCACCTTCTGAACCTTCACATTGGAACAGGCGTACACTGAACTTCCTCTCTCTAGGCAACACGCCTCGAAAACCGAGGAGATACAAACCTGGCACAGTAGCATTGCGGGAAATAAAAAGATACCAGCGCTCAACTGATTTGCTCCTACTCAAGCTGCCATTCTCACGACTAGTATGTGCACGCCTTTTCGCACGTCCCTTCAATTGCATTAATTTAAGCGCAGGTCCGCGAAATCGCATTATCTTTCCTTCCTCAGAACGGAGACTCGCTGCGGTGGCAGTCGCAAGCTATACAGGCCCTGCAGGAAGCCGCTGAGGCGTTCATGGTGCATTTGTTTGAGGACACGAATTTATGCGCGATTCACGCGAAGAGGGTTACCATAATGCAGAAGGATATTCAGCTAGCCAGGAGGATACGAGGGGCTTGGGGAGGGTTGGGATGATGTCAAGGTTTTCTCCGTGAAGTGTCAAGATAAGAACATGGTGATTTGCTTATGTGTATGTCCTGTTTGGAGAGGAATGTTGAAGGCGCCTGGCGACATGTATGGCAGAAGGTTTGTCCGGGATAAGGCTCTGGCTCAATTACCCTTTAATCAGACTCAGTTCTGACTATCATCTGTAAGATCTGCCCCCGTGCGAGAATGTTGTTGCATTACGTGGCGCCTGATGGCTTATGACGCATATCTTGCACGGGAAATCGAGTGTGGATGCTGAAATTGCGTCTCTGAGCAAGTATATTACTCAATTGAAGCACATGACGTCTTTCATACAATCGTGAAGCCACCGAAAACTGATCAACAATAAGCCATTCGTAGCTGAAAGAAGCAATTCCAAGAAGTCGCTGGCTCATGCTTTCCAGCCAAGAGCTAAAGCCAAACAGTATTATCATGTACATATTGATACCCTCACAAAATATCCCTGTCAACGCTAGTATTTCAAATCACTTACACCTATCATCCCGCTTCTCGCATGTCGACTTCATTCTCAGTATGCGCATCGACTAAGTTCAACCCTTGCTGCGTGGCCGATGGTAGCAGTCTTGCAGCTTCCCAGGCTTCGGACTCCATTAGCTCCGCTTCCTCAATGCTGCCAATGGAGTCCGAATTTCTCCACACATGGCCAGCGGTTACGCAGATCCATAGATTGTCTCCTACTTTCTTCGCCATGATGTGGCTTGCTCGAGCTGATTTCTTTGCTTGTTCACTGACTTGTCCTTGGAAAAATTTCTCGAACATGAGTCCCAGAATTCTCGTCAATAAGGGATAGTTAGCACATGCTTTTGCAGTTTCGAGCGCTCGCTGGAGAAATTGCTTCTCTTTGATCATCGTAGATGTCTCGGGTAGAATAGATTGCAATAAGTGGTACGCCGACTGAATTTGTCGATTTGAATGTTTGGAACAGTCTGAAGAGAGCTGGGCCAGAAGTTCACTAGCTCTCTGGTGGTCCATGTGACTAGGCTCATGCAATATTGAGAGTAGATTCAGTGTACTGACTCTGGAAGCATCTAGCGAGACGTGGGAGAGGACACCGCTTGATTCATGTCGTGTGGTCACAAGATCTTCCAGAAGGCCTACAGCTTCGTCAAGATGTCCAGTACCTTGATAATGAGTTGCAAGTAGAAGCTGAAGCATGCGATCAAGGACAAGAGGCCGTGAGCTCCACGAGTCCATGACCTTATGCAGCAGGTTGATATGTTGCTCGGCTAGATGCCATGAAGAACGAGCGCAAAGAATAAAGGCTAGATGGAGACGCATGTACGCCGAGAGTTGCTGCCGCCAAAGCTGCAGGCGGGCTCCCGATGCAATTGATTTCGGTTGCGCATCGGACTGTCTCTGATTATCTGAAAAATATCAGCAATTGATTACGATCTTAATTGTTCTCGTCTTACGGCTTTCTCTCTTGATACCATCTTGGAGCATGTTCTCTGCTTTCTGGCCCTCTGCGCCGTTTTTATGGGCAAAAGCGATTCCGCTAAGCAGATACGCGACAGTATAGATATCATCCTTAGGCATCCAGTTGAAGTGCAGCCGTAGTGATCCCTCATCCGTGATCGATACAATACCCTCTTGTCTTCGACAGGATGGCATTCTTTCTTTCCGCAAGGGTATGAAAAATGAGCCGTCTACCATCCACTCCTTGCACTCCGATGTCAAGGTCAACGCATTTTGCATGATTTGCGTTTTCTCTACTGCCTGCACTGGATCAAAGTGCTGTAAGTAGCAACAAAGGTCCACGAAAGCCGCAAGAATATTAAGCTGATGGAACTTAGACATTAGAGGGTTTGTTTGAAGGCTTCTGGCTGTAGCGAGGGAGGTCTGGGCTTCTTCGAAATTCTCCGCAGAGTTGGACGTTTTCAGGCAGACCCATGCCCTCATAATTGATGCAATAGCAAGGATGGAGACATCACCAAGCTTTTCAGACAACGAAATGATGTGTTTCAGCATCGAAAGGGCCGCATTGAGGCTTTTCTTTGACTCGGATGCCAACTCCAAGTGCAGGGACACACCCAGAAACCGAAAAGCATAGACCCAAGCTACATGCTGATAGATCTCAACATTCTTAGTAATACTGTCCAGGAAGGTCAAGGCGGCTGGTGACCTTCTCTCAAATAGTACCCTGACCATTAGGTGTTGCATATTATATTTTAGATCATACAACTTGTGTCGGTCCGCTACAGAGATGCTCTTACTCAAGGCTTCTTCAGCTTCCATGACGTCTTCTGTCTCTTCATATAAAATGCTAGCATAGCGTAATCTGACCAAAGCTTCTTGTTCAGGCGCTACAGTGCATTTTGCCAAAACAGTCTCGAGACACCCAAGGCCAGCGCTTATGAGTTTGAAGTAGTTGTCACCCTCTGAGATGCTGGCAGCGTTGGCTTCTTTCGACTCTGGGCCATAGGCCAACCCAAAATATTGCTCGGCTAACGCTAGAAGCAGAGTCGCATGATTGACTGATGGCTCCGGCGCCTGGGGTTTTGGGGGCCTGAGTGCATTCACAGACGCATTCCCTGTATTCTTACTTGAAAGAGACGGTTTCAAGCCCCCAGGGTGTGTTCTAGAATGGACCGTCGTCTGCATGACGGCCGGATTGCTTGCGGTTTGATGATTCTGGAGGTTGCTTGGAGCATTGCTGTAAGCAGTCCCTAAATAGCGGGAATTCTGGTGCGCAGTTCCTTTATAAGCCTCAAAGCCATTTGTCACCGATTTGGACGTCGTATTAAAGTCATGAGCGTCAGCGTGAGGATAGTATGAATTGCGGGGGATGGGATAATAGTGCTGAGGGTTTCCTTGATGCGCCATTGGTCGTACAGGGCATTGCTAATGTATATGTGAAGTATAGCAAGGCATGATCATCATGATTCAATTATCTGTCCCTGCAAGCACCCATAGCTGACAGCGTTCTGTCAAGAATCCAGCCTGTGAAGTTATCAGCGTAAGGACTGCTGTTTTCTGATTGTTTGCCGCTGCCGCTGCTGCCGCCGTTCTGGGGGAGTGCGCCCGGCTTCGGCCATCTGAACCCCAAAGTTGTTGCCTTTCTAATATGAGTACTGAACTTGTCCTTCTACCTAAGCATGTCTTGGATGTTAGGACGATCACCCGTGTCCTTTCATGCACACACAGACACAATACGTCTCACATCTAACGCCACAACACAAAAGCAATTCTCCCTACTCGATCTATGTAGAGAAGTCACTCCAGTATGCAATTTGAACCCTTTACTCTTCAATGGTCACTTGCAAACATTTTGGACCGTGGTCAAAGGCTATGAGGTAAACGTATATTATAAAAGACATGTCTTTAAGTCCGTGTATCCTTCCTCCGTTGGGACATTTGCGGTCGACTTTGCCGTTCCAAAATATGAAGCTCAAGATGCCTCACTACCACCGAAGACTACTTACTATGTAGAGACTGAATTCGACCAAGTGGGATCTGACGACGATAGACCAATGCTCGTGGTGCTGCACGGTCTGAGTGGCGGCTCTCATGAGCTGTATCTGCGGCACGTGCTCAATCCAATGATTCAAGCCGGTTGGGAAGCCTGTGTAGTCAACAGTAGAGGCTGTGCCAAGAGCGAAATAACAAGTGGTATTCTGTATAATGCACGAGCGACATGGGATGTTCGACAAACTATCTTGTGGTTGAGGAAGAAATTCCCGAATAGGCCTTTGTTTGGCCTGGGTTTCTCGCTAGGTGCAAATATACTTGTAAATGTAGGTATTTCGCAGTGGAAGGGTTAGAGATTTTGTCCTAACAATTGCACCGCTGTAGTATCTCGGTGAAGAAGCCGGATCTTGCCCCTTAAAAGCTGCCGTAGTGATCTCAAATCCCTGGAATCTCGAGGTAGGCTCTCTCGCTTTACAAAGAACGTGGCTTGGCCTAGAAGTATATTCCAAAGCCATGGGCACGAATATGAAACGGCTAGTTGAGGAGTAAGTAATGCCGAATGATGAGATGCGTTCAATGCTTATACCAAAATGAAGGCATGCCAACGAGATAGCTCAGAACCCTCGTATCGACATTGAAAAGGTAAGAAAGATAAGGTACCTTTATGAGTTCGATCGAGAATTGCAAGGCCCCACTTGGGGCTATCCCACGGAGGGAGCGTATTACCGAGATGCTTCATCTTGTGACTCTCTGCTTAGCGTACGAACACCGCTCTTTGGACTTCACGCAGAAGACGATCCAATCGCTGTTGCAGAAGCACTTCCATTACAAGAAATCAAGCAGAATCCTTGGACAGTGCTCTGCACAACTTCCCGCGGAGGTCATTTAGGCTGGTTCGAAAGTGGAGGTGATAGATGGTTCACTAAGCCAGTAAGCCAACACGCATTTTAACGTGATGAGATCATGATTGCTGACTTCCTTGAAGGCGTGTCGATTTTTGCAGCGAATGTCCGAGGGAGTGGATTTTGAGAAATTGAGTTCACGTTCTCATGCAGAGGACGGGGTGCAAGAACCCAATGGTTCCCCTGGGGTATTTGATCCGATGAGGCGGAAGCTCGAGGCTCTAAAGCAAAGTAGGACGGACCTTGAGTAGAACAGTAGCTTGAAGCATGCGTCAACTAGGAACAGGATCTACGTCGAGGCAATGTTGTACAAAGCTTTTAGTGTCCCTTTCCCCGTAGTAACTCACATTTTCGGTCGAACTGGACACAAGTAAATGAATCGGGTGTAGATAGACCATGAGCTCCTTGCGAAAGATTGGAAGCGGGGCACTTTCAACTCGAGGCCCCGTCAAGCTTCTACGCAAAAGAGACTCTCTTTCTGTCCGCACCCCCTCGCTCATGCTGCGTCTCGACCTCCATCTTGGTTGTAGATTTCCGCTTTCGTTCTTTTCTGAGGTAAGTCTTGGTCTTCTCCAGCTGTTCTCTTTTCGCTTCTTCTTTCTTTTCAGCTTCTTTTCTCCTTGATTCTCGGATCTCTTCCATCTGTCGTGCACGCATCATTTTACTCTCGATTTGTCCTTCCTTGTCTGCATTGACCATTGCAAGAATAGTCATCATGCTTTCCTGCAGTATCAGACATTAGATAGCGGCCCCACACCCAGGCTGTACGGGTCATACTGCGTCGTCCACGAAAACCTTGCCCTTCTTTTTGCCTCTGGGCTTTTCCACACCGACCGGAGTAATCATGTTCAGATTTGGTATACCGAGTTCCTTATCGGTATAAGTCTTCTGCTTCCTTCTCTGAGCGGCAGCAGGCTTGGTCCTCTGTTGTTTCGGCAGAGGCAGCTTCGGCTTCTTTCCTGCTTTGCTTTTGAGAGAGGTAGAGCGCATGGAGCTAGGTTTACCAGAAGACGAGCCTTTTTCAGGTCGCTTGACAGCATGCTTATTCCGGACTGTCTTGGTCGGTGCCATTTTGTGATTGAGGATGAAAATGTAAGCAAGTATTGCTTGCGTGACAATTTCTAGTAACCGAGGGCCTACCTCAAGTAAGTTATGGCGCTAATGTAGCGCCATGCGGGCCGGCTTGACCCCTTTAAGGTAGATAGACAGCTCGACGAAAAAAGTTGACAGTATCTCGAGGACCACGCCAACACATGGACACGATTAAGTACCACCGACGCGCATTGCGGTATCCATGAGATTGATCAGAACTTCAATACTTAAAAAGTTTTGCGTCGGCGATCCTGATCAATCCTGTCCGCGCCGCGCTCCTCATTTCTAATTACACCTTCTCCTTCGTGTTCTAGTGCTGCCATTGCGCCTCCCCTCTGAGCGTGACCATGGCGGACGACAAGAAGCGAGATGACGTTGTCATCGAGATGGGGGATCGGAAGGGTGCCTTTGATACACCAAGTCGGTCCCCAGTACCGCCACAGACTCCGGCCACAGTCCCTTCGATAGGTGCCGCCGCCAATAATCCTGTATTTCCGATTCTCAGCTATTGCGGCTCTTCCATCCTTATGACCGTAACGAACAAATACGTTCTCTCAGGAAGAGGTTTCAATCTTAATTTCTTCTTGCTCTGTGTGCAGGTGAGCACCCTTGTCCTATGAGGACCAAATATAGTACTAATTTGCAAACAGTCGGTTGTGTGCGTCGTTGCCATCCAGACTTGCAAGACCATGAAAATCATCACCTATCGAGACTTTAATCAAGACGAGGCCAAGAAGTGTACGGCCATTCCTTTTCCGCGACATTGCCCGGCTTACTTTCGCTCTAGGGTTTCCTGTCTCGTTGCTCTTGATTGGGATGATATACACGAGCACAAAGGCTCTTCAATTTCTCTCAATCCCCGTTTACACTATCTTTAAAAATTTGACAATCATCCTGATTGCGTACGGCGAAGTGCTATGGTTCGGAGGATCTGTCACTGGCATGGCGCTCTTCTCCTTTGGCCTCATGGTGCTCAGCTCCCTCATTGCAGCATGGGCAGATATTCAACACGCTCTGCAGAACTTTGGGCACGCAAGCGCCGAGGCTTCGACCCAGATCTCTACCTTGAATGCAGGCTATATGTGGATGCTGTTCAACTGCTTTTGCAGCGCTACATACGTTCTCGGCATGCGAAAGAGAATCAAACTCACGAACTTCAAGGACTTCGATAGTAGGTTTTGTGCTCAAGTAGTATAGGATCAAGCTAACCATGTGCCAAGCGATGTTCTACAACAATTTGCTCTCTATACCTATTCTTCTGGTCGCCTCTTTCGTTGTTGAGGATTGGTCTTCCTTAAATGTGGCTAAAAATTTTCCAACTGACCAGCGTAATAACATTGTACTTGCCATGGTCTTTTCTGGACTGTCTTCGGTCTTTATATCATACACCTCCGCTTGGTGTGTGCGAGTCACTTCGTCAACAACTTATTCTATGGTCGGTGCTCTCAACAAGCTTCCGATCGCAGTCAGTGGGCTCGTCTTTTTCGACGCGCCTGTCAGCGTCCCGAGTGTATCTGCCATTTTCGTGGGTTTCGTTAGTGGCATTGTCTACGCTTTAGCGAAGGTCAAGCAACAGACGCAAGCTAAGACGGGCTCCCTACCTACTTCAAGTACGGGTCCGATGAGCGCAAGCATGCAAAGCGCGAGGGATTCATTCAAATCATGAAGAGATCGCTCCAGACGCGAAGAGCAGAGATCTAAATGCCTGAAAGATCTTAGCGGGAAAATGATGAGTGAAGGTTTAATCACATCATGGTAAAGCGGTATTCATCCTTAGGTGCGCGGCGTCCGGTCAGGCACAAATGTTAGCAGGATAGAGGAGGATATTCTGAAGCAGATAGGTGGCTTGGTTTTCCCAGTCGCTTGGCTTATGAGATGTTCTGGAGCAAGATGGTCCAAATTCGCTCTATCGCACGATTTTTTTGCGAGAGAAGTTGAATTCATTGTACATATACGGCGAGGTATTGGACGGTTAGAGATCCTTTAATAGAACAAACATCCCTCCACGTGACCATGGGCCCTCCATGTCACAAATGGCACTTCAGCTTTACACTAACTTTTCGCTTGTTGAATCTTTCAGTCCTAACCTTCTGTCTTTCAACTCTCGTTGTCTCCTGCCGTCTTGACACGCTCGTCATGGGCACCAACAAACACACTGCGCCTTTGCCTTGCTAGCATGAGCGTCTCACATGGTCTGGGGCTTGTCCCAAGTATTTTCGATTCACAGGCTAATTCCGCCGTGCCGTAGATGCATCATCGCAACTCCCGCAAAGCCAGCAATCAACGTACGGATCGCCCTGTTCTCTTGCTCAAGGTCTACTGATATGTATGATCTAGGCTTCCGTTCATACAAGGCTTCCTTCTTGGCCAGCTCTCAATCGTCGTCTTCATTGGCGCATTCATCAAATTCTTCGTCTTTGGAGAGATCCCCTCTCAGGACTCGAAAGCGTCTTCACGCCAACTAGCTAGACAGCAGACACAGCACCATGTCCGTTCCAACTCTCTCATTTCGGCGTCGCCTCGAAGTGTGAAGACGCAGCGCTCCGGCTCTAGCGTCCACCGATCTCTACCGCGCCTGAGTGCCGCTACAATCCTCTCCAAAACATACTACAACGTAGATTCGCACCAGCCCGAGTCTCTCGACTGGTTCAATGTGCTCATAGCACAAACTATTGCTCAGTTCCGCGACGATGCAAACGAGGACAATGCTATTCTAACCTCCCTGACCTCGATCCTCAATGGCCAGCAAAAGCCAGATTTCCTCTCGGAAATTAAAGTGACAGAAATCAGTTTGGGCGACGAATTTCCTATCCTCAGCAATTGTCGAGTGCACCCTGTGGATCACGGTGAACAATCTGAAGACGCTCGACTCCAGGCCCGTATGGACGTCGATCTCAGCGACTTCATTACCCTCGGTGTCGACACAAAACTCATACTCAACTATCCGCGCCCTACTACAGCAGTCTTACCTGTCGCTCTCGCAGTTTCTGTGCTTCGCTTCTCAGGCACACTATCCGTTTCCTTCTCTCCCTCATCGACGACACCTTCGCCATCAAGCACTTCCTCGCAGCCGCAGCCATCCACGCAGACGCCAACCTCTCTTGCCTTTTCTTTCCTTCCGGATTATCGACTTGATCTGAGCGTCCGCTCATTGGTCGGGTCAAGATCGAGGCTACAGGACATACCAAAGATTTCTCAATTGGTGGAGAGCCGTTTGCATCAGTGGATTGATGAGCGGTGCGTAGAGCCAAGAGTACAGCATGTGGTCTTGCCGAGCTTTTGGCCGAGGAAGAAGAATATGCGGGGTCCTGGAAGTGATGGCGGGGCGGAACTCGGTAGTGAGGTAAAAAAGGGCACAATGGTGGATGGCAACGGGGATGCAGGAGGAATGGAAAGTAAGGATTTCGCCGAGGGGAGAAATGGGCAAGAGGGGCAAATAGAGAGCGAAAGGTCAAAGTTTGAGGAAGGCTTGAGATTGAGGAGGAAGGAGTATGAGATGCCTGGGTCGATGCCGGGCATGATGGTGAACTGAGTTTCACCGAATGCTAGAGAAGCTGTCATCTACCGCCAATCAATAGGATCTATCCTTAGAAGGACTCTTGATGTACTAGATACCCTGGGACCAATCACGCAGGGTCGTGGATTCCATTGATACAATTTTTGTTGTCCTCGAACGCAGGCGCCACTTGTGATTATCAGACAACCCTCTCTCAAGAAGGACGGTATAAAAGGCCACCTCACGCTGACATATTCTATCGATGGAACATGCAAGGTACAGCTACTGGCGAGGAGAGGGGCACGAAAACGGAGTCTTGCTTGATCAGAGCAGTCTTCGATGGGCTGACAAAGAGACAATTTGTGGGGAATTTCGATAGTTGACTTGACAATACATACATAGCAGATGTTGCAAACAGTGTACTCTTTACTGAATCGTCGGAAGGAAAGCACCAGTCAATGTCACCACCTAAATGAACTTCAACCTCCTAGCAGCCACCAAAGATATGACCACAAATACTGCAATCACACCAATGATTCCGAAGAACCAGCCAAGTCCATCTTGAGTCTTGCCAGGCACGTTCACGTTCATTCCGAACAAACCACAAATCAAATTCAAAGGCACCAAGATCGAAGCCAATAGTGTGATCTTGCTCAAAACTTCGTTAGCCGTATTCCCTTGAGCAAGATGATCCACGGAAAGCTGAGCCAGATAGTTACTATGCGATCTTGAGAGCATTTTCTCAAAGTGTCCAAGATTGCTCATCATGGTCACTACATGGTCCTGAATATCGCCGAGATACAAGCCTATTTCTCCACGAGGAGTGACGCTGTACTGTTCGTTGCAGCGCTTTGCAAAGCCTTTGATGACGTCTGCCTTGCCACCGAGAAGCCGCATCAGTGACATGACCTTTTTGCGACATTTGCCAATTTGGCGTAGGAGTGATGCGAAGTCTTCGGTGCGGGCGACGAAGACTTGATCTTCGATAGTATCGGCTTCAATTTCGACATTGTGGATCGGTGGACCGAACGTGTCGACAATGTTATCACTATTTTAGGTGCCAGTTAGCGTAAGGTAAGGGTTCTTTTTGGGGGAGTACGTACATCAGTGCATAGCAGATCCAATCAGCTGTCAATTCCATGTAATCCCTTAGTCGGCCAATCCGCTTACGAACATTGGCTGCATGAGGTGATGTCTCATACGTGATAGTGAGTAGGCCTTCTCGAAAAACTACCATGTAAACGTTGACAGGCTCCATATAATCCTCGTGCTTCTCGTCGACCTGAAAGAATGATCTAAAGCAGACGAAATAGTATTGGTCAAACAATTCCACTTTCTCACGGGGCTCCTGTGTGATAATATCCTCAGTAGTCAAACGGTGGATGCCGAAGGCTTTTTGCAAGACTTCCATTTCTTCTTCGTCTGGATTGAGGATATCCAGCCACCAAGCGCCTTTGTCTTTTGGGATATCGAACAAGTCTCGGAAAGTCTCGCCAGGAGCCAGAAGATCTACGAAGTCGGCAGCGTGAACGGTCTGCTGTAGGTTTGTAGAGAAGAAGCTGTAACGCATAGTTTCGGTGAGACTGGGCCGTCTTGGCTTGAGACCATCAGCACCCAATGCAGCGTCAGTCGCTGCATCTAATTTTTCATTCAGAACCGTGTCACTGTCGTCAATCGCACAATCTGAGCTTTGCTTGAGTGAAGGAGAACTGTGGGTCTTGATTGTGGGGATAGCCATGGCTTGAAGACCGATTACTCGCTTCGGTTTCCCACTGCCACAGCTGAAGCTATGTTTCTGCCGGAATCCATGCTGTAGGGGAAGTCTACTCACAGCCTGACTGGCAGCATACTCGTCGAGCTCTTCGAAATCAATCTTGGAAGCTTTGGATGGTTCCTCTGCAGTAGGAAAGCACACATCCTCTTCTGCAGCTCGAATAGAGGTACGGTCATCCTGGATGGTCGGGTTACGGATGCTGCCATTATTGAAGCTTGGCCGTTGATGATATGAAGCACCCGATATCGTGCGATGAATACGTAGGTCCAGATCAGATGCTCGGCTGTCAACTGTGTTCCTCCTCTCCCGGCGTCTTCCCTCCGCAAAAGCAGCGACAGAATCTGCTGGTGAAGATGATCTTGATGATGGAGAAGAATCTCTCGATTTGGGAGGGGGAGTGCGCGTGTTCCGGAGAGTCGCGCGCCTTGTGGTGACAGGACTGCTTGAGCCATGACGCTCAATGATATGTTCTCCACGCGCGCTCACATCATCATCAATCATAGCATGTTCAGAAGCTCGTGAGGGAGATGGCATGTCACGAAGCCCTTCATTGACTTGAAGCAGACCCGAATGAGATTGAGTCTTCTCTGAAAAATCCGGAACATTCAGCAAGCTGTGTCGGCTATCGACCGTGTCCCCTCGAGAGCGCGTCGAAGTCTGTTTGCGGTGGTCATCCAGATCAGATACTGGCGTGCTGAATCTTGTCTGCGATTGGTCGGACTTTGGTGACTCGTCCCCAGATCCATTTAAGGTAACAATTCGTGCGGCCATTTCTGTAACGATGCTAGGCGTACCAAAGTGTGGAGGAGGTCCAAATTTCGAGCCTGATATTGCTCAGGGGCTGAGAAAGGGAATTATAGGGAAACCCTAAGCAACCCCCAGGACGAAGAGACCGAGGCCTCCACTTCAGCAACGCCTTCCTCCAGCTTGATATGTCAATTTTTGTGATTCGTATTTTCTGTGCGCTTTTCTGCTCTCCTTTCCCTCCGTCGGTCAAGTTATGGAGGCTTTAGATCGCCTCCAACAAAGACCCAGAATCTTGGCCCAAGCAGCGGTCGAACAAAGGAATTCTGAACGAAATGAGGGCGGGCCACTTTGGAGGAGTGGACGTTTTGGTCTTGAGGAGACGCCAGAATTAGTTACTGGCCGGCGAAGAAGAGCACGAAAGATTTGGATCTTCCGTACTCAAGCGAGGGCCTGTAATTGAGATTGACGAGTGATGCTGCTTAACGTGCTGCTCAACAGGCTATCCAATTAATGCAGAGCTATAGCTGAGCTTCCAATCTGTGTAGGTTTTGGTATTGAAAGTTTGGGGACAAAGAAAGCTTCAGGGTTTACGTGAACATAAATAGGTAATGAATTCCAATGACACACCAGCGTGAGGGTTTTTTGGTTTTTCCGGCTCGGAGTCTCGGAGACCTGCGCTGGGTAAAGTTTGAGATAAGGTTGTGCGGCTAGATGCTTAAAAGTAGTCTAGACTCTAGGCCACGTGCAGCCGCCGAGTCGCGGCACAATTATTATGTCATCCATTTACAGTCTTGGTTGCTGTACCTCGAATAGTACACCAGATAAGTGTTCCCCTTGCTCGAGCGAGTGACTTTTACATGGTTTCCCTTTCAATCCGTCTTGATACTCCGGCCCCCTCCACTTCGTCAATCAGTTTCCTCAACTGAAACATATCAGCTTGGAAGGATCGTAAAAATAGCGGGCCTTACATTACCAACCCTGCCATTGACATTCCCATCTTGATCTCCTGCCGAGAGGCCAGGTCTACTGTGCAGATCACGCGCAGATTGGTTCGCGTGCTACTAGGCTGGAAGCGAAGCGCCGTCAGACTTTTTGAGACTCGGTCGTCTGGAACTTCTGCCTCGCCTGGAGCGAGGTCGTGTAATCGTCAATCTGGGGTATCGATCAGTACTAGAGCTTGGCAGACAAGTTGAGATATCTTAAACCAACCATCGTAAAATTCGTCCTCTTCATCAAGTTCAGCAAGCTGTTCAAAATTGAGCTTGTAGCGCAGTATCCCTCCAATGCCACCAAAGCCTTTGACGAATTGGTTGCCTTCGCTAGATCGGTCGGAAACGAATTCCAACTGCGCTCCGAAGTCCTTGTAGTGTTCCGCTAGCCATTCCAACATAGATCCTTGCTCCACTATCTCCATGTCTTGTCCGCTTTCTTTGTCTAAGAATTGCTCTCGCTGCGCTTCCTGTCCCTTACTAGTGTGAAGGATCACCTCAGATCCGCCCGAGGTACGTAGCACCCACCTGCACAATGAGATCAATGTCAGTCATAGTGTTCAAAGCATGTGTTTCCAGACACAAGGTTACACATCTCAATTCCTGGCACAAGTTTGACAGATCAAGCTGTGGTTGAGTAGAGGCAAAGTCCACTGAAGAAAGACGAACCTAGTAATTTCTAAATTCTCATAGACGATGAGTACTTCAACGGCGCTTCCCTCTAAGGCCTTTATAGTGTCATCAACTCCGTAGCAAACCTTTCCACTGTCCACGCTGATTTCGTCAAAGTATTTGCCGATGAGCTTTTTCTCCTGTATGAATTTGACATTACTCAAAGTTTCAGAAGCAAGTTCAATGGCTTGATTGAAACCGTTCTCGCCACCGTAAGATACGTCGACAACTTTTATGACCTTGCTGGACAAACGATTATCAAACATGTCGGATTGATTCAGGTCATTCTTAAAATCAGCAGATCCGGCAAGAATCAAGCCTGCGACGTTGACTTTGTCGGTTGTGATGAAATTCTGCACCGCCAATTCGGCCACTTTCCGGACATAATTGTGCCTCTTCTCCTCCCGAAGACGGGCGAAACGCAGCGCAGACTGTCCGCCCCGACCATGCTTCTTAGGTAAATCAACAGAGAACTTGTGAATCACATCCCTTGTATTGCCGCTCAGAGTGCCGAAGAGGGCGCCATTACCGTCCATGATAATGAACCCGAATTTCTGGTCAGACTCGAGGAGCTCACTCAAAGCCTCGGTATGAAACTTGTTATCACATAAGTAAAGGGATGTGTTGATGGGCTTGAAAGGCTCAAAATCGATATTGATCTTCCTCTCCTTTCCTTCAGAAGTGATAATTTCACCACAATAGACAACCAAGCCATTTGGAGGAACTTTGTTGTAAAGCTTCAGGCGCTGCTGTGTCGAGGTAATAGCGGAGAGCACCGATAGGCGATTGACTCGAGATTTGATATTAGACGCAGTGCCCTTAGGTGGTTAGCCTGTACGTATTGATGGGCGGTAGGTGACCTACAAACTCTTCAGCCAACATTTTTGCAGCACGAGACACTTGATCTTTCGGCGCTGCATCATAGTGGATCAGCACATGGTAAACATTTCATACCCAAGGTCATACTTACGAATAATCAGCGAGATCATGGAGGTTCCATTGCCTCGAGCAGCCTCAAGTCGCTTAATGAGTTTCTTGACTTTCCATATCTCAATATTCTTTTCCGCTTCGTTTCCTTGAGCAGAACTCATGTTTGCAATCCACGCTCTCTGGATCTTTCACCCAGACCAGCGGTTTCCGAAGCGTGCAAAATTGGGTCAGAAAGGTTCTTTGCAAGGAGGGAGATTTAACGCATCATTGAAGATCGAGAGTGGGTCGCACAAGAGCGCTTAATGGGCTGACTCCTCACTCCTGTGTCATGCCAAGAGGATGGAATTGCGCCGCCCTAGACCCCCCTAGAAGAATTCACGCCCAGTAAGGGATTGAAAACTCCTTATTCATCTTTCATCTCTTCTACATTTTGTGAGCACTGCCACCTTCCTTCGATGCCTGAAATTACAATTTGGTATAATGGGAAGCTGTCGCTTTCCAAAGCCGCCCTTTCCATTGTTTGTATATAAATTGTCAGGCCTTAGGGACTGCCACCGTATATTGCCCAGAGATATGCCTCGTCAGACTTAGCCAGTCATCTAGGTATGACCTAGGGCCCGAGGCAATAGTTTGTACTTTGCTTACCTATCGCAATCTTTATGCAGCCCCTTCATGAGCACGCCGCCCATGCCTCTCCCAGACACCACACCGGGTTGACGCCTGCCAGGCGACAAAAGGGCGCATGAAAATAATATATGCAAGCAGATTTTTCATATTATTTGTCAAGACACTGTGGCCGAGCGGTTAAGGCGTTTGATTAGAACGATTTATTTATAACCTCATACTCATCAAATTCTTTCGGGAGCGCAAGTTCGAATCTTGCCGGTGTCGTTATTCTTTTTATGGAGGTATTTACACGATGCACTGCGTCTGCCAAAGTGGACAAATGGTGGAGAGGATGGTCAGGAATTCACGGAGACCCCTGAGAATCACCAAGTAAAATTTTAGTACTGCGGTTGGTGGATAGACCAACAAAGGAAGGTGAGCCGGCCGGAACGACATTTTTAATTTTCTACTCCTATAAACATCCACACGTATTATTAATACAAGTAATACTATTTCGACATATTCACATGGCTTGCAAGCTCTGCAGTCCTTATAACAACACAGACATGCACGGTCATAATCACAGGAAAAAGCCAAGAATTGAGCACCCAGAAAGTATTTCATTGCCCTAAGAACTGCTTTCGTCCTGCTAGTTTGGAATCGAAATGAGAAGATGAAGGATAGTGAGATATATAAGGACATGGACACACTGGGCCAAAGATTGGAGCTGAAGTCGAATGGCCATTTTGCTGAGGCTCAACTTAATATGCACGCACTTTGTTGGCTTGTGACAAGACTTTTGGAACACAGTATAAAACCCTAGTGCGAATCTGAATTGTCAAGATCAGATGGGGAAATTTCATGGCGTATGCTTGTTAAACAGGGTCAAGCAGAGGCAACGTTAAATATCCTCGCTACATCACTGCTCTATTTCAGTGAAGGGTTTTACTGAGCCAAAGTCCAGTTGTTCACTTCTTATTTTCGTGAGTGATTCCTCTCTTTGGTAGAGGAAGGGTTGAGAATACCATTATCAGTGCCGGTAGGCTCATCTTTAGCCTATTTTAAGTTAGCTCTTTACACTCCCATATCCTCTCCTCTACACTCTCCAAGTTGCAACAATTATTCAACACTCTTGTTCTCTCTAGATCCCGCTTCTTCCTCAAGTCTTCTATCACATTAATACTAAAATAACATGGCTTCTCGACGCAGCCGTTCTTCGAGTCAGCAGGAAAATCCCACACAAATCCCAATCACCTTCCGTCTGCCGAGGAGCGCCTCAGTCATAGAAACACCAGAATACACCGATTTTATTTCTGCCGAGAAGTCGTCACGGATGATCCTCCGGCAAGTACGCTCGGAACCCTGGATGCAGTGTGTTGACGTGCGGGGTGTTACCGCTCAGCATCTGCAAGCCTTCCAGACTCTGACTTGCAGAGTATATTGCGATGCAAGCCATCTCTGAAAAGCGATCCCCGGGTTAAACATGCAACGCTTTGCTACTACTGATCTTGGCCAATAAGTCGCGAGCAACTACAGGATGTTCTTGCCCGTTTGCTAGAACAAATTTTTTTCCAAGCGAACGCAACATTGGACGATTATCTGCCACATAGCAAGACCCGGTCAACTTATTACCATCCTTTGTATCGGTAAGACGGCGTATCCGAGCACTCCGTACGGATGATTCAAGGAAGACTTGCAAAAAGGTCGAGGCTCATCGTAATTCCGCCTTTTCCTGTCCACCTTAAAATCCGTCTACCCTCAAGTCTATGCGAACGGATATTCATATTCATTGAGCGACTCGATGATAGCCTGGCTTTTGACAGAAGGCAGCCATAAGCTGGAGATCATTAGGGATACATATGAACGATTCCTCATATTCTTTTTTAAACCCTACGCGCTTCTCGATTAGTAGTACGGGGGCAATTCGATGTGCCGCTAATCGAGGATGAGAGCCTATTCTACAAGTGTGGAACATCAACAGTCATCAAAGCTCAGTCGCTGCTGCATTTATGTTCTTCTAAAATACGTGATTCCATTCGTACATCTTTCCAGGAGATGACAAATGGGACCGAGACTCCAGGCTCAATATCTAGGGATAAGGCGATAGCGGTCTATGCAAGATATTTGAAGGCATTATGTCACCAGGGTACTGCACAAGTCATCAATGGACAGAACATCGTTGCTTTTTGCGGTCTAGGGGTCTTTGGCACATGCTTCAATGAAGGTCTAGGAATTTTTCGCAGGACAGAGCAAGCACGCAAATTTTATCAGAGACATGTTAGGACATCTCATTAGATGGGAACAAAGAGATGGAAGATGCACTTTTAGGCATATGGAGCAACTTTTCGCGTTCAGCAATCTATTCAATTGGTCGTCAGCTCCAATCAAGACCGTCCGGGTAGCATCAGTAAGCGATCAAGAGCGAATCCTTTCCGTTATCATCGATCTCATTACACATGTATCCTCATCTAGGCATTTCTCAGGCGCTGGTTGGATTTGACACGTCCCCTGATTCTTGTCACGCTTGGTCATCTTTCTTCTGGGATTGTGAGCTCGAGTTTTCATGGGCGAAGCCGCTTGGGCAACAACAGGTAAATATTCCTAAATCTCAGTCGTCCTGGAGATCTGAGAAAGTACAGCGGTTACTTGAAGCATGTTGGTTGAGCTCGACTCGTTTATTTTATGGACCCGAAAACTGAGCCGGACCAATCCATGAGATGCAAAAGTGCATTCATAACAATCCCGCACGTACACCCGGGGTACGATTCAAAAAGCACGCAAAGTGTCTCGCAGCGAAGAATATATCTATTGACCAATAGTCTTACCTGGCTCTACATTGACACGGCAATCGATGTAGTGAGAAGTAATCGAGTCGATCTCAATAATCGTCAGAGGCTTTGTGAAATAATCATGCAGCGCCGATGCTAGACTGACTGACTCTGGATCTGGGCGTGCATTTGAAGGCGCCAAGACAGTTGAAAAATGTCTGGCATATATTGCGAGGCGACGATCTTCAGGGGAGTAAGAAACCAAAGCTACCGCCCCCATCTAGATCCAAAAATAGGAGCAAAGGTAGTGACTACGCAGATGGAGAGGCACTGGTATTTCTTGAGGGATACCTCGACTTTTAATGGACTAACCAGGTTCTCGAAGACCATGAGGATCGGAAGATCTAATGAGACTGTCATGAAACTCATCGAATGCCCTTTCATCAATCTTTCCCTGGATGATGTTCTTGATAGGAGATTTGAGAATGACGCTAAATTCGCTGGAATGGCTTCAGACAAGGCGGTGCAAAAGCACGTGCCTCGAAAGGCGAAGAAGTCTAATTAAAAAGCCAACTATGATTTGACCACTGTCTCTGAAGCTTCATTAGAAAATTCAAGTTTTGTCAACGCTTTTCCGAATACATTCGCCGATGCAGCTCGAGTTATACCGACGTACACTCCAACGGCCAGTATCTTATGGATGGGTGAAGAAAATGTTGACGACGAGCTTGAGGAGAGCCTTCCTCCAGATGGTGAAGGACAATTGGATCCAAGCCAACCTTTGTCTCACAAGCATAAATATCACAAGAGATTGACAGATGAAAATATGACGACGGTTAAGACATCTTCGAAATCTTCCAAGCCTTCGAAAACCAAGGTTAGGAAGTCCTCTGAAGATAGTTTACAAGACTCGCACTTTGTCAATATCTTTCAAGGTATACTCGCCGATAATACTCAGTCTATGTCAAGTGACACTCCAATAAACGATCCGGGATGGGTAAAGGAAGAAAGTATTGATGCTTTGCTTGACTTTAACCAAGATTTCGACATTGAATGCCAGTCAGACTCTGGCCTACATGCGTCCTATATGCGGGAGTTTATGCTCGATATTGAGCCAGCGCAACGGACAGTCCGAGAGCCACATTCATTGGAACGATTGAGACAGGCATATCGTTTGTGGGAAGCCCAAATCGGAGGTCTTCACGAAACTTTGGCCAGGGTCGATCGAAACCGGGGGGCTTGGGAGAATTTCCTTCTCGATCAGCCAAAGAACCACTGGATACTTGCTTGTTTCGCTGCTATGCAGAGCTACGATGCCATGTGTCCAGGAAAACAAGTATTTTGTTCAGCTATCGCCCGCAAGGCGCAATGAATGACCGTGATTTCTTGCAGCGTCGGAAAGCTTTTCAAGCGGCGTGTGAAAACTAGAGGCAGCAACAAGAAAATTGGATCGAGGCGAGGCAAAAATGTAAGAAGTACAAGAGGTCGCTCAAGTGGATAGCGGAAATGGATGGAAGTGAAGTCGGGATCGATAAACATTGTCATATGACGATAATGTGCTGGGACGATGAAGACGATGAAAGCGTTGTTTGGATGACTGTACTGAGATCAGCCAGAACTTCTACCTGGCTTGACAGGAGAACGATCGATTTCCATACGTATGGCATAGACATTAGGGATGAGAGCTATACAAAGTGTCTTTCGTGGGCTTCGGATGCTCCTGCCACCATCCCAAAAGAACGATTCCTCACTTCTTGCTACGAAGAGGACATAATCTGGCTGTGGGAACAAGCCACCCACATCAAATATGATCTAGAAAGTCCGGTCTTACGAATAAAAGACGCGCCCTCCCAAAGATACGGGGCAGCAGGAGCACCGATACCGCTAGTCTGGACCCCTACGCAGAAGTTCGTGCCATATGTTGGTCAGCCTCGTGAGAATGATGAATTGTGGCTTCTCAAAGAGTATTTGGATAATTTCTGTCCGAGGGCTGGTGATTTTTGCACGGGAACCAAAGAGACTTTTCCTTAAAGGAAACGCAGACATTGAGAGATTCTTATGGTAAGTCTTCGCTATTCACTTTCCATATAGTGCTTCACTGGTCTCCATACCTTAATCTTGTGGTTTTCCTTAGGTTCTTAAGCTTGCCAAAGTACAGAGAGCATCCGTACGTCAAAGAATGGATCGAGACTCTACAGAATGCGGGAAAACGTAAGACCTGAAGTTATTCGGGATAACATTGCCAACAAGGTCCATGTGAGTCATCACATTCCCGGATAGAATGATATATTGAACATGAAAGCCTAATTCTGCAAACGCATAGTTGTCCACCAAACGCCATGGGCGCGAGGATTCAGCTGCTGAGAAGCAGGAATTTAAGCGATTGAAGGTCGAAGACCAGGAATAGGAAGATGAGAGGTTGGATGATCATTCAAGACTCTGCGGAAGAGGGGAGCAGCATTGGATTTGAAGGCGGGCGAATTTGGAGTTTGGACGCAATAGACTTTGGTGTGATATCTTGATGGACTGAAGAGAGATTGGGTCTTTTTCGCAAAGCGTGTTTTAAACATTCTCAGCAAGACTTTGAGATTGAAAGTTCCACCTACACCGTTTGCTAATTGATGACGTTGGAATCACTGACCGAGAAAAGTACGCCTCTAACCGACCCGTCAAATCTTCAGTTCCCCTTTGCCTATTTCATTGGTTTTTATGAGGCCCGAGGGTCGGTGTATCTGAACGTTGCCGCGCCAAATTATAGGCGCTAATTGGGAGGTAAGGCCGCCTTATACAGCCCGCCTGTTGGCAGCTTTCCTGGGCAGACCCCCTAAAACGCCCCCTAAAATTGGATTTGGCGCGGCAATGTTCAAACACACCAACCCTCGGTCGTTAACAGTGATAAGATAAGATAATTAAGTTTTCGCTCAAAAGCTTAGCATAATGCGGAATTTGCTCCGCTATTTACATTGTCTCGACCTTTAAGACATACTTAGAAGGGATCAGATTGGCTCTTAATTATTACTCTATATAGCAAAAAAATCCGAATTAACGAACTGAGACTAGCTTTTCGGAGTCCTATTACCTTATTTAGGCAGTTAGATAGAGCATATCTATGTTTCGGGAGTATGTTTTAGAGGTAAGCATTGTGCGATTGCTCTCAAGACATCGAAAAAGGGTAAAAAGAACTCCGAATTAACGAATTGATCAGGCCGAGACTTGAACTCGGGGCCTTTTCCGCTAAACGTCTGTTAAGGAAACGTGATGACCAACTACACCACCCGACCAATAATTCCTCAATTGGTGTATTTAAAAATATATCGTGTTTATCCTTTGGTCAAAATGCATTGATGTTGCTTGCCGATTCCTGACTGGTGATAATGAGGATTAGACTAGGGTTTTAACCCAGGACCTTATCCGTACTCGATTAGTTATCAAAACTATTCGATGTTGAGGATACGAAATAACCAATTACTTCGTCCAACATTTACTAAAAGCTACAACTTGTAATATATAAACCAATTGACACGAGTCTAGCTCTTCGTATTGACGTGGGGTGCTGTTGGAATTAGAAGAATTCCGACATGGGAACTGGCGGCGGTTTAGCCGACATGCAATCTACGTAATTAACCAGCTAAGGTATCGCAGCACTTACTAACTAAGATGTCCTGGGACAGACTTCATGGGACATTGCTGGACCCTGAGAACAGAGGGTCAGGAGAAGGAGACGTCATAGGACTCCAACAGTCCTAAAAGGTCTAGCGAGCGGAACCCTGAGGAGGGCGCTCAGGATGTTCAGCAGGATCAGTCCCTGCGCTCACTGAGCATACTGATCACGAGTCTATAGAAGCAGATAGAATTCCCAGGTAGACGAGACCTCCTACTCGTGTTCAATAACAATCTCATCCTTACTTGAAGCTTTGAGAAGTTGTGACTATAAGCAATCGGTGCCCTACTCGCAGTACTCGATCCCAAAGAACCAACCTTGCTGCACCAGAGCCTTGCCTAGTGATCCTCCACTATTCTATGTAAACCTAGGGAATAGCCACCAAAACAAGAAAATAAGATACCGCCTTTGGCGCACTCTACACACTATCCTAAGAAGCAACGTTCTTACTGAAGCTTCGATATATTCTGGCCGGTGACAAAGGCTAGACATTCAATTGAGATTAGGTACATGTATCGGAGTTGTTGGGCTTGACCTGCATGCCTCTACCTTCAAAACTGCAGGTTCACCATATTGGTAACGCAGTACACCTTGCACTGTCATGGTGTGGTCTCACAGGCTATTTCGAAATGTACTTCAAGTGATTTGCAACTTATGCAAGTCGCCCTAGAACGCCCAATGACACCGGCTCTTAGAGAAATCCAAGTCCCTTAACTTTGCTTGCATTCTGCGGCTTCTTGCTTCGGTTTCGAAGTGTCATCCTAGGGAACAGCATCAGTTGAGTCATTCATAGAGCGGCAAGAGCAACGTACCTCGTCTTCTGACTCCTCTTCATCGTCGCGATCTTCGCTTAGCTCCTCATCGTCGTCATCGTCTTCATCCTCAAATTCTCCCTCGGCTAGATCGTCCTCATCCAGGCCTTCGAACTGGAGCGCCTCTCCAGTAAACCAATCAATTGCACGTGGGATGAGCTTCTCCTTGACATCCTCGCCAAGCTGATAGTCTAATTCTAATCGCTCTTCGATGTCAGAAGAAGTTTCATCTTCGTCGCCTTCTGGAGCCTTGGGTGGGTTGAAGAAATTGAAGAAGGAATCTCTTGGCACAGTCTTCTTTATAACTCGAGTCTGCTTGGTGTTCTTGTTGCGTTGTTTCTTTTGCTCTATCTTCACTGTGAGATCCTTGCCAACCTTCCAGTCTATTGTGTCTCCTTCTGCATGGTCATATATGAACTCGCCACCATAACTGCTCTCTTCCTGGTAGAAGTATGTTTTCGTCAAAACATTGTTAGTGAAGAATTCGTTATCACTAAACTCAAATATCAGACGAAAGCCAGGCTTTTCCAGATATTCCATTCGAATGTCAGTGAGTTTGCTCAGCGCTGGCTCGTCGACATCCGTGATCAATTCTGCAAGTGAGACCTGGTTCTTCATGGCCGATAGCCAGAATTCCGGAATGCCTTTCATATCTTCCTCCTCTTTGTCTGCAGCGGCATCTGGTTTCGTACTCTCCTCATCGTCGTCGTCGTTATCGTCCTCCTCCTCCTTCTCGCCCGCTTTGACATCCTCTTCGGTCGGTTCCGCAGTGCCATTAACGATCCTCGCCCTCCTTTCGTACAATGGACTGTACTTCTTAAAAAATCGCTTTTCGAGCTCTAAGACTTCCTCCTGGAATTCAGCTTCAAGCTTGGCATGCTCTTTCTGTACACCTTTGAGACCTGCGACTCGACGGCGTACAGTCGCCGGCAGTGACTCTACGTAGCCCGAAGATCGACCGACGAGCGTGCCAAGTTTACCTTGAATCAAATTGACAAGTTTGGGGTTTTGGGCAAAGATTGAAGCGGCGGCTGCCTTATCGAGATCCTCTTTTCAAGACAAAAAGCAGTTAGTGGCATGAAGGCAAGTAGAGACGGAGAGGATTGGCGGATAGATTGTACCTTCTTTTATGCTGGCAATGCCGGGCTGCTGAGCATGTGAAGAGATAGGAGCATTTTGGGCGGGGGTATTCTGTGGTGTCCTTCAGATTCCTCTGATTAATAACACCCTCATACAATGTAGAGTGCTTGGTACTCACGGTGCTGTGGGCAAATCAAGCTTCTTGTTGCGAATAGGCTCGGACATTTTTACGGCGTATCTACTGAGAAGGATGGAGTACTTCAGAAATCCTAAGCTGTGAAGATCTTGACTGAACGAAGCAGTCCCCAAAAATTCTTTGGGTGCGAATTTGCCGGGTTGAGTGGCGGTCACACGCTTGGACGCGCTACTGGAGCTAGCCAAAGCTTCCACTTCGATTCCTCTTTCGGCTAGCCTCTTCAACACCTGGTGATACCCTCGACCCTTGATCTTTCTCTCGTCTTGGCCGCACCTCCAGTCCATAAGAGTCTGATCATATGAAGATGGCTTCGAATCTGCCGTGGCGATCTCTAGCACTGCGTTGCCCACACCGTCCGTATCGTCTTGCTCTCACCTTTCAACGTACGCTACAAACAATATCCCAAGAATTTGCGGCCGCGCCTCCTATTGACCTCAAGGCTCTTCCCCCAATCGACCCTTCGAAAGCTCGTCTTGTTCCTGCTTCACCGGCTTACTTCAGTGCGCGCCCCGAAAGCGTTGACGATTTCCTGCAATTGCAGTCACTTGCACGCAGAGTCGACAAATTACCTGTTGTCGCCCCGAATCATGCTCCAAGAGCAACATGGCGTACATTGACACAGTATCGACTCTTGATCGGAGAAAATGTACCAGCAGCCAAATACAACAAAGTCGTCGAAATACTACAGCGACTGAATCGGATTCATCCGACGTGCATGCCTGCGGAGGTCAAGGAAACGTTGGACATATATAGACATGACGTTGATCCCAACCATATTCATCGTCGTCCGGCCATTATCGACGAAGATGGCAAAACGTGCGCTGTCGGTAGAAGAAAAACTAGCAGCGCAAAAGTATACCTTGTTCAGGGCGAGGGAAGGGTTTTGGTCAATGGGAAGAATCTGAATGCAGCATTCGGGCGTGTTCACGACCGGGATAGCGCACTGTGGCCTCTGAAGGCCACAGGGAGGCTCAACAAATACAATGTTTGGGCACTGGTGAGTGGGGGTGGGAAAACGGGACAAGCAGAAGCGATCACACTCGGCGTGGCAAAAGCACTGATGGTGTTTGAGCCGGCCTTGAAACCGGCCCTGAGAAACGGTACGTCTATGATGAATTACTTGATCTTCGAAAGTCTAGCACCTTTGCTAATCAAAGTATCACAGCTGGGGTGGTGACGCGAGATCGAAGGAAGGTGGAGAGGAAAAAGCCTGGACATGTGAAAGCTCGCAAGATGCCAGCTTGGGTTAAACGCTAGCGAGATTCAGAACGGAAGACCAAATCTTGCGTCGCCTTGATTGATGATATGTTCTTGAGCAAGTTCTCGCGCAATATACCTTCCGTCCCATATAGCGACTCGCCGCGCTTAGGACACAAACTCTGCCTTAACATCCCACAGCAGCATCAGATAAGGATTCTCATGTCTTCTTGAACGAGAAATACCAAATCAAGATCTTTGAATACTGAACTTCAGTTGACGACATTTCTGCAAGCTCGGTAGCCGCCGTCGTGGTCTTTCTGCAAAGTTAGGCACTATTAGCTCTCCTTGCACGTTGAAATTAGCAAGCCTGCTGACGACTTGCTCAACGTAGTTTGCCAGACCTGTCTTACAGGTCTCTTACAGAGTATGCCATGGTGCGAGGATTTACTGCGGGTGCTATCACGATTGGGAAACAGGGAGATTACTGCAGCATTGCTTACGCGTTGGAAACATAAGCTCGCAGGATATGTTTCCCAAACCTATGTTGTATTACTATGTGGCCGCCCTAAAGCTAAAAGCAGGCATGTTGTTGCAGTGCCTGAGATTCTCCGGCAATCTCTGGAAAATGCTTCCTTTCATCAGCCGCAAATGTCAATACTGAAATGCCAATGCGGTTCGCATTGTTCGAATCATATATAGTACCGGCGTTTGCGAGAAATCAGCGGGCACTTCAACCTCAAGCAGAAGACTCAATAAGTCGGCATAGTCCAACCAAAATGAGGAAAAGCTGTGTTCCAACAGACGGACAAGACGGTGCTCAGTCGCGAGGTGGCAAACTGTCAGAACATACGGTACTCAGGCTTGCTACAGTCAGATAAGCAAGAATCGCGGATCAGTGATAGATATGGAAGTGATATCACGTAGAGGATTTGTCAGAGAATGGAGTCTGAAACCCAAGCGCGAAGGGCTCCTCCCTATCTGCACCGTCCCTCACATCTTGTGCCGTGCATTCGCGAGGTGAGCTTACGTCCTATTCCAAGCATATAAGATGCCCGAATTGCCATTTCCGATATGAGGAATCATAGTGAAGAGCGAATGAGCCAAGGAACAAGTCCGTCGTAGAGCGGGATGAAGCAAGGTCAGGATAGAGTTCTGAGGCTACCGCACTCATGCTCGTTCCTGCATACGCAGCAGGGCCACCAGGGGCCAATCAGGCGATTGCTCGTTGTCGGTAATGCTCCCAGCTGAAAGGCTGGGACAGGGAAGCAGCGCTTGGGGCACATGACGCGCCCAGCTGAGCATGGAGCACACTCAACATACATCCATATTAGCATTAAGTAACCAACATTGCAGATTTTGGGTGTGTGTGGGGGGGCACATTCATTGTTGATAATGAGCTTGACGGTTGAGGCTGTGCCTCGGCCTATAGCCTATAGGAGTATACCCAATCACGCGGCAAGCAACGCCTCCTTTGTTCCTTCCCAGGATTGTCAGGGAACAGGACTATCATTAGCCTAGCGAACCTAGCGAGCCTCCAGTTCGCCGTTGGCAGTTCGCACTGTGCGGACTGCAGTAGGGGCCGTTGTAAACGCTAATGATTGTTAGTAGAGCCCGGCGCTGAGAAACACTCGAGATCGGTCCCGCCGCTGACTCTGGTGACTACTGACTACCATTCACTACCTTACCGGATTCGAAACATCTTCGTCTTGACCTTGATGGCTGACTCGCAATCCACGTGGCGGAGTTCAGCTGACAGGGAATCGTCGCGTGGGAAATGGCCCCAATAAGCAGCAGCCTCACGGAATATGGCGTTGGTCCAAGCCGGTGACGGTCATCGAGGGGCGGCCCAACATCTTTAGACCATCGAGTTGGTGGGCAGCTGAACGATGTAGATCCTGCCCCATTGTCGGCTTGCAGACCGCGCAATAGATGATGGATCAGAGGGACAGGAGCCACTTCCAGCCCTAGCACCCAGCCCAACAGAACTACCAGCTCTGATCATTCCTGACTTGTCCCTCAACTGACACTAGGAATTGATCACGTTGAAGAGAGTCGTCGAAGTTCGTTTGCGGCAGGGCAAAAGGCCCGACGGACAGTGCCAACTTTGAAACGAGGAAGGGAGAGCCCGACGCAGCCCATCCATACGTATATCCAATCAGACACCTAAAGGTCAGGATTATTGAGTGCTAGGACACGTGGTATTCCAGCCGATGTGCGGGCAGGGCAGTGAAGCATCTCCCCAGGTCCAGATCCCTGAAGTTGAATCAGTCTGGGGACTTGAAGCATGCCCTCCTGCGTGAAAGAGGCAAGACAGGGAGCCAAAGGGGCCACGAAAAGCATCGTGGCATAATCATCGTCACGCTAGAACACCTAGTCTGCTCACTCTCTCCCTTTTCGTGAGAAATTTCTCTGGCCTTCTAAACAGCTAGGAGGATTCAAACAACTAGGAATCTAAAACCGCCCCTGGAGAGAACGAATGTATATGTGGCCGCCGCGAAAAATCCACGGCCTCCATTCCAGGCAGCTTCGGGATGTGATCCTTCTCGATAATGCGCTTCTCCAGCTGATTATTGGGACTGCCATGATAGTCAAAACAAGCGCGCTGCCTAGTTCTACGGGCCATCGAAGGGTTCTGCCGCAATCTTTGTCTTTGGATTGCCTGCCCTACATGTCTGAAACCCACAAACATTGCCTCTCTATGGGCACTATAGGTAAGCGGGATTACGAATACCTTCAGCTCCCGCGTCTTTCTTCCTCGGGTGCTGCCCAATAGCAGGCCTGAAGATGCTCATCCATGGATGCCTTTGCGTCACCACGTTAATCTGACCCCTATGCCAAAAACAATTGTCATCTCCGGCATGGGTTGAGACCGACCACTTACTGCTGCCTTGGTGTTGGCCCAGCTGGCCTTGCGTTTGAGGCTTATCAACTTTTTTGTCTTTGATTACCTGGCATGCAGCTAATAATTGCATTTGTAACATACGCTGCCCCTTCCGCTCCTACGTTGGTGCTCAGAAGGTTACAGTCCGCAGTTGGCCTTCGGTCTCTAATATAGAAACATGTCTCGATTGGTTTTAACTATATTTTATTACCCTTCAGCACGGCTCTATCCACCGATGGACCCAATCTATTGTCAATATCTCTCAAAGTTCAATCTACTCTTGCCCCCGACGGCTGGCCATTTCTTGACGGCGAAGGCTCCACAGGAGCGCTTTGTCTTCGGACTTGAGAATCAAAAGTGGGTGTGTCGACACCGTGAGGCTGCATGATCACTACTCCTTGATTCAAACGTCAGACTCCTTGGAGCCTCAGCATTTGATTATGCATTTGATGAACTCCCACCTTGCTTCGCCTCATTCACTACGCCATTGGCAACCCTTCACCTTTGACAGCCTCTTTTGAGTCACTGTGCTTGGCTGGAGCAATGCAGGTTTCTGAGTCTAGGTGGCAAATCTCCTCGCTCTATCTCCAGTAAGCCCTAGACACCAGTTGTATTACTGTACGGAAGAAATGACTGACTTGCAATATATATCATACTGGGAGCTCATCACGAGGGAAGCCAAGTGCCCTCCTCTCAAGAGCCTATCCGTCTCGTATCCTATTCGGATTATCCGGCGGGAAAGTCTATTATTGAAACAGCACTACGATTCCTTTGAACGGACGTCATCAGTATTTGAAAGGCTGGTTCAGTCTTCTCTGGCGAGAGCTTTATCGTCCGTGTGGTATGGACGGCAACGGACATCATCGGAGAAGAGCTCCGCAGCCATCTCGTCGACAAGCGCTACAAGACGACTCCCAATATGGTGGCTCCAAACCCCAAGGACCTGGTCAAATCAGAGAGAATTTTGCGGTCCCCACTCAAAACAGCGTCCGCTCATCTCAAGTGTTCTCCCAAGCAACGTCTAGTGCGTCGATTTACCCTTCTGTGAGCGCTCAGGACTTTGGGGAACCTGGATACGCGCAAGTCCAGCAATTTGCTCCACATCGAGTGCATGGGCCTTCTTCAACGTACCAATCAGGTTACCCACAGCTTTCGCAACGAGAACAGCAGATCTCTCAGTACTCTCCACAGGCAGCCCTTAGTGCACAGCAACCAGCCCAAGCTCAGGGACATTCCCACCTAAGCTTTGGTAATTCGGCCGCTTACCAACAACGACAGTCAGCAGCAGTCGAGGTCCTATCTAACCAGTTTAGTAGCCAGACATATTACGATAGCGGCCAAGGACAAGCCCAAGCAAGTCTATCTTCACATCCAACAGTAGCAATCCAACAGTCAATCCAATATACGAGCTCAGGGGAGTTTGCGCAGCAAAGTCTTCCCTCGACTTATGCATCTGGTGACGCCACTTTCACCGGTGCAACTGGCTACGACCATGTATGGCAACAAGAGCAATCAGAGCCGGAGGCGGAGGATCCACAAGCCTGTTGCGAAAATCTTTTGAGGCAGACCAACAGCCTAACTCTGGACGATCGACTCCTCGAAGCTAGATCTTCATTGTTGGAACTCATGCAGTATTTGCTAGACAATATAGAAACACTAGGTAATGATAGTCACCTTATTGATGCAGGACAGAACATTTGAATCCTGACATTGAAGTAGGTCTACACGAAGACAAAGTAATTGAGGACAATCGCGAGTGGAGAGTCTCGTACAAGCAAAGGCTCAAATTCTGGAGTGACATCCACAATGCTTGGCTAGTCTTCTTGCAACGTCAATTTGACAACACCCGGCATCCTCCAAAAGGGAGCAGGTCAAGCCGACCCAAGAATCTTTTGCGAAAAGATCTGGAAGAGCTTCGGGAAGAGGTATTGAAATTAGCGGATCAATTCGACAAATATGGCCTGCTCAACTACGAGCAAGGCTTCCAGCCCGACGAGCTGATGCCCTGTAAGCTTATTCTGTAATATTCCAAGGCGATATTTGGCTCCGCTGACAATGATCCAGACCTCAAAAAGTGCTACAAAGAGCTCGGAAGTGGAGATAGCAAGTCAGGAGGACGAAGAAAGTAGGTAGGACTCAAAGTCCTTATTCCCGCGGAAGCAATCCTCTACTTCTCGGACCGATTTCTGGCTTGCTCGTTATGCCTTATGAGACAACAGACAAGAAGGCTGCGATGACCATGACAGCACGTCAATTGCAGCTATGCACTGTAATAACAACATACACATGAAACCCCCCGTCCACACTCTCTCCCCACACAATGTATGATTACACCGATTTCTGATAGACACGGATGGGCAGTTCATGCACTGTCGAACATTTGGAATTGTATAAAAAAAAAAAAGGGCGACAGGAACGCCAGATTGTGTATATACGAGCAGTAAATAGGGTAGGGTAAATGCACCCTTCTGACTTATCAATCTTCTCATATTTTCACGCTATGAAAGCGAATTTTTGCAACCGTAGACGTTCCCTCCTTTGTAACGCTACACTATCTGTAGCATCACTTTTGGTGATGATTGTGCCCTTCCCTGTCACCCGGTCAGATTTTGCACGCTCAGCTCACAAGCATCGACGATGCAAGAAAAAATCAACTTATTGTTGCAAAGACTGCAGTCGCTCCCCTGAACTCCATTCTACCATTTCAGCCTTTTTGGTCGCACATTGCCGAACATGGCATCCCTGCAAGACGTCCAAACACGACGAGGCTGAAACAGGGCCTGAGAGACTACTGTCGCAAGGCAGATTTCCTAGCGTCATGTCTCGACCTGCATGACATCCAACACATTTCCTGTACATTTCTTAGCCAGGACGGGGACGGGGTTGAAAAGTCGGTGCTTATGCGGGGTCTATCGGCCACATATTCTAAACGATATCATCAATCAGGACGTTGCATGCATGACGATAGCGCACAAGACGTTGACCTTGCCGCCTGACGCGTCGTGACTGATGATTGAGAATGAGGAGAAGATGATGCTGAATGTTGAGGGTGATTCATCATCATTAATGCAACATAATAATAATGTAGACTCTCGGCTATTTGATCACAATTTGCACAACTCAAACATAAGCTGACATATGATTTCCTCGCCGTCAGAATGTGACTTCATTCGCACTGCGAAGAAGGGGAAGAGAAATGCCCCCGATTCTTGCTGTCTCATATGACGGCCGTTCAGGCCCCCGAATCTCTCAGGTAACAGGCATAGCTGTGTCGCAGCCTGGGGGCTAGAAAAGCGACAGAACACGCAGAGAAGGACACGCCTTCAAGCCACAATGCGGCGCGCTTGAAATATTTATAGCAAGTGTGACATGTCGTTCTTTTCTGATCGGTACTTGCATCATAGCGAGAATGCGCAGTAGCAATACCGTGAACGGATCATAGTGTGCATGATCTAGAATCCGAGAGGAGACGGATAGTGTAGGATAAGACATTCTTGAACAAGGACGGTAAACAAATGAGAAATACCACGGGGACACAACTTGAAAAAGATGAAGGGTTCTTTGTGGTCATGATCATTACACCCATGCCAAATACCATAATGGCAATGTACGGGGTTAGAATTGATCTAGCGTAAACTCGCGTCAGCCTGAACTCCCTTCGCACAAAGATGTGCCTCTGCATGTACGTACCTAATGTCATACTCATAGAGATATCAGTATTTTCTACCATTTTCGTGAATTCATCAAAGCTAATCTTGCCATCTCGATCCAGGTCTGCCTCCATTATCGTCTTGTCAACAATCTGTCACCGAAGGCTTTGTTAGCAAGATACCCTTACATCTTTCCACCTACGATTCCTGGGGACGTGCACTACAGCCACTCCCGTCGATGCTTCTTTCCCCCCATGAGTGAGCGCGTACCTGTTGCAGTTGCTGGTCCTTCAAATTGCTCCCCACCATCATCTTCAGCACGATGAATAATTCTCCATTGCTGATGTAGCCATCACGATCTATGTCGTAGACCTTGAAGGCGAATCGCAGTTTTTCCTCCTTATTTCCTTTTGAACTGAAGGCTGACAAGCCAGTAACGAACTCTTGAAAGTCGACGTCACCACCGCCGTCTTCGTCGAAGATTGCAATCATTCTACCTCGGCAACTCGGTCAGTCGCGCCTCCTTTGTCAATAGGATGGAGACATTCAAGGGAGGTAGGTTAGAAGGTTGAAACAAGCATACCGCGTCGCGAGTGGGTTGGAGGATACCTGGGGGAGGGCTAGGAATTCATCGCGCTCTATCGTTCCTGATTGATCCTGCATTCTCCGAAGTGAGCATGAGCTGGAAAGCATCCCAAGCGCATAGCGAACCTTGTCGAGCTTCATAAATCTCTTCTGTAACCGCGCGACTTCATCTGTATCAACTGTGAAGTCTTAGCAGAGGCTTCGCATGGCCGTTGGAGTTCAGTGCGGGCATTACAATTGGACCCCTCTATGATGGTATTGAAAAGCTCTTTGTGCGAGTCCTTATTTTCCCTCCTCGCATCGTAAAGCGCTGCATCATTTGCGTCCGCCAGCTTTGCGGTGGGAAGGTCCTATTGGGAAAATGAAGCGCGGGGAAAAGAAGTGGTTCACACTCGTGATTCAGACAGCAATCTATGTGCGAGGGGTGAGAGGTGTGGTGGAATGGTGGATGCCTCAATCAAGCCGATGGTCTTGCTGCTGGGATGAGCTAAGCTCCAGCGGAAATGACGGAATGGCAATGACGGCAGGGGGGAGCGAGTCTTGGCAGGCTTGGCAAATTGGCATGACAGCAAATTAAAGTTTACCTTAGGGCGTGTGCGCCGAGGTCTTTCCTCTTTTCGCCCTGCAACCTGTCGCAGTATTCTCTGTACCAGGCCCATCAGGCAATCCCAGCACCACTGCCAACACCAGAAATTTATCAAATTCCATCAACAATACAGCGATAAAAATGTTTCTAATGCCAGATTAATCATCGGTAAACAATGCGACACTTCATTTTGGCTTCATCGAAATTATTCGATCGCTCCTTGATGCTGCATCATCGATCCGATGACCAGAAGCAATCCTCTTCCCCCGGCACCTCAACTCCCAGCAACCAGCACCCGAGCGCGACTTAAAAAACTCAGTAAGCCACCATCCCTTTCCCACTGCGCGCACTTTTCACTTTTATTTTCACTGTGCCCATCAGCCATCAACACACACTGATACCACACACCCAGACACACGTCATGCCCTTCCAATCATCCGTGAAGCGGACCTCGATATCATCGACGAACATGACGTTTCGCGGAATAGTCATGGCCCCAAGGCTGAGACTGGCGTCGAGAAATCCGAAGAGAGCGTAAGTCCCTTTCTTTCTTTCCTCCTTTCGTTCTTTCCTGTCTTCTGTAGACTTTCCTCCCAATCTTCCTGCTGTCTAGACAAACCCCCTGAAAGCTTTCGAGCAAACGGAAAGTTTTCAATCATCGGCTTGGCGTTTTTCTCTAGTAGCCCGAGGGATATTTTTGTGACGAGTTATGGTTTTCGATATTGACATAACCTTTGCGCGATAGGAATTCCATCTACAGGCAGCTTTGCGGTCAGAACAAGCAGCTGCGGCGGGTGACAAAGTCAAGAAAACAGACATCCCCGTCCGACCAGCAGTGCCAAGCGAGTTGCAATATGACAAGTACTATACGTCCACTTACCAACAGCCGGCAACCTATATTCGCTTTTCATCCACCGTAGAAGACTGTATAGGATGTCCATATGACATGGACGAGCTTGATGAAGTCTTTCTGAAATCTTTGAACAAGAAGCGCAAAGATGCATCCGCTCAGTGTAGCGAATCTGAGTTTGAGCAGGTGATGAACGGTTTCGAGACCGCTGCAAATGAGAAGCAACCATTTGCGTCGGTCGGAGAGACACCTGTTCTCCCCTTTGACGAAGTTGAAATGGGACTAGAGGAATGGGTAGAAGATGCACGCGCAAAGAATTTTGCGAAGGAAATCTACCAACATTGGAAAGCCAGCCGCATAAAATCTGGCAACAAGTCACTGCTTACCAACCTCAAAGTCAGCATCCTACCTTTGATTTTCCGCTCCATTACTGACTTCCTCTCAGGGTGAGACTGGTGCAGACACTGATGACGCAGATCCATATGTCTGCTTTCGTCGGCGAGAACTTCGTCAAACACGGAAGACGCGCGGTAGAGATGCACATAGCGCTGAGAAGCTCAAGAAGCTCCGCAAAGAGCTTGAAGAAGCTCGCGAGCTGATGGCTTTGATCAAGCAAAGAGAGATTACGAAGCGAGATCAACTTGTAGTAGAGAGGCAGCTGTTTGAACAACGAGCCAACTTGCGTCAAGTCAAACAGAACTTACCTGATCAATTCAAGCAGGGCGATGAAGACCTACTGATCAACCAGAAAAAGAAGAAGCCGCTCGAGATCACGACTCGACAACCAGGTATGCCGCCTCGCATCCAGACAAGGGCGGATGGCGGAGCCACAGAAGATCAGCTCGTGTCTCTTGCAGAAATGCTGGCGAGACATGAGAAGGAGCTTCAGGATCAGATTGAGCTCAAGATCGCAGCCCACGTTAAATGGAACGAAGGGTGGGTAGACATGACGATCGCACCTCTGACGCCACCCTTGGAAGTAGGGGTTGGCTCGACTTTTCGTACCGCAACCACAGAATACTTACCAACACCCCCTGCGTCGATATCTTCCGAGCAGTCTGGTGACATTGCTGTCGATGCTGCGCACGTGAATAAGAAGGATGAAGCAGTGGCGGTACGATATGCTTCACCATCATATGATGGACCTACTCATAGTCAGCCTTCCTTTCGGAGGAGGTTTGGCCGGGGCGGACGGTTATGGATTGATCGTCGAGGTAGACGGACTCCTGCAAAGGATGGGCGAGAGGATCCTCCTGTGTCAGAGAGATACAAATACGACGAAGACGAGGATGAGGATGAGGTGCCGACTTATGACTTCAGCGAGTTCGACAGCAAAAGCATGCGTTATCGTAGCTCACTTCTTAGAATTCCCCAGCAAGTTAGGAAGGCGCCGGATGGATCTGTACCAAATCCACAAGCACCCATTCCTGTCGCTAGCTCAGCAGGATAGGACCCAACTCCGGACTCTTTGGCAATCTTGGGGGGACTTGGAAATGAACATTAAAGCTCTTGCCGTCGACCCCTGGGAGATGCCTCGGGGCTTGTCGATTGGAAGGCCGCTGCAGAACCAAGGTCCAGGTGGCAGAAGCGTAGAAGGATAGTTTTGAATAATCCCTGCGAACCGTGTTCGCTTTGAATCTAGAGCAGAAGTTGATAGCATGGCGTTGGAAGGCTTTCTCGGGTACAATCCTGAGATCTGAGCTCTCGGCTTCACCCCTTAGATCATATTGGTAACCATCAAGTAGCATGTGGATAAAGTGGCTTTATCTTCTTGGCATTCGACTCATCATGTCCCGATTGAGACTCAGCATTCTCGCTGAGAATAGCACTCAGTACGCTCATAGCCATGGCTAGGATTTCTTTCTCGCCGCGGCGAACTTCGATCGCCATGCGCTTGCGTTTTGATAGAGATACACCTAGGAGGTGGACGTCCTCGGCGATAGTGGTGCCGTAGCTCGCCAAGCGTTCGGCGACGATAACCTCTAGGACCTGATATGTCGTGGTCAACGGAGGAAGGGCATGATCATCCAGTGGCCGATCTTGCACTGCGACTGCTGTTCTAAGTTTAGTCAGATCCATAAGTAGCAAATTTATTAACAAGATTAGGTCTGGTGGAAATTCGAAGTCTTTGTTGTCCTGTGGCCTGTTAAGATCATAGCCGTCTTCCAAAACATCCCACTTCATTGCGAGGCTTGTCTGGGGATTTTTATCAGATCTGATAAATACGATGGGAATGTGTAAAGCTTACGCGGACTTCTCTTTCTACGCTATCCAGAGGATTAATTTCGTTGCAAACCTTGGTGATCAGATCAAGTGTTACTTCGACAACGTCCCATTTCTGATACCTGTCTGACAAGTAACCATAACGCCTCAGTAAGTCAGATCTTGGTAGTTCGCCAAAGTCATTGTAGATCTGATCGCCTGCTTTGATCTGCTTGATAGCCCTCATGGTTATTGAATCATGATTCTGGACCGCATGTGCCTATTCAGTCAGCTTGAAAGACTTCATATACCTATTGAGCGCTTACATTATTTTGATCGGCATCGGCATTCAGCAGGTCTGCTAATGGAATCATAGCCACGTTTGGCTCTATAATGACATCGTCATCTTCTTCGAACTCCTCATCGGATGGCTCATCCGGGTTGAGATCGAAGCCGTAAGCATGGATGAGTGTCGCCATCCTAAGACAAATGCCGAGAAAGAATGACTTTGCGTTCGCGTCTTCAAGCGTTTTAACGTGCATTGCGAAAAGGGATGTGTTGGCTTTGACGAATGGCAGAAGTCGGTTCAAGAATTGCTCCTCAGCGTCGTCTTTGTCAATCTTGTGTACTACGGCGCTTGCCTGCAGTTCTGACAATTCTGATGAAGACCAGTAGATCAATGTGTCAAACTCTGTAGGGAGTATGTTGAGATATGGCCACCATTGGGACGCCTCACCTTTGCCGTCTTCGTACAGCAAGGTCAACACAAGGGCTATCCACGGAGGCAGAGATTGAAGCTGCAGCTTGTGCATTTGATAGAGATCAGAGTTCTGAACAGAAAGAAATGAGGCTGAGTTGATAGTGAATAGGTTCTCATCCATGTCGATGTCTTCCCTAGCGACTTTGACCATGTCAGACAACGTTCATGCTAGCTCGAGAGCAAGAAAGATGTAGTGAAAGTAGAAGTCCCGAAGGGAGACACACACCTGCGCCTCGCCCTTGCTCCTCAGCCCTGAGATCGGCGATTTTGATCTTGGGACTGATCATGGTGCCCTGTCGGTGCTTGATCCATTGCAGGAAGTCATCGGTTTTTCTCGCGAACTCGTCCAACTTGACCTCTGAAGACATAGCTATGAGGAGTGTGACACCATCATCATGATATGATTGATCGTAGCGTTGTGTCACGGACAAGTCAAAAGGCCTCGCCGAGTCGTGGCAGATGGCAGAAATAGAAGTCAGTGAGCTCACATGTGCGGACACATGCTAGCGCGAGATCTTCCCCGCTAAGTTCAAAATGGCAGCCCCTCCCGAACACACCAGCACATAGACTAAGGTAGTCCCACCGGACAGCCAGCCTTGACCATCATTCTACCCTTACATTGGCGCCTTCAAAGAGGAGAGATATCGAAAAATGATAGCTCTAGGCCTTGAAGGCTCCGCGAACAAGCTTGGTGTGGGGCTAATATCTCATCCCGATCTACCAAAGCGTGGACCTGCAATTATCCTCGCGAACATCAGACACACTTTCGTCTCACCTCCAGGCGAAGGCTTTCTGCCAAAAGATACCGCAAAGCATCATCGAACGTGGGTTGTGCGACTCGTAAGTGAAGCTTTGAAGGAAGCCTGTATCACCATCGACAGCGTAGATTGTATATGCTACACAAAGGGGCCGGGCATGGGTGCTCCTTTGCAGAGCGTAGCCCTAGCCGCAAGGATGCTCGCGGAACTGTGGGGCAAGGAGATTGTAGGCGTCAATCATTGCGTTGGGCGTAGGTTTGTACTCCACCTTGGAGACGTGCGTAAATGAAGATTGCTGATATGGGAGGACGCAAAGACATCGAGATGGGACGCGAGATCACTGGGGCTGAGGATCCAGTCGTATTGTACGTTTCTGGTGGGAACACTCAAGTCATTGCGTATGCAAGCCAAAGATATCGAATTTTTGGTGAGACTCTGGATATCGCTGTGGGGAACTGTCTCGATCGGTTCGCTAGAACTCTAAGAATCTCTAACGACCCAGCTCCCGGTTACAATATAGAGCAGATGGCCAAAACAGGAAAGCATTTGCTTGATCTACCGTATGCCGTCAAGGGTATGGACTGTAGTTTCTCAGGCATCTTAGCCAGCGTTGATATCCTGGCCGAGAAATTAGAGCAGAACCCTACTGGATGGCTGGACGAAGTCACGGGAGAGCTTATCACTCGGGAGGATCTCTGCTTCAGTCTGCAAGAGACTGTATTTGCGATGCTTGTAGAGATTACGGAAAGAGCCATGGCGCATGTTGGGTCGAGCCAGGTTCTGATTGTGGGAGGAGTGGGGTGTAATGAGCGATTGCAGGAGATGATGGGAATGATGGCCAGGGACAGAGGCGGAAGTGTATATGCGACGGATGAACGATTTTGCATTGACAATGGTATCATGATTGCACATGCGGGTCTTTTGGCTTATGGAACAGGGCAGACGACAAAGTTTGAAGACACATCATGTACGCAGAGGTATAGGACAGACGAAGTACTAGTCAAATGGCGTGAATAACCCTCTATCTGTGCTTCTATAATTGTCTTTCAATTCGTTCCCTTCGTCATCCTTATTGCCATGAATCAATCGTTTCGACAAATTCAGACCCTCATGTAGAGACCTTACCGAAATTGTGCAAACTGAATTCAAGTTCTTTTCGCTCTGTGAAAACGACTCAGTAGGTGCTGTTCTCGCACCACTCAAAGTACTAAGAAAACCGAAAGATTACATAAGAGCGGTCATCGACCTCCATAGCATGCGCTATATCAACACTACAACAGCAAAATAATCCTTGGACTAAGAGAGCGAACATTCCTGGAACGAGGATCCACAATCACCCTTCGTCTTCCGTAGGCTTGTAGACGACCGTTGTGACATACTTACGAGGGGTTAGCTACATTAACAGTGCGTACGCTCGGCATTCTTACCTTCCGCATATAACGGGTGGTTATGCTTGTTGCAAGTACATCATTCTTGATGCTGCTGGTCGCGAGGTGATTTAGTACCGTGTGATTTGGCATGTTCAGCACACTGTTATCATCCTTCATGGGGGTCGTTCCATTAAGAATAGACTTTCCAAGGAATAAAGGCAAACCAGGAGGCGTGGAAAAATCGCTGATGGCATGGGCGGATCGTTGATATCGATTCGTGTGCTCAGGCTTGTCGACATCTTTCAGATAATGCGGTAGTTCACGGCCCCAGTGAACAGCAGGGCCTTTCTGCTCGCTTTCATTGAGCGAATGCGTAGTCACTGCTGCTGGCTCATGGTCTTGTACTTCGGTACCTTCATGGATGACTTGAGGCGGGTGAACACCATCCGGAACTCTCCTCTCGTCCTGCTTCGGAATATCATCTGCGCTGACCTCGAGATAATTTACAAGAATGTTGGTATAATCTACAGCGGTCGGTAGCTCGTCAGAGAGCTGCATGTCTCCATCAACGATGAACTTGACATGATGAGTTCCTGGTGGAAGTTGGAGGTGTGCAGATAGATACCCCGTTACCGGACTATGATACAAAAGCCGTCAGCAGACCCGTCATGATCAAATCGTGATCGAAGAGACGAAGATCGTTGCGTTATGCACGGAGCCGATGGACATCATCGGGACTCGTAAATTTCAGAGCAAAGCGACGGTTATATGCATACATGACTCGACAGGGATGGGCTATAGTCAGAGAAATAGACTGCTTACTCCTTGTTCATGCGGTATTTACGGCTCCAGTTCGTGAACGTCCCCGTTACGTAGACCTTTTGCCCACTTTGTTTCCAATACAACGTTGTCAGAACAGTTCCTCTACTAGCATCTGAAGGATATTGTCTCAATTCATTGCCCAACTCATCGTCTTCAAGGGTGGTGTTGCTAACGGTGGAGGTCTGGCGTGGAAGCAAGCCGCCTACATCGTCTTCGTGCAGGGCTGACGAGCCTTGAGCATCGATGATGGGGGATCCTGGTGTGTGGAGCTCCTCTCCTATTGGCAGAGGCAAGCGTGGGGGGAGGCCGAAGTTGGAGTGAGGAATGAAGTCCGGATCACGAGGTGGACCAGATGGTTCGAACTGTGTATCTGGGCCCCTCTGCCGTTTGGCATCTGAGCCGCGATGCGGTATCCTGACGGGTATGGGTTTGGGCTTGACTTGTTTCGACTCCGGGGGACGGTCCGATGGCTTGCTGGTTTCGCTGCCCATTACTGCTCCATCGATAGGGCTGGAATGAAAATAGGATGGAGGAGAATGCGGGGAGGCATGCGTCGAACTTTGCTTGTCGGAGTGTGTGGCGTGCGAACTTTTGTGACGTGATGACGGTGTCTTGGAATTCTGTGTTGAGGATCTCGTGATGGTCTGACTGACCACAGGAGATGACGGAGCCTCGCCAGGAGGCTTTGACGCATTGTTTCCCATTTTATATACTGTTCAATGGCCGACTACAAACCGAATAACCAAAAATAATACCTGTCTAGTAATCCATTCATCGTCATGGTGGAGAACGAGGTCGAGAGGATCTTGGGAAAGATTTAGTTGGTAGTCGATCGCTCCTATTGGCTCCCTTTTTCGTTGTTTTCGCCCAGACCAGCCAGGAACACGCCAGACCCGCTTCTTCGTTGAACACTCAGGCATATAATACCAGCTGTCATCACATCCAGTATGCAGACGAGCGCATTCTTACTACTATGGATTATATCGGGACCTCCATGAATGTGCTATATTACCTTGCATTTCCGATAATATACATTGTTCAGGCACTTTGCTCAATACTGTGGACTGCAAGTGCTCCTCTTATCTACTTGGGTCATTATGTGCTCTATGCTTGCTGGTATCCTTTTCATGTGCTAGGAAAATTCGAGGTGCGCCTTATCCGACCAGCTCGGCCCTCCAGAAGCTATTAGCTAATCAATCAACAGACTATCTACGTCTTCTTCGGTGTTGCAACACTTGTGGGCCTTCTCACTGGCACAGGCGTTCACTTCGCCTCGAGGCTGGTGGCCTCGATTCTGCACATCGATGCTTTAGCCAAGGAAAGCGGCCAGCGCGGTCGGACGATTGCGGAGTATCGGGCCAGCAAGGACGAAAGTCTGGAGCAGACAGATGACCTGGGCAAAGCTGTGCAACAAGTCGAAATCCAACGGAAGGACACCGAACGAGCGAATGAGCTCAAGGACTGGGACTGGGCTGCCGAAGATAGGGGTCGATCGAGGAATGGATCTTTGCCCAATACAATACTCGAGGAAGAAGATAGCTCTGATTATGGATTCTGAGATTGAGCTTTGGTATCATATGCTCCTTTACGTTACCTAGAGAGTCAATTCCAGTCGTATCAGGAAGAGCAAAGCTGTCGACCACTTACGGAGCTCTGCAATCTTCCCCAAAAAAACTCCTTTTGGTGTGACTTGGATAACACTCGGCACTCCTGCGAGTTTTCTTCCATTATGAACTCGTAATTGATCAATCCGCGGAGGAACAGCCCCTGCATCCGCAGTTCACACACTCAATGATCTGATCCTCCTTGAGCTGGGCTTGCGGAACTCGGCATATGCAGGTCGCATTAAAGTTCGTCTCTTTCGTCTGCATACACTTCAAACAGCAAAGCTGAGGTACAGACGATGTCAGCTTGCTTCCAATGTAGAAATATGAGATGGATGTCGTACCTTCTCGTAACCCTGCTTTTTCCACTTTGCAATCAGGTTTGCATCCGCATAACCACTCTTGATCAACCAGTCGTACAGCTTTTTCGATATAGCTTCCTTGTCGTAATATAGGTCATAGATGTAACGTGAGCCTGAAAACGCCATAAAATGTTAGCACGGGGAGTCCAATCCATTAGAGCCATCGGGCTACTGTGATCATGCTCACGTTGATGTGTGATTTGAAATATGGGCCATAGTACCTCATTACGCTTTTTTCCCTCATGCGAAGCGTTTTCTGCATCTTTCATCTTGTTCGAGAATTCCAACAGGGTATCTTCGATATCGTCGAACCCATCAGGAGGTGGTTTTCGATTTCGTGCCGAACGCACAGGTGGCATGACGAAGAGACAAGCTTAGGCAAGCTATATCTATCAGGATCTGGTCAAGCTGACAGCAAAGTCCGCAATTTCGTTAAAGCAGGTCATAAACAATAATGTTAATGACTGGCTGGAAGAAGATGCTTGGAAACGATTTTAGAATCACGCTAAGTTTGTCTCATCCGCTAGCGCCTTTCGAGATACGTCCTCGTCCTGCAAACGCAAGAATCCCAACGTCAAATATAGCCTCCCATGGCAACATGGTGATCAACGCAACATATCTCGCACAGACGACGCGCGCTTGTAAGCTTTGACTCATTTACATAGAAATCAATGCTAACAGCGGCCAGCTAAAAGCTGGCCTGAGGCCAAGCAAAGGGTAACGCACGCTTACAGACAATGGCTGAGATCCGTTGGTATCCCCTGGTATGGGCGTCAGGCGTCTTGAGGTTAAGAGATATGGATTAGGCGCCTGAGGTTCAGACCATGTATTCTCTCAACATGCCAGTCTCGAAGATACGAACCAAAATACGACAAGAATTCGAGCGACATCGATACGTGAACAAGCTTCCAGTGGTGAACATGCTGATTGCACAATGTCATATGGAGTATCAGGTATTACTCCTACTATCAATCTATAGAGAATCCTACCAGTCTTGAGTTCCGCCAGCACAGGCATCATTGGAGCTAACTCTGAGCTTGTTAGGAAACATTGAATTTCTGGAAACAGATATCGCACGTTTTGAAATACTTTCGAGAAGAAGAGAATCCGACTGCGAGGCTACCAGCCAATTTCATGCAAGGGTTTCTTGAGGTTCGTAGTTCTTGAGCGTCATATGTGTACCACTAAAGATGTTTCAGGGTCGTAATTGATGTCAGACACGGAAATGTACATATTACAACATTCAGTTGCAGATGCTTTGATTTGCTCCTCACGCCTCCCGCGATGCCCATCTAAGGCTTCCTACATTTCTTGATATTCACGACTGAGAATCCTGGGCCACTTGCTCAATATCAAAAGTGTTCCTCGCTCCCTTGAATTCTTCTATTACCACATTGCAAAGATCCATTAGGTCATCGAAGCCTTTTTCAAGAACGTCGTAGACTGTGGTCCCATCTGGTTCAATTCAATTACGCGTTCAACAGCCACGCATAAGTTTCTTGATAACATACCATAGGTTTGGATTCTTAGATTCATCTTCGCTTCCGAGGGATGCGGAATAGAATAGCCACAAAGCTCGACCTCGGGGCTGCTTCGTCGTTAATCTCAAATATCTATATCCAACATCAGAAGGATTAATTTTATCGTACTTCTTCATTATCATATATCTTAATGAGTTGCCCAATGTGTGGTCTTCATTCTCGAATTCAAATGATGCTGCTGTGTCGCTTCCCCTGGTAACTAAGACATAATTAAGCTTAAGGATGAAAGTCAGCCCCAAATAATCATACCACCCGTATTCCACTGTTGTTGATTGAGAGGTATTGATCGTCTGTGGTGGGATCGTGATCATCAGGTGCGAACGTACTATGATCTAGAGTGTCCGCCATGAAGCGACCTTCACTCGTTGTCGTGGGAGCGGATTTGAGGGAATTGAGATGCAGCGCCAAGCCTCGAAACCAATCGGGTGAGATTAGATACTAAGGTACCTGGTGCTACCTTAGAACTACCATGTTCGGAGAATTAATACATGGGCAAAGCAATACTTCGGGAGTGCTGTAATTTTCCCACAGCCAACTATCAAACTTCTCCGAGTGAGGCAGTAAGACATTGCCCAGTGAGTGAAACACAAAGAGGATGTTATGTTTCATGAAGATGGATCCAGTGCCACGCGTTTGTTTCGAGTCTCTACACAGCGCCGCATTACAAGGAAGATGAAGCATCAAGAGGGCTACAACGGTCCTAGAGGGAAGTCTCTCGTTGAGCCGGTTGGCAATCAATGATCAATTCGTTTGCTACTGGGTAACGCCTCCCCTCAGTCAGCCTCAGCTTTGTCTCGAGCAAGGCATCTGTCAAGCTTTCGAGTCAGGATTCCTGTCTGGAAACTACTATTGTCCCATATCGTTGCACAGAGAACTGTGGCAACTGGCAAGCATACTCATAGAATACCAAAGTAAGATGAAGGTTAGCATGGAATAACAGCGTCTTGGGAATAATCTTTACTTGCCCCTGTATCGAAATCCCTAACAACAATTTCAAACACGTATGCAATCCGTCCGGTATACGGGCCCCGGCTCGAAAATGATGAATAATTCAGTTATCGAGCTGTAGCCTGTAGGTACATACGCACGTAAACGAATGACGGAGAGTGCAAGGTCGGAAAACGAAGGGCTAGACCGGATCGGAGCTAGCGGTCGGCCCGAAAGGGCTATCGCGATTTTCGTTCTCTGGTGAAACGCCGCAGAAGGACACAAAGCCCCTCCGCCTATTTGCGCGGCACAGGCCTGCAACTAGTGACAACCTCGTTCAAGAGAACTATTCTTAACCGTTTCATTAACTCCATCTGTGACCTTCTCCTCAACTTGTCCTCTGTCATCGCTGTTCCCGTATTCCAGCGACGGCCGACCGTCGACATCGTGACTGATCATGGCAGCCGCCGTGACCTCCCAGCTATCAATGGAGACCTCCTCTCCTCAGCCTTCTCTACAGGCAAGATCGTCGCCCAACCAGCCCGAGCGGAGTGTGCCCTCAGACGCGCCGAGAACGACGTCTCCAAATGCTTCAATAGTCATAAATGATGGTGCGGCAAAGCAGAAGCTCACCCCAGATGGTAAACGATCACCTATGTCGTACGTTCGCATCTCTGTCTCTCTCCTCTCCCTCAAATCCGAGGCTGCTCTTGCCTCCTGTGCATGCTAACCACAGCCTGATCAGATCGCGACATGGCAATCCCAAAATCATTGTCAAGAGAGAGCCACCTTCGTCACCAGAAGTCCCCGCGACCGCGCGGCACCGTCCACGCAAGCTAGATCTATCATCGAGTAACACACAGAATCAAGCGTCGAATTCCGCGAAGCCCTCGGCGCCGCTGACATCGAGAGAGAGTGGAGGAATGGCAATGCACGACGTCGGACTCGCCTGCTTATCACCTGGATTCCAGACCCAAGATCCGACCATGCAGCAGCAATTGCAGCGGAGTATATCAGTTCGCGACCAGCAAAGACACATTATCGAGTCAAGACTACAGAAAACTGCCAAGCCTGTCGACTCGGATGGAAGGAACACGACTGATAATCCGTTCGGAGCTGGCATGAAAACTCCCTCGACGTCAAAGAAGAGGCCGCCAAATGGACTATCAATCGTTCCACCGTCGCATGAGCAATTTGCCAACGAGCGAGTCATTCAATCCGCGCCGCTGAACCAGACGTTCACAGGAAGACATCAACCTCATCCTATGACTCGACATGTAGCCAATCAACCATCAAATCTCTCAAACACCTCTCACATCCACCACGTACCCGCTACACAAACTTCCAACCGATTGCCCCCTATTTCTGACGTTTTTGCGGGAGAAGGGCTCGGTATGCCGCGAAAAGAAGGACACTATCATTCTAATTCTAATTCTAACTCATCCCACTCAAACCATCGACCAACCTTCCCCTCACCTGGTCAACCACCCCCTTCATCACATCCTCCACTCACAAGTAGAGACAGAGAATATCTATCGGCGGATGAGCACGTTGCAGAGATAACCCATGGCAGGGAAGAACTGCTGCCTAAAGTGATCCACTACAGGAGCAACCACCCACCTACGCCGCCGACACCACCAACACAAGCTGGAGCCACGTCACACAGGCAATCCTACAGCCATTTGAATGGCGAGGCGCTCCGAAGTGGTAGAAGACGACCTCGCAACGAGTACGAGCGTGACATGGGCACACCGCCGCTCGGTAGTGGTCCTGATACGAGAGAACGAAGGGGTCCTTTCGGAATGGGTATTGATAGTCCAGAAACGCAAAGAAGAAAGAAGGAGGAGTTCCTGGGCTTATGCTCCAGGGCATGGGAGCTTTTTCACTCATGATCTACCGTAATGCTTTCGATGATGACGGGTCAGTTTATTCGGGTTCGGTACTCGGTCATGAATTGCTGATCGCCGAGCTGCAAACGAAGGAACCCGCTTTGAAGTTGTGAGCCCGGGAAAGGTATGCTGAATAGGCAAGCGTGGAGTCGTGAGGCAAGAATTGGGGCCTAGATGAAGGCATTTGCACTGGGTTCAACAGGTTGGGACATTAAGAAAGGAGCTACATTGGCTGCTGGATATAGCGCTGCGGGCTTTTACTTAATACAAAGACGAAATGCGATTACATTGCGAGAGGATACTACAGAGACTTGTGAGAGGTCTATCGCGCAGTGAGACTGTCAGTCTGCTGGATCAGATTGTCGTCCAACTATTCAAGCAGAGTTTCAGTGCACCATAAATGTATCGATTTAGGCATCTCCGAATCTTGAGACCTACCAAAGCACCAGACGTCGTTGATTAGGCGCTCGAATGTTGAGGAAACTCAAGATCCAGTTATAGCTGGGGCTTTTTGACGTAGCGATCTTCGAAGGGGCGGTCATGGGGGAGTGACGGTTGGCTCTGAAGGCGCGTAGAGAACGCGTTCGGAGGCAGCGCAAGGAGTGATAAGAGCCAACAAATTCCTTTGCCCCTACTGTAACTCTTCAAATCAAACGCTTCATAGTCTACCAATACCCACAGTTGTGAAATCAAGGTGCTGAGCTCTCAAACCTGAGCACTTGGAATTGGCAGATAATAGAGGGAAGGCCACCAAACCCAAAGTGGTAGAGGCCCCGCACTTTCACCTCTCTTGCCTCTTCAGGCGGTGTTGGAACTTGCCCTTCATTCACCTCAACGACCATTTGCTTGAACGACTTTGCTGACCATTCTCTTCTCAGCATCAACTTGCTATTCCAACCTGGCTGCTCATTACATGACATACCATTGCGCTTTTCCAGAAGAATATTTTCCCAGCAAAACAACTTTGCTGACACCTCTCAGCTCGGCAGATTCTGACACCTAGACATCCTGGGTCGCGTCACATGACCGCTTGACATCTCCGTCTCTGGTAATTTCAAAGACAACTGAATTGTTCAAGTTCCGCTTTGTGTCGCATACGCAATCTTGGGCAGTGGCCATCGGACTTAGCAATGTGAGGTTGCCCCAGCCATAACGCAGAAGCAGTCGGTCCAACAAGGACTACCACCTTTGTCAAAACATTCAAAAATTTGAGAATTACGCGTCAAAAGAGCGTCTGAACCACATAGCGCCCTTGAAATTCCGATTGACCTCCGTTGTCGATGGCGCCGACGCGTCCCATTCAGATCTTCGAAGATGTGGCCGGCGCTAACCAAGCTCCCATGCCGTCGCAAGGCTCAGAAAGCCTACATGGATCAATCTTTATTGAAGAAGCCATGCAATCTGCATTGCCAGCAAGTCACGATATCATTTTCAACCCACCCTCTTCCGGTTCAAGTGGTCGGTCCCCACTTAAACCTTTTCGCCAATTGAGCACCTCCCCTCCCAAGGCCAACATCACCAACCTCAACGTTTCCTTTCCTCCCCCTCGACCTTCAGCTTTCAGAACGGATTCACCCTCGAAGAAGCCAACATTCAGTATGTACTTTGCACCGAAGAATCCTCTCCGGCCGATGTTCAATGCATTTCCTGCTTGTAGCGCAGCCGATAAAGAAAATAGGGCTCCTTTCCTACACAATGAAAACATAGCCGAGTTTCCTGACCCCGCTTGTGGCCTTCAGCCAACATTAAAGAGATCATTTCCAATCACGGGAACGCCACATCAGCATAGTGTGAAGAAGGCGCGGGCAGAGGACCTACAGTCCGAGCTACCAGATCCAAAAAGTCTGCCAATCGTAGAAGATGATGGCTGTAAACCTCAGTATAGCTATGCTTCTCTTATCGGCATGGCAATATTGCGGTCTCCTGAGCGCAAGTTGACTCTGGCTCACATATACAAGTGGATCGCAAACTCCTTTGCTCACTATCGAAGGGCAACCGATGGCGGCTGGCAAAATAGCATTCGTCACAACTTGAGCCTAAACAAGGCCTTCATCAAGAAAGACCGGCCCAAAGAGGATCCTGGGAAGGGTCACTACTGGGCTATCAAGCCTGGGTGGGAGTCCCAATTCATCAATAAGGAGAAAGGAGGTCGGCGGCCAGCTTCATCATCTGGTGCTAGCCAGAAGAGTCTCTCCCAGCAACCATCTAGCGAAGCCTGTACTTCAGGCCCTCAGCTACCGGCTTTGTCAAAGCCGAATGCTGAAGCAAAGACTCAGACTAAAGAGCCTTCTTCGGATGCGACTGTCCCAGCCTCAGATGCGCCTTCTTCGTCAGATGAGGAGGCACATATCCTGACGCTTTCCGAGGCCGCAAGGCCTCAATCGTCCCCTTTACAGGAGATATGCTCGTCGCCGCCACTGCTTCCAGAGATCCGAGAGGATACCCCCTCCCCTGGACTTGACCTTGATCTTTCTTCCTTTTCGAAACCCCGGGCGCGCAAACGTAAACACGCAGACATGGATGACAGTGGATATTTTTCTTCTCTAGACTCGTCTGCGCTACGCCCTCACCCTGAGCCCAAACTTCCTAGGCTTGACCTTAGTCGTCAAAAAGTCAAGCGAGGACGTGCTGAAGAGGAAATCGCCCGCATGCGTTCCTCTTCCCATGATATCAGCCCAAATAGGGTCCGATCATTCATGAAGCAGGCCACCCCCTCACTTGTCTCTTCATCGCCATTGAGATCTTTAGACACTGCCTTGATGCCACCTCCTCTTACACCAGCTGCGAAATTGAAGTTTCCATTGAAACCTGCACCATCAGTATCTCCCAACACTAATTTGCGCATGCATCGCAACAAGATTAGGGATCTTATTGGTTCACCTCAGAAGCATGCCATGGGCGACAATTTCTATAGCCCTGCTTTCAAAATTGCGGAGGACAACCAACCTGGCTCGGACCAAAGTCTTGATGCTGGATTCAGTATTTTCAACGATATCGATGATGACATGGCGCAACGACCACCCATGAATTCACAACAAAAGCATTCCATTCGACGATCTGATCAAGCCTGTAGATCTTCCAACATCCTCGCAGACATCACTGGCACAAGCATCAACAGAGTTTCACCACCTTGCTTAAGGTTACCAGACTACGAATCACCTCTCAAACAGAAGTCCAATAGGTCCCCACTTCGCTTTGGCAGCACAGTTGAAGACTTCCCACAAGAGGATCTCTATATCAATTTTTCAGATGACGAGGAGCCTGACGATTTTGGGGGGTTTGATATTCTACAAGGATTTTCCAAAATCGGCAGTAACAAACCATCTAACGCAATCCAAAAGACGTCCCGACCGGCGCTAGGGGCCAGGAGTCACACAAGAAAGTTTTAGTTCAAACGAAGGGAGTCGATCAGTCCTCGGAAGCCCAATCGATCTAACAGCTTGGCCATGACGTTACTGACATTTATGTCTTCTGTAGTTCTGCGAGTGTTTTCAATGAGAGACTCCGACATCAGCAAGAGCTCGAGGGGTATGGGAGTTACGGGGAATGATATGTTTTTCCTCGGGATGATCTGGATGAATGCGAGATATGATTACGAAGCAGAATTATGGCATACAGGTGAGCATCGGCTCTGACGGTCGTCTCAAAGCTTTTTTTCGAAATTGTCAATGCATTTTTAAGCAGGGCGAAAAGGTTTCAATGTTTATAATCTACACGAGCAATGGACGGAGTATCGTCTGCAAGGCCGATGGTTCTCAGAAACAGGCATATATATTCATCATTGCCCTATGTTGGCAGGGTGCATGGCAGTCAGGCATCGTTTTCAGCGCCATTGCTCCTACGAAGGAAGACATCATTGTCTTATCGGAAGCTTCACGCCACCTTCTACATCACGAAAGCCTTTCCACTCTTCATCACTCTCCTCAACGCTCGGTACCCTGTTATCCACGTTGCTTACTTCCTCGCCCCAATTCCAAATCCACCCAGCCCCAACAGCGAACCGTTTCCCCATCGCAGCGCTGAAAGCACTGACATCGCTCCACATCCTTGCCTCTTCTAGCCATCCGACGACCTGTGCTAGCACATCGACCTCCAGTATCTCCACCCCTGTTTCTTCTCTCTTCTTTTCCTGTCCCTTCTTCCCTGCCTTTCCTCTCTTGCCCGCCTTCTCTGACCTCTCGTCTTTTCCCAAGACCTTCACCAACTCCAGTTCCGGCACCTGCACAAGATTCCATGGCTCCCCCCTCGCCTTCTCCATACTGTCATCTACGAGTATCGTATTCCACGGTCCCCACCTCTTTCCCTCAGTATATCCAGGGCAGCTCCTCTGTACGTCCTCATCTGCCCACACTGTTCCAAGCCTCTTGTACACTTGAACTTTCTCCACATAATCAGCTTTGCTCAAACCCAGGGTGTCGCGGCCCCATATCCCAACAAGCTGGGTTAATTGGTCGGGCGCGAAGAGCTGGCTGCATAGAGACTGGACATTTCTCGGCGTCGCCGAGGACCAGATCAGGATCTTGTAGTTGGAGAGACAATGGGATAAGAAGGCGGGGAGGTGGAGGCGCGGTCGATAATACTGGGTCATTCTATTGCGGGCGATGAGGGTGCCATTCAAGTCGAGGATAAGAAGTAGAGGTTGGGGATTGAGAAGGTGGCGGGGCGGTTTGGTGACACGAGAAAGGTAGTCTGCCGTAGGGATTGGGGTAGAAAGGCTTCTGGCCAAATGCGGTTTCGACGGCTTTTCGATGGTTTGAGTGTCTTTCAGCCGGTTTGAACGGCGAACACTATCTACTGTGTTAGAAGAGCCCTTCTTGACTCTCCTATACGAATTCTAGTATCTTTCTTCGGTTTCAACGAGGGTCACTTACGCGGAAGTTGCCATTTGTCGCTTCTGAGCTTCCGAGCGAGACAATTGTGCCCATCTTGAATTTGGATTCGTGACATGTGACGTTGGCTCAATGGAAGGAATTACTACATCACGTTGCCATAAGGTACTTCTTTTAGGTGGAAATGATTGAATACTTTGTGTCTGCGGATTGATCTCGCGTCCACTTCGAATAAGCGCGGTTGAGCTGCCCAGCGGCGGTACGTCCAGCGCAGTGTACGAGGGAATAGAACTCCACGGGCGATCCTCGCTGGCTTCATGATGGTACGGAGGCTTCGCTTGATCATCATGCTGAACGAAACTCCCTGTCTTTCGGCCACGCCGCTTATGAGGCGGTATATAGGTTCTTGGAGTTGGAGTTGGCGTTTCGAGACTTAGGGACTCAAAGTCTAATGTACTCTCGATTGACATACTGTGAGTCGGTAGAGACCGTCTTCTGATGGGAATCAGAGGGCTGCAAACGGACGCCCGTTTGTTGGACAAAAGGTGCTTGAACATGTGCCATTGAAGGTGCGCGCAATCGGTGTAGAAACGCTTAAGACAATGAGCCAACGATAGCACGCCAAGCCGCATGTCGTGCAGCGGGTACGAGGCCCGAACCCTGAAGCCTAACCACCTCATTGGTACAGGTCTGCATGAACTTTGAACCTGTCTACCGAGCTCGTCAGTAATGGCAAAACGTAAGCGGGTAGGCACCGATGCCAGATCAGAGCCACCTATTGGCTTGAAACAGCAGGTGGCGCACGGAAATAATGAAGCTATTCTTGCTGATGACGATTATCCTAAGCAATTTCGCCGAATCCATGCATACAAGGGCAATAGTGAGGACGAAGATCCGCTCGACGGGACAGGTGATCTAGACCAAAGTCACCCCTCGGTTGCCGCCCCGATTGATTCAGATGACGGTGCATCGGAAGACGAGATCGAGGCAAAGGATCACGCTGGATCGTCCACTACTTCATATGTGGGTCATTAGGATCATCTGATAGTCTACCTACCGTGTGCTGAAAAAGAACAGTCTGTCCAAAGCGAAACGATTGAGCACGTAAATGAGCTCCCAAATGAGGATGTTGCAACCATTTCGTTCGGTGCACTAGCGAAAGCCCAGGCCACCTTGGGAAATCCACAACGAACCAACCATAACCGGAGTGCCGGCCGCAAATCCCAATCATCGCAGTACGAAAAGGATATCGAAGCACTTGAGCGCCGTGCCGGGAAGAAAGACACTCGCGATTTTGATCGGACGTCAAAACACGCCCCAGCTGAGCTGTCCTCCAAGAAGGCTGTCTCGCGAAAGCGCTCTGCAATCCCCGTCCACCACCCTGACATCCGAGATCCACGATTCGAGCGAACCAGCGGCTCTGTCAATCGTGAACAAGTGAGGAGAAACTATGCTTTCCTTTCCACATACCGTGATGGGGAGATTGCGGAATTAGAAGCTGGACTCCGCAAGACTAAAGATGCGAACGCAAGGGAGAAGATGAAGAAAGCTTTGTTAAGTTTGCAGTCGAGAAAGCGGACGGAGGAGTCGAAAGAGCAGCAGCAGGAAGTACTGAGGACTCATCGGAGGGAGGAGAAGGAGAAAGTCATGAAGACCGGGAAGAAGCCGTTTCATCTGAAGAAGAGTCAGATCAAGGAACGGGCATTGCTGGAAAGATTCAAGGGTTTGAAGGAGAAGCAGATAGATAAAGCAATCGAGAAGAGGAGACGAAAGGTCACTGCTAAAGAGCGGAAGGGGATGCCAATAGAGAGGAGAGAGTGAATTGTACGACGATGATGATAGCGAATCTGATAATGTGGAAGGCCTGCAACATGCAAAGTTGATTACTAAGTCTAAGATATGCAAGGTCCAGTTCCTATGATTGACAATAATAGCGTATGTCACCTCCTGAAAGAATCTCGATTTCGATCACGCTCCCTGTCTCGACTAGGATCTGGACTCCTGCTTCGCCGTCTCCCTCCATCTCGGTCCATGAAGTCTCTCCTATCACTCGGTCTTTGGGTCCCCCGGTCATCTCTTCGATATGGGTCCTCGTTACCTCGGTGTGGATCATCCCGACCCCTACGTGCCTCGTCTCTTGGTCTATACGAAGGTATGTAGGTATCGACTTGCGGGGCCCCTCCCCCTCTCGGCCTCGGTCTACTGTCATCATACGGTGGTGGCCGCTCTCTAGGAGGGCCTCTGTCTCTTGGGCCGTCGTGAGGACGTGGACCTGAATATCCTGGCCCTCCTCTAGGTATGTCAACAGGCGGCCGTGGGGGCAATCCATTTGGCGGTCCTCTCTCCCATGCTGGTCGACGCTCAGACTGTGGACCCCCAGTAGGAGGCGGAGGCGGGACTCTGGAGCCGTACGGCGCTTGGTCACGGTGATCGTAGCCGTTCCGTGGAGGTGGATAAGGCCTACGGTCTTTGAAAGTTCCCCGAGGTGGGTATTGGTTGGAACCGTTGGGTGCGTTGCCGTTCACAAATTCGCTCTCATGACCCATTCCGACAGCTCCACCAACAGGAGCAGGTGGTGGCTTGATTAATTGCTCACGGTTCTTTCTTCTGTCCAGCTCGTGCGACTCCTGGAATTCTGGGATGTCTCCAGGCTTCGAAGGAAGAGGCTCTGACCTGAAGTAAGGATGCTGAAGGGCATCCATAGCGTTCACTCGAGTACGCCAATCAAGTTTGAGGAGTTCACCGAGAAGCGATATGAACAACGACCCCTGATCACGGAACGCGGTGTTCAGTGTGCTGTGCCGCTTAGGGAATGTTTTGATACCTTCACACCCGCGCAAGGTGCTCCAACCGGGCATGTTCTCTTCGGTCGGTGATCCCATGAGAGTCCATATACGATTTACCTGGTCTAGATCACTGCTTCCGGGTAGAATGGGCTTTTTCTGGAACATCTCGCCAAAAACGCAGCCCACGCCCCACATGTCGATGGCGGGTGTATACCTCTCAAGCTGAAGCAGTAGTTCAGGAGGCCGATACCAACGAGTGACAACAATCTGCGTATATCCCCTCGTAGCTTCTCCATTTCCCTTTCCTGGCTCGGGCGGTGGGTCATCGTACGGTCGGGCTAAACCGAAATCTGCGATCTGGAGGATACCCTCGTTACTTATTAGGAGATTTGCAGCCTTCATATCCCGGTGCAAAATTTTACTTTTGTGGAGGTATGCAGTACCTTCCAATAACTGTATCATATAACATTTGAGGTGTGCTTCCGTCAGATGAACAGTCGGATTCTCTAGTAGTCCAGAAAGGTCATGATCCATGAATGGTGTTACCATGTAAACCGTAGCCGGCGGAGGCTTCGCACCCTCCTTGGCTTTACTATGCTCCAATGCCATGTCTTCCAATTTGAGTACATTCGGATGTGAGAGCATTTTCAATATTTTTATCTCACGAAGTGCTGTCACTGGGAAACCATCCTTCTCTTGATGCCTAACGATCTTTTTCAAGGCAATAATCTCACCCGTCCGCCTCGATTCTGCTTTGTAGACCTCTCCAAAGGTACCCTCACCAAGCTTTGACATGAGCGTGTAATGTCTCATACTGGAACACCCTTGGAACCTCTTCGTCGTTCCATCTCGGGATAATTCAAGAGACTCTCCAGGTCTTTTGCTTCCAGCTAGTTGACCATTAGGTGTCTGAGGATTGACGACCCGGCTGGGAGTGGTCATAGCTGTCGGTATCACTTTTGATGAAATCGCAAGCAGCTTCGTTGAGCAGTAACGATTGATGATCGTATGGAGAACGTGAGCCTGATCAGCTGCACACAGATCGATTGCAAGGAATTTAGTTGACACGGCTCATCGAGCGCCATCTTTCAGTTGCCTCTCATTTCGAAGAATTCTATGGTGAATACACATATTCGACGAGAGCGCGCAGGAAATCGTGTTGTAGTCCAAACGATGTCTGAGCGCAACTGCTTCAATGCTGGATCCGATAGAGCGAGAAGATAATGTCTGATGCGAACATATCCGCGCGAAGGGACACGAAAGATCTGTTGTCAAGCTCCTATTAAGATGTGTTTAATAGTGAAGGAATGATCGACATAGATCTCAATCGCGGCTTTACCCGACTACAAACGCGCCGCATTCACAATTCTAAAAGTGACCCCAGTGCTCTTCCGTTGAACGAAATGAGTCTCTAATATGAAGTTTCATTGATATACTGAGTCAGTTGACATGTGGAATCGTATCCTTTGAGTGTCGATGCTAACATAAATGTTATTATCAGTTTCGTCAGAGGACTCAACACCATGGCAGGCGGCCCCGCTGCCCACGGCAAGAATCCTTTTCCAGGTCATCCCATTCACGTTCATCCGGTAAGCTCTTCCATCAGTCCACCAGAGAACTCTCCAGCGACTGACAGATTCCTCCGAAATCTAGGTTCGGCCATTTTACCGAGTCTCCGCATGGGCTTTGGGAACTTCAATGTGGTTCTTCGTAAGTACTTTCGCCCTTGTCTGGAAGACTGAACTCACAAGTCTAGCTCATGTACCGGGCAAGGAAGGATGGTGCGGCGCTACTAGGCTGGAGACACCCTTGGGACCATTGAACAGTCTCATGATGTACAGGGCTGAGACAAGTCGGGGATATGGCAAGCAGAAACTATCCACATGGGCCTGCTCTAAATCAACAATGATATGAGGAAACGCAATTAACATTAAGTCACAATTTGCTCGCCATACGTTTCAATATGTACAGCAAAGAACGATATTCATCACTTCAGGGTGAAACCCATCCTCCTATCTATTGTTGTCCCTTTAGGAACCGATAGTGTGATACCCCCCAGACGTTTCCTCCTCCATACGCAAAGAGCTCGGCGCAAGCCATGTAGAAGATCTGCCATCTGTAGTACCACATAGCGACGTTTTTCGGTCCATAAGTATTCACCAGATGCGGCCAGAGCTCCGCCTTGTGATCTATCATTTTCGAGAGCCAGTCCTGCATATGTCCCACTTAACAAGGCGATCGGAGAACATCTGGGACGAAACGTACCTCACAAGTCTGAGCATAGTGTTTTCCGTTGACCCACCATTGTTCTTGCAACTCGAGGTCCTTCTGGAAGTAATGCAACAGATCCGCAGACGGCATGGTACCACCAGTGAAGAAGTGTTCGCTCATCCAACCTCCGTCAAAATCGTAAGATGTCGAAACGTTGCTGAAGATGTGTACGAAAAGCTTGCCGCCAGGCTTCAGAGATCGTGCGATTTTACCCATGAGAAGCTCATAATTCTTCATATGCTCAAATAGCTCAATCGATATCACACGGTCGTAATACTCAGACTTGAACTCATGTTCCACCACATCTCCAGTCACAACGTGCAGGTTGGTAAGGCCTTTGGCGGTAGCCTGTCCATCAATGTATTCTTTCTGCGTCTTCGAGTTTGAGAACGCGGTGATTTTCGAGTTGGGATATATTTCAGCGAAGTAGAGCGCTCCAGATCCCCATCCACATCTTTTAAGGGCTATCGGTCAGCCATAGGTATCTATTCGCGCAGGTCGAGCGTTTTCAAACCCTAGATCTAGAACACGCATTCCATCGCTGAGTTGCGCTCTTTCGGTGTATAGCTCGAGCATCTCCACCTCGGCTTGCCCTAGAGTCTCTTTGCCAGTGGGATAAAGGCAAGAGCTATACTTCATCCTAGGACCTAGGCAGGCTTGCAGGACTCCCGTGCCCACTTCGTAGTGCTGAGTATTAGCAGTAGCTGTCTCGACGGCCATTGGGCGAGATCGGAGACTCTTCACGTATGTCATTTTCTTCTTGTAGGCCTCTTCGACAGACGTCGAATCGATCGTTCGAAGACGGTCGCGAAGCTGATAGCGTATGCCATATCGAATGGCTGCTTGTGGGAGGTAGCCTCCATCGAGTATCCAGTCTGTGTGAGTTTAGCTATAATTTATATTAATTATGTGAATTCGACAACGCACCGTAGCTCATGGCTGGGGTTTGATTTATGCTAGTTGCACTTCCAAGGTGAATGTCGCTGACTTTAAAAAGGCCATGCTATTCCCATTGGTATATGCAATAATCTAGGTCCTAACGATATTGATCCTTGCGAATGCGAATACGGCGGGAAAAAAAGACTTTATGAATTCGGTTGGTATTGATGTCATTCGGGTACATACAGGGTTATCACCCATAGCGTTTACAAATGCATGTCAGCTAAGATCATTTTATATTCCTTCTTCGTCTTCTTCTTGTTGCCCTGTCTCAATACGGCCTGCAAGTTCCCAATGTATTGAGCTAAGCGAGGAAACGTTCGCCTCTCCCCCAGCCACGCACAAGCAAAGCCTCCTAGTGCCAACACCAGAATGAAGAATTCGAAGTCCAGAGGCATAGGTGTTAGTTGCATCAATCCCGAAAGCCATTTCGCTGGATCTAGTAACAGGTATGCACAGAACAGCGATGTCGCGACGATTGTAACTACGAACGGTACTGGGCACTCGTCAGTTCGAACTTTGTTCTCAAATCTCGAAATACGCACAATTGTTTTGCATGGTTTGACGAAAAGGAGGCCCAACGCTGAGCACAACACCGGAAAAGATATATTGAAAATTTGAAAGGCGGAATAGTGTTGTATTGTCTGAATTTTCGATATTCGAATTCTCAGTGTCCAGAACCGGTGGAATATACCAAGCTTTTTGTCGGACGGAAATGAATCCAATAGCTTGTACGAGGAGGCAGAGTGCAATTTGGCCCATCAACGGCGTCAGAACCTTGCGTGATACCAGACTTGCAGTTGGCCGTTTGGGAGACAGCGTTGGATATGCCCCAGTCCACCCCACTAACGAAAAGTCAGCGCTGCTGCAACTTCTGAGTGACAATACTTTACTTACTGAATATAGCTACTGGAAGCACCAAAAATATGTCGATGAAGAGATACTGTTAATTGCATTAAAACTAATCGTAAAATGTAATCGGACTACTCACTTGGAAATCACCTAAATTCGAGGCGAATGAGTAGAGGAAGCTGACCGAGATAAATTGTATTGCAGAGTAAAGGCTCATGTACTTAAAGCAGCAGAAGCTCGTGACGAGTGCCGCCCGGCCCTCTCTTGAAAAGAATCAGCGCCGCCAATCAGCGATCTCGGAAGGGGATTGACCTACCTGATAGTCTCTGGAACACAGGAAATATCGAAGACCCTACTAGTAAAGGGAGCGGCGACAGATGCCTCAGCTTCTGACAATGAAATGCCTACATCTGCAGCCTTCAAAGCTCCGCAGTCATTTGCACCGTCGCCGCAAAACCCACAACAGTAGTCAATACTTTGAAGTCTCTCAACCAGCTCGTGTTTTTCATCTGGTGACATCCTTGCAAAAATTTGTCCTTGTACAAGCATCTGAAACCTGTGAGCTTCAAATCCCCGCAAAGGCGGCGGGTTAGCCTACCCTTTTCACTATCTCCTCGTTTGCATACTCAATGATCCATCGGAACACATCTCCGGTAATCGCAAGCGTATAATTGTCAGCATTGATGGGGTCTGCAGAATATGCCGTGTCGTTCTCTGTAGAAGCAGGTATGGGCTATTGTCATGAGCAAGCATGAACGTGCAAGAGAGTACGTTCTTACCAATAGGGTGTGCTCGTCGAGCTCGAGCAGCGTATTTTCCACACTTTGCCATTTCAATCGAGCTTTTGGATCTCTGTAATCTCCATCGAAGAAGTGTGGGATGAAGCAGTGTGCGCTTCGATCGATCAGCTTACACTCTCTAGCAACGCTTATGGCAGTAAGAATGTTGTCTCCAGTACACATGATCCCACGAATTCTAGCGTCGTTAAGTTCATCGATAGTATCCGTCGTAGCGTCTTTAAGCTTGTTCTCAAAGACGATGAATCCGAGAAATGTCAAATTTGACTCAGCGTCTCTTCTCGTCATCCTCTGGACTTTCGGCCAATCAAGGGAATCGATATGTTTCGAGGCACAAGCGATGACACGATAGCCTCTTTGAGTGTAGTAGCTCAGAAGGTCCTCGAAGTCGCTGGGGACTCCTTTGTTGTTACAGATTTCTCTCATACACTCGGGAGCACCTTTGACATATACATCACCTCCTGTGGTACCAGACTGACCCACGACGACACTTGCGCGGCGTAGGTTTGATACAAATTCAAATGTCTTAAGCGTACCGAGCTCGAATGGTACTTCCTCCGAGGATTTGGTGCTACTTAGACGTGGGTCAGTGCCTACGGGAGGCCTTGCAATCGAGGACGCAGAGCCTGAATTTTCCCCATCCTCTGAAGCTGTCTTTTGTACCATTTCTTCAAAAGACCAGCCCGTGAATTGAAACATCTTTAAGTCTAGAGGATCGCCGAGGAGCTCCCCGTCCACAGAGCGCAGTGAGTGGCATGTAGCCATTGTGTATAGAATCGCTTGATGTACTCTATAATCAACAGTAGGATCCCTTTCGTACTCCGCGCCAGGTAGAAGAGTCTGCGCATCTTCGAAAATGTCACTGAAACGCATGACTGGACTGTTGACCACTCGAGTCCCAAGTACGTCAAGGCCGTCTTCCGTTAAGGTTCCAGTCTTGTCAAAGCAAATGACGTCTAGTTTCCCGGCGACGTTCACCCTTTGCGGACTTATGCAAAAGATGTCTTTTCGCTTAAGACGAGATAAAGCGAAGTTTGTCCCAATGGTCAATGTAGCTGGCAGTGCTGGAGGCACGACGATAGTAATTAAGTCGAGCGCTCGGACAATTATGAGGTGCCAGGCTAGTCTTAACCTCATGAAATTTACAAGGGAAGCCGTGAACCCAAGAGCTGCAATGCAAGCCATGACAGAAATGTACCTGAACGCATCACGATAAAACTTGAAGCCTGAGGGTTTAGGGAACAGCATTGACCTTACGAGTGAGCCCTTCGTAGTATTGAAGCCGGTTCTGATAACAATTGCTAAAGCAATTGCTTCGTCGTCCTGCCCGTCTTGAGGGCGCCTTGCTCTGATCACCTTGGTGCCGTTGAAAAGGAAATGTTTCGCCAATTCCGGATGCATTGAAGTAGCGCTATCTTTGAGCAGGTGGAGAGAGCCATTTGTTGCTGAAATTTTGGCGACCGGCACGGATTCCCCTAATATTTTGTTAGATTCTCCTTTAAATGATCCATTTCTGGACCGGATACGGACCCGTTAACATGCTCTCATTGACAATGCAATCTCCAGCAAGTAAAAGGCTATCGCAAGGAAATTGGGTCAACGAGGGATCTGAAATCTCGTAGACATCGCCTGGTACAAGCTCGTCGCTCGAGACTTGACGCCCTACACAATATCAGAAACTGAAGATGATCACTAAAATGGTGATAAAGTACAGAAGCTATTGCGTAGCACCCTGACATCGCATTCAAATCGCGAAACCTCCCGCAAGCGTTTCAGTGTCTGTAAATTTAGTAAAAGTCCTTGACATGACGGTCTGGAAAACTCACAGCGCTTGTTTCCACCAATGTAGTAGTAATGCTGACAATCGAGATGAGGAATATACAGGCGGCATAGTAGTAATACTGGTCAAGAGACCAAAGAATCATACTCGCTATCTGGAATATGTAGAACGGATGAAGTACCTGCTGCTCTCAGCAAATAATGATCTGTTAAGGGGCAAAGACAAACCTCGTCTACTAGCAATTGGCTCATGGGTTTCTCCTGAATGTCGATGAGATTCTTGTCAAAGACCAACTCCCTTCGATTTCGTTCTTCAATGTCTAGGCCTATCCGCATTGTCTTTACGCTGGTCCATGCAGGATCGGTCCAACTGCTACACAGTATGAATTTATCTTTGAACGGATGAAAGCACAAGCGCACAAAGCGATAGTCGAGGAAGCATATCTCGGACAGAATAGGATCTTCTTCCTCATCGTAATCCGATGAAGAACCTTTTGAATAACATGGGCCGAAAACAGTAGAGAGGGGGTAACCATAGGACGTTCGGGTTATATTTTGGACAGTCATCTCACCCCATTGATTCTGATGGCCTTTAGCTGAGCTCCTCGACCTAAAGTGGCGATCTGGCGGTCCTACCTCGATCACGACCCAGTCACAGCTTCGCAATGGGTTTGAAAAGCCGATTAAGCGTACTTTCCAGCTAGGAAGCCATTTCATTGCAAGATAGCCCGAGCCAAGTGTGGCTACACATAAAAGGACATAGATCGCAAATCCGATCGGCCTAGTACCGAACCCAGCTATAGCGATGGTCAAGTCTTCGCTGATCACATATATCTTTTGGCTGTGGCGTCCTGAATGATGAAAGTCGCTACCCTCAGATTTTGTGGAGCCTCGACGCAGAAGTAAAGGGTCCTCGACAGAAGATCTTGAGAATGCAGAAGATTTACGTCCCTGCGGAGATGTACGCCCAACTTCAAGATCATGGTCAAATCTTGACTGCGAGACTTTAAAGTGATCGTAAATACTGTCGTCTTCGTCTACTACGGCTTGATCTTCTGACCACTCTGGAGACTCGTCGTCTTCCTGGAAATAAGTAAAGCTTGTAACAGAATCTGTTCTTGGGCGCCGGTGGGCAAAACCCGTAACACTCGAAGGAATACTCTCTGACATCGGACCAGCAAACACCTGTAAAGAAAATGTTCAATTTGATAATGAGAGCTAGTGCTCGATGGTTGACAAACCTCATCATGTGCCATTTCAACATCTGATACGAAACTAGCACTGTTCGAAATTATCAGTCATGTTGACAAGACAAAAGATGTTTCGCTACTTACTTGCTCTGTTGGGAATCTCGGCGATGCAATGATGCATTTCCATACGAGTACTCATCTTGCCTATAGTTTGATCGAGTGCTACCCCGTCTGGCCCGTGCAATTGTCCTTGCTTCTGAGTTACCCATGATCCCAGATTCTCCTACGAAACTTCTGACTGTTTATTTTGGCTACATTGAATCGCAATGCGAATGCTATCCGCTGCTATGCCATGTCAAGATCGATTTCCCAGGGTCCATTGAAGGAAAGTCTCGCTCCGTCTGGCATACAGCAACATCAAAATCATTTTTCTCCATTATGACAGTAGCTGAGGTCTTCGATCTTTTGGAGAATAATTGGTCAGAATACTCGTTACTAAGTCGAAAATACCAAGCACATTGCTGAACGGTTGGAAAAGTTGTAGGGCTGAATCATGAGTCTTGACAAGCGCGACAGCCGCACACCACGAGCTTCAAGCAAGCTAAAGTTCTTCTGAAGGAGTCTCCATACAGCAAGCCTTGACACAAACAACGATGTCTTTCGGAAAGCTATACACACGTGATGTAAGCTCGAGACTTCCCTGTTCGACTTCATGCTGTCCACGCTAATATCGTTCCCGTTAGGGAAACCCACGCTCTATTGCTATCCGTGCGGTTGCACAAGCGAACAAGCTTGACATAGAAGAAGTTGAAGAGGACATAAGAAAAGGGCCACTCTCAACAGAGTACCTGAAGATCAACAAGCTTGGAAGAATCCCTTCGTTTGTGGGTGCAGACGGCTACGAGTTGACGGAATGTATTGCGATCGCGATCTACAGTAGGTTCTTATATTCATAACAGAGAGACTCTTACAATATCACACGCATGATGAGAATCTTAAATTTCAGTTATCCCTGTCTGAAGACTACTGTTGAGATATATTCACACTCTGACCCGACACGAGAATTCAATCATTCTTTCAACGTACATAAGTTACGTAGGCGGTATTTGACTAATGCTCAATAGTCACATCTCAGAACGAAAAGACTTCTTTACTTGGAAAAACTAAGCAAGATTATGCCTCAATCGTGCGCTGGATGTCGCTCGCCAACTCTGAAATCCTCCCTTGTGTTGGAGCCTATTTTCGTCCAATCCTGGGCCAGGATCCCTATAACAAAAGAAATGTCGACGAGGCCCTCAAAAGCACCAACAAAATCGCCAAAGTCCTGGACGAGCATCTTCTCGTTCACACCTTCCTTGTCGGTGAGCGCATCACCTTAGCTGACCTGTTCACGGCCGGCATTCTTAGCCGCGGCTATCAATATATCTTTGATAAGCAGTGGCGCGAGGACCACCCAAATGTAACTCGATGGTACGATACTGTGAAGAATCAGCCGATGTATTCCAGCGTAGCGCCTAAGATTGACTACATTGACGAGGCACTCAAGAATCAAGCCCCGAAGAAAGACAAAGAGGAAAAGCCAAAGCAGGAGAAGGCGCCTAAGGCTGCAGCTGCACCAAAGCCAAAGGCCAAAGAGGTTGACGAAGAGGAAGAGGAGGAGGAGGAGGCGAAACCTGCACCCAAGCCCAAACACCCTCTTGAAGCGCTACCCAAGCCAACCTTAGTCCTTGATGACTGGAAGCGGACGTATTCAAATGAAGAAACTCCGGTTGCTTTGAAGTGGTTCTGGGAGAATTACAACCCAGAGGAATACTCGCTTTGGAAAGTGGACTATAAATATAACGAGGAGCTGACGCAGACGTTCATGACCAGCAACCTTATCGGTATGTCCAACCTCTCATACTTTGTGTGAATAGATCATGTAGCATTCGCATGCTTACAAGGCATAACATCATCAGGTGGTTTCTTCGCTCGTCTCGAAGCTTCACGCAAGTACATTTTTGGATGTGCCTCAGTCTATGGAAAGTCAAATGACAGCGTCATTCAAGGCGCTTTCGTGATCCGCGGCCAGGAAGCTCTGCCAGCTTTCGATGTAGCACCCGATTACGAGAGCTATGACTTTACAAAATTGGACTCCAGCAAATCCGAGGAGAAGTCGTTCCTGGAAAATATGTGGTTATGGGAAGACGGAGTGAAAGTGAATGGAAAGGAATACCCTTGGGCTGACGGTAAGGTGTTCAAGTAGGCAAAGAATTAGAGGGGCCGCGATGTTGCTCGTCTCAATTGAAAAGAGGTCCCAGGTTTGTGTGGCACGAGAGGCGGTTCGAGGAGCGTGAGAAAAGCTTTCGCTTCATGTAGATGACACTGTATCCTCATACATGATCCACTGGCCTACGCCTTGATCATTCACAGTCGTGGAAAGGATGATAAGTTCAACTATCTATCGCTCAAGATGGCCAGATCAATTATTTCATGCCTGGCATTCATGACTCCTCAACAGCCGTGACCAAATTCCTTCTGCTTATGTCTTCATTGCTTTTAGAATCCTAAAGCAAGATTCTTGTTCGCCCTTTTTCCACAGGGCGACATAAATTCGACGCTGAAAACGCAATCAGCTCAAGTATTGCTCTATTGCCCACCATTAGTACACGCCTCAAACCATCGTTGCGGCGGTGCTGAGGGCTGCAGGCATTGGCGTCGGTAAAGATACATCCATGTCTGGAAAAATAGGATGCAGAGCGTACACAGGTCCCTTGCTCTCTTCGCCGTCAAAGAGCAGGAAATTTTGGATAGGTTGCTCCCGTTGGCCGAGAACATTTATCACATCCTGTGCCAATTGACCTCCTAGAAATGCTGTGACAGGTGCCAATTCATTTCCCAAGTTTTGCATGAAGCTCCTAAGAATCTCCGGCCGTAGCGTTTCTGGAGGTAATTGTAACTCTTGGTGCTTCTGGTGTGCCAGGGTAGTGAATAATTCAAGATCTGGGATGGATGGGCCAGGAAGTCTGCCGGAGATGTTCTCGAATTCCCAAATAGCCCGAAGACAGGAGAGTAAGGGTGGCACCTGCAGCTTGCGACGGCGGGAGTTCCGAAGATCTTCTGGCAGAGGTGATGTATTTGCCAGCGGAATTGGGGTGTAGATCTCTTGCTTTGTGACCATTTCGATCACTTTGCCATCCTGCCTCTTAGTACTAGTTGAGACTATATTTCTGGTAGGTGTTTCACGACCGGCAACAGTTGGGCGGTTAGACTTTTCTCGCTCAATCACGAAATGGTGCTGATTAAGATCGGCGAAGATGAAGCCGTAGAGTCCATGGGTAGCGGCTGCATAAAATGGTTTACCAGAAAGCCTTGAAGCTGCATTGATGGTCGAAAGCGTTTTGAGGTCGAGGTCAGTCGCTATGACCATATCGTAGGGCACATAGAAGTCCACGTCTTTAGTCCTGATATCTTGGGTTTCAACATTCACAATCACTCTTGGGTTGAGTTTTCGAACATGAGGAGCAGCCGCCTCCGCTCTCTATGAGAAGTATAAGGGACTTGCAATCGCAGCCGTGAAGGAGCGCGTACGTTTTTGCCCACATCCTCCTCGGAAACGAAGAATTGAGCGCCCAAATCCTCGTCTTTCACGGTTTGGTCGTCTTGCACTGTCAAGGATCCGATGCCGGCAAGCACAAGGTTTTTCGCGATCTCATTTGAGAGCGCTCGCACGGTAATGAGCAAAATCTTAGCATTGCGGAGTCTAGTCCTCGTGAGCGAAGGCCAAGGTTGCGCATTAGCTTCAATGTTGTTACTTTTCTTGGGCTTGAACGCCCCACAGCCGAATCTGCCGGTCATAGAGGGCAATCTCATCTACATGTACTCAGCAAGGACGTCTAAGCTTCGATCGACGTAGTTGCGCAATTACCTGCACTGATGCTCCGATTGCCATTCATTTGGGTTCCGACTTCATTCGAAGGTGGTACATCGGGCGTGTTTGCCACCACGGTGGGCTCGACGCCATTGGCTTCGGGAACGTGAGACTTTGCGTCACTCATGTTTAGGGAGATACCATGGAGGATGAGATGGACGTTGACACCCTTAAAGGGGGAGCTCAGAGTTCTGCTGTACAGAATCTTGAATTCGCGTGATTTATCTTTAGCTCTAGGAGGGCCCGGGTACCCCTCGTACGGCTTTCGGCGGGATGACGCTTGTTAGCGCACGGCCTCCCGGGCGGAAAGTCCCCAAACTGGGCGCTTGGGCCCTGGGGCCTTGGTGGCTCTGAGGCGTTAGCTGCGGCGGCAGACTGCAACATCTCCTTGTCTGTCTACAGGGCTGAGCTCCAACGCCCAACATCCAGCCTTCTCGTGCAACAACTGTAACCATGTCCATCGATGAACATCGAGGGTACGTAAAGACTCAGGAGAGGCTTTGATCAGACCGTGCCCTGCGTCTCGCCCTACCGAGTCTCCACCGCGTCCGTCTTCAACCCCGCAATCAAATCAATTTCCATGGGCACGCCCTTCTCCCCCGCCATCATGGTAAGCAACATGAGCCTCGCCCTGCTTTGCAATGTGCTTCGCCAATCATACCTCTTGTTAACTGTGTAATCGACTCTCCCAGTCCGGCGGCTTCGATTTTCCTCCTGCATCAGTCGACACAGACTCCTCGTCCGAGAATCATAGACCTACCACCATCGATCCTCGTGTCACGCAAACCAGCTTTCCACAAACGCAGATCGATCTCTTGCGACAAGAACGAATGTATGTAGAGCAACGAAGGAGCTCTCACGACGTGCGGCTCGCACAGCAACGTCCGATATCAGCATTACATGCCAGCACACGCCGACAACATCACGAAGATCAGGCAGTTGCGAATCAGAATTTCCCCACTTCGGCCATAAGACCTCGTGTAGTAGGCTCACGTATCCGACGCCGTCTGAACAATAACGCGAATGCTTCTTCCAGGACTTCAATGCACGTCGCAAGCTTTGGTGTTGGTTTACCAGAACCTACACTACCGCGCGTCGGATCAGCAGCCATGGTTTCCGCAGAGTATTCGGGTGAAGCCGAAGTCAATCGAAGGAGGAAACGATGTAAGCTGGACGAGGACCGCTTGACTAGAGGCACGAAAACTTTCAGCTATGGTTGGAAAGGTCAGGTCGTGCCTGGGCCTTTGCGGATGGAAATCCACTCATGTGACGGCGGACTTCATAATGAAGCCTTCCAACAAGATCGCCACCAATACCATAGAGACAATATGCTCTGCAACGATAAAAGTGTTTATTGCACAGATCGAGGCCATTGCAACATTATACTCAAACATGTAGGAGAGGCTTCCTTCGAATTAAAAAAGCTGGTCATCAAAGCTCCCGAGAGTGGCTTCACCGCGCCGTAAGTTCACCTCGCATGAGATGAGACAGCGGCATTTGACAGCCTAGTAGTATACAAGAAGGTATGATCTTCATCTCCATGACTAGCAAGGACCTTCTGTCCCGGACATCACCATATCATCTTTGTTCTGAGTACCCTAGCGACTGTGAGTCTGGAGAAGGGTCTCTCAGTTGTTCGACACCACTCTCATCAAGCCGGCCGATCTCGCGCCGAAGAGACAGCGCTGCACGATCAGTTCCACCTCCCGTTTCGGACATCATGTTACGGACCTTTCATAGGAATGACTGGAGAATCTCAGAACCATATCCCAGGTATCCAATATCCACGGCATATCAAGCACCGAACAGATATGAAGTAGACCCAGAGAGTATCGAACGACGAATGTCACCCTCAAACGTCGCCGTCGTAAATCAGGGTTTCATAGTAACGTCTCATTGCAACGATCCTTCCGGAGACGAAGAGGAAGAATCGTCTCCTGCAACGCTTGCTGATCGCTACAATCGCGAGCACATGCCGAACACCGTCTCCCCAACTTCGGAGGAGGATGCGGACGAAACCTTCGACCGAGCGATGCGAGAAAGGAGGCTTGGTCTATCGCCCAACCGGCTACCCTATCAAATGCGGAGGGGCAGACGAAAATCTACGCCTTCGACCTTCGAGGTCGTAGATGACGAAGAATGCAAAGTTGCAATGGAGGACGTCCTCGCCCCTCACGCAGAATTCTTCATCGAAAAAGACAAGAGCGTCGTCAGTATCTCATTCGAGCCACCTGTGTAAGTCTTTATCCTCGATCCTGGAACGTCCGTCTTCCATGTATTCGCGCGGACTAACAGAGCGCGTCAGTGCTGGTAAATATATACTCTTAAAGCTGTGGAGTCCTTGCAACAAGAATATCGATATTCAAAGCGTCATCGCTCATGGCTTTGCCGGGCCCAGGATGTTTCCTGCGACTCAGATGTTATGATCTAGCCTGAACAATTTAACGATCTTTCACGAGTATTAAGTAGCCTACTGTAAATCGTGATGGATGGGCATTCTTGATGATCGACAGGGGCCAAGCTCACTGATCGGGATACCTTGATTCGTTCGCCGATATTGATGAAGGTCAGAATCAAAAAAGGCTTGCAATATGAAGCGTGAGATAAAATGCAGTAAACTCTGTAGACCAATTTTTCTCTCTGCGAAAGAAGGCTACAGGTTGGTCGAGCGAGTAACTCCTACGCTAGCATATGGTATCAATCATATTCGACATTCCATGCCTCCCAGAAACGATTCTGCACAACCCTACCAAATAGTAGTCAAAGATTGATGACAACAACAGATACCCAAAGTAAGCGTCTGCTGTTCCGTGGTCGAAGCCAAACAATGCAATACCACCAACTTTCCTCTCTACACCTCAGCCTGCCCTGGTTTCAGGGAATACTTCAATAGCGATGCTAGAAATTTTGAGCTATCATTCGGCACTTTTGCACTATCCAATACTATGAAATTTCCGCTTTGCTTCATGCAGAATCATAAGTCATATCAGAAATCAATTGTCAACATACCACCACATCAGCTGGATCCGAGTTCGTGTGGGTCGTCACGAAACCACCGTAGTCAGCCAGCGTCCGTGGAGGGGTCTGTTGCTGGGGTAGGTCTAGGTCGAGCCCAATACCACTGTCGTCATTAGTGTCGTCGTATTGCATTTCTTTCGTCAAGGATGGCGGCAATATACTGTGGCCAACTTGCTGAGGGCTACAGTCCTGAGACCGTATCTCATGCTGTTTAGTTGGCTCACGAGAGTTCTGCTCACTGTTTCGTTGAGAGTTGGGGCGAGGATGTTGATGTTCGTGGGTTCGCGAAGGAGGTTCCTGCCCCGCGGACGAAGGCTTTGGGGGAAATGTACCTCGATGCGTTGGATGGTGCTCACAGAATCCAAAATAAGACGGCTCGTGCGGGTGAAACTGATGGCTTTGGGTGAGACTAGGAGCGGCTGCTTTGTGTTGTGTTCTTTGATTGCTGATATCTAGTTCATATCCAGGCCCAGCGCCTGCAGTGCTAGTTCTTGGCCTCGAGATTGGAGCTCCTGGATCAATACTGAATCCTGCGTCCTCCGCGGAGCGTTTTTTCGGTCTCATCTCGGTACTGCTTGGTGAAGTGTCTAAGAAGCCTCCCTTTTCTGCGAGCCACTGCAGCATCTCATCAACCCATACCTTCGCTACGGTCCATTGACCAAAGCTGACAGCAGTTGCCATGGTGATGTCTCGTAATGCTGCCGTTCCGACATCACTGACGCAATGTAGCAATGTCCGCGGATCTGCATTTGGGAATCTAGAGGGTAGACTATGCAAGAATGTCACCCATCGATCTAGAACTGAGCTCGTCGAACTATCATCTAGACTCTGGAGATTTGAGGTTTTTCCAAATGTATCACCTTCCACTGTCCTGTAAATCTGCTGCATACTCGAGTATGAAGTCATTGAAAGGGGAGAAAGGAGCTGTCGTAATTCACTGGTCAGAATTTGCACGGTTCGCGAATAGCCTACGCCCGGCAAGCAAGTTTCAGCAACTACGGTGGGTTTCACGTGGTGTACCCAGTCATGCCACATTTGTTGACGAGTTGCGTCGTTACCCAGAATATGGGCTGCAGCATGTGATGCCGCATTAACACGGAGCAACCGACTCAGCAATCCTGCGAAGATAATGGCTGGACCATGCTTTGCGTCCTGAACATGCTTAGGGTGGGATGAGAATGTACTCAACACATGGCGCCCAAGATTGTCGGAAATTGTCTGGAAAACGTTGGTAACAACCTCCGGCATGACCTGTAGAGCCAGTGGTGAGACGAAATTAATCATCTTCTGATACATCAGCCAGTCACATTCCCGTATCCAAGGTGCCAGATTGGGATGAGCGAAGAGCTTCTGACATGGGACGGTCAGCGTTCCATGGAAGGAAGAGAAAGAATGCCAGAACGATCTCTCTTTGCAAAATCGAACACAATCGATGATTGAGACACAGTGGGAACGATATAGTGCTTTCAATGCAGCTGCCGTATCAGTGTCAGTGCCAGCAGGAAGATAGTTCTGGATATCTGGCAATTCAACGGGTGCTTCGTCCAGGAATACATCGTTAGCCTCTTCGGCGAATTTGAGCTGCCGACTAATCATATTGTGTCTTGACGGTCCTTGCTGAAGGTCTGGGAGACTGGCGTCCAGATACAGGTGGCCTTTCGCGACTTTCCGTGACGGACGACCCAATCGAGGAGGTGGCAGAGACAGATCCGGGGAAGGAAATTCAGCTGTATCCGCTTGACCCTGTTGGTCCAGTCTTACACTTTCAGTCATCGGACCAGTAAAGTCCTCCATAGTCTTGGAGGCAATAGGCGCCTCGGCATCTGGTTCGTCTGTTACAAGCTCCAAGTCGACATAATGATATTTTGACTCGCCCCGCATTCCCAACCTCCGTGTGGTTATATCAGGAAAGATTATTCGGACGAGTTTGCCGAATGAGGCTGGATTCAGCAAAGGCACACGCTCAGTACCGCACCTTTGAGCGTATTGGGCATACACTCGGTTCCTTGGTACGGAGCTTGTGCTTCTTCGGCAAACACAATTCAGCCTACGAGCATCTGTCAGCGTGTTGATCACGACTTAGATTTTCCAATTATACCAAATCATTGCAAAGATCTGCTTTGTCTTTTCCGATTTGGGTCCCCGCTCGTTTGCAAGTACGGACCCTGCGACCTCCTTTAGATCTCTTTGACGATTCTCTCGGAATAGTCGTCGTAATTCTTGGTCGTTTGCTTGGCTTGAGGCATTTGCCTTGGGCTTCCTCTGAGCATCCTGCGACTCTGCTCCAATCTGAGCTTTATTCTCGCCAACTGTTGGGAAAGACTGGCTCTCCTTGCCATCCTGGGACCGAAACCGCTGCAGCGATGGTCTGTAAGCGTCAAAATTTCCGCTGTATGAGGTATCTACGCTCATGGCCCTCGATTGGGGTAACTGGTGTTGCATCGATGGGTCAGTGTAGCTCTGCTCTGGGTTGATCAGTTGCTGCTCTGAACGGGCTATCATCTCTTCAGGGCTGATCTGAGCCACAGGTGTCTGACCAGGTTGGTCGGGTTTAGGGTGAATAAACTGGAAGACATGCTGATAGGACTGCGTTGATTGCTCCAGTGGAGTATTGATGCTGGTAGTGGACGCTCGTGAGACTGGTCTAGGTCGACTGCTTGTCGTAGAGGCTGAGGGAGTAGATCTGTGTCTGGTGGCTCCGGGGGCCATGAGTGACGGAGAATCTTGGTATGCGAAAGCTGATCAATCCAACATTTGCTAGAAAGCAACAGCCGTGGACAAAAACGGTCAACTGCACAAGAGTGGCCCCTAGATAGACGAATACAGAGAACGAACGTCAAAGCTCTTGCGGTATGTGGTATCGACAGGAAGACTGCATGTAGCGTAGAGAAATTCCCCGGGTGCTCTGGTCAACACAGACAAACCAAAGATGGAAAGGGCGAGCCAGCGAGATTGGTCGCAAAGGAGTTTGTGATTCGGAATCAGGATGTCGAATGAATGGAACAGAAAATCGACTGTTACTATGACAGGAAGTCGCTCATGCGCCGCTGTCGTCGAACTAAATCTTTTGCGAGTAAGTCCTCCGATATCAATGTTTACAATACAATGGTTGCTCGGCACAACAGAGACCAGCTGCCAAGCCCGCTAGAGCCGGGTAGGACTAGACCCACCGAATGATGCAAGCCAGACTTCTGAGCGTTTTGACCAGCTTTTCTCAACATCAGTCTCATCAGGATAAGACACACCTTTGAACAAATCCGCTACAGATAAGACTCCACTTGGAATCTACACACTTCTTCCCGTCGAGAGCATTCCTTGACTCGCTATCATGTCTTTTCAAGACAAGGCACAACATCAAATTGGACAGCTTGATAAGGAAGTACGTCGCTCTCGTAACTTGTGACAGCCTCTTGTTGATTCAGTCATTCTCTGAATCATGAGCATTCGAGCATCTGTTTATTTGACAATGCTGATGCTGCCGGTAGCTATCAAAGTATCCTGCGCTGAATAATTTCGAGAGACAAACGTCCGTACCTAAGGTCTACGCTATCCTTGGTCTGCTCGGGGTCTATTTCTTTCTCGTCTTCTTCAACATCGCTGGCGGTTTCCTCGTCAATTTCGCTGGATTCCTCATCCCAGGATACTACTCGCTGGAAGCATTGTTCAGTTCAAGCAAGACCGATGACACTCAAGTACGTGATAAAGATCCCAATAATAGAGGACTCAAATCACAATACTAATTCATATGCAGTGGCTGACTGTAAGGGAAACTCTCACTCTACTCATTTGGCTGGCATGACTAAAAGTCGGTAGTACTGGGTGGTATATGCCTTTTTGACCGTGTTCGAGAGCGCTGTCAGCGCTGTTTACTGGTTTCGTAAGTCAACAATGCTGAGATATTTGGCCCTGTGGTAGCGACTGACTCTCGAAAGCCTTTTATTATACCTTTAAATTTGTGCTTGTTTTGTGGATGGCTCTCCCTCAGACAGGGTAAGTTATAGTATGGTATCAGTATTATCATCGCAGCTCACTGTGCTGGCAGTGGTGCTCAAATCGTCTTTCGGTCCCTGATTCAGCCTGTTTTCTCCCGCTTCTTCCACGAAGGATCGACTTCTGGCAATCTTCGCTCCCAAGCCGATCAGGCTACCAAGCCCCATGCCACTTAAAGCCCCACGATCGCGACTTCGCAAGCGCTTGATTCGAGGCACTTACGCAAGGGAACGACGATACACTTCCGTGGATGAACAGAATGAAATCGGTACAAGAGGGGGCTTATAGAGAATGGGCGTCATGGCTTTACTAGGAGTAGCCCTAATCTGATGGGAATAACAATACCGGCTCAATATTAGGACGTCTCAAAGCGTTCGCAAGTCTAGAAAACGTTTCATAGTCTTCAGAGTATTATTTCAAAAAACGCTGGCGTTCAGCCCTGAACGTGGAGATCCCAGTGTTGCTGATTTCTCGCAAGCTGCTTCACGTGCCCAGGTGCAGGTCTCGTCCGGGATTCAACAGTGAGCACCTAAGCATTATAGCTGTTACTTCATAAATATTGCTTGAGCTTCATGCCCCTTCAAAACATGCCGATACCCTTGCCCCAGCCCTCCACACGTGGATTGATATCAATGCTATATGGGAATGGATTTGACTCGTAGGTAGTAATTAGAGGGATGTGTTCCTTGTCACGATTGACAATGGTCACAATATTCATTGCCGTCTTCTGCAGTGACGATCCAATAGCCCTCATGACCTTTATACGTTCTGAGCAAATTTCAGCAAAGACTCCGGTACGTACTATCCAAAGACTGACCGTCTTCTGTCCTTGGTGTCGCAAGGGTGACTTCTAAGGTCCATTTCTCCCAGCATATCTCTTCATCCCCTTTTGCTGTCGTGAACCAGCCTAGTCCACTGCTTCCTTTCCGTCTCTTCTTCTCGAAGAAATGGACAGTCAGAGTCCCGCGAATGCTGCTTTTGGGGGACGACGTGGAGTTCAACTGCCTAACCAGCTGACCAACTCGAGTGTCGATCAAAGTTTCGAGTTCAGGTTCTGCGACGTAAGGGAGAGTAAAGTCTAGGACGTCCAATGTAGAAGGCCGTATGGGGGGAAATAACGGTGGAAGAATATTGTGTGGAGTATGCCTAGAGCGCATGAGCTGCATTCAATGAGTAGAGCGTGGGGAAACCTACCGCGAACTACGTCCTTGATACATGTCGGATCTGCAAAAACCTCAATCAAGTATTCTGGAGGTTTGCGCTGTTCCATAATCAATGAGAGGTGTCGATACAGGACGCTTGGAAAGTCGGCGAGCACGACGCCTGGGAAGACTAGCCCCGGCCACGCCGGCGCCCCGCCATTTGGTGCCTCGGCCGTCCCCGGCCACAGAATCTCAGCTCCTTCGATGTCAAAATATCTCATGCTCGCCATCTTAGATCGTGGCAAGCTTGGGAATGCTGCGGTAACCATTGCGCAGTATAGTGCTTGAAGATCCCAAAGATGATTACAGCTACAAAGCGCTGGCTGCGCAAAAATCAGACCAACTTCGCCATTGGATTGGGTGTAGTAGGGGCTGGCTATGTTGCAGGTCAATATGTTATCTCAAAGCTTGCAGAAGCAAAGGAACGCATGGCAAGTGGTCGTGTGGCCAAAGAAAAGTAAGCTTTACACCCAAGCCCAGCGGTTTTCCCGACTGATTTTGTGGAGCTTGCGACGAAGATTCCAGCAAAACCAAGAGGATTGCACCATCACCGTTCTAGAACTCCTGCCTACGGTCACTGAAAACATTCTTGATGCATTACCATCGGAATCAATCACGCAGGAGCTTCAGCAGAGGAAGGCCGAGAGGCTAGGTCGGAGCGCTGGCGCTTCGGAGCTTGCCCCTTCAGAGTCATCAGCAGCTCTCAGTACGACTGAAGAAGATGGCAAGAGCCTTTCGAGCGAAAGTTATGTTCACGCAAGCCAGGTAGAGACTAGCAGCTCCTTAGGGGGGATACGTGGCCTGCCAAAACGAAGGTTCAATTGTGGACAGAGTTGAAGATCAATTGTGAGTGCTGCAGCGAGCAGCAAATGCCCAATATGATGTACTAAACCAACAAAGCTATCACGAGAGCCTTCACGCTCATCTATACGGTCACACTTCTGACACTACTCACTCGAGTTCAGTTGAATCTGCTTGGTCGCAGGAACTACCTGTCCAGCGTTGTGTCCCAAGTGTCAATCTCAACCAAGAGCCCAATCATCAGTCTCGAGAATCGAGAGGATGGTAATGCAGAGAGGTCATATGATAACGATTTCGAGACAAATCGTAAATATCTGACATTCAGCTGGTGGCTCTTGCACAGAGGATGGCGACAGTTGATGATGAAGGTGGAGACGGCCGTGAAAGAGGTCTTTGGCCCTCTTAAACCTACAGAAGATGTACCTATGGAGAAGCTTTCAAATCTCATCCTTGAAGTCCGAAAACATGTAGAAGGCGCGAGTGCTGAGGACAGGAGGTGCGCTCTCCCAGCATCCTCACTGCCCTATATACTGACAGCGAAATAGCGCTTGCAAGTGGCTTCCATACTTGCTTCCTCCGCGAGATGCAGAAGTCTCTGTACTCCAAGAATCCGGCGTTTCTACGGATGCTCCAGCTGGATCTAACAGTGAAGCAACTCTGGATGTGCCATCTATTTCTGCTCTCCCAAATTCATCGAACGAAATATCATCCCCACCGTTGCGACGCATACTTGATGAAACAGCAGACCTTATCGATTCGCCATTATTCACTCACGTACTTACTCTTCTGCTAGATGCTGCATTTTCGGAATTGACGGATCGAAAACTTCGCACTGAAGCATACAAACTGGGACCATTACAAACGGATGCGGATGTCCGTATACAAAACATTGCGGAGGATGATCCCAGTAACGCATCCGCCAAATTAGCTACAATACTAGCTGTTTTGACCAGAGAAGCGCATAAGATTGGCAACGGTATGCCGAATGAATATGTCCAAATCTTGGAGAGCGTGGATGATTTAGAAGCGTTTGCGGCGCTCATCTACAGCTGCAATTTTGATCTTGTTGCAGCTTCACAGGAGATCATAACCCCACAGCCTGATTCAGCTCAGGGGATAGTAGACGATAATCTCTCTAGCCGTACTAATACGCAAGCAAATTGGGGCATCATGAACAAAGCTGCTGGTGCTATCGATGCTGCCTGGACTGGGTTCGAAAAAGCATGGAATCGAGTTGGTGGATTCTGAAGAAATCACTGCACTAGTAATACAATCTAATAATCAGCCTACCATACAACATCCTCCTTCCGTCGGCTTGGCGACAAAACTCGTAGCTTCCGTCTACTGAGATCATGCTTGGCAGATTGGGATACTTAACAAGCTGGTGAAACTGACCTCGTCGAACCTATGGCGATGAAGGTACAGCTTCGAGCGCATCTAAGGGTCAGCGAATGAGCAGCCTCCAACGCGTCTCCATGAGCAGACTTCTTTGCTGGCCTCAATCTGAATGTGAGCCCTCTCTGACCCCTATTATCTTGATTTTATGATGAGAAAAGTCAATCCATTCTATGAGTTTGCTTCTCTTGCCAAACTCTCGCTCTCTTACTCTGTCTTCATTCCTTTGAAGGTCGATATTAGTATCTGAGCTTATGAGTTTCAGAGCGAGCGTACATCAGACACCGTCTTGGTAGACGATGGCGCTTGCCGGCGAGACGAGCTTGATTTAAACGGCTTCTCTGAATTTTCAGAGAGAATAGATCGTTGCTCGTACTCTTTCTCCTTTTTTGCCGTGTGCTGACTCAAGCATTGAAAATCAGCAGATACAAGGTCGTCTATCATGCTCCGTTCTAAAACCCTGGTATTGCAGTTGAAAGAGATACCTTATGAATTATGGTCAAGCACGAACATGTTTTGTTTGGAGAAGCTTAACAAAATCCGAGGTTTGGAGACGAAATTGAAGACCTTGCCAGACATGTGGGATGTCAATTTCGAGAAAAATGACCGAGTAGAAGACTGAAGCATTGAATCGTCTGCTTTCAATGCGACTGACATCTCATTAATCCGAGCGAGGCTTATGTGAAGCAGCTTGCTACTAGATCTAATGGTATACTACCTATATCTCGGGCAAGCACCCGATACTTTAAGCTTTGACCGGACACAGCTGCTCCAAATTGTAAATTGCAAAATTGATTCAGTCAGACGTAGCTGTACACGTACGCTTAATTGTCTTTCTTTGCTTGCGTAGGACTTCTGGATTTTTCACGAATATACAGCGACCGAGCCAACAACCAGGAAGCCCACAGAAAGCTCGCCATCACTGCTAGTATAGTCGTACTTGCTACATATTGGGTTTCTCCCAGATCCAACACAGGTACAGAAAGTTTTTCGACCAATGAATCATTGCTCAAAGGCCGTAAGTGATAGAACATGGTCCTTGGCCCAAACAAGCCGTCATAGCCCAGACTCACTCGATCAAAGGGGTTGACGCTCATTTTCGTACCTTCCTCCGCAGGGCAAGCCCAGAAAACCGCTGGCCAGGGCACGGAGGCCTGTACTTGCCCTGGTAAATCATTACTGATTCCTGAACTGTCCGAGGATGAGTAACGAAGTTGAAGCGGGATCTCAGCCGACCAGGCACCCTTCGCGTTTGCTGAAGGGGCAAGCTCAAGTAGCATGGCTGAGCCCCATTGAGAAGTAGCCCACTCTGGTGCTTCCAGATCAGTCTCGCCGGATAAAGCGCGCAGCGCTTTCAGGTTGTTTGATGCTAGGAAATTGGTCGATGAAATTTGGTACTTGTCGACGAAGAATGTTGATGGTAGCGTGAGATAGCTGAGCAATCCACAGGTTGGCGCAGGAGGCGGTAGTGGCCGCGGGAAAGTAAGGCGCAAAGTTGGATGCAGTCCGGTTGGCTTTACAAAATTGGTGGAGAACGTCGAGAGGCTTCTCGAGCTCACTGTATGATGACGCGATGGGAAAGAGAAGAGTGTTGATTCTATGTTGTCAGCGGTTGCTTTCAGAATCAAGGCAGCCACATACTTGATCTGGTATCTTTGCTAAGTTGTACCAACGAACCTCCAAGGGACAATTCTTCGGGCTCTGTAGATTTTTGGCTGCTCAAGATGCCAATTTCGGTTGCTACAGAGCCATTGAAATCACCTATGTATTCGTTCCATGGTTTTGTAATTTGTCCTGTTGCGTCCACAGGATGAGCTCGACCAAAGTACGCAGTGAAAGTGAAGGATTGTGATATTGTATCATAGTCGATGTCGAAATAGTCAGCAGATTTTATTCTCTCCGCATCATGACGACATGCGCTATCTTTCTTCGAGCAGATTGTTTCTTCAATGTAGTTGGATAGACTGGTAGAACTAAGAAGGCCTTGATAATACTGAAAACTTGCGCTAGATGCAAATCGCTCAGAGAGTACAGAGGGTTGAGAAAAAAATCGCTTCAAAGCGTTAGTCATGCGGAGAGTCTGAGATATACTTAACTGACCTCAGGGGCAGTACAGTTGATAGCTAAGGAAGTAAAAGTCTTACACAGGAGGGGGCAGAAAAGATCACTGGAGAATGTCAGACCTGGGATGGTTGGATGACAGCGTTTGTAACGTATACATACATCTTTTGTCTCTTCAATGGGGTATAGAAAATATGAAGACCTGAAGGGAGTCGAGAAACAAACGGAGAAATGAGTTGACATGGCTTTGAAGAAACCCATTTAATGTGCAGCTCATGTAATTGCCTGAGAGCCCGCCACAGCTGAAGCAGTCAACGGAGTGAAAAAACTCAAGGAGAGTACGGACGCGAGAAATACCTCTTGTGGAAGTTCGTACAAGCCTACAGTTATGCGGTCTTCACGAGCAGCTTGCAAGTTCTTGATGTGGATTTTGTCTTGAGAAATCAAGAGGTCTTTTTCGTCAAAATCGTGACCTTTGGGTATGATGAATGTCACTCGTCTCCTCATGATAGCTAGGTGGTGACGAGTACCTAGGTGAATGCAATCTTCTAACGAAGTCATGTACAGGCTCCGGACTGGAAAAATGTCACATTGGATACCCGGCAGTCTCGCACTTTCCCCGCCTTGCCCGCGTAAGGCTGTCTTGGCCGTCAGAGAAGAGAGACCACCTGTTTAATTGTCTTTCTCTTCTCTACTGCCTAAGGTACCATGTTCCATCTATACATCTAATCTAGTACTTGGTCATTCCTATATCATGCTGCAGCCATGATTCTCCCCACAGGCCTTCTCTACATTGCCCTCTCTCTCTTCACACTTGCCTCCGCCGCTCGTCGGCAACCCGAGCGAGTCCTTCTCTCGTCTATCAAAACCCTCACTCTTCGTCAAGGTCTCAAAGCTGCTCATAATCGTGTCTCACCAGTGTCACAACTGAAATGCCTGGGCGGTACGGCTAAGGACCTCTATGAGATTGACGTTCTCCGCTGCAAAAACGCCGGCTCTTCATATGATGAAGCAGACGTCGAGTGGACCTGCACAGCTTCGCTGCCCGCGGAATTCAAGCTTGGCAGTACCGATGTTTCCTGCGAAGGCTTCAGCGGGCCTAATGATCCTTACGTGTTGAAAGGAAGCTGTGGCGTGGAGTATAGGCTGATGCTGACGAAGCTCGGAGAGGAAAAGTATGGGAAGAAGGGTTCGGGTCTTTGGGACGAATTTCCTGGGAGATCAAAGGGTGGCGATGCGATGGCTTTGTTGTTCTGGCTTGCGTTCATTGCCGTGGTAATCTGGATGGTGTACGCTGCCTTCTTCCGAGACGGACCCGCCCGACGACCAGGAGTCGGCTTTGGAGGATTTGGAGACGGCGGAGGAGGCGATGACCCTCCTCCTCCATATGACGACCATCCACCGCCGTCCAAACCCAAAACCTATTCGTCGCCACGATCTGCGCGAGGAGCTCCAGCGCAAGAAGGCTGGAGACCTGGGTTCTGGACGGGAGCTTTGGGTGGAGGTGCAGCAGGCTATATGGCTGGAAACAGAGGCAGTGGGACTCGACAACAGCAGCCCAGACCTCAAGATACGTGGGGCAATGGAGAGGGTAGCTCTAGATGGGGTACCGGAGCACCTGGGCCATCGAGAAGCTCCTCTTCAAGCTCAAGTCTTGGCTCCAGCAGATATGAAAGCACAGGATTTGGAGGCACATCAAGGAGGTGATATCGTCTCGTCAAGCTAGTGTTTCTACTCAGGCATAGTGTTTCAAAGCCAGTTCGGCTTGGGTATAGTTCTGCTTATATCAAGCTATCTTCGCCACCGCCCTTTCCAGCACTTGGTCAAGGTTTCGTCTTCTTTTTCATTTCGGATTTTTGTCATCTCTTCAATTCTGTGCCGTCGCCTGCGTGACGGCTCGACTCACTGGATCTTCGACTCCCATCAAGAAGCCATCTCCACCGAGGCCTATATCCTTCTTCTTTCTCGATCGTCGCAGGCGCGCTCCGTCCTGTCCCCTTTCTTTTCTCTTTCCTTTCTTACCTTTCCTTTTCTTTCCTTTGCCACCGCTTTCGTGGCCCGAATTATCTTCGGCAGCAGCGGCACGTTCAGCCGCAGCAACCTCTTCTCTTTGTCTCTCCGCTTCCTCCATGGCTGCCTTTTCAGCCGCCTGTTCCTCTTCCAATTGCTTACGATCGTCCTCCATGATCTTGTCTAACTCTGCCGGATCTTCATACTCTGCGCCTGTCATCTTTTCGTACTCTTCCAGAACCACGGGTACTTTTTTCCCCAATAAGGTTGCTTTGATTCGTGGATAGTCGAGTCTTTCCTCCTTCACGAATTTCCGTTTGATAGCGTGCCTAGTCTTCCCAGGAAACATTCTGCTTATTAAGTCGAAGTCCGTGCCGAACATGCGAAGTCCTTGATAGAATCTGTCAAGGAGCGTTTCGTTCCATCCACCACCTTTATCTCGTTTCAGAAAGCTGCCAGCAGTGACTTTTCGACTCAGGTCATTCTCATCAATTGGGGGAGATCTTCCAGATCCCGCTCAACAGCTGCCGCGGCATGTCGGTCAATGCGAAGAGAATCTTCATCAATTTGAATCTGCCCATCTATAATGACAGTATTTGGAACATTGAGCGCTACTTGACGCTCTTGTCCTCTTTGCCGCTCCTGACGAGTTTCTTGGTCCCGCGAGGGTGCTGCAAAACCATCATTCTCTGGGGATGCCGCATGACCCATCATATCTTGAAGTTCCCGCTGTTTCTGCTTCACGAAAGCCGCGCGATCCATTTCTCTAAGTTCTTGTTCACGCAAGGACTTTCTGCCGGTATGAGAGTCTTGGCATAGCTCGATCATCTTCATCTCTTCCGGCGCTATTGTCACATTCTCAGCATTATCAGGAGTCGATGGTCGCCTCCGGTGGCCTGTCTTCCCTTTTTTGGACGTTCTCGCTGTCCCTCGAACGGCATCTTCCACGATATCTGCTGCTGCATCCTGAATAGCCTTTTGACGCCTTGACAACTTAGGTTTCTGGCGTTTCTGTGTCTTCATTTGGTTAGCTGGCTCGGCGACTTGATGCTCGTTAGCATTTTCGTCATCTTCTAGAGCTTGTGCTGACAAGCGATTATGGGAGGTGGATCCCGCAGATTTCTGGCTTTTCTTTCTGGGAGCTCTCTTTAATTTTGAGCTGGATGTGGCCTTCGTAGGGAGAGTGGATGTAGCTACAGCTGGAGAGTCATTTTGAAGTCCCTCTGAACTTGAAGTTGTTATGTCCACTCGAGCAGTACCTGTCTCGGTCTCGTCGCGTTCTCCTCGTTGCTCGTTTGCTTTTCGACGCTTTGACACTCTGGTGTGTAAGGTCGGTGGGCCGTTGTTGGCAATCCGTTCAGAAGGTCGAGAGGTCTCTTTGCGACGTGATCGTGTCACTCGTTCTATAGAAGGCGCTGTCTTTGCAGTAAGTTGAAGATTTGTGCGAACTAAAGCGTCATGAGTGGTGGGTGTTGAGGGGCGAGGATGATCAGCTGAAGCTGAATTTTTTGTGTAAGAGCTTGTAGGACGTGTGACATGATTTTCCCTGGCTAAAGGACGCTTCTGAGGGACAATTGATGAATGAGATGGCTCTCTTGATGCTGAGGTAAGTCGGGAAGGCAAAGGTAAATGAATGGCATTACCATCTTGCGCAGAAGCTGCTTGTACCGAGTGGGAGGCGAGAGCGTCATCAGGTCGGCTTGAAGTCAAGAGTGCACGCGATGGTGCCGGTGAAGGGCTAGCTGGATATAGCGTGCTCGGAAGCTGTGGTGTCTGTGATTGAGCTTGTCGTTCTTCGCTTGGCCTTGCAGAGTGTTCCGCAGAATCCGGAACGCCAGGACGCCGGATAGGTGCCTTCTTGGGGGCGAACTTTTTATTTGACTTGTCTACCACGAGTCAGCTCGGTTCATAGGAGGAGAACTGAACAGGGGCGCACTAATCACGGAGCTTCCAAGCGCTGACATCACGTTACGCAAGCAGATGCAAAGAGCGGCTGCCGCTTACGACTTGTATAGATTGTCATAGAGTGCATAGCACGCGCACTGACGGACGAAGCTATGCAAGCTTGCGTTTGCGCGAAGTAACTAATAACTCTGCTGATGATGAATTTGGCTGCAGGGTCAAGTCATCATTGGTGATTGGCTTTAGACGCAAACGTTGAGCCGGAGCGGTAAAATTATCTTCCGGCTTGGCCGCGAAACGTCAAAGTTCGAACAACGTCTCCTGTCCCTCTACAACTTCTTGGACAAACGGACAAACACCAGGTCGTCTCCAGCGAGCATATTAAAACCCTTCAAAATACTTCCCAATGTGCTCTTTGTTGTAAAGCGTTCTGTGACGATCGACCCGAAGGGTCGCGTATCCCCATGACCCTCGTTCAGAGCCAGGTCGTCTCCCTTCCAACTCCTGATAGCCTTATCAAGATGGAAGAGAGAAAGCGACCAGCTACCCATGATCACGATGACACGTTACCACCTCACAAGAAACAGGCGACTTCGGTTAACGGAGGCTCAAAAGGCCATGTCGATGCTGACATGCCATGGAAGGACGACCTTGAGGTAAGAATGCATCATGCCCCTCCCGTCCCATAGGTTGCTACGATCGAGGCGCCTCACTCCTATCACGTAAGAGAGAGCTAACGCAATTCTTATGAGTATTAGCGATTTCAAAAGGAAGCTATATGGCGTCAGATGCAAGAGCACAAAAGAGAGCGCAATGCCATTGAGGCTCGACTGAATAGTGCGGAGAAGCGCGCACAGTATCACGACGAGCACATCATGATTATTGATGGCTGGTTCAGTGAGGTGAATAGATCAGAGATCATCATCAGAGACGCTCCATACTGACTTTCTCGCAGCTACTAGATGAAGTAAAGCTACTTGTCGGAGACTCTGAGAACCACAAGATATTTACACCTTTTCCGTCTGTTCTATTAGACTCGGACTCTGAAGCATTCAAAGCCCATCTCAAAGCTCGGTCCTCTGACATCTCGTCAGCTGTCTCAAAGCTCTTTGCGCATCGGTCAAATGCAAGTCCTGAGGTCTCTGAGCTTCACGGCCGCTTAGCCCAGTTGCTAGCTACTGAAAAGAGTCACATAATTGAGCTAGAAAATAGTAGACACGAGAAAAAGAAGCTGGAGGGCCGATTAGAGGACGCTGTACTTCGTTACATGCTTGCCGAAAAGAAACTAGATCGCTCAAAAAGTGCAACGGTCGCGAAATTGGAGAAACAAGCGATATCCGGCGGCAGAAGCGAAAGCGGTAGTGGCCTAGGCGGCGGTAGAGATGTATCCGGCAACGATCAAAAGGAAAACGGCCCAAGTAGCGAAGATGTTGCTGCAGCCGAAACTGCACGTAAAGAGGCTCTTGCGGAATCGGAAAAGCGAAAAGAACAAATTGCTACGCTAGAAGCAGAGAACGAGAAACTATCGGTGGAGGTGACATCTTTGACGAATCGATTGACAGGGCTGTCCGACGAGGATTACAGCAAAACGGATTTATTCAAGCAGCTGAAGTCGCAACATGAAGATGTCATCAAGCGTATCAACGATCTGGAAGCTACCAATATCCAGTTACGGGAAGAGGCCACGAGATTGCAGGCAGAACGCACTGCATATCGAACGCAAGTGGAGCAAGAATCTGCTTCGGTGATTTCGGAGAGAGAGAGACAGCTTGCGCAAGCTGAGAATGATCTGGCAAGAATACGGACGAGTCGAGATGAGCTGACCGCGGACATCACCATCCGAAAAGCTGCGCAGGGCCAGGAACGAGCGTCTCTAGATCAAATAAAAGAAATGGCTAGCGCAAAGGATGAAAGAATCAAAGCCCTAGAGTCGGAAGTTGCACGACTGCAATTACAAATTGGTCAAGTTTCAGCCCCAGCCAGCCCCCCAGCAAGTCTAGATGGCGTAGCACCAGACGAAATGCAGAACAAGTTTGCAAACCTAGAGAAGCAATATAGTTTGCTGAACACTGAACTGCAGTCCATGGGTACAGCATTCAGCAAAGCGAACAAGCTCGCTTCGCAAAAGATTAGCAATCTGCACTCACTCGAGGAAAAGGCCCAGCGCCTAGCTGCGGAAAAGTCAAAGGCAGATCAGAAATACTTTTCCGCAATGAAAGCTAAGGAAGCCAGGGAGCAAGAAGTACGGACTCTCCGCACGCAAAATGCGAAGAGCTCCGAGATTGTCACTTCAATAAAGGAAACGGAAGCCGCCAACCGTGCACTCCAGGTCGTCACGGAGAAACAGGTCACAGAGATCAAGGAATCCTTCCTGAACGTTCAAGCGAAGCTGAGATTGGAGCAACATGCATTGACTCAGAAGAGTGCTCAAATGGAAGGGTTAAGGTCCGAGATCGAGGGGTTGAAGAAAAATGTTGCAACTAAAGATGAAGTGACAATCGCGAAGTCAAGCGCATGTCGAAAAGCAGAAGTTGAGATTGAAGGACTGAATGTCCGACTAGATGAGACCAAGAGAAGCCTCGAGAGCTGGAGATCAAAAGGGCTAGGCTCCCAGAGCGGCGAGTATGAAATGCTGAGAGTGAGTATCTTCCATCATTTTTTCACATTGAACAACATACTTATGCCGACCCAGACACTCGCCATCTGCACAGTGTGCCGCATCAATTTTAAGAATACCGCCATTAAGACATGCGGTCATGTCTTCTGCAAGGATTGCGTCGAAGAGCGTACTACGTCTCGGTCACGCAAATGCCCTAACTGCAACCGCTCGTTTGGAACCGGCGACGTCATGAGAATTACCCTTTGAATGGGCCTTTGCCCTTATACCCATTTAGACTTCCTTTTCGCTTCTTTTTGCTTCTAATTCAGGCTGTATTACTACTTTGTTTACCAGTCCTGCTGGATGTTTTGTTTTCGTAATATTTTTGGTCGAACATTACGGAGGTCCGGGGGGCTTGAGGTGGCCAAAAACTTGCTCTCAGCCAACTCGAGAGGAAGCGAGCATAGGTCGATGTACCATTTCTCGAATCTCTAGAAAGAGACTTGTTTCCTCACTGTACATATACATCGCTCAATCAACGCCGAGCAGAACAGCTTGGTAATCAAAGGAAGTCTCTGTCGTGCACGCAAGTGTGAATGTGATACAATCAACGCACTGCAGCCATTGAGAAAATTGAAATTTAGAGACAATTGGTTCTCAGCATACTACTGTGCCATGCTCTTCGTCACTACATGAACTTCAACCTCATTGAATTTGCCCCCGAGCACCGATACCTACCATGCGTGTCGTTTGGTCGAGATACTGCAAAGGCATTACGCAACCGTGCAAACTGCCGGGAATGATGCTGGGTGCCATATCATAATCTACCCCTACACAGTCCCCGCAATACTCAACTCCCTGATCTCCCCCAACACCTCCTCGACTCTCGAATCTAGCATGCCTTGCGCATACTGCTCCCTAGTATCCGCATCCAAATACTGCTGCACCTGCGCCATTCTCGAATACGCCTCCGCACAAAACCGTAGCTGAATCTTCACAAGTGCCTCGAATGATGGGTCCAAATATGGAACTCGTAGGTCAATAAGTTGGGGCAATTCATTGAAAAGTTGCTCGTTCAATTGATCGTAGGCTTGTTTCGCCATATCGGATTCTCGCTCTGCGCGAGGCAGTTTGGTGGGATCTTTGTCGGGCTTTTCGACGAGTTTCTTGACCCGGGCCCGCGTGGCGTCGTAGTCGAGGAGTTTGTTGTTGCGTTTCTTTATACCTGGACGGGAAGTCAATGAACGGATCAGGCTTTGATGATTCACCCAGAATGACAAGGAGGGCGGGTAGGAAGGATTTTAACTTGGACATGGATACCTACATTCGTTGATATCCGGAAAGTAGGCGCAGAAGCGGGATATCGGTTCAAGGACTGTTTGTCTGCTTAACGTCAGGCTAGATGAAATGATAATCCTGGTAGCACCATAAAATTACCTGTATGGACCGTCGAGAGCCTTAATGGTTTCTGCATCAAGATCCTCTACAGCTTGTTTGTAGCTCCGACTGACTCCGTCGTTTGCTCCTGCGTCCCCATAGAAAGCATCTATCGTCTCCGCTATTCGCATTTGCGACGCGGTCATTGCTATTCAGACATCAGTCTGTGAAGCCAGAGCAATCAGCGTATCACGGTGCAGCAAACCTCGTAATGAATCCAAATATCCTTTTGCTTCTTTCTGTAGCCTATTCGCAGCCGATTCCATTGTCCGGTATCGCCTCCAGGTCCTGTCAGTCCACGCTCTCCGCTGCACCCCAAACATTGACGAGCATTACCTTTCTTCTACTTCGTAATCTCGATCGTTCGTCTTTTCAACATGCCCTTCGGAGTATCGTCAGCCCTTGACTCGCTGCCCCGCATTGCCGCAATGGTATCCTTGGACGTCATACCAGTCTTCATCATTACCTGAGTTGTCGCCCGATTGGCGACCTTCTTGAAGCCTATGTGCGCACATTAGCTCTCTATCCAGCTGCGTACGGTCGTCAGGAAGTCTACCGGCCCATGACATTTTGGCGGCGGATTTCGAGCTGCACGAGGGTTACGACTTGCGCTTCTGATAAATATTGGAGGAAATATGGCCCCGATAGCCTTTGTTCTTAAGCAATTGTCAATACATGGCGTTTCCGAGCGATCAAGAGATATAAAGTTGAGGAAGTGACGCATTCAGGGTTAAGCCACGATGTTCCTAGGCATGATGACTGCCTAACGAGAGGCTACACTCCACGAGGGAGTACAGGTGACCAGGTCACCTAAATAACCTTAATATTTTTCCACTATTATTTAAAACCAAAGCTAATAAAACCTTTTAAAAACGTTTTTAATTTTTTTTAAAATAATTTAAGTATTATATAGATTATTTCTTAAAAACCCTTTTAAAACCTTTTAAGAATATTTTTAAAAATATTTTTATAAAATTTAAAAATTAATATTTTATTTTTTTAATAATAAGATATTTAAATATATAAATATAAAACTTAATTAAAATAATAAATTAAGGTTTTTATTTATTATAAAATAATATATTTTAAATATTTTTTAAATAATTTTATATAAAAATTTTAAATTAAATAAATATATTTAAAATAGTTTTTAAACTTATTTTTAGTTTTTTAATTTTTAAAAAAAAATTCTTTTAATATTAAAATAAAATATAGTTTTTAAAATTAATTTAAATTTTTAAAGAATTAAATTTTAATTTTAGTTAGCTTAATTATTTATATTTTTATTATAAAATAAAATATAAATTATTAAGTAATTTAAATAATTTTATTAATTTTAAATTAAAATATAATTTTTAATATTATAAATAATTATATTTTATAATACTTTTAAAATATTTTTAAAAAATTTAAAATATAGAAATATTTAATATTATTTTATTAATTTTATAATTAAAAATAAAATAATAATAATTTATTATATATATTTAAATTATTTAATAAATTAAATTAAATTATATATTAAAATTAGTTTTTAAAATATTCTTTAATATTAAATTTATTATTATTATTATTATTATTTATTATTATTATTATTATAAAAATTTAAAATAATAAAAAAAAAAATTTAAAAAATGTTTTTAAATTCTTTTTTAAATATTTTTAAAATTTATATAATATAAAATATTATTATATAAATTTAATAAAGTATTTTAAAACGTTTGTTAAATGTTTTAAAATTATTACAGGTTTTAAAACGTTAGAGGCACTTTTTACTGTTTTTATGATTAGCGAATAAAAGGTGTTTCTAAGACGAATTAGGCTAAGTTTTGGTTTTAGCTGACCTGGTCGCCTGTACTCCCACTCCACGAAGCAGTCTTGCAATTACGCAGACATTATTCAAGATGCGCGGTCGGCGCCGACACTAAGATCTCGCCCAATCGAAGAGCATCACCACGTATCTAACATCATGGCTGCGTAATGTTTAGACTCCAATCTTCTCTCCTAAAGTCTTGGCAGAGAAAAAGGGGTGACAACGGATTCAAAAAAGGAGTTGTTTCTTCGGCGCTAAAATTGATTTCTCGTGACTATTGTAGAGTCTATCGTGATTCTCTCTTAAAACATGATCTGTTGGGGATTTCCAAATGTGTGAGACTGCTCGCCATCGTATGGTGATCACTGGCGCAATTTCGATCAGATGCCCGAGAGCAGCTCTACTTCTTGCTCGCAAGTATCAGCACCGCAGGCCACGTGACCTTCCTCAACGTCCCCTCTCCTCTCTTCGTCCCCCTCAACCCTCTATCTCATTCCACACACCGTCACTCAACATTGGTAGATTCATGAGAAAAGATTTCGTCACCCTTTCTCAATTCCACCACCGTTCCCAACATTGCAGGTCCTGTCTCCACCCATCATTGATTTTCGGCTCAGTCTCGAAAATACTCACGCTTTAAATATTGGGAAAGGTATTCAGTATTCGTGGTTGCATACATGCCTCTTCACATCCCGCCCCACCTTCCCGTCAAACTGAGCTTAATCCAGGAAACTCGCTGATTTGTCTACCGCACGCTTCCATGTCGCCTTGGCCAACCGCTCTTCAACACCCGTAATGGTCAGTCCAGAAATTGTATCCAGGAATGAGTTGACTAGTGGCTGACATGCGTTCGCGTACCCTTTTTTTGCGAAGATCAGGTCGCCAGCGTGCCGCCTACTTTCTGGAACCTTGGAAAAGCCTCGACCGCCTTGCCGGCATTGATGGGAGGAAGACAGTCCGCCGCAATAAGCATACCCGCTAAAGCCGGTGAACAAACGCTAGCCAGCCACTCAGCGGTGGAACCTACCCGGCTGACTATTCCCGGTCAGAAGAACAGGCAGAGATGTTGCTCGGTCACTGATAGGTGGGTGGGATTCACGTCATTGGCAACGACATGGGTGAAATGTTTGGAGAGTTCGACAGCTACTTGCCCCACTCCCGGACCCACCTTGTGAGCGGTCCCAGTGTTGCTGCTATGGGACTGATAATGGGCGTAGATAGATTGACAGAGGGAAGGCGAGTATTCGGGGCAAGCTGTGAGGTAGTTGGCCTTGTAAACTCCATTGTGGTCGGCAAGGTCGAAGTCATTAGAGGGGTCCGAGGTTGATACCATTTGTGGAGGACTCTTGTAGGTCCGTGATCTGGGGGTAGAATCGATACATGTCGAAGAGGGCGATTTTCGCTCTTCGCTGCTGATGTGGTGGCGAAATAATATGCCCTGTACCAGGTGAACGACACAAAGCACACAGTCAGGCGGCTTTGAGAGTACTAAGAATGTTCTTCGTACCAACCCGTCCGTTGCCAGCACATGTCAAATCCATAACGAATCCCCCTGTGTTGATGTTCTGAAAGAAAAAGGTGTAACACTTAACGCTGTATATACACTAGGAGAAAGAAGACTTAAAAGATTTGCGGGGTAACATTATCACTGAGCTCCACTGGACACATCCAAGTCTAGGCGACGTCGCAAACACTAGAATTTAACCAAGTAATTACAAGAATACCACTCATTGCAATGACCGTGTAGAAGACGATCCTCTTTCACAATGCCGTTCGATGCCCGCTAAATAGACTACCCGTATACCCATCTATTACGCAACATTTGGACAAACATGCCGCCGCCAGATTGTGGGAGCCGAACGATCGTGGTGCTCCGGTCATCAATTCATTATCAAGGTCGTAAACGGACGTGTAAACACCAGGATTCATAAAGTGCAGCGGGAGGTGTCTTAGGGTAGGCCATGGGCGCACGTTAACTTTTGTTTTGCAAGGCAGCATCTAGAACCCCTCCTCAGCTGCCTTGCAAAGTTTGATTTCACGGACCCACTCAGATTTGAGCACCTTAGTTGCAGTAAGTCGGCGTTTGGGGCTTGGGTCGGGATCGAGAATGGAGTAAATAACATTCCGGCAACGAGCCTGAGCGATGTGTCAGTAGTGTTTAAAAAGTTATAGGATGGTAGGGTTCGAACTGACCCTGTGCAAAGTCTCGATGGGTCCATATCCATCGTCGCCTTTCCGGCCTTCCAGATATCGATCAAAGAACTCGTCTTCGTCATTCTTTGCAATACGCCATAGGTGCCTACCAGTCCTCATAGCCATATATATAACACCACAAGCCCAGACATCGACGGCTCGCGGGTCGAACTCCTTGTCGATGTACTCCTCTGGAGCAATGTATGGTGCAGATCCACAGAGACCAGCCGTCATATGGGCTTCTCTTTCCCACGCCATGCGAAAGCACTCTCCGTTGCCGAAATCCGTGATTTTGAGGGCGCCGTGTGTGGTAAGCAAGAGGTTCTCAGGTTTCAAATCGCGATGAGCGACACCCATCTCGTGCAAATATTCGACACCGCACATTAATTGCTTAAAGTAACAGTCTGCTTCAGTCACTTCAAGTTTGCCGGCAGCTAGGACCAGAGTGTATAGATCTCCACCTGCACAGAACTCCATGATCTCACAATAGTCGCCTTTCGAATCTTGCAGCAGGTCGAGGGTATGGATCACATTAGGGTGACGTAAAGATGAAGAGATGCAAAACTCTGAAGTAAGTCGTTTCTGATATTTCTTGGGTGATTCTTGGGGTCTCCGCCGGAATTCTTTGACAGCAAACAGCTGTTCCCCTTTGTTGTCTTTAGGATCAACTTTGTGAGATATTCTGACGATACCAAAGGCGCCGCGTCCAACGATCTCCTGGCATTTGCCATACTTCTGCACCAAAGTGGCAGTCGAGTTGGGCCCGCCTTTCTTGTCCTGGGCAAGCCTGTCGCGCTCACTTCTCAATTGATCAACCCAATTAGACATTAAAGACAGCTGCTGATGATCATCCGAGTGATCATCCTTCTTTTTACCGCCAAGCATCTCGCGTAGCATATCTGATAATTTCTCCTGTCTCTTGGCACTTTTCAGGGTATGTTGATGGGAGCCGTCTGGGAGCATTTCGAATCTTCGATGCAGCTGTTCATCCTTTCTTATATTTGCGAGGCTGGGTCTACGGTCTTGGGTGGCGTCGCTTGGGCCATTGGCACGCTTGTCGGAGTAGGATTGCTGCCTTGAAGGGGCCCTGGGGCTAGATACGCTATTCTTCCTGCTGTTTCCGCTGTCGACCGCGTCGGACGCGATACTGTCACGGCGGACGTCCCCGTCTTTCAAGCCCTTACCCTGGGATGTGAACATACGAGTGAGGCGGTGTGTTATATTTGGTCTTTTAGTAGAGGGCGGGACCCCAAGCCCGTTCGGCTGGGCATGGGAGTCCTCGGATATTGATGGTCTTGCAGATGTCTGAATGACATCTTGCGAGCGAATCGATGACGATGAAACGGATGCTGATGCTGTTGGTGAAGGCCGATGTACCAGCGTGCTAGCTTGTCCGCTCATGTCTCGGTGAGCGAAGTCAGAGGAGACGGGTGGTTGAGTTTGAACGGTGGTAGGAGATGGAAGTGATGGGGAGGAGATAGGTGGGCGACGGTCCGACTGGCGGGCCAAAGCCCTGCCCGCCGTGTGAGGGAAAGTCAGAACAGGTGTCGATGCCGTTCGCAAGTGGTTGTATGATGGCAAGGGAGAGGGAGGGGAGGGAGGGAGGGGTCCTCTTGTGAAAAGTCGAGGAGGGACGCTAGGGGAGGGCGGAGCAAAGCGTCCACTCTCTTAGCCGGTGAGGCACCTGCAGGCGCTTTCGAGAAGATCCCAAGTCCTAATGCTGCACCTAAAATATCGGGGCAGCTGATGGATTATCAATCCTTCAACCCTTTCCAACCACTGATTTCCACTGATTAATCGTGTCCTGTTCTTTCGCTTGGCTGCACTAGCGGTGGCCTGCGCAGACGATGGCGTGGATAGAGATTGCGGGATGAGCGATCAGTCCAGGTGGTATTTGCACTGCGTTTTCGGAGGCGGAGGGAATCTGGGTGGTAATTATTGTGCGTTTGTGCGAGGTTGGTCAGAGAAAGTGAAAGTGGGGAATCAGAGTTCAGCACACTGTCAGCTGTCCTACTTGTAGTTCTAGCCTGGAGCCAAATTGCATGCTCTGCGGGAGGGAGAAGTGAGATCTCGGAGGAGGCGAAAAGGAGAATTATTGTTAACCTGGGGACTGAAACCGTAACGTATGACTTTGATCTTGATCTCCAATGGGAATGTAGTGAACCACGCCTTGGCTTTACAACATGATACTCTCCTCCTCGATGGCAAATCTTTACGCGGACTTGTCAAGTGCCCGTCTGCTTGGGAACTTTATCATCGCTCTAAACCTCCGCAAAATTCTACGGGAATATTATTCTCAGAATAGCGATATGGGAGACAAAGCTCCCTTTCATCCCTTCCACATGCTTTTCTCATTCGCATTCTCTCCCTTGTCCACACACCCTTTCGTGTCCCCTTTCACTGTTCAGAGGCTATGATATGCATGGAAAAGTTGCGTGCTCGAGGAGAACCCGGCTCATTTTCGACTTGAACGCCAATCATTTGATTGAGGACGGGCCTTCGAGGTGGAGTTTGGAGACACTCTAAACTTCAGATCCAGGGCGGGCTGGCGCGGCCAGCGCGGTACCTAGCTGTTAGTTGGCCTTGTTGTGACCGTTGTCGAAAGATTAATCCCTCATACATTGCCTGGAACCCTTCTCCATTTGCTTTGGAGCTATCCCTGCGAGCCCCAAAGGAGTACTGATGCCATGTCACCTCCACGACCTCAGCGATGATCCGCCTGCATCTATGACATTGCCGGCAAGGATCTCTGCCATTTGCATAGCACGTTGGGGAAGAACGGCTTCTGACTGGCTTTCGCCATACCGTTATCGCCATACTCACCGCATTTCTTTCATCGTCTCTGTAGGAATGTTGGCTTCCAAGTCATGGAATAAGGCGAGCGACATGGCTAGTGGTACAATCTGCATGCCTTGATAAGGACCACTCTACCGATATCGCCAGGCTCTGTCGGCTTCCACTCTAACAGGATCTTTCTGCTGTTTGTGGAGACTGCAAGTAGCACTATCAAAAGCATGTCCGAACGGCTTCCTCCCGACGCGTAGTTACCAGGAAACCACCAGAGTGAAACAAAAGGTGCCTGCATATACTGCTGCCCGATCTATGCATTTCGGCATGTAGGATAGAGCCAATTGGTACCACCCATTCACGTTCATAAAGGCCACAAAAGATGGCTGCCTTTACTTGTGGTGTGAACCAATGGCTGTACGAATTCATAATGTAGACTCTTCTGCCAGGACTGTCAGGCAATGACTGTCGTCATCGTTGTGCGACCGACTGAGGGAATGATTGTTCCAAGCCCACGAGGCCACAGACTTCGAATTGTGTACATCTAGAATTGATGCTGAGGACATGTGATTGGTGAACAGCGCGTCTAATACGGACGAAGCAGCCACCTCTTGATCCGCGCTGAAGTCTTGGAAAGAATTTTAAGTAAGAAAATAATTAAAAGGCCAATCGAAACTACTTTTCATGAGTTAGCGAGCAGAAAGATCAAGGTCAAACCGCCAAAGGTCCTGAAGACGAAAGATGGAAGACGGAATACAGTGGAGAAGATCACAATATATCTTTCTAATTTGAACTTCGTGCAGAATCGAGACACATATTTGGTGCAACTTGAGGTTGGAATATAGCTACAAAAGAAATTTCCCTCAATGGTTGTTCACCATGATGTCAAGAACAATCTTGAAAGCCGTAAACATCGAACACGTAAACAAGGCTCATCCGCAGCATCACTTCTCCTCCGCTAGCAGCACTATTTCTTACTTTGCTTGCTCAATTGAGGACCGAGGCATTATTTGCAGATGCTTGTAGAAGATGAATAGTGAGAGATGTGGATGCGTTCATACCTCCTGCTCCTCCTAGTGCGATGTTACTTGGCAATATCACCGAGCTACATCCATCCCGACGAAAACTTTCAAGGGCCTGAAGTCATCACCGGTAAGCTTTCTCCATTCTTTGCATTCCCACGCATAAGAAACTGACAGACATCAAAGGCTGGATCTTCGACCTCCCCAACCGGTGGACATGGGAGTTCACGTCCGACGCACCTGTCCGCAGCATCTTCCCACTATGGCCTGTCTATGCATTGCCTATGATCGTCCTCAAGTGGATTTGGGCAGGCATTGGACCAAGCGAAGTACCACCAGAGATCATGTACTATGCCCTTAGAGTCTTGATGTGCATACTCAGCATTGTGCTAGAAGATTGGGCGATCCATGAGCTTGTACAAACGCCGCGATATCGAAGACAGGCAGTCATCCTCGTTGCTTCATGCTACGTAACGTGGACGTATCAAACGCATACGTTTTCTAATTCAATGGAGACATTGGCGGTGCTATGGACTCTCGTAATGATACAGCGGATACTGGACAATAAGGTGGGGACAATCCCCAGGCTCAATGTGGAGGGTCTTGACTCACTCGGAAATAGCAACGCTCGTCTTTATTATCGTCAGCTATACTCGGTCTCATCCTTACCTTCGGCGTATTCAATCGCATCACCTTTCCAGCTTTCACGCTAATACCCTCTTGCTTCCTAATTCCCCACTTCCTCAGCCGGTGAGCAGCTTCCTGAGGGCGCTCAACCTGAAAGCAAACTAATCCAAGAAAAAGCCCACTTTCCCTCCTGACCATCATGTCGACCATCGCTGTCACCTCTTCTTTCGCAATCTTAGCCGACACCCTTTTCTATCATCCTCACCCTACCCTTGGCGCTGTCCTGTCTTCCCCAACGATAACACCCCTGAATTCACTGCTCTACAATACTTCCGCCACGAACCTCGCGAAGCATGGTCTGCATCCCTACTACCAGCACCTCCTCGTGAACCTCCCCCAGCTACTCGGTCCCGCCTTGCTCCTCGTACCACAAACGCTCAAAACCTCGGCATCTGAGCTCCCAATCATTTCCGCAGTCACAGGGCTCCTCATACTCTCGGCGATGCCGCACCAAGAGGCACGCTTTCTTCTCCCGATGGTAGCGTTGGTTCTTAGCTCCCTTCGCGTAAAAATATCGAGAGCCCAGATAGTCGTGTGGGTGGGCTTCAATGCCGTTTTCGGAGCACTGATGGGTCTCTATCACCAAGGTGGAGTCATACCTGCACAAATTCAGCTAGGCAAGCAAGCTGCTCGACTTGGTAATGACGAGAGACAAGGCGGTGCAAATGGTGCTTGGGACATGAGCGAGATCTTCTGGTGGCGGACTTATCCACCGCCAATTTATCTTTTGGGAAAGGAGTCTGGGATCAACACCACAGATTGTATGGGAATGCCTTTTGCGGAGGTTCAGGAGAAAGTGCAGGAGACTGTAGAGCGGGGGTGTGTACATGGTAAGCAGAAGATGAGTGCGGGTTTGATTGCGCCCTGGTCATCAGTGGAGATTGATGGATGGAGAGAAACTCCCGAGACAGGTGGGATGCAAGTGAAGGAATTGTGGAGATGGTCTAGGCACTTGAATCTTGATGATCTGGACATAGCTAGCGAGGGTTTGTGGGGGACTTTGAAAAGAGTGGTTGGAAGGAGAGGTCTGGTAATCTGGAGCGTGCAAAAAGACTGTCTTGAAAAAGACAAAGGTAATCAACTGGGTGGAGATTGGTGAATTTCATATTCGTGAGCTTCCATTCTGGCTTCCCAAACACTTGACCCGCGAAGGAGCATTCTTCGTGGTGTTGAGCCATGACCTTTGATTATCTGTATTTGTTCGAGGTAACGACTACTCGGATGTGACTGCACGTCCTAGGCCTTCATCAAACATTGGCTAAGGATCATTCTACTGTGATATCGTTAAGGCATCCTCATGTTGCTCTAGGCACGATGTTTGCGGCAGTCAGGTGGCGGCACCGCCTTCATCCCCGTCTTCAGGCTGGTCGAACAAGAAATTCGCGGCTAACTCCTCGTTCTTGTCACACGCGAAGTATGCCTGAATGACAAGGTCTCGTTCAAAACCGAGACGACATAACTAATGATCAAAGCGCGTCAGTATCATACAGAAGGCCTATCAAAGTAGCTTGGACGAGTAGACTCACCCGTTCGATGGCATCCCGCTCCTCTTCGGACACACTTATCTCCTGTGCTCCAGGTGGCAAAGGCACGTCGTCCCCAACGTCTTCACTTAAAAGCCTTAGAAATTGATCTGGATTCTCTCCAATTAGCTGGGCAAGTTGCGGATTACCATGTCCAACTTGTTGCAGAATAGGTTCTAGCATCCGTGGTTGCGTCTGTACGATTTGCCGAAGCTGTTGGAATTGCGGGTTGTTGCGTAAAAACTCCAAGTTCCCTAGACCAGCGCCTTCACCGCCTGCACCGGTACCGGCGGATGCGGCCAGTCCTGCTGCTGCTCCGGCTACAGCTGCAGCACCTCCTGCGCCTGCACTGTCCCCGCTGCCGCGATTTGATCGGGCACCACCTGCTCCACCTCCGCGGTTCGCTTGGGCGGCCGCTTCGAAAAGATTAATTGGTTGGTCACCTTCTTCGGCCGAAGCTGAAGCCGCGGGAGCAGCTGGGGCTGGACTAGCTGCGGTTCCTGCAGCTTGAGCTGGGGGCGGAGAAGCAGGCGTATTAGCTGGACGGTTGCCACCAGTACCAGCTGCGGCTTGCTGCCGCTGCTCTTGTTGTATGTTCTCTGGTATACCATTTAGGAGGTACTCCACAGCTCGATCAGGGTTAAAATAAGCTGCTCTCATGGCGCGATCGATTTCTGCTCGAGGGAAGCCCATGCTCTCCATGTTTGAGATAGCTGCTTCTCGTTGGGCACCTAACGCAAGTGCTGATGGATCATTAAAATCTGCTGGAGTCCCACTGGTGGGGGCCGGTGAAGGTGTGGCGGGCGCATTCGATGTGTTACTTGAGACAGGTGCGGGGGCAGCAGGGGCCACGGGTGTTTGTGATGAGCTGGGCGCGGGCGTGGATGGGGCGGCGGATGTAGATGGTGCTGAGGGAGCTGCTTTAGGCTAACAAGGTGTCAGTAAAACTTCCAGGAACAGGAGGGAGAGGCAAACCTTTGAGGTCATACAAACTATAAAGCCTTTCTCCTCAATACTGTAGGATTCAACGGTATTCACATCCTGTAGAATTTTCCCTTGTAGACAAATCAGCATTGACTCATCACTGCAACGTCACTAACATCGGGCATGGCGATCACCATACCAGAGTATATGAGCTTTTGTGTGTTTGACTCCCAACCCTTCTCACCCTGTATCTTCTCTTTCACTTGAGCGATCTAGAATGTCTATTAGTCAGAAATCATGCCCTCTCTATTCATCATAGTCGGGTAAAGATTGTCCTAAGCACCAAGATAGAATATACTCACCGTCTCAGAGGGCTCTACCTCGATGTTGAATTTCTGCTGTTTCAGATCCTGTGCGATCGCTACATCAGCTACGCCTCCTAAACACATAACATCGTGATCCTCACTTTGAAGGTCAATTTCATGTTTGGCAGGTAGCTCGTGAAACGTCAACTTAGTAGTGACGTTTAAGCGACGAGGTGCCACACTGTTCTTGCGGGCCAGACTCAGCAGTTACTGTAATAGCTTTTTACTGTCAGTCAATAAGATTGTCGTGGTTGAGAAAGTCGAACAAAAGTAGAAAGAAGTAGATGGATTGTGCTTGATGTTGTACGGACTTACAGCCTCCCAAACCAAGCCAAGCCAAGCCAAGCCAAGCCAAGCAAGCCTTCAGCTGCCTATAGGGCTGAGATCGGTGCTAACCGTGTTAGGCCTGGCGCCACACCATTCGAGGGGTCGCTCTCTCCTTTCACGAGTCACGACAGCTATTGCAACCATCCTCAACAATACCGTCTATCGTGAGATTCATGTCTCGCTAAACCGTCTTTACAGCCGACCACTCGCCAAACATCCCGAGCGCAGGCACGGGAATGTCAAGTTTGATTGAATGGCCCTCAGGACTATCATCTTCCGCTCAGTGCAATTTCAACGGACCCAAGATCATACACATCGCAGTAGGACCAGTACCAGATCGCATTGCATTGGGTGTCACGGAATGGCTTCATTGCTTGGTCTCCACGTGCTAAGCTGCCGGAGTACCCATTCTCCACAACCCATGGCTGGTCTGGGGTAGGGTGAACCCACCGGCGAAGGGCAGGCCTACGAGTGCGCTGGATGGCATAGATTTTAAGGTGTCAACTGCGGAGAATGCATCTACATGTTTACGGTTGCAAAGATTAAGTGGCTCGGAGATGTATCATTGTAACGTCCTCTTGTCCGCCTATACCGGGATGGCTCAGGTCACCCTCGTACAGCGTTGCTGGGAGCACCGTCTAAATTCTACGAAAAATGCGGGGTGCAGCTTCTGCCTTCTGCCATGACCGCCTTCCTATGCGACTGGCCGAGAAGACCCGCTGTCCTTCTCTCCGCTGTACGGGATCGGTGAAGGCGAGAAAAGCTTTGGCTGCACATATGACCGCCTCTCCACAAAATGCGACGCCTCGTTGTCATACAGCAGATATGCAATGTTAGCAAGAACCAAGCAATTCCGTGGATCTGAATCTGCGTCTGCCATTCGGGTGCGTTTGGGTGCATCCGGCTAGTGCGGGTGCGCGTCAAAGACGCGACTTCTTTTCAGCTCGGATCCTCAATTTTTCCTAAGCATCTTTCCTTTCCTTTCCTTCTTTTCACCGCGTTGTTTCTTTCATCTTTAATACATTTGGATGTTCATGGTTGTAGACGACTAGCTACTGGAACTCTTCTTCCTTTCTTTAGTTTTGGGAGTGTCGGTTCTTCTAATCCTCGGTGTGTTGTTCGAAGGGAATACACTCGTGCCGAATTGAGTGAAAAGATTTCTCCCTCACGCACAATGCGACGGAACTGTTATTGATCGAATATCAGCGCAACTTTGGCCATATCCTTAGTCTAAGTCAACGCTTGAGACAACTCGCGAGAAATTTCATCAACACCTCTCATTCGACAACCCTCGCGGCTATCACGCAACACTCGACTCTTCAGCCTGTGAAGAAGCGGCTATTTGCTTGTGACATGTCCGTCTTCAATTATGCAAATTGACCAAAATCCCATTCCTTCAACATTCCCGTCTTCGAAATCCAAGATCGCATCTTGAATGTGACAATCTCCAGCCTTTGACACCGCCTAGAATGGCCAAAATGTCCGCCCTGGTCTTGCTGGGATTCCATGCAATTTTGCTCAATGTCGCGACAGCGGTTTTCCTTTGTATACTGGCCGCAACCACATCCACATCTAGGAACAGGAATCCGTCCGTCCTGCTGATTGTCTCAGCGATAATTGAGATTATGATCTGCATTCCATTCGCAATCCTCCTGCTGCGTTACGACCAGTGGATCGCTCAGATATCAACCTCGGCCCTCCAGACGAAACGAATGCGACAGTATCTTCTTCTGCTACTTTTAGGATTGCTCCCAGGTCTTGTTTCTGCCGCTATTACTGCCGGTGCGATATCCGTATTCACAACGGCACGTACGGATAAACTTTTTGACAAACCGATTCCGACACTCGCTTTTGTTCTTTGGGTGCTGTCACTTGCCCTTCAAGTCATGTTTTTGATCCTCCTAGGATCAACGTCAAAGACTAAGGTGCAACTGCCAGAGGTTTCGGAGCCACCCGATAACCAGATAATTCAGATGCACCAGGGGACGCGTCCGACCACGGGAGATTCAGTCCCTTCTGACCCATTCCGTGAGACAAAGTCTGTCAGCCTGCCTTCCGTATTGGCTTCGGAAGGTACCAATTCTCTACACTCGTCATTTTCGACCAATCAGAGACCCTCTTCGTCCAAGAAGGGCTTGTCAATACGTTCCCATTCTCAGCCACGTCATTCTGAGCGCTCTTCATCTGACGGGCCTTCTCGACGTCCGTCTCAAGATGAAGGCGGCTTCGATGCTTGGGATACTTCTGAAGTCTCGCCTCAACTCCGTGACACCGTCCTGCAAGCCAAAGCTCTCGGCAAGGGCGTTGGACTGCCCACCATACCTGGAAGTAGATCTCCTTCTCCCGCCAAAGCTCTCGAGGGTCCTTTCTTCAACCCTAGTCCGGAAAGGAGTCCTCCACAGAGTCCATTGCCACAACCCCCAGTCTCGGTGCCCTCCTCGCCCTTGCCAGGGTCTCCCGAAGCGTCACATTTCGGTAGCCGCTTCCCACCTGTGACGCTGCCACCGGTCACTAACACCCCACCCTCATCTCCACCGCAGACTCAATCTCGACGATTTTCCAGACCTGCTTCTCTTGCTCGAAGGCAGTCTGAAGAGCACAATATCCACCCTCTCTTCCGTTCCAGTAGTCCGACACCCCCACCAAGCGCATCGTCGAATACCGTGGTCACTGCAGCTCCCGAGGCTGGCGAAATCATTAATCGGCAAGCGCTGCACAGAATGCGCTCTACAAGTCAGCCGCCGACTTCTAGCCCACTTCGAAGATCTGAGAGCTTTGGAAACATTCGCGAATCCAAATTGACAGCCCCGTCAACATTGCAAGACGAGCACTGTCCAGTGGCTGTCCCCCGGCGCACGGCCATGCACCAACGCAAGCGATCGGCATCTTTTGAAGGATGCATCATCAGGCACGATGCGTAAGGGGCTATGACTAATGATTATGTTAATGTTTTTGATGAGGAGCGAAAAGAAACTACTCGAGGCTGGTGGTAAGGAATCAAGTACTCTAACGGTAATACGAAATGCAAAAGCAAGTGAAAATTGTTCTTCCCGTCCGCGAATTCCCTCGTAGGAAAGGTCATAGTCAGATGCAGTAGTCCAGATTTCTCGCCTTTGTTGTGGGAAATGATATGATGGCGTGGCGGGGGAGGTATGTATTGAGTGTTGTACCCCATCGACACCCTGGACAATAGCAGCAGAGAAATATCAGCCCCCTCAAAACGTGTCACTGTTCTCATTTCTCAAGAAGGAAGGTGACCGCTGTCCAACAACAACTGCTTTGCGCGTTGTCCTCTCCACCCAATGTGAATTCCATACTTTTGGCACCAAGTCAGCATCCTATTGCACGTCCTCTTCGATTCCGATTTCGTCAAATCTTTTCTGAAATCTTTTTCGGGGCTCCTCTTGCTTCGCGGGCGAATCGAGCAGTCTGTCCCTTCGACTGAGCGGCAGGCTTGCAAACAAATTGAGTTTACGTCTTCCACATTGTCACGAGAATATTGTTTTCACGAAGTACCATTTCCAATTTGCACCGGGTAGTCGCCATCAGTTTCAAGAACCCTGGGCAAAGTTACCGCTAATATGGTGGTCGGTTTGGTGGAAAGGTACGCATCTTACTTTCACTTTTGCAACGTCGCAATTATCGCATTAAAATGTACCTTGACGCCGTATTCCACCTTGATTTAGCAAAAAATACAAAGTGGAATAGGTCACGTTGCTCTTTACTCCCCGCCTGCCATTTAGTCTCAGATTACGTACTGGCTTCATTATCTCAAGAAGCCCAGCACTTGAAGGCTCAATGATAGAAGCAGAGATTTTTTGCATCAATGTTACATCCTATTGGATTTTTACCCCAGCCGTTGCAATGATGTTGACGCTTTGTTGACTTCTATAGCCAAATGTTACAAGAAGTTCGATCTCCAGGAAAGCAATCCATTCTAAAGCCTTCTGCCGGGAGCGTAGACGATGAACATATCTGTCAACACCATCCCACTCGAAGTATCTCAAGTCAACAAGCTACAATCAACACTTCATCCTCCAAATTGTCGAGTCAATCACACTCAGACGACCAACTTCCGTGTCAGCGGCCGACAGACAAAACACATCCTTCTGACCCTTCTTTAGATACCGTTGACAATGCGTCTAACAATCAATCATCTTCTCAAGAAAATATCTTGGGCCAAAAGCCTCCCCCTGATACAGTCGCAACACAGCAGAATCTCTTCCTTCCTGCTAAATTCAAATCCCACCCTATCAGTTCTCGATTGTCGCCTCAAGAAAGTCTATCAGAGCAGAAGTCTCTCCCCAGCTCCACCCCCTACATACGAAAGAGAGATAAAGAAAAGGAAGCCTTGAAAGCTCGATTGGAGAGCATTAAGAAAGCAATCGGTGTCGGCCTCCGTGAGCGAATGTCCCGTCTGAAACGTCGTTCGCAGATTAATCCGAAAGATGAAGAAGACATCCGTCTCTTATTCAATCTATTAGAAACAAGTCTCACCTATAATGAGAAGCATATTGCTCAGCAATGGCAGCACAGGTACCAACCTGAATGGGACGAAGCATGGCTCCCAATCTCTGAGCAGAATAGGCAATATCAGAATCACGTAAATGAAACAAGGATAGCAATAGGTCCTTCTGCGCAGAAAGATCACGTTGATGTTGTGATGGAAAATACATACCCGGCTTGGATAGATTATCATGAGAATGATGATGACGACTGGAGCTCGCAATGCAAACGGATACGACGCGCTCTCGCTTTTATCAAAGGTACTGGAGGAAATGATGCCCTATTGCCTGCGAGTGAAATCCTAGTCGGCGAGCGAAATCATGTCGATATGGGCGACATCTGGAAAGAGTGGGAAGGGAAGCTCGACACTTTGGGTGAACAGCCGACAAAGAAAGCGATGAGGGAGGCTATACCTTACCACTGGGCCGAAATTGAGAAACTTATGCAGGGAAAGATGAAGGAGATTGAAAAAAGGAAAGGAGGAGAGCCACGAATGCTAGGATTGGAAGGGAAGAGGGGGATGAAGAGGCTTGCGGACCAATTAAGTGAAGGGGGGACTGGTCAGGAAGGGGCGAGAAGAGGCCGAAACATGCCTTTGCAGCGGCCATGCAGGATATGAAGGAGTCGGGGTGGAAGTGGAAGGACGCAGGAAAGAAGAGAAAGGAGACGGAGAAGCCTGCACCGAATGATAACGGTGGCAGTCGAGGCAATGGGACTGCGCTGAAAGGGAAGAAGATGGCTGCATTGAAGGGTACTGGGGGGGGAGGGGGAGCCAATGGGAAGGCACGGAAAGGGAGAAAGAAGCATGCTGCTGGGAAAAGCAAACATTGAGAGGTTGTAGTGTGTCAGATAGGAGGAATAGAGGAATCTTTGGCTGTACATGGGTGAAAGAAGGGACACTTTGAGGACATTTCCAAGAGAGGAATAGTATAGATTTCTGGCAAGTACAGCTTGGATGTTGGAAAACCCAATTCAGCTATCCAATTTGTAGAATTGGAATGAGCAATCAAATGGAGTACTTTGTTCATTGATGGATTCTGCATGTACTTCGTGCTCGGAGTGTGACTGCCATTGCTACTTCACCAACGCCCCAAACTCCGTATTCCGTAAGGTCCAAGGTTCTCATCTCTGAGTCAGGACCTCGGCCTTGGCATCTGGGAATGGCATCATTAGGCGACTGTGACCTCTTACACATGACTGCACATCCATATATGAATGCTGGTAGTCCCATCCGTTTTCTGGTCTTATTTGACTTTCAGCGACAGCTGTATGAATACTGAGCTTTGGTCAGATCTCCGTCCATTTTCTGCCCATCCATCGCACCAGGAAATAGCTTTGATCAGCAAAATCCCACCGCCATGGCTGTGCGAGCACAGTTTGAGAATTCGAATGAGTGTGTGCTCCTTCGTCAGGCTCGAAAGACTTTCCATGACCTTACTCATCTCTCCGTTTAGAGTCGGCGTATTCTCAACCCTGACGAACGCCTATGCTTTGGTTCCAGTCGGCACGAGTGAGAATTTTTATAGGTGATTGGCCCGCTTGCGCACAGCACTCGCGGTCAGCTAAGCAAAGAGCTGCAGTACTTTCGAAGCCGAGCTGCAAGATGTGGTGCCTATATGTCGTGCTACAATCGCTGGCACACGGATCATTGGTACTCTGACTGCAGGGTACGTACTCTTCCCCTCTGCTTAGGGAGCTTTCAACTTATGAACCTGTAGGAATCGTAAGGGTCTCCTGGTCCCCACATCGACCACAGATCAAGAGTTGCAGCATCTCCGCAATAGTATACCCGACGAAGTCAAGATACAACGTATAGAAGAGCGATTGTCAGCGCTTGGTAATGTGATCTGCGCAAATGACCATGTCGCTCTAGTTCACCCGGACATTGAACGGGAAACGGAGGAGATAATAGCAGACGTCTTTGGCGTAGAAGTCTTCCGACAGACAATCGCGGATAATGTACTGGTTGGAAGCTATATGAGCTTGTCCAATCAAGGAGGCATTGTTCACCCAAGAACATCGATACAAGATCAGGATGAGCTCTCAAGTCTACTGCAGGTACCTCTGGTGGCAGGCAGCGTAAATCGTGGAAGTTCTGTGGTCGGTGCTGGTATGGTAGTGAACGATTGGATGGCCGTCACAGGTGTCGATACAACTGCGACAGAGCTGAGTGTCGTCGAAAGTATCTTCAAATTAGGCGAAAGTACGGGTCCTGGAGCGATCAATACGACAAACAAGGCAACTATGGTAGAGTCGTTCTACTGATCCGTTCACAATTGGATCTGGAGACAGCTAAACTATATGTATCAGCTCAGCTCAGTCTCGGATATGCCTTGGGAACAGTAAGTCAAAGGCTTACGTGCGAATCCGGAGCGACTGAAGACTGACCTCGGATTTCAAAAAGTTCGCTTTCCGACCTCATGACGGAATGCATAGCCAAACCTTGGAAGTTGGGGAAATGAGATACGGTATCAGTTCTGGAGTGCACCAGTCTATGATCGATCAGGCCACCTGCAATCAGTGGAGGAGACTGGCTACCTACGACGAATTGTTCTATACCTAGCTCAAATAGTTCACAATTGACACCCAGCCCGCCCGGATGTTCAACGGGCGATAATGGGTTTTTGACCACTATCATGGTTAACAAAAGCGACTTGTAACCGAGATAGAAGCTACCATATTCAATGTAAAGGCTGACATAAATTTGATGCAGGACAATTCTGAGATTGTTCGTTTTGGTATCGGTTACCATAACGAACTTCAGAGAAGTCGGTGTCTCGTAGTAATGCATTTTGTAATGACCAGTTCGAAAAGATATGAAGCTGTGAGTCCCATCAGTGTCCAAATCCGGTGGTCTACAGCTCTCATCGAAATTTCGATTACCTGTCGTCTTCCCCTCCTATCTTTCTAACCAGATTTCGCATGGAGAACACAACACCAAAGACAAGCTTCGCATCGTCCTCTGCACTTAGAACTCTCTGGTTCTCGTTGACTCCATTCGTCTGTGGCACTTTCGACGAAGAGAGCGGTCTTGCCGCCCATCGTTTCTTGTAGATACACTCGGCTGCCGCGTCAATCTTAGTAGTCGTCACGCAGAGCGATTGTGAGAGATATACCATGACGATCGAATATGTAGAACGAATAAACCACCATATCAACAGAATAGGATAGTCCGTCAAGACAAAGCAATTCGATCAGATGAACTAGAAGGTCTAGCCCCCCAGAAAGGGGTCGAGGGGGTGCTCCACTACGGTTTTCTTATCGCCGAAAACGCCGAAGGTGGTGTGACGGGACTTCCATATTGTCTCCATAAGCTTTAGACCCCCTGCTTAGGGGGAACTAACGCCTTTATAGGGGCTTTCTAGGCTTCCCCTACAAGGGGTTTATACTAGAAAGTCTAGGAATCTTATATTTTTAATTAATAATATTAAAGCTATATTAAAAAAAGGAAATATTAAGGTATGAATTATTATTTTTTTAAAATATAAAAAACTTATATTTTATATTTATTTTAAAAATTATTAATAAAATTTTATTTAAATTTAAATTAATATTTAAATTTATTATTAATATAATTTATAAATTTAATTTATAATATATATTATATAAATTTTTTTTTTATTTTTATTTAAAAACTAAATAATATTTTAATAATATTTTAATAAAATTTTAAATAAATTATATATATTATTATAATAAAATATTAAATAAATAAAGTTTATATATTTATTTAAATATTATATTAATATTTTATTTTTTATTATATTTATATTTTAAATAATTTATTAAAAAGTTTTATTTTTTATTATTTTATTTAAATATTATTAATATTTTTTTATATTTATTAATTATATTAATAAAAAATATATTTAAAATTATAGGCAAAAGAAATATATTTTATAAGTTTTAAATATTTAATTTTAATATTTTATTTTAAATTTAAAATATTTTTAAAAAATATATAATATTTTAAATTTAAAATAACTTTAATAATAAAAACTTTTTTTAATTTATATTTATAATAATTATTTTATTTAAATATATTATTAAATAATAGTTTAATAGTTTTAAAAAATTATAATTAAGAATTTTTTAAATTTTTAAAGTTAAAAATTATAATATTATTATATTTAAATTTATAAATAATTTTTATAAATTTATTTAAAATAAATTTAAAAAAAATTAAAATTATTATTATTTATTATTTTTATTACTATTAAAATATAATAAATTAATATTAAATTATTATTTTAAAAATTAATATAATATATAAAATAATTAATATTTTTTAATTTTTTTTAATTTTTTAACTTTTTCTTTTATATAAAATTTTTTAATATTTATATTATAAATTTAAATAATAAAATATTAAATTAAAAATAATAGCTTTTAAATATTTTAATTTAATAATTTAGCTTTAGTTTATGAATATTTAATAATAAATTCTATTTTTAAATAAATAAAGCTTTATATTCTAGAAATTACCTTTTATTATAAGTTTTTATTATTTAACTTTAATATATTTAATAATAATAAAATCTACTTTTTAATTTAATTATTAATATAAATATAGATAATATTTTTTATAATAAATTTAATAAAATTTTTATAAAAAGTTATAAACTAAATATTATAATTTATATATTAAATTTATTTAATATATTATTATTATAAATAATATTTATATATATAATTTATAATTAATTTAACTTTATTATCTAAATATTTTTACTTTTATCTTATTTTTTATTTACTTATTAAATTATATTTAAAATATAGAAAACTTAAAGATTAAATATTATTTTAAAAAATATAAAAATAATTTAATAAAAAATAAAAATATAAAATAAAAAAAAATTTATATTTAAAAACTAATAAAAACTTTAAAAATAATTATAATAAAAATAATAAATATTAAATAAATAATAATTATTATATTAATATTATTATTATATTAGTTTTATTAGCTATATATATACTATTTATTTATATTTAAAATATTATAATTATAATAGTACCTTAGCTATTATTTTTATTTTTAATACTACCTTTATCTTTATAACCTACTTTTTATATATATTAATTATTATTTTTCTTAATATTATTTTTATTTTTATAATCTATTTTTTATATATAGTAATTATTACTCTTTTTAATTATACTTTTATCCTTACTTTCTACTTTTTATTATAAATCTTTTATTTCTTTTTTAAATAGCTTTTTTTCTAATTTTCTTATCTATATTTATTTAAAATAGAAGTAATTATAAATATTTAAAAAAAATTAATAATAAAGGCTTTTTTTTTAAAAAAAAAGCTTAAAAAATATATAAATTAATATAATTTATAAAATAATTATTAGATTAATTATTATAAATTTATAAATAAAAATATAAAATATATAATAAGTATAAAAATATATAGAAAAGTTTTAAATATTATATATATTTTTTAAAAAAAATAAAAAATATTAAATAGAAAAAAATCTTTAATAAAAATAAAATAAAATATATAGTTTATTACCTTTAATAAAAATTAAAAAAGCTAAGCTAAATATTTATTTTTAATAAATATTAACTTTTTAATATAAAAGAAAATTATTTAAATTTATTTTTTAATATTTATTAAATTTATTAATAAGTTAATAAAACTTTTTTATAATTATAAAAGTTTTTATACTTATTAAATTAGCTAGCGACTAAAAAAAAAAGAAAACTAGTAGAATTTATATTTATATATATTATTTTAATTTAGATAGTATTTTATTTAATATAATATAAAAAATATAATAATTTATTAAAATTATTTAGTTTATATTTTATAAATAATAATATTAAAAAATAACTTATTAATATAATATCTTTTATTAAGCTTTATATATTTTATATAATTTTATATAAAATTATAGCTAAGCTAAAAGATAAGAATATATAATAAATTATATATTTTTCTTATAATATTTAAATAAATAAAGCTTATAATAATTTTAATTTTCTAGAATATTAAATAGAAAAATAACTAAAAAATAAAAAGACTTTTATTTCTTTAATAAATAATATTATTTTTAAAAGTATTTATATATTTAAATATAGCTTAAAATAAAGCTAATAATAACTAAAGCTTTTTTTATTATTTTTATAGATTTTATATAATATAATTATAAATTAATATTTTTATTTAATAAATTTTTAAAAAAATAAATAATTATTATAATTAAAATTTAATAAAGTATAAATATATTACTATTTTATTTATTTTATAATTAAAGCTAGTTTACCTACTTTAAATTATAAATTTAATATAAATAATAACTTTATTATATTTAAGTTATATATAATTTAAAGAAAGTTATATAAAAAATTTTATTATTAATTAAAATTTATAAAATATATAAATAAATATTTTTTTAACTAAAAAAAAAAAAACTAAAATATTAGTAATAAAGTATTATTTATTAGTTTTTATTTAGTAAAATAAAAATATAAATAAAAATATTATAACTATTATAAAGAATTATAAAATTGCTTAGTATAAAAAAAACCTTATTAATAATAAGTAAAAAATAAATTTAACTTTATAATATAGCGATATTAAAACTATCTTTTATATTTAATTTATTTAAAAGATATAAAAATAGATAATATAAATATTATATAATTAAAAAAGATAAATTATATTTATATTAAGTTTTTAATATTTATAATATAATTTTTCAAAGCTTATATAATATATTTACTTTAATAATAGCTACTTAAGTAAATAAATAACTTTATAATATATTATAAATACTTAAAATAAATTTATTATTTAACTAAATAATTTTATAAAATTAGAAAAGCTTTTAATATATTTTTATTAAGTTTATATTTTAATAATTTTAATTTTTAATTAAAGAATAAATATATAAAAAAAAAAATACTTTTATTTTAAATAATAATTAAAGCAATATTATAAATATAATTGCTAAATTATAAAAATTTTAAAACTTAAATTTATATTATTATAGAAATAATTTATCTTTTAGATTTAGCTAATTATTATAACTTAAAGCTATTAAATAAATATTAAACTAATTATTAATATTTTATTTATTATATAAATATTTATTTTATATTATACTTTATAATTAAGTAAATAAATATTAAGTTATTATAATAAATTATTATTAAAACTTATATACTTTTTTAAATAAAAAGGGTAAAAGTTAATAATTATAACTTAGAATTAATATATTTAATATAAATAATTAATAATAATTTAGCGAAA